GAGCAGTTGGAAGGTAGGTAAGGTAGGTCTGGAAGAGAGGTGTGTGGGCGCGGTTTGACCAGGGTTAGGGTTATATATAGGTTGGTTCAAATATTTGCAAATATTTGAATAAATCAAGTTCAAGTTCAAATATCCAGCGGGTCAGTCAAATCAAGTTCAAATACAGCCATTCAAATCAAGTATTTGATTTGAGTGATGCCTTGCTTCCATGGTGCTTCTGAAATGGATTAGGGCTGCGTTTGGCTGGGATGGCAGGAACCAGGGACCACAAATGATGTCATGGTTGAAGTATTTCCGGAGCATATCCATCGCAAACACTCTTACATTCTCTAACTTCCAAGTTGCCATCGAGATTCCGCATAAACTCGGCAGGGTGAATCCGCAATGGCTCCGCCTTGCAACACCGGGGGATATGGATCAAGTTCCAGGTGTGCCGGCTGCCTTTGAATGGCGCCGGTAAGTAAGCTTGGCAGGGGTTGCCGCCAGGCCTCAACCGACAATTCCATTGAGGAGGTTCCCAGGACCTTGATCGCAGTTTGCATGGCACATCTGCAAGGCCATTCCTTACCTGTACTAGCAGCTCGCCGCTCGTTTGGGCAGCCTTACGTGGACAACAGCCCGAAGCTGCTACATGTAAACTGTTACACTACCTCTCTGAGAGGCAGCCTGCCCAAACGAACCCCTCTTTCCAGTAGGTGCTCTCCGCTCCTTCCGAATCCCAACTCCTCGGTTTCATTTCACCTCCCAGGCTTTCTCGTGTTTCTGAGAGATTGGCTTCATCCAAGTGGTTCTTTCTCGAGCCAGTAAGTGTTTGTCCAATTTCCGTCCGCTGACCCCCACCAGGAGATCATGAGATGCCCAACACAAAAGCCTCCCACGCCTGTGCGACTTCCAGAAGCTGACAACCAACGTAGGTTACAGATAGAAAGGTACCCTGTCGTCTCAGATATAAAAACAATAACAACGCGTCAAACGAGGACTCTGTCACTGCTCTCTCTTGCTCTTTGTTGCTCCACACCAACCTTCTGTCTGTGTGTGGCTCGTACCCGTTGGCCTTTCAACAATGGTGCACCTCTCGACTATTCCCGATGAGAGCGAGGTGAATGACAAGCTCGTCGAGACTGTCAAGAAAGTCCACCTTCAGCTCATCAATGATGAGGACAACTTCACCACAAGCGTCTACGGCTCCAGATTTGCTGCTGCCGATCTCCCCCGCCATGAGATGCCCGAGAAAGAGATGCCCAAGGAGGTTGCCTACCGCATGATCAAGGATGAACTGAGTCTGGACGGGAACCCTATGCTGAAGTGAGTAGTCCACTGCCTTCCCTGGTGTCTGGTGCTGACCCAGTCCTCGCTCAATATAGCCTGGCTTCTTTTGTCACGACGTACATGGTGTGCTAGCCCTCAGCCAGCAACTTGACCCTGAACCCCTCGCTAACCCGGTATGCAGGAAGAAGAAGCCGAGAAGCTGATGGCCGAGTCCTTCTCTAAGAACTTCATAGACTACGAGGAGTACCCCCAGTCGGCCGACATCCAGAACCGCTGCGTGTCCATGATTGGCCGCCTCTTCCATGCTCCGGTAGGCGCTGACGACTCGGTTGGAGGCATCGGCACATCGTGCGTTGGCAGCTCTGAGGCCATCATGCTCGCCGTCCTGGCTATGAAGAAGCGCTGGAAGAACAGGAGAATGGCCGAGGGCAAGCCCTGCGACAGACCCAACATTGTCATGTCCTCGGCGGTGCAAGTGTGCTGGGAGAAGGCGGCCCGCTACTTTGAGGTCGAGGAGAAGCTCGTTTACTGCGCCGAGGATCGCTACGTGATTGACCCGAAACAGACGGTCGATCTAGTCGACGAGAACACGATCGGAATCTGCGCCATCTTGGGCACTACCTACACGGGTGAATATGAAGATGTCAAGGCTGTCAACGACCTGCTGACCGAGAGGGGTCTCGACACGCCCATCCATGTCGACGCTGCCAGCGGTGGCTTCGTGGCGCCTTTTGTTGTCCCTGATCTTGAGTGGGACTTTAGACTGGAGCATGTAGTCTCGATCAACGTATCTGGACACAAGGTTAGCTACTTTGTACATGGGATCCCGCTGCCAGGCCTTGGCTAACGTGGGTCACAGTACGGTCTCGTCTATCCTGGCGTTGGCTGGGTTGTCTGGCGAAGCGCCGAGTATCTCCCGCAGGAGCTCGTCTTCAACATCAACTACCTGGGCGCCGATCAAGCTTCGTTCACGCTGAACTTCAGCAAGGGCGCCAGCCAGGTGATTGGCCAGTATTACCAGCTCATCCGCCTCGGCAAGCACGGGTACAGGGCCATCATGAGCAACCTGACACGGACAGCCGACTACCTCTCGGATTCGCTCCAAGCACTCGGTTTCATCATCATGTCCAAGAAGTCGGGCGAGGGTCTGCCGCTCGTTGCCTTCCGCCTGCCGCCGCAGCAAGACCGCAACTACGACGAGTTCGCGCTCGCCCATCAGCTGCGCGTCCGGGGGTGGGTCGTGCCGGCGTACACGATGGCGCCGCACACCAACAACCTGAAGATGCTCCGCGTGGTGGTGCGCGAGGATTTCACTCGGAACCGCTGCGACGCCCTCATCGCCGACATCAAGCTCAGCCAGCAACTGCTCGAGAACATGGACCGGGAGAGCATCAAGAAGCAGCAAGAGTTCATCCACAAGCACCACACGGCCAGTGGCAAGTCGACGCACAACCATCCCAAATACCGGGTAAGGATGTCCTGTGCTTCCGTTCCCAGCACCGTACAGGGGAGCAAGATTGAGGCTGACCATGTGTGTTACAGAGGGAGAAGCATTCTCTCCAGGGCAAAACTGGCAAGACTCACGCTGTCTGCTAAAGCAGCGCGCCAGGCAAATGTCATTGTCGTCAAGCTGCCGGGGAAAGGGGGGCTCACCCAGGCGGGCAAGACGCATAAGGTGGGCATGGAGGAGGAGGAGGCGACGCTGAGCCTCGAGATGCCGGGCGGTCGGCAGCTGCTGACGCTCCGCATTGCATGTCTATCATGACTGATGAATCTACAGATGCATCTAGCCGGTGTAGTCGGTATGAATTGCGCTTGGGGATTTCTTACAGTTAGCCTCGTTGTTCGTACGAAGATTCTTCGTAGAGCTTTAGAATACGGATAAATCGTTCGAATAGAGATGCTGAGGTGGCGATTTGATGATCTGGTGCGTTAAGATTCTCACCTTGTCAGCCTTGTGAGGCTCTCAATCCCAGATGCAATCGGATTCAAGGATAGAAGTCTGATTGTAATTCCTTCATCTTGGATTCCTAACTTTGCTGTGTTCGTCCCTGTGAACACCTCGATCAGACCCTAGAACTTCAAGAGCCATGAGTCCTTGACAGGGGCTCTTATCGATAAACAAGGTGGGGCTGAATTCGAACTGCCGACATCGCTCTCGGGATCCGTTTGTGAGATTTTGAGAATGACTCTTCTTTTGGCGAGGATGTCAAGCGCTGCACGAGACGTTTCCACGCATTGGGTGCTGCTGCAATTGCTGGCGGATTAAGGGTCAAGGGAGTGCTGGTCCTGGCAGGCCGCTCCAAGTTCAATTGTTCAGTTCGGCCGTCGTTTCTGAACCCTCTTTCTCCCGCTCCCTTTGCATCTGTCAGCTTGACTGGGTTCGAGTCTACTCTCCAGGCCTGCTATCGCACTCCCCCCGACCATGGCCTTCCGAGCTTCCTTGCGGCTCGCCGCCTCTGCAGCTCGTCCCGCGGGCGCCCGGCTCTACTCCCAGGCCGTTGCCGTGCCGACATCTAGCGCTGCGTCCGTCCGGGTGACCAGCGCTCAGATTCAGAGGGATGCGGCCTTGCCGAACCCTGATCCGGCAGAGGACTCGGCCAGCGCCGCCCTCGTTCGCGACCATGCGCCATTCATGGTGGCTACGTACGCGCGCCCGCCCCCAGTATTCGTCAACGGCGAGGGCTCGTATCTCTGGGACATTGAGAACCGAAAATATCTCGACCTCACTGCCGGCATTGCCGTCAACTCGCTCGGTCACTGCAATCCCGAGCTGTCCAAGCTGATCGCGCAGCAGGTGACTCACCTCTTTTTCAAGCCCAGCATAAGATACCCGTTTTTGCTGACCTCTTTCAATCTACCCCCTATCAGGCCAAGACCCTTATGCACGCCTCAAACCTCTACTACAACCCCTGGACAGGCGCCCTTTCCAAGCTGCTCATTGAAAAGACCGTTGCCTCAGGCGGCATGCATGACGCAACTGCCGTATTTGTCTGCAACTCGGGCAGCGAAGCCAACGAAGCGGGCATCAAGTTCGCCCGCAAAGTCGGCAAGGTCCTCGACCCGTCAGGGGCGAAACACGAGATCGTGTGCTTCGGCAACGCCTTCCACGGCCGCACGATGGGGGCGCTCAGCGCGACGCCAAACCCAAAGTACCAAGCGCCCTTCTCGCCCATGGTTCCCGGCTTCAAGGTCGGCGTCTACAACGACATCGAGTCGCTGAAGGAGCTAATCACGCCGGAGACGTGCTCCGTCATCGTCGAGCCCATCCAAGGCGAGGGTGGGGTGCAAGTGGCCGATGAAGAATTCCTCGTCGAACTCGCCGCCCGCTGCCGCAAGGTCGGCGCCCTACTGCACTACGACGAGATCCAGTGCGGCCTGTCCCGCACGGGCACCTTCTGGGCCCACAGCCACCTACCCAAAGAGGCGCACCCGGACATCTTGACCACGGCCAAGGCGCTGGGCAACGGCTTCCCCATCGGCGCGACCATCGTCAACGCGCACGTGGCCGACAAGATCAAGGTCGGCGACCACGGCACCACCTTTGGCGGGAACCCGCTCGCCTGCCGGCTGGCGCACCACATTGTCTCGCGCCTGGCCGAGCCAGAGCTGCAGGAAGCGGTGCTGGAAAAGGAGGGGCTGTTCCGGGACGGGTTTGCGATGCTGCAGAGCCAATACCCGAACCTGATCCGCCAGGTGCGCGGTCGCGGGCTCATCCTCGGCCTGCAGCTCACCGAGGACCCGGCCAGGATCATCAAGGCCGCCCGTGAAAGGGGCGTGCTCATCATCACGGCCGGCACCAACACGCTGCGGTTCGTGCCGAGCTTGTTGATCAGCAAGGAGGAGATTGAGGAGGGCTTACGCGTCCTGGGGGAGGCCATCGAAGCTACCCGCGAATAATGACCTACCTGGGTAGAGTACGTGGACGGGAATGAGTTGAGGTACATTTTGTGCGGGGGGATTAGATTTGCTTGACGGCTTTGCCATAGTTTAGGTAGTATGGTGTTTGGAGTCGAAAATGAATTGTCTTTTGCGTCTTGCTCTGCAGCTCGACCACTTCACTTCAGTTCACTTCATTCACTGTGCTTCAATGTACCCAGATTATCTTGAATTCGAGAAACCCATCTCCAGGACGAAGCGCTCCTGTTATATTTGAGAGAGACTGTTTCGACTTGAATGTGTCACTATCTATGTATAATCCCCAGATCAGACACCCGCAGTAGTATGACACTCTCAAACCTTCCTCCGCAGCCAATTTTGCGCTTGGGTTTCCGCTTCTATGACATTGAATAACTCCTTGAGAGGTAATGGGAGAATCAAGCGCTAGTGGTGACCTCCTAGGTGTCCCTTACTAGCCAAAACTCTTCGGCTACCTTTTCCTCGCCGGGCCTAACTGGGTCGCAGGATATTGTCCCAGCTGTATCGTGACTGGACCATTGGGCCCAAGGACAGTACCGTCCTGACGAAGATAGGGCCTTCCACCTGTTTCGTGTGCTGGTCGGGGCCCCATATAGACCGTGATGTGCCTATCAGCTTGAACCACGGTGTTTTGAACCCTGCCGGTGCTGGTCGCCCATCACCCTTACTGTCTCGGTCGGCTCCTTCGCCACGGGCATCCAACCGTCCCTCTCAACCTCGACAATACTGCCGTCGATACAGACCTTCCTACCCCGGATTGGCAATTTTGAAGGTACCCAGCTTAACCAAGCAATACTGACGGGAGATTCTCCAGCAGGAGACGCCATTGCTTTGCACGTTAACACCAAGGGGAACAAGAGTGGAGCAGGACCCGCGTTCGAACTCGTTGCTTGATAAGGTAGAGGCGGCGGGAGGTGAGTCCCTAACCGCTCGGCCATCTCACTTCACTTCACTTCACTTCACTCTAGCCGGGGGGGTAAAAGTAGGAAGCTGGACTTGACTTATAAACTCAGAGCAGTTCACCGCTCCTGCCCCATCATAATCCCCTTTGTACTGGTACATTGTACAAGTACAGTACAATGCATTCTTCCAACAATGAATAAAATACAGCCCTTCCTAAGAGAACGCCTTCCACTTGTGAATGAGCAAACTAACCATCTCGACGCCAAACCTGGGCTTTCCACCACTCCCCTGCTGGCACAAACTGGCCGCCTTGGGACCTGTGTTTTCCGGGTGTACCCCCGCGTGACTCGGAGAGTACAGTAACAGGCTGGCAAGAGAGGACTGTGTAAGGCCTGGATACGTTAAGGCATTATTGTATAACCGACATGACGACGTCAAAGAGAAGTCGAGGTACCGGTAGGCTCAACAACGAACAATGGAACCCCTTTTGTGAGAACTCCTTAACCCGGCTCAGCCCGAAAAACATATCCTACGTCATCCCTCAGGACAAGCCAAAAGGTTTGGTGCATGTTAAGACACTGGCAAGTCAGTGAAGAATCAACTGCGTTACCGCTTGAACAACCATCACACAATCACATGTCACCGCAAGATCATGATCTTCAATGGTCATTCCTTCGTGTTCCCAGTGCTACCCAGCCTGCCAAGGCCCCCTTTTTTTTCCCTCTAAAAGCGAATGCCAGAGCGCCCCCACGTTGTCCTTGCTACTGTTACATACAAACAAGACACAATCGTGAGGAGAATAACCACCGGTATAACGCCAGAGCATGTGTCAGAAGATAATTGCCTTCCCTATGTAATCAATGAACGAGTGACATCAAATGCCGACACATATCCATTGGATGCGAGATACGCGCCGACAGGGGTATAGAAGATGCACCATGCCAAAAAATGTGTACTTGAAGCGAAAAAAGAAGTGAGCCGGCCTTCTTCGCCAGGGAAAGGATCAGACGGAATGACAGTCCAGTGCTATCCATCCGACCAAGCCCAGGCAGACCGTTTCAGAAGAAGTGCAAAACAGGCTTTCCCCTTGTCTCTATTGGTGTTGCTCAGAGCTGGATCCGAGAGCCCTGTCGCCTCCGCGTACGGAGCTTGCTGGTGACCATCTTGAGTGACTCGGCCTCACCGGATTGGCAGGTGGTGCCGGCAGCCATCTGCATGACCGCCGACCACGCACCACTGGCGCAACGCTGGAAAGCGTTGCCGCCGATGCAGTTCCACGCACCCTCGGACGAGCAGGCCGTGCCGACAGCGTACCCACCGGCGCCAGAGCCAGAGCCGGAGCCAGAGCCGGAACCAGAGCCAGAGCCGGAGCCGGAGCCGGAGCCGGAGCCAGCGCCGCCGGTGGCGGCCGGGGGGCTCACAGTAGTCGAAGTCGAGCTCTCAGATGGGGTGGTGAGGAAGACGCCACTAGAGAAGATGGTCAGCATAAATCCATATCAAGACAGCATTCTTTACGTAGGGATAGGAGCAAGGGGTGCCAAGATTTTGATGGTGCTTAGAGTGGAGGGTCTTTGAGGGCCGGGCAGAACCGTCACCGTGACCGTGGTTGTGACGACGGGAATGGGGATGTCGGTTAGTTGGGTAGGGTTGGGGATTGGGATGATTGTGGTGAGCTTAGTGGGATTGGGGATTGGGACGATTGTGGTGAGTTTGGTGGGGTTTGATATGGGTACAATGGTCGTCAAACGCTCAGCAGTCGCCAATCTCGGCCTCAGACACAATCGAGATTCAACATACCCAGGAATATCGGTCACCTTGGGAGGCTCAACAGGCCCTGCGGTGGGGAGCGAAGCCCCTGCGGTTGAGCTAGGAGCCACCTTGGTCGAGCTGGGTGTCGAGCTGGGCGTCGAGCTGGGCGACGAGCCGCCTCCGTTGCCAGAAGAAGGAGAAGGAAGCGGATTAGCAGCAACAGGACCGCAGTTGCCTTCGGGCGGGGCCTGGGGGCCGCCGTTGTTGATGACATTCGGGCCGGGGTTCGGGAAGACCACGTTAGTGCCCTCGGTGGTTCTGCAGTCGTTGCCGATGTTGGCGACGAAGACCTGAGGAAGCGCTGAGAATGCCTCGGCACGCTTGCTAGCCTTGATGGCCTCGCGCCTCTTGCTGGCATCTCGCTTCTTGGCGCTGCCGCTAATCATAACTGCGGCACAGTTCATGTATTGCTCGCGGTTACCGGAAAAGTTGCTCCAGGTCCATGCCCAGATGGCCTCGCCCTCGGGGGCATCAGCGGGAATAGTGAAAGGGTAGGTGGACGACAGGGGGCAGCCGCCGATGATGGACTGGATGACAGTGAAGGTTTTGCCCTGGTCGAAGCTCAAGCTAACCTGGCAAGAGCCTCCGTTGTGGGCAGCACCGCCAGTGACCTCGAACGTGTAAGACTGGCCGGGAGCATAGGTGGCGGTGGGCTTGCCTTCCTTGTTGCCAAGATCAGTCTTGTGGTAACCCTTGCAAGGGTAGTTGGACCCGTCGCCGGCGAGCGGCGCCGTGTTGGTGTAGTCAACTTTTTCGGGGCCCACATTGGGGTTGAACTTTGACCGGAAGGGAGCCGGCTCCTTGATCTCCATGTGAGCTGACGCAAGCTGGCCACCAGCGAGAAGAGTGGCCAGGGTGGCCGCGGTGAACCCTTTAGAGAACATCTTGTCGGTTTGTTGTGGATTTTTGTGATTGGCGAATCGCGCTCAGAGTGCCGGTTTGGCGAGTTTTGGTTTGCTTGGTTTTGAAGGAGCGAAGTTGTCGCGAAATGGACCGGAGGGATTCGGTCTTTTTCAAGCTGAGCACTGCTCGATGAGTCGATGAAGGACTGAATGGGCTTTGTTTTGTGAATGGAAAAGGCGATTGTCGCTATTGTCCGTCCGTGACTTGTTTGCTTTGTTCTGTGTAGCGAACAATAACTCTTGTCGCAATGTCGAAGCACCGGGCTCTAATTGGGAAAAGACTGTTCCGAGGGACCGGATGGAAGTTGGAACAAGGTGAAGCAAAAAAGAAGAACAATGTAGCCCTGGGCTGACTCTGGATTGAAGGAAAGACAGAGGCGCGATGCCGTGGTGAGAGAAGAACAGAATAAAACGACGGAGCACAAAGGGGGGGCGCCACTCTTTATGTTTCTGCTTTAGCCGTTCATCCCTTAACGATTGGATGTGAGCCGGGAAGCGATCGCTTGTTTCGACAGCGGCTGGGTGGGTCTGGGTTTCTTCGTCCCAAGCGTCCCATAGCTGTTGTGGGTAAGCCAACTGGTAGGGAGGGGGGCAAAGCCGCAAAAAGGAGGGATGACTTTGACAGGGGATAGAGCCGTGAAAGGGAGGGCTCCTGGCCCACAGCCCGCCAGCTGGCCAGGCACATGGGTTCTCCGGAGGCGCCCAGAGCATTGACGTTCACCTGTTCGCAGGCACGGCAGGGTTCGTGCTCTCGGTGTTCCTGGCTGCATTGCCTGATTGTCAAGATCCCCCCGCCATGGCCCCCTCACTGAAGGTTCTTCGACCTCTAATCCTCCACTGTGGCAAGTCAAACAGGATGGTGTAATTGCAGTATCTTGTTAAAACTGAAAGTTTGATTGCAAATGAATGCACAGCCAGCTATCTTAGACAGGGGATTTCTGCTAGAGGCATAGTGAGATACCAATCTCCCTAAAATTCCTATGTTCCATCTGACATTTGTGCTCTTGGACGAGGAGCGGTGATCGGTGAGACAAAGAAAACGCTGGCGTGACATGCAATGGCTTGCCAGTCACTGCATCTCGCTGGCAGTCGGCACTTTTAGGTGGGGCAGCTGTCAGGTCCCTTGCTGGGGCTTGGCTTTCCGTGGCCTCTTTCCTGCAAGTGCCTCCGATCCGTTTTTTCCCATCGATGGGCAAATCACAGATCGAAAGAACGCACGTCAGAGACTTCAAGGTGGAATCGCCGAAAAGGGAAAGCAACCCTGAGCAGAGAACAGAGGGAAAAAGTCAAGGGGCGGCTGCCCGATCGCTTTCATGCCAGGGGTGCAGAAACCATGGACCAATGATATGCCTCCGGTTCCTGGCAAACGGGAAAGGCCTGACCAGGGTTGATTGGCCCAGCACGCAAGGAGCTCTTGCGTGGTTAGGGACAGATCCTGGGGAACCCAGTCGCAGCCGCCCGACTGGTTGACAGCATGAACTTGAAACACCGCCCCCTTTTGCTTGCGCATTGGGCATCTCCACCTGCGCCCAGCCTAACGTTAGCCCAGAATGGACCCTCAGCGGCAGGCCCGATGTGCCACCTGCTGGATCCTGGAAGGGCCGTTCCAATGGCCGCTTTCCATGCACTCAAGCATTCGATATTCAATATGGACTTCCATCCGGCCAAGCCCAGCCAAAGAAACAAACCAGGTCAGTGGCGATCCTAGTGTTTGCTCGATTCGCAGACTGCACATGGCCCCTGCCTGCCGCGGCTCCGAATGGGAGTACAGTAGCGGCCTTTTTGCGCGGCTGTCAACCTCGGACCGGACCACTGACCAGGTTCGGCATTCAACGTTACGTAGTGATGGATTTCGAGAGGTTGCCTTCAAAAGTTCCTGTCACAGGCTGGGCCGTCTTGTGCCATCCAGTCGCTTCACGATATGACGCTCTGATGAATGTCCGAGAAACCCATTCCCCAGGTTCATACTCTCCCGAACAGGCCAGTAAAGTAATTACCTAGTACAAGCCGCTCGCGATGGTCATTCGATTCGGCATCCCACAGGACAACACCACTGTGAATTCGCCTGATTGTGAGCCCACTTGACTAATAACTGTGCTGCACAGCTGGCTTGGAGAAACTGATGAGAGCTTGAGCCAATTGCGGCAAAAATCAAGAGTGATATTTTTTTTCTAATCCTGCGGTCTCTGCAACCCGCAGCACCATTTGCCAAAATAGTCAAGACAGGGCAAGTCGCACATTGTTCCTCACCGGGTTTATCCGACCCATAAAAAGCCCTGACCTCCGATTTGCCGGTGCTCTCCCGTTGCGAGCAATGTCTGCCATCTGAATGCTAAACTTATGTATCTTACACCTCTTATAATTATCATTACACCTCCATCGCTGTCCGGCATCAGCCCAGGCTGAACAAGCGGAATCAGGAAGAGCGCCTTGCCTGGGCGTCCGCCATGTTGTTGGCAAAGCTGACTGGGGCCCATGACGACGCCTCCAACAGCGAAGTCATACGTGATTCCTACTTGTAGCAGTTGGGCCGATTCGTTCGGATATTGGAACTAACCAAAGCAGAACAAAAACAGGGCATGAAGGAAGGATTAGAACAAGGCGAAATGAAGGAAAAAGCAAAATAAGAACCTTTTACTCTGGATCCTGAATCCGTAGGACACGTGTGTGTCGTTCTGACCTGAAATCCTCTGTACATACATACATGCAGCATTCTGTCCAGGACTCCAGGTGGTTAGCCAACCCCAGGCCCCCTTTACATCGGACGGTTACCTCTGCGAGGCGCATGCCACTTTCTGGCCCCTGCGTGCCCAACGTGGAAGCATGGCGAGTGAGGCGTTGCTTCAGTGGCCTCAGCCCCCATCAGCTACACCCAAAATCAGGCCGGATGGGTCTTGTGCTGAATTCGGAGATACATACCCCAGATACCCTAATAAACCAGACCACAAGTCCGTGAAGGAGCGAGTATCATGCCGCGCTGCCAGCTGCCAGCTGCCAGCCTTGCCGGCGGTTGTTAAGACCAACGGGCTCGGCATCACGACGTCAGGCACACAAGGTGCTAGTAACAATTACATCTTGGGTGGCACGATCCAGGAGAGATCCTTTGGTGCCTTGCATACGCATCTTCTCCTACCAACGGGCCAACATACTACCACTTGGGCTATATCCGGTGCAGATCCTTCTCCGAGCAGTCTAGCGTACAATACACTAACATTTCTATGCTTTGCCCACGGTGATTTTGTTGTCCGGCGGGCAAGTCTTCAACCCTTCGTCCTGTCGGCCCTTCTGGGCCTCGGCGGGCACCCCTTGATCCCGTCCAGACCGAGGTGAAGCCGCCGCCTTCACCTCATCCCGGAGGAATCGCCACAACCAGCCAACCCCTGATGGTCTCCATCCCCCGCGAACAATGAGCATTCCGCAACCCAGCCGAGATGTGAAGCGGCCGCAAGTAGATTTATCTTCAGTACCTCGAGTACTAACTAGACGTCTCACCGACCGCACGCCACCCGCCAAGTTCACGAAGTTTGCGCCGGTGGATAAGGTATGTTCTTCAAAAATCTACCGTTGGGAAGTCCAAACTCCACTGCCAGGCTACGCATAACACTCCTGTACCGATGCTGTACCCTAATGCATTGAATGCGGCTTTGCCACCACCGTGGACGTGGATTCAGATACGTAAACGCGCAACGTTGCCTCCGCCAAAGGTTCACAACAAAGAGAGCAACAGCTCATTTAAAAATCCACAGTAAGGCCGAGCATGAGCAGATCTCTGTCGCAGACCATCATACGTACAAAGTCTCTAGGCATGTGTAAGGGAATTTTGTTAGGCAGCTACTGTAGCGTAGGCGAAGGAGGAATATGCCGTCATTGGCCAATCGGCACGTTCATGTAACACAGCCACCGACAACTTGCCATCTCATTTCCTCTCCAGGACTCATCTTCATGCCTCGGATGGAAAAACTGAAACTGAAACCCAGAAGGATATACATACATACACGACGACAAGACACGACAACAGCTCTGCCCGTGCTTCGGGTATCCAATCCATATGTATGCGTGTGGCGGTCAGGAGACAAAAAAGGAAGGAAACAAAAACACCAAACAGGAACGGACAGGGACAGAGTAGAGTAGTACACTATAGATAGCAGCTTGGAACGACTTAGGAGGATCTATGCTGCATTTCGGTAGCACATCAGAGCCAAGACCTTCTCGCCGAGCAGAGCCCTAACATTCTGCAACTTCAAGCTCCAAACCGCCCTCTAGCCCACCCAGAGAGGCCCACAATGGGAGGCGCGAGGGTAGGGCATATGGGCGTTTTTTCTTCCGCTGTCTGTCTGCCTGTCTGCCTGTCTGCCTATTTGTCTGTCTGTCCGTCTGCAATGCTGCCAAGCTGCTGCTCGTGTAAATACATCTTCGCAATACCATGGCATGGCGTCCATGATCCATGCCATGGGATATGTGGCATGGCACGGGGGACCTATTTCGATGCTTTGGTTGCCTTTGTCCCCCCCCCCCCCCCCCGCTCACTCGCCGACTTATACTCAACCTCGACCTCGAGCTGCCCCCCCCTTACACCCAACTTGCTACCCGCAACTCCGACCACACACTCCGATAACCTCTGTCCATCCCTTCAAACTCAACACTCCCCGTGTATGCCCGCGCCGCCTTCAGTTGACCAGAGCTTCCAGGGCTCCCACCTCTCCGAGGAAAGGCTGTCATATCGGAATCGGCGTGAGAAGCACCCAACACACAGCACAGACGATGCTTGCTTCCCACTCCTGAACGCTATCGACACAGCTCCCGTCTGTCCGAGTGGACGATAGAATGCGGGTAGCCGTGAGCGTAATAACAAAAAAAAGCCATGCCATGTTGGTAAAAGAGCAAAGCTAGTCATGATGGATCTTCCCTCCCTCCCTCCCACCCCGCCTACATATGACAGCCGTGGTGAAACACTGCGCCTCGGACCAGGTCTTTTCGTTTAGTTTTCTTCGCAGAAAGGAGCTCATTTTCTTTGTCGACAGAACAAACGGGGGAGCCCGGCATGGGTCGTTGTCAAGCTTGGAAAAGCGGGCTGTCAACAGACTTGGCTCACTACGCAGACGTCATATATGGTCGAGTCCACAGTAATGTGTGTGTTCACTAGGGCCGCTGACCCGAGAATTTGGCATGGGCTTGCTGTGGTGCATATGCCGGCTGCTGATAGCCCATTCCGGGACTCATTGCGTACACTGCCTGTTGTCCTTGGTGTGAGCCCTGATGTGAGCCTTGGTGCACCATCATCGGCGCCGCCGCCCGGCCAGGGCTAGGGAATCCGTTGGAGCCAGCCATCGGCTGCGGTCCAGGAACAGCGCCGGCGGGTATGAATTGTGGGTGGGCGCCGGGATACATCGGTCCCGCCGCAACCATTCCATTGGGGCCGGAAATAAACTGTGGTTGAACCATCATCGGCGCGGCCATGTGGTGGGGTTGTTGAGGTATGTATTGTGGGTTGTTCGAGAAGCTACGGAACTGGCCCATCTGAGTAGGATTCACGTACGGCTGCATGACTGGTTGGCCGTACGGCATTTGCGCAGGGGCGTTCATAGCTGGCGGATAAGCCATTGGCACCTGTGCCATCCTTGGGGACGCGAATGACTGTGCCGAGCTGGAGTGCATCATCCTATGATCGTCCGGGTTGGTGAATGGCACATGCGGAGCGTGCCCGTGCTGGCCCGTGTGCATCTGCATCGGAGGCATATGGGGTGATTGCCTAGGTGGCAGGTTCTGTGCACCGTGCTGCAAGTGGAAGGGAAGCTGGTGCTGATGCGCGATTTGTGGCATAACGTGGGTCGGGTTGGGAGTGGCGACTGCGGCGGCCGAGAGTGGCAGCCTCTCGAAGTACTCCTTGTAAGTCAAGTGCATGGTCGAGTCCGGCGCCTCTGTTTCTTCCTGGAGCTGTCGCCACGTGGGCAGCGTGTCGAAGGAGGGTCTGAGCCCGTCATTTTCATCCCAGTGTCGGTTCTGCGGTGGCTGTATGCTCTCGATGTGCGACAAGATGAAGCATTTCTTGATATCCACCTTCATTGTCTTGCGTCGGATCAGCTGTCCCTTGGCAGGGGGAGGGGGGATAGGCGTCTCGACGATGTTGTTGACGGATGAGCGGGGGCTGGAACCTTGACTCGGAATGGCGGGGTTGAACGGCTGAGCAAATGCATTGGGCCTGAACTCATGGCTGTTGGGGTTCAACTTTGGGGCCAAATACGGGGGCGGAACACCGCTGATACGGCGTCCAAAGCTTGGATCAGCAGTGTTGGCAGGGCCAGTAGGCGGGAGTCGCATATCAGGTGCTCCGTGGGGGGCCAAATGGCTTTGCTGCAGCTTTTGAAGCCGCTGGGCCAAATTTCCTGTCTGCTGGTTCTGGGGGGCCATATGGGGTTGAGGGCGGTTATTTCTATTATATTGCTGATAGTGCGGTGGGTTGTATGATGAACGATTTCCGGGGTGACGACCGGGCATTCCCGCCGGCGCGCCTGAATGTTGCGGCGCCGTTGGGCGGGAGCCGGCGCGGGCATCGGCTGTTCCCGCCGCCGCCGAGGCGCCCGATTGTTCGGCAGCTGCCTTGGCCTGGCTCTCCTTCGCCGCTGCAGCTTCCTTTTCCTTGGCCGCCGCCTCGGCGGCCGCCCTCTGCCTGGCCATCTCCTCGGCGTTCTGGAGCGCTTTCTCCTGGATCTGCTTCTGTTTGATAGGATCCTTGGCTATGATGGAAATCAGATCCTTGGGAACGGGTGTGGAGAGCTTGAAGGTTTCGGCAAACTTCTTCAGTTCGGTCATCTTGACTTCCTTGTCGGCCTTGGCTTTGGTCGTCTTCGTTCTTTCAGCCAGCGTTCTCTGAGTCGAAGCAAATGACTTGAACGAGACTAGCACGTCCCGTTCGACCGTAAGGGCTGCGCTAGGGGGGGCACCCGTCTTGACATGCGAAACAACGCGGGCTGTGGCTGCCGGTGGCCGCGGAGGTTGAGCCACATCCTTGTGCGCAGCATCCTTGGGTGCCGCATCTTTGTTATCGCCGTTCTTTGCGTTCGAGGAGGTATCCACTTTGCCATCAGCGGCTTGAGGCTCGGTTGCCTTGGGGTTCACTTTGGGCTCTGCTTGCTTGTCTATAACTGGCGTGCTTGGTTTGTCCGCTGTACCGACGTTCTTTGCTTCCGCTGCATTTGGCGACAATTGCTTCGCAGGTGGGGCACCCTTCAACTGGGATGAGATGATAGCAGGATCGACAGGGGCACCTTTGACAGTGGCCTGGCCCGTAGGAGCACGCCGAGCCGGGGGTGTATACTTGTTTTCACGACTCGTCAGAGGTGGGAAATCCTGGCGACGCACACCACTGTATCTAGGAGACGGTTAGTTCAATACTCAAAAGCCCGAAAGAAGGCTACCTACTTGTCTTCCTCATCCCTGTGATCATCCCCACCAACAAAATCCATAACACGCTCCTCAGCGACATGGGCTGTGGTAGCGACGCTTCGCTCGATTTCGCGGGCTTTCTTCTCCGCAGCTGCCAGGCGTTCCTTATACAGAGGATGGCTTTTGTCAATCGCCGTTGTGTATATGTTTTCGTCGTAGTCTGTTTTCAAACCAAAGAGACGCTCGTTCTCGGCAAACTGGTCCCAAGGGCCAGCGCTGGGGGACTTTTCCAGGGCGCCATCAACCTCGAAGCCCGCGTCGGGAACCCATGCTTTCAAAGCCCGCTCTGTACCAGGCCGCGAACTGGAAATTGCAGTATCGGTCCGGAAAGAGGACCGGTTGCCTAGGATAAACACGTCAATCTTCGTGAGCCTAATGACGATAAGGCTAGGCATATGAATATATACCGTTTGTGGTCCTTCCGTCATTCTTAGCAGTGTTACCAGAGACCACGCGAGCATCCGCGATATCTTTCCGTTGGAATGTCATGGCGGGCTGCTCTCTTCTAGCAGGGCCGTTGGCGATGTCGGCAGAGTTCGCAAGCTTCTTCTGCTGCACCATGGTGAGGCGGCAACTAGTCGGCTCGGGGCCGTTTGAAAAGGTGCCCTCGAATTCGTCACCAGAGGTGAGAATAATGCGCACCCGCTGGCCCTGTGTTGACATTGATGAGCTGGAGTTCGATATTGGAAGCAATGGAATACTGGGCAGGCATTGACGCCAGCCGAAGGGACGAGAGAACTGTGACTGGTTTCCCAAACTTTTTGCCCACCCTGACGGCAGGGAATTGGGCAGACAGGGAAACGCAACTGAATAACAAGGACCGGAAACTGACCTCGCGGAGGGAACTAATCACGGATTGCGACTGCTTGTTCTGTGGAATTTGCGGCCGACCGGTGATGGGATTTCTGTTTGAGGTCCACGCCTTCTGCTGCACCGGAGGCTGTCTGTGCGCGCCGTCAGTCGATGTTCAGATGTCGGTTTCCGCGACCCCGTCGCTGCAGGTGGGAAAGGAACGGTGCGGCATCAGACACAATGCAAGGAAGCTGCAGCAGAACAAAGCGAATGGAAAGAAAAAGCTACAAGGTTGGAAAATGACGGTCTTTGTCGGCGGGGAAGACGTTGCGCGAGGTTTGGGACAGGGCAAAAAAAGAGTTGGGGATACGGATGCATGGAAGGGTCTCGTGTGTCTCACCTCGCAGCGGCAGACTGGGGCGAAGCGGTTGCCTCTGCCGCTCTCCCTCGTGGTTCGCCGAGCTTGCTGCTATACAAGGGGCGGGAGGTAGGCGACTTGATGTCCGGCGACGCGGATTGTGATGGAGAAGAGGAAACGGCGGGTTTTGACGTTGTCGATCGGTCTTCCATAGTTCCTGTGCCCTCTGCGTGGGTGAGCACCGGTCGCAGTGGAAACTTTGGGAAAGAGGGTGCGGGCGGGAGATGTGCGGTAGCGGCAGAGGAGTTTGTACGAATTGGGCGAATCGGGTCTCTGATTGGTGCGACCTGAGTGAATGGCGGGGGCCCAATCGCTAGGTATTGTACTGTACTGTACAACCTTGGAAGACCTCCACGCCACAACTGTTTGGACTTTGGAGTTCTTGAACTTGGAGGGAAGCCTCCGTAGAGAAGCCTAATGTTAGTGTGTATATGTACAGATCAGTAAGCGTTGCTTCTTCTGTTGACACTGCTCTATCCCTTTCTATTCTATGCTTCGACAGAGAAAAAACAACGGAAGAAGAAAACTAACCAACGTTACGGTACTGTGGGAGAAATTTATCAGGATTGGGGAAATGGGGGAAAAAGTGAAAACAACAGTTCAATTGCTTTACAGACACTTAACAACCTACCGGTAAAGAGCTTGTTTTTACCTCTGCAACTCTGTTGCAAGTTGCCAACGGGGTAATGTATGTACGAGCTCCGTTGGTAGCTCAAAAGAAGGGTGCCACAGTGATACGGCCTCTAAGGAAGTGGACGGGGGCGCACAACAAGGGGCATCTGGCCTCTCTCTTGTACTTAAACTGTAAGATACTGGTACCGTTGTGTAGCCGTTCTTGCCAGCGCAGACCAGTCGTTTGTCGAATGGAAATATCAGGGTCAATAGCTTGGTGGGGTTGACTCTGTTCCAGCAAGGCTTCCTTGCGGACCCGGGTGTTTCGCAGCTCGGGGTGGGGAACGCAGGAAGCTGAGGCAGGCAGGGATCTTGAAGGTAAGGTAGGCCAGGTAAAAGTCAAGTTCAGGAGGTGTTCCACCAAAGGTACTATGTTGGTTAGAGGCAACAAGTCCAGCTGCGCGGGATAGGAATTATTAACCAGGTTGGAAGTCAGGGCGGGAGTAAGGCTAAACGAATTCCCAGCGGAGAATCCCACGGGAAACAACTTGACGAACCAGTCTGTATTCTGGAGACTGACTAGAAAGAAAGAGGTCTCACAACGTCCCAAATGTCAGATACCGCGAAGTTTTGCTAACAAACAACATGGCTTTGCAGACGAACTGTGCAACTCGAAACCCACTAGCACTAATTTAGCTCAACCAGTCTTGGCGCATGTCGATCATCCGAAGGCTTCACGTGACATCGACGTTGAACGCTTGTCCTAACGTAACGTCCTTTTTCCATCAATTTCAACCGAAAGCAAGATCCAAGTAGAAGTGGGTGATAAGGGGTAGGCCTAATCCAAATCAAAGACCGTTGAATCACGTTACTGTAGCATGTGCAGGCCCGTTGGTGAGCCAACTCTACTTCGGAGCGGTTCGAGCCATCATCAACAAAGGAAAATTCGAGGTCATGTTTCGGGAGCCCAAGCAAACGCAAGCCGCATCTTGCTTCGACTTTGGAGGCTAAAAGGTGCTTGCTCAGCGTTCCTTAAGCTATCCAGCATTTTTAAAAAGGATACCATTTACACCACACCCATCCTATCCCCAAGAATAGGAGCCTTTGGGAGTTTTGCAGGTAAGGGAATCAAGAGCATTGCAAAGCGACGCTGCACCGGCTGAACATCAACACTTCGTTTTGCTAGTAAGTGTGTAACTACAGTGTATAACTGCTAGGTAGAACTTTCAAGCCTGGAAGGTAGTCTGACGCTTCGGCTAACCTCACTGTCAGAAGCTGGATGGTTGCGTTTAAGGGCAGGTTGTAGGTACCCCGGCTGTGATGTTCAGCCGCCTCAGAGCTGCAGACACATAAGACCTGCAAGTTGGAAAGTGCCATAGCTCTCCAATACTCAGATCGCAGTCTTGCAGCAGATGCAGGGGCGAGCTTGTGCAATCCGAACCAGGTACTCCAGAGTTCCAATACTTTTCCCAGACCAGGACAAGCGATTCTTCTAGGTCAGATACCTTACCGAGGCCGAAGGTGACGACCCTTGATGGAGGCTTCGGGAGATCGACGGCGCTTGCGATGCGTAGGCGCGTAAGGTAAGGTAGGCCCCACATTCTCTCGTTTAGTCCCCTTGATGTAGCCTGGGGAGGCGCAGCATGTTGGATGGACTGCCAGGACCTCAGGTGTCCAGTAAGGCAATGTCCTGCCATTCACCGAGACTCGAGCTACAGGTAGTGTACACATCGATCACTTACAGCCACACCAGAGCCCAACTTGGTGCACTACATTCCATGGGCTCAATGTGCAGCGAGTCGATCAAGGAGGAGGACTGCGGCTTCCCGGGCAGACTTCAAAGACATGCCCTGTGTCCTTAGGGATGCGGGATGAAGGTACCTTAGTGCCCTGGTGCTCTTTCTTACATACGGCAGGCACCGGGCTCTTCTGGAGCGAACAGGATACCTTAGGTGGACAGCACCTCAGGCCAAGCAAAACTGCCCGCGGCGTGTGGGATTTGACCTGATCACTGCAGACATACGCAGACGGTTCATGACGGATACTGCATGTTGGTTGTGAAAATACCCTGCGTTATGAGTAAGTTGCGGGTACAGTGTTGCCCCTCGACGGGAACGAAGAGCCGAGTTAATGTATGCATGTGCATACACATACGCAGCCACGTTTTGGACATGTCGCCGGCCATTTTGGTGAGGCCCAGAGATCTTGTCTACATCTCTGGTTCGAACTCCTCTAGCATCCGTCAGGCTCGGCTGCCGGCAGTCCCTGCTCCCCGTCTCCTTACTGGTTCCAGGTTGCTCTTTGCGTCTCTCAGAGCAGCGTTTACACATTCCTCCGGCAACAGTATCACCATCGTGTCCCATCCCAACCGAGTGGCGGGATGTTAGAATTAGGTGCTTTGTACCACCAAGGCGGCTCGGGGCCGAGCGAGAGGAATTTGAATTGATCTGTTGCTCTCTAGATCTAGGTGCCTTCTGAGTGCGTGGGCAATGAAACTCTGCCGGGGAGGAGGAGGAGAAGAGGGGGGGGTTGGGGGGGGGGGGTTATACTGCCACGAAGCAGGTGATGGGTGGACTTGCTCCGTTTCTGCGTATTCGGAGGACAGCAAGAGCGAGACACTTCCTGTATCGAACATGTTGTGTGATACCTTAAGACTTGCTCAACGGCAGTTACTAACGTAAGCTGGCACCTGCAATTTCCATTCAGGTACGGAGTACCGGTACCCGGTGCACAGAAGGTGAGGTGAATAGAATATGACCTGCGCACTTCCTTTTATGTACTCATTCGAGGAGTGGCGTAGAACCCATTGAACGACGTCTCTTTTCCCACAATGGCACATTGTTGGAGGCTTGGACTATGAGGCTGATGAGCGTCGCTGTCCCGAAACAGCTTTCTAGCCCATCACGGTACTTACTCTCTTGCTGGAACGATATATGTACTGTACAAACACTTCCATTTCCTAACTCCTGCAGAAAGAGACACCCTCGCCAGCAGCACCTAAATGCTGAGATACGCCCTCTTGGTTTGCAGCGGCTTACACGATTTGGGGCTGTGGGTGCGCATCTGCGCTGTACATGTCAAAGTGCTGTACATGTCAAGGAGACGGCCCGATGCGATGGTAGAGGACACCAGCCGAGGCAATATTATTAGGCACGAGCGGTGAGGAGCGGATCTTGGATAATGCCCAGTCAGCGACCCAGCGCCGACAGGAAACGAGAAATTGGACATGAGTCGGTTGGCAAAGTGTCCCCTTGTCGTTCTCCCCGGATCCCTTCTAAGCCCTTACCTGAATCAACCTCTTCCTCTGCGATCAAAACACACCCCTGAACCTCCTATCCCCTCTTCCTCAGGATCCCAGGACCCCCCTGAATCTTCTACCCATATTTCCTGAACCTAATTTGCATCCCAAGGCCGCTGACTGGGATGGGGTAATTGTCTTGGATCAGTATCTCCGGACTTTGAGTGAACGATTGACAAGTCAATCTATCGGAGGAGGAGTTGTGGAACATGGTGAGCACCGAGAAAGGTAACACAGCCGCCAATATTCTCTAGATGTCGATAAGGGGTTTGCCTAGGCCCCGAGCTGGCGATCTTCAACGGTAGAGAGCTGCTGGAGGTAGAATTCCTCGCCTGCGCCGTTCGAGCTGTAGGTATTCATGTAGACAGAAGGGCTTGTATGTCAAGAGGAATGGTTTCCTGGAACAGATCGCGTCACGTCTAGAATGAAACTCGTCCGCAGGCCGAGCTCGCAATTAGCGACCTTTTCGGTCAATTATTTAAGCATTACTCTAGACTAACTGAGGTTTTTACCACTGCCCTATGCCGTTCATAAGCCAGACACGCATGGCGCTCACCCGCTTGCTCGGATTAAGATTCCACCTCAATCTGGTCCAATACGTTCCCCTAATCCCTTGATTGCTCGATATCTGCCGCCACTTGCCGGCGATTGCTCCGCCAGCTCCTTTCCCACATGGACGTTTCTCAAAGTCCCAGTCCGGCAGCGACAGCCAGGCCCAGTACGGCAAGACCAAACTGTGAGCGGGCAGCAGCGTTCGTCGGGGTGGGTGTCGAAGCCGCGGGGGTTGTCGACGGCGGTACCACAGTGTTGAGCGTGGAAGACGTCAGGCCGGATGACTTGGATGGTGACACCGTGGTGACGGTGGTGCTGTTGGAATATGTCAAGATGCTGCTGCTGGCGTAGCCCGTCTGGGACAGGGTCGTGTTGGACTTGGCAGAGCTGGTCGGGACGAGGGCCGTCGTTTGGGGGGCCGTCTGTACTGACGTGGATCCCGTAACAGAGTAGACGCTAGAGGAGTCCGAGTGGCCGTCGTGGGCAGCCGCAAGGCCCACGAGGACAGACAAAACGAGAGAAGCCTTGAGCTGCATCTTGCAACGAGCGGATTGCTTTGAGAGGGATCTATGGCGGCTGATTGGTCTGATCACAAGTGATGGACGTGAGTTTCTAACGATGTGAAGTGACAAAGGGACATTACACGGCGACCTGCCCGTTCTTTAAATACCCACGAACTCTCTCATTGACAAACGGACACTGGCCATCTCGGAGACAGGTGGCCGGGTAAGAGAAACACTACGGAAACAGCGCCGCCACAGCGGAGAATCGGGGCTTTCGAGATTGCAGGAAACACAGCATATTTTCGGCGGGAGCCAGGAGGCCGCGTCGTGTCCAGCCCCAATGGGCAATGAGACATACATGTGGCGGTCGACGATCCCAACGCCTCTCCGGAGCTAGTGGGACGCTGGGACGAGGCGATTGGATGACAGGCCGGGAGGTGGAGGAAGTGGCAGGGACCGATGGGAGCAAGCAGAGGGCCTGCAGCGGTTGCAGCCCAGCAGTTCACTGCGATGCTCAGCCTGGCCCGGCCGTCAAGCCACAGTGCCTACGAATTTGTGCGACCAGCTTGAGTACTCAGCGTTCGAGGCATCGTGAACATTTGCTGGGCAAGCCAAAGACATACGTCAACTAACGTCTGGCTGGGCTTGAGACTCTGGGTTGATAAATGGAATGGCAAGCAGGGTGATGAAGCCAGCGCTATACCGGTACCTTAGGCACCGTTCCGGTAGGCCTTTTTCCAGAATCATCGCTATGACGTGGCGCTGGAGTTTTTCTCTAGTGGATACGAGCGGATATTTTGTTTCGAAACTGCACCTGACGTTTGTTTGGGTATATGGCCAAAATGGGAAGGCTGCTAGGAGGTCGTTGTGTTTCTATGTATCTGTACAGTAAATGGACACATTATCATCAAAACTCAGTCAAATACAGAGTTGACCAAGGACTCAATCTTGCCAAATTCGAAACTTCTAGGTACGCTGCATTGAACTGAAAATACCATTACCCTCCTTCCAAGAACCGGGAACGGTAGTTGCAACTTTGTAGAGCTCGATAACCGATCTCTTGATACCTAATAGGACGACGGCGAGTTGAGGTTCCCTATTATTCTGTAGCCCCAGCCCTGCGGTGATGATGCGTAACGTTATCCCTGTCAATTTTCGGTAAGGCGCGGCCTGTCTTCAGCGCTGAAGAAGGTCCAGTGGAGACTGGTGTGCTTGGCAGCCCGACCCGAAGTTCGAACCTCCGCACATGGCCAGCGACTACTCCTCCAGAATCAAGCGCCAGATTTCATCGCATGCTTGTTCCAGCATACTCTTAGCTGTAGCGACGCAGCTCGAAAGTTTGGACACGGAGAGACAACCTGACGGGATTCGACCGGGCTACCGTCGGCGAACCGCGTCATTTCGCGCCCAACCTCCGAAATAATTCCTCTCGAGCGTTTGCCGCGATCCGACTCCTCGCACATTTTGATCTGATTGGGCAAACGAAAAGAAAAAACAGCGACCGAGCACGGGGTGGGAGGAGAGAACAAGATGAATCTATCACGAAGCTCGCAGCGACGGTCGCCCGGCGCTGAACCGGGGCCGCCGCCAAGTGTCCCTCCGCGCTCCATGTCACCCGCCATGGGCGTAGGCACGAACCGCCCCGTTGCGCCTCGTCCATCATCATCACGACAGATCCAGCCGACCCCTCCGAGTGCGAGCGGTAGCAGGAATGATTCCACAAGACGGGCTAACGTAAGTGCCCGAGTTTCCGGTTTCTCTTTTTCCCCCCTTATTTTTCCATCTCTCTCTGCATTGTTGGTGCAGATCCCGATTCGACCGCCGGCTTCATGCATCACCAAAACTCATGCAGGTTTCATGACCTTGTGGCTCGCCCGCCACATCGCACCACTCTATTCTGCCCAGCCGCATCCTGCTTCTAGCGCCCTGTGCTTCCCCCTCTTGCTCTTCGCTGTCCGCAGTTCGCCTACTGTTGTATCGCTGACAATGGCACCGAAAAAGTCTTCAGGAAATTCGTCGGGTACTTCCTCAGTTCCCCTGTCCCAGATCGAGAAGAGTGTAACACATCTCCTTGTCGCCACAAAACAGCTGCTGGAGACCCTTACACAATGGTCGCGAGGGAACGCCACCGACACGCAGGTGTCCGATGTATATGTCCGCCTGGGCTACGAATTCAACATGGCCTGCCGCGCCTTCACCGCCATCAATGTCGACACATCAGACCTGGGCAATGTACCAGAACTGCTGCGGACCATTTTGGAGGCCACTTTGAGCCAGGAAGCGAGCGCTGAGAGTTTGGAGAAATATCTGCCCAAGATCCGGGATATCATCATCAACCTACTCCATGGGCTCAAGCGGAAGCAAACGAGGCTGAGACAGAAGCAACAGCGCGAGAGGGAGATTGCTCCTTCAGGCGATCAGAGCGGCTCCGGTGGCGCTGCCGCCGCGAGCAACCCTTCTATACCAGCGCGCACCACCAGCTCGAGTACAACGGGTAGCGCCAACACGGGACTTACAACTCTGTTGAACGAGGGTCTGGAGGAAGGATATGGGCAAAGAGAAGATGGGCGCAGCAATGCGATGGGCTCTCCTCGGCGCTATGCTTCTCAACGGGACCCTTCTCGCGGCTCGGTTAACTCGGAGCAGTCGAGTCTCTCTAGCAACACCATGCAGAATATTCCCGTTCTCCCACCCTACCCCGGTGATGAGACAATCCCATCCGGGCCTTCGGCAAGCGACTTGAGTAGCTTAGACAATTTTCCTCCTCCGCCGCCGCCGCCCAAGGCATCGCAGCAAAGCGCGCTGGCGGCTTTGCAGAGAGGTGGTGACCTGGAAAGGAGGGCGTCTCGGAGATACTCGGCTTACCAAATCCAGAAGCACCTTGGTGCTCAGGCACCAGGGATCCCAATGCTCCCACCCCAGACTACCCCGGTGCCCAACCGCGGACGGGGGGAGATCAGGGAGTCGATGCGTGCGATGCAGGCCCGGGACAATCTTGGCCACAAGCGCAATGTCTCCAGCCGGTCACGGGCCGTTGCCCTTGATTCTTCTCCCGTCCGTGTCCCCAGCCGGGTCTCGGAGGAGCCAGAAGGCTCTGCCGAGCTGTCGGCCTCGAAGGCAGAACTGCCCGTGCCTGAATCGCCCGAGGACAAGTACCGGCCAAGCGCCACTTTGAATGGGCCACTGAGCGACGATCTGACGCTCATCGGTGCCGAAGATGCAGCCCAGGAGAAGCGCACAGTGCCAACTCCAGCGCGAGTCCCGCCAGCAGCCAGAGCCCAAACTCCAGAGAAGCCACCGAGCACTGTGACAGAGACGTCGCCCGCCTCGACGAAGGAGCTCACTCTATTCCTGCAGTACAAGTCCAAGGTTAAGAAATTCGTGCTCCCCGAAGGATACGAAGAGTTATCAATTGGGCGCTTGCAACTAGCTTTTATCGAGAAGTTCTCGTGGAACACGCAGCAAAACGGCGCCGACTTGCCAGACATTTATATCCAGGACCCTATCTCAGGCGTGCGGCACGAGCTGGAAGATCTCTCGGACATCAAAGACCGCACCGTTCTCGTGCTCAATGTGGAACCACTGGATGAAGTCAAGAAGCACATTGACGATGGCCTCGGCTCGCTCAAGCAGCTGGTGCAGGAGATGAAGCAGAACGTCGATGACCAGGGGGTAGCTTTACAGAGGGTATCGGAGCGGCAGCAGGAGACGGCCAAAGACGTGGCGCGGTTGGCCGCCGCTCCACCTACCATCATGGCGGCGCCCGTTGACTCTCCAAAGCACACAGGGCCGGTTTCAGCATCGCGCAAACTTAGCTCGGCGCAACTCTCTGAGATACAGAGCCTTCGGCGCGACCTCGCTGTCCTCCGCCAGACCTACTCCAACTTTCAGTCCGAAATCCAAGGCTCCATGTCGGCCCTCCGCAACAAGGCTAACAACGTTAAAGTGGCGGCCGCCAAGGTGGCGGTGCCAGATATCGAGGGCGATACTGGCCGCGCATACGTAGTCAACGGACGCAAGCAGCTCAACACGGACAGCGACCGGCTCGTCAACAAGGTCGACGACCTGCAGGACCTCGTAGAGGACCTCCGCAAGGATGTCGTTCACCGCGGCGTGCGTCCCTTGCCGCGCCAGCTCGAGGCCGTCACCCGCGACATTAGTCTCCTCACCAAAGAGCTCAACAAAATGGAGGAGTACATGAAGCGCGAGAAGCCCATCTGGACCAAGATTTGGGAAAAGGAGCTGGAGGATGTCTGTCAGGGGCGGGACGAGCTGCGGCTGATGGAGGATCTGATTGTCGATTTACGAGACGACCTAGAGAAGGCCAGCGAGACATTTGCCCTTGTCGAGCAGGCCACCAAGGAACAGATGAAAGACGCTGGCGCGGGGGGCGGCGGCGGTGGGGGCCCTGGCGGAGTGGTGGGTAGGCAGTTCAGTAAAGGACTAAACAGCATACGGGAGAATGCGGCCATGATCGACCCGAGGGACGCCAAGGAGGGCGTGCTGGGCGAGGTCAGAGCGCTCCAGCCGAATCATGAGAACCGCCTCGAAGCGATTGAGCGAGCCGAAAAGCTACGCCAAAAGGAGCTGGAGAGCAGGCGGGAGAACCCGCTGAAGAAAGAGCTGGCTAATTTCGTTGAGGAGGGCAAGCTCAAGAAGTCTGGCGGTGTGGAGGAGGTGGAGCGGGCGAGGAAGGCCAAGGAGGAAAGGATTCGCAGGGAGGTGTGGGAGCGCCAGAACGGAATCATCCCCGAGAATCCTGTCGGGGAGGAGGCCGGTGAGGGAGAGCAGCCCAATGGCTCCGCCGAAGCGGTCGCGGGTGAAGGGTGATTATTGGCGAGGGTTGAATTGGTGACGCAGGGGCATGGACAAGGACAAGCACCAGGGAAAGGGGGTGCAGCATGATGCATTCTGTATGATGTGATGGGTTATGAGAGACGGGTAGGACGGGCGGTGTGGAGTGCGGTGGAGGGAACATATACCCCTTGTTTTGGCTGTTGGTTGGTCTAGTTGCGTGCAGTTGAAGGAATTGGTTTGCATTTTGCTCTTTAGCCTTGTGTCTTTTGCATCTTGTTGGTTAGCAATGGAGTTGGGTTGTTGATGTTGATGTGGGTGTATCAGTCTTCGATGCGACCCTTGCAAAGCTGGACATGAGATTGGGGGCCATCCGAGCAGCTGCGCCACGGTGTACACGTACTTATCACCTACGTATAGTCGTCCTAGCATTCGGGGAGCAATGTTCAGGATAGCACATCACGAGGTTTCCGTTTGCTTCCACTCTAAGCTGATGATGGATGCGGTCGGTGACAGTTATACAACTCCTATGTTTTGTCTCCACAGGGACAACTCCGCATGCCGCTCTCAGCCGTGCGGGGTTCAGGTCTTGCCGAGCTTCACGGGGCTCATTTGCCGAGGACCGCACGCCCCGCATCACACCCCTCTTGGGGCTACCCCTACGCGTAGGAGCAGCCGTCGAGTTCCCGGAGATGGTGGGTTGCAGTGTGCTCCGACTCAGCCTCCGAGGCGGGACGCTACAGCAAGGGCGGAGGAAGGGGCACGACTGTACAGTACACGGTATTCTCCCTGTATTAGTATTAGTGGGGGACCAGCATGTTCGGGGACAATCTACATGTATATTCAAGGGGCTCAATGTGTTTCTCCTGAACCGTATATCCAGCTCATACAGCTGGTACGAGTAGCTCTGTCTTGGACTCTGAACTGCTTGTTATACTGCTAGTACTCGTCCTGCAGCCGTTGTCACACTCGCAACCATGTCCCCTGAATTCGAAGCCCGCATCCAAAAGGCCGTTGACGATGGCGCCATCGCCGGCGCGGTCCTCCTCGCGCGAGACAAGTCTGGTACGGGGGCATCTCCCTCACTCACCCCTTTGAAGGAGTAGTACCAGTACTAACTCACCTCCCCTCCACCAGGCAAACTCAACTACACGCTCGCCCGCGGCGCCATCAACCCGGCCTCGCCGCTGACGCCATCATCCACCTTTGCCCTGGCCTCCATGACCAAGCTGCTGACCTGCATCGCCGCGCTGCAGCTGGTCGAGCGGGGGCTGATCACGCTCGACTCGGACGTGTCCCCTTACTTACCCGTGCTGGCCGCCCAGCCCATCCTGCGCGGGTTCGACGCCGGCGGCGCGCCCATCCTCACCCCACGCAAAAACCCCATCCTCCTCCGGCACCTGCTAACCCATTCCGCGGGGACGGCCTACCCGTTCTTGGCGCCTTCCCTCGTGCAGTGGTACAGCGCCGTGGGCAAGCCCATGCCGGTCCCGCTGACTCCCGGGTCGGCCAAGACGGTGGACGAGCGGTTCGACTACCCCCTGATCTTCGAACCGGGCACGTCGTGGACCTACGGCAGCGGCATCGACTGGGCGGGAAAGCTGATCGAGGTGCTGACGGGGCGGGACCTGGAGAGCTACCTGCAGAGCGAGGTGTTTGACAAGGTTGGGATTGCCCCGGGCGGGATCACCTTCTACCCGGCGCGGTATCCTGAGAAGTCGCTGGCGCGCATGGCGGGCATGGGGTCGCGCAACCAGAAAAGCGGTAGAATGGAATACGTGGAGCCCCAGATTGACACGCGCGAGGACAAGGAGGCGTTTGGCGGCGAGGGCGCGTACGCGTCGCTCGAGGAGTACATGAAGGTGTTGCACTCGATTCTGCTGGATGATGGCAGGATTTTGAGTTCTGAGGGGAGCAAGTGGTTGTTTGAAGGGCTGCTGGACCCGGAAGCGAAGCAGGCGCTGGTTGAGGGCATGAAGGACCCCGCGTGGATCGTCGGGTGGGTGCCGACCGATACCAACGGGGAGTACAACTGGAGCGCCGGCGGCTTGCTGGTGGATGGAGATAGTCATCCGTACCGGAAAAGGGGTTTCCTCCAGTGGTCAGGCGCCTTCAACTTGAGCTGGGTAAGCTTCCTCTTTTCTCCTGGGATGGTGTTTGTCGAGACGAGTGCGGTTGCTGACAGGCCACAGTTCGTTGACAGGGCAGCCGGCGTGTGCGGCATCTTCGGGACCCAGGTTCGGCCGCCGCCTGACCCACACGTGAGGCAGCTGATGAAGGCTTTTGAAGACGAGATCTACTCCAAGCTCTGAGCGTTGCAAGCTCGAAACCGGAAAAAGGAGAGGGAGAGTTTTGATCGCCACATGCATTGTAAACAACATAGAAAATCACTCTGGCCGATTAACATCCGGTATAGAGCTACAGGGAGTAGATACAGCACTACCTAAAGTATCAATGCCAACATCCATCCATCTAGTCGGCCATTCATGCATGCAATGGTATCGTACCTGAGGTTTGCCCCGAATTTGTCATCCACAAGCTAGAATCAACACTTTAAAAGCAAAACGAGAATCAGTATCGCCTCTCACCGCCTCTCTCGTACGGGTCCTGTGGCCTAAGCTGCCGCCCCAAGATGCTCGCCTCTCGCGGGTCCCGTCCCATATCTCTCGAATCCCTCGCCGCCATCTCCCTTTCCCACGCCTCCCTCATTTGCGCTTCTCTCATCGCCTCTTGCTGCCCCGCGGTGTACGTCTGCGGTGGAGGCGGCGGTCCACGGGGATCAAACCCGCTTACCGGCGTGTAACTCCTGACCGCGGCTCCAACAGGATCCCTCTGGTCTCTCCCCTGTACCGGGCCGGGCCCCGGTGTGTTCGCATACCTTACATACGGCGGCACAGATTGTGATGGCGGGACAGGCTCGGGGCGCCGGGCCTCTTGGGGAGGGCCAGGTCCATACCGAGAGGAGCCGCCGCCGCCGCCCAGGGAGCCATGGGATTGGTGGTGGATCATACCTGCTGTTGGACTCTGCGTCTCATGCACGTAGACGCTGCCACCTCGGGGTTCTCTCAGGCTGAGAGGGTGCGGCTGCTGGTTGGCTGAGGAAGCAGGCCAAGCGTGGTGCTGCTGGGGCGGAAGCGAGCTGCTAACTGGTGGTTTGGCTTGCATGCCATGTTGAGCTCCCCACGCCGACTGCGCGGGCACGGGCGGCTGCGCGGTTTTAGGGGGTGCTTGGTGAGATGGCGCCCACGAAGCCTGCTGCTGGTGTAGTAGCTGCTGCTGCTGCTGCTGCTGTTGTTGCTGCTGCTGCTGGGCCGCGGCTTGCTGCGGGGGAACAGGCCACGATTCACGGCTAGGACCAGCTGGTTCCCGTCTGCTGGACATGGACGAGTGGGGCGCGTATTGCTGAGTGGGAGAAGTAGAGTGCGGCTGACTAACCGGGTACGGCTGGTATTGCTGCTGAGCGGGGTATCCCATCTGAGCTTGTTGGCTTGGCTGTGTCGGAGGAACATGCTGCCCGGGCTGTGCGTAATGGTGAGCTTGATGTGCCTGGGGCGAATTTGCAGCACTTGCACTCGTCTGGTGTTGTGAATACGAGTGGCGGGCGTAGTAGTCGCGTTGTGCTTCTGTTGTTGCGGGGTCCATGCTCGACGTCACCGGGCCGCTCGGCGTACGCATGTGCTGAGGCTGCGGTGACTGAGTGTGGTATGGCTTGAGGGGTGGAATTGCCGACTGCGGCGCTTGAGAAGCGTTGCGAGCATAAGGGTACCCCGCCTCAATGTCCCTTCGAGATTGCGCCGGGGCCGAAGTCGGTGGCGGTTGTCGAATCGACACCTGGGGCGGTGGTGTCGAGCTTTGCTTCACAGCTGAAGACACACTGGCGACCCTCTTCGGGGGGTCTGGCTCAGCGTTCAGTAACGCCATGAGACTGCTTGTCTTGCGCTCCGCGGGACGAGATGGAGCCGGTGCTGGTGCAGGCTGTGGCTGGTTCTGAGGCTGAGGAGCAGATGGCGCGGAGACTGGGGCAGCGCCATATTGCTCCTGCACCGACACGGGCGTCGGCCGCTGCATACCCGACAGAGGCCTGTCGCTGGGGGCCGTTGCTGGAGGTGCAGTCTGTTGGATTGGCACAGAATCACCAAAGAGGCTACGCACAGGCTGTGTGTGGACAGGCGGCGCATATGATTGTTGTGTCGGAGGCATGGGGCGAGGCGCCTCAGGCTGTCTTACCAAAGGAGCTGGTTCAATGCGGGAGGAGATGGCACGCTGTGGTGCCTGGAATGACGGGTAAGACTCGGGGTGGTGCAACGCCTGCGGTTCGGGCTCCTGTTTCACCCGTAAAGGCGCCCGCTCGGTCGGCCTAAGGGGCTCGCGCTGCGTCAGATCGAGTCTCGGTCGCTCGCGGGCATCGCGACTTTCGCGACTTTCGCGAAGTTCCTTCTGGTGTGCAAGCAGGGAGATCTGGCGGTTAACGTCTGCCGTCCAGCCGGCTGGACGTGGCGCAGGTTCGGAAACAGGTGGCATAGGAGCAGCAACGGGAATGGGTTTTTGTGAGATGCGAACGGGCTGCTGAGCTTGCGCTGTCGGCTGCATTGTGGTAGGCTCCACTTCTCGCTCCGGATATGGGAAGGCGGGTGCCGGTGGTCGCAGAGGATGTGTGAGTGGTGACATCGCTTGCGTGACAGCTGGCCCGCTGGGCAGCGATTGCTGCTGGGCTGCGGCAGATGGTGCTAGCGGGGGTGTCATTGCAGTCTGGGCTGGTTGCACAAGCGGGTGCGATACTGGAGCGGCCTGGGCTATCGGCACCTGGAAGCGCGTAAAAGGTTGACCCTGTGGTGGCGGCTCGACTTTAGTCGGAGGCGCCTCATCGGGCTCGGCCGCGGCAAGGGGGCGTTGTCCCGGTGCCGGCACATCGTATCTCTTATTCCTCGGTCCTTGCGTCGGCGTCGGAGGCGGCGGCCGCTTTTCTCCCCGCTGGCGCTTGGCGTCAGCCTCGTTCGCAATCTGTTCCCACTCCGGTTTGCCCCCCTCCTTTGTCTGCCGAACATAGTAATTCTTGACCTGTGGTAGATGGTTAGTGGACTTGGGAGATATGAACTGCGGGACTCGTGGCGGCAGATGTAGGCCTACCATAGTAGCCGTCTTAGTTTGCATGTGGCCGGCAATCGAAGCCCAGTCGGTGCCGAAGGAGCGTAGCAAGCCCGGGAAGTCGGTAGTCTCTGATACGCTCCAGTAGCTCGACGCTTGCTGTGGCGTACGAATCCGCTCAGGCCCGGCCGACTGCGAAATCTCGAATGTAGCGACCGAGCCGGGGGGCGGTGGCGGTTCCGGTCGGAGGGAGGGCGGTGCCATGACCTCTGAGATGGTGGATGTGATGGGGGGCGCAGGTCTCTCGGGGTTTGCAAGCGGCGGTTGATGGATCGGTACCAAGGGTGGTTGTATGGCCCCAGGAGGGGCCTCAAATGGGATGGGAGGACGAGCCGCGAGGTCGGCAGGAGTTTGCGGCGACATCCACTCCGGGCCCTGAACTCTGGAGTTGGCTCGCGATCTGCCTGTCTTGCCGGGCACAGTACTAGGAGTTGTTGTGGGTGTCTGCGCCGGCTTGGGGCCCTTTGTCTCCTTATCCACTTTTCGCTTCCCCCGCCCTCCCTTCTTGACCTCTTGCTTCTCCGGGCCGCTTTCGTTCTTGGCCTCTGTCGTAGTCCCGGCTCTCCGCCGCCCGATAGTAGGAACTGGTGTCGCGCCGTCGGAATCCGCATTCGGCGTTGCCTCATAACCCCATATCGGCGCTGCGGCACGGCGTGGGGGACGCCGCCGCTCGCCGTTTTCGCCGTTATCCTGCGTCGCTTCTTCACCCTCGTTTTCAGTATTTCCCAGCTCTGATACCAAAGCACTGGAGCGTTGTTTCCCACGGCCCTTCTTGCGCCTTCTAGGCTGCTTCTTAAGCTTCTCCTTGAGATTGAGCTCCCGCTTCTTTGCATAGTAATACTGAATGCAAGCCCCGAAATCACGATCCGGCAGCTCCTTTGCAATTCTGCCCCATTGCTTGGGGAACTCCAGATAAGACTTCTCGAACTGGATAGCTTCCTCCTCAGTAAAGTTGACATGCCACGGCACCACTTGCCATGTAGCCACAAGCTTCTCGAGGGGAAGCAGTCCGGATGTCTCGTAAAAAGATGCTTGCTCCTTCTCCTCCTCTGTCCAGAACATCTCAGGGATCACGGCCTCCTTATCGCTGCGGTATTTCTCCTTCAGTGCTCTCTCTTCCCGCTCTTTCTTCTCTTGGTGTTCAAGCATTGACTGCTTGATAGCATAATCGAGGTCCAGTTCGGTCGAGAAGCGGCCAGCCGCTCTTCTACCCCCTTCAGGTTTGGAGTCGGAATTGGCCGCCTTGCCGCTGACCGCCGATTGCGTCCCACAGCTCGTAAAGTATTCGCGACTTTTGACGGCGGCTGGATCATCCGAGAGTGTGAAGCGCAAATACGCCTCGTAGTCCTTCTCGTATTCCCGTCGCAACTCCGCCTGCCCCTGCTCTGTGGCTGCTGTCTGCTCCAGAATTTGACCAAGCAGAAACTTCTCGAACGCCTCATCGTTGTGAACCAAACCACGAACCCGCCGGCTGCGATACCAGGGCTTGACATTGTATATTGGGAGCTCCTCAGGAGGTGGTGTGGCTGAATATTCCCTCACCACTTCAACACTGCCGTAGACGCTCGCGTCGTCCTCTGTTCTGTCTTCGCTCTCTTCGTCCGGGGAAGGGCTGCTTCTCCCGGTTTCCGGCTGGTCAAGCGTAGGTGGGAAGAATGCTGGACCGTCTCCGTTCACCAACCCATTGACCGAAGCCGATCGGTGCGAGGAGGCCGCGGCAGTTGGCTGTCCAGAGATATCATGCATGTCAACGTCCTCACCGAGTGGTTTCATATCCTCCAAGGGAGGCACGGGTGGCAGCCCCGAGCCTTCAGTGTCCATCTCCTCAACTTTAGGTTGGGGCTCTGGGGGGTAAGCCGAGCTGTCGTCACCGCCCTCCACAGTGGGGATCGCCGAAGGTTCGCGGGCTGTGGGAGGCACCTCGTGGCTCGGGCCGGCAGCATCGGCCATCTCGTCATCAGGTATCTCGGGTGCTGGCTTGGGAGGTGAAAAAACGAAGTCTTCAGGGATGGGCCCTATCAAGTCCGCCAGACCGACGCTATCGTTGAGCACGCTAAGCATGGCCTCGTGTAACACGGTCGCATATCGTCTCACGATGCGCATAGGAGCACTATCAATTGCGTCTTCCAGCTTCTTCAGCTCCGCCTCTTTCTTCGAAATTTCCTGCTCAAAGTAATCGTCAAAGTCCTCGTCATCATCCGACTCATAGGAGTGATCCGGGGCGGAGCTCGTGAATTCTCTGTCTGGCAACTGGATGCGGGAAGACGGGACCATAATAACGGTACGCTTCTTCTCGGCTGCTGCCGGCTCCGTGACTTTCTCGGGGTTTCCCGGAGCCTCAGCAACGGACTCGCCAACTTTCGACACGACTGGGCTGACCGATTGGCGAACAACGGGCTCCTCCTGATCACGCCGTGCTCGATCTGACGAATACACCCCTTCCATATGCATGCCGCCGTCATCAAAAAAAGGCCTAGTTTCGCGGTCAACCGATGCCGCCGCAGACTGCGTGCCCCTCTCGGATTTGGAGCCGATATCGTTAGGAACGGTGATGTGGAGTCCTCCATATCGCTCCGTACTCGCAGCATGCGAATCCGACTTTGCGTCGGGGCTCCGAGGGCGCTTCTCAAAGTCTCCATGGTACTCAGAGTGGGAAGATTCCGGGCGATAAAAGGGCCTTGGTTCCTGCGACATAAAGCTGAGTGACCGCCCGCTCTTGGGCGACTCCTGAGCCTTCTTCACAGCTATCGAAGGGTTTATCCACTGTTTGCTCGAGCGTTGCTGCTTCTGCTGTTGGGCTCGAGGCCCTATTGGAATGGCCGGACCGCCAGCCGGCAGGGAGGGCTTCGATGGGCCAGTGGGTGGTGGTCTCTCAGTTCCGATTCCGTGGCTGGCAGAGGCTGATCTATCCTCGGCAAGCGCTCTTGGTCCGGTTGGGGGAGGCTTGCCAGTGAGGGATTGTATCTCGGTGGACGACGGTTGGCGGCTTGGGACTGATCCAAAGGCGGGCGCTGATGGAGCGAGCGGAGGGGGAGATACATCTTTCGCTGAGGGAGGCTCGTGTGACACTCGATCAGGCTTCATGCGCATGGTGTCTCGTTCCCTGTCCCTGCCGTCTCGCTCGTCTCGGAGATCTCGAGCTGAATCCGGATATCTAGTGTCCCTGCGGTCCCGGTCTTCTTGTTCCCGCGCCCATCGGCTTTCCTGAGAGCGGCTCCGAGGAGGGTATCGGTCTCGCTCGTCATAGAAATTCATCCTATCTCTCCCCCCTCGGGGATCCCAATCGCCGCGGCCCCTGCCCGCGCCCCTTCCTCCGCCCCTACCGAATCCTCCACGGAAGGGCGACGGTGCAAACATGGGATCCGAATTCGAGGAGCCGGCTGACAACGGTCCGTCTCTGGATCCTCGCCTTGCCCGCTCGGCATCAACCCCTAGCGGAGCGTCTCTTGCGTCCCGAAAATCCCGCGCAGGCAGAGGGGAGCGGGCCCGCAGTGGCGGGGGTGTCGGCCTCCGACCGCGGGGAAAATCAGGTCGGTGATCGCGTGGCTCTCGTGGCCAATCCCGGTCCCGATCCCTATCCCTATCCCTGTCTCTGTCCCTCTCGCGTTCCCGTTCGCGGCTTCGCTCGGTCCTAAAATGGGGTCGGTCTCGGTACTCGTCCCGGTCTCGTACAGCATCTCGACTGTCATCCCGCCACTGGCGACCACGAACCCCGCCGCGGCCTCTCCCGCCGCGAAAGTCAGCGTTGAACCCGCCGCCACGTGGCCCGCTAGGCGGGTCGAGAAGAGCCTTTGGTCCGCGTGGCGGCTGTATCCCGGAGAGAGAGTCCCGGAATCCATCTCGGCCGGATGGAAAGCCAATCGAACTGCCCCGCGAATCTGCTTGCTGGCGCCTGCGGTCGGCATCAGAATATTGTGGGCCGCGATCCACACGGTCTCCGAAGGGAGACCGATCGTGAGGCGAGCGAGATCGCCGATCGCCGTCATAGCGATTGCCCGGATACCTCGACCTAGGGCAATGACCATGGTTAGCACGGCACGGATGACGACCCGCAATCTCTGCAAGAGTACGTCTGGACCGACCGTGGTACAGGGGGTACGCTGATGCCATGTATTGCACTCGGAGGAAGATGGGAATAAGATTGGGGGCAGAGACTCACATTGCAATTTGAGCACGAGGCACCCTCAATAGTGTAACGTTAGCAATCCAACACGCAAGGAGTCATAGCTTTGGCTTTGACGGCGCGCTTCGACGGCCGAGAAATAGCGCTTCGCGGTGGCCGTCTTTTGATCCCTCCGTTCACGTGGCGCTATGAAGGTTCGGGAATGCAGGGCGCTAACGGTTTTGACAGCAAGGAACGAGCACAAAATAAGGCAAAGGGGAAAAAGAGGAGAAAAGGAAAGAAAACGCCTGTCAGCGCCACTATGCTATCGATGCCTCGAAATCAATTCCGATGGATCAGAAGCGCGATATCGTTTGGCGTGAAACGGGACGCGCTAGATGGAAATTGGGGTGTTGATTTGAGAGGGATACGGGTCTTTGGCGATGGCTGGCTGAAGATTGGATGAGGGCAGCGAGACGAGACTCGCACTTGCAATCTCGAATTGCTGGCTGCTGCGGCCGGGGACACACGGACCAGGCGCCAGGCGCCAGCATGCCCAGCATCCTGGAGCGCGCCAGCCCGCAGCCCCACCTCGCCCAATCCCGTGTTTGATGCCGCACGCTAAACCAGGTCTGGATCGAGGCCTCGAAATCTCGAAATCTCAAAATCTGAAATTGTGGGTCATGCGATCTGTTCTCCAGCCATTCACAGAGGCCTCGAACGCCATGTCAGAAGTTCAGACAAAAAGTGGGAATCTACACTATCCGTACTTCGTACACGACCTAGCTTCGTAGGAAAAGGTTCCTGTCCTGCCCATGGAGTATCCGCACATCGATCTGTATCCAAGCAAGCGGTTTGACTGCTCGTTTCCTCTAACTAACTGTTCACCATACTGTTTAAGGCCAAGTGCTGAAATTCGCACAGATCGGCTAAAACCCGCCAGCATCCTACATTGTGCAACCCACCGATGCAAGATTGGGCCGCCTGAACTTGTGCAGCGTGTGCCCGAGCCAACGGATTTCCCCGGCTAGGATAGTATGGAATCGTTGGCTTCGTTTGCCATATCTTCAGAACCAGAGAATCTCAATGAATAATATTGTAGGCGCACTACCAAAGCAATGGCAAGGGAAAGTGGAACGGCACCTTTTATACCAACTGCTACGTTGTGCAGCTTGTGCTTGTTCCCCACCTAAGATACATTCAAGAGCCGGACGTTGGGAGGTGAAGTGGGGTTACACTCGGGCCTGCCCAAGAAAATCTTCGGCTCCGAGACCCGGAATCAAATCACCACCTGACAATACCTAGGCAGGAATCTCAAGACGGCAAATAAAAACAAATAAGGTGTCAAGACGATGCTTTAGAGGCGGCGTTCTCGAAATACTGGTCTGTTGAAGGAAAAAGTAATACACATCTTCGGCTGCATCCATTCTGAAATTCACGTTGGACAAACCCTCGAGCATGGCATCGAATCAGCCGCCCAGCGCGGCCACGGATGCCGTGCTGGTCAAGTCGGTTGAAATGCCCGAGGGTTCACAAAAGGTCGAGGAGCTCGACTTCAACAAGTTTAAGGGCCGGCCAATCACCGTCGACGATCTCTACCAAGGCATGAGACACATGGGTTTCCAGGCCTCATCAACATGCGAGGCCATCCGCATCATCAACGAAATGGTATGAAAACGAACCGGTCAGGCATTTCGTGAGCAAGGAACGGGCCGGGAACTCCGGCGTACGGCAGTTCCACACACTAACTAGAGTTCAGCGAGCGTGGAGAGACCCGGAGTCGGGGGACAAGACGACCATCTTCCTGGGCTATACGTCCAACATGATCTCCTCTGGTCTCAGGGGCATCTTCCGCTACTTGGTGCAGCACAGTCATGTGTCCGCCATCGTGACGACGGCCGGAGGGATCGAGGAGGACTTTATCAAGTGTCTCGGCGACACGTACATGTCGTCCTTCAGCGAGGTTGGCGCCGAGTTGCGCGCCAAGGGCCTCAACCGGATAGGCAACCTGGTCGTGCCCAACTCAAACTATTGCGCCTTTGAGGACTGGGTTGTGCCCATCCTGGACAAGATGCTAGAGGAGCAGGAGGCGAGCAAGGGAACCGACGATGAGATCAACTGGACCCCGTCCAAGGTCATCCACCGGCTTGGAAAGGAAATCAACGACGAGCGGTCCGTCTACTACTGGGCGTACAAGAACAACATCCCCGTCTTCTGTCCGGCCCTGACGGACGGCAGTCTGGGCGATATGCTGTATTTCCACACTTTTAAGGCGTCGCCCAAGCAACTCAAGATAGACATTGTCGAAGATATCCGGAGGATCAACACGATCGCCGTCAGGGCGAAGCGTGCGGGCATGATCATACTCGGGGGCGGAGTGATCAAGCATCACATTGCAAACGCGTGCTTGATGCGGAACGGAGCCGAGTCGGCCGTGTACATCAACACGGCCCAAGAATTCGATGGCAGCGACGCGGGCGCTCGGCCGGACGAGGCCGTGTCGTGGGGCAAGATCAAGATAGGGGCAGATTCAGTCAAGGTGTGTCATGCTGTCGTCGCTCCAGCCGTGTGTTCGCTAATCGTCGCAAAAGGTCTACTCAGAAGCAACGATCTGCTTCCCATTTATTGTAGCGAATACATTTGCCAAAGACCAATAGAGCTTATATCGACTATATGGCTGATCTTGTAAAGGCTACAAGTCTCTATGTACTGTAGGATGATTGGCCTTCCACCCGGCCACTGTTTTCCTTCACACACAATGGACAGGCCAACGCGCCCCAACCATTGTGCTGCCCTACAATCGCTCTCCTCAGCTAAGTCCCAGAACAGCACAGAGGCGTTACCACCAGTAGCCCCCGGTCCTAATGTCTACGACACGGCAGACATACCTTCACTTCCCGCCCTGTTCCTTCTCCGCCCTCCTCCTGGCCCCCAAGACGGCCTTGCCCACTCTACTCTCATTCCCCCTCCCAACCTCGGCGGCAATCCACTCACCCACATCCGAAACCATGTCCAGATCCACCCCGGTCTCCATACCCAGGGTCTCCATAAAATACACCATATCCTCCGTGGCCACATTGCCCGTCGCACCGGGCGAGTACGGACACCCGCCGAGCCCGCCAACGCTGCAATCAAACTTTCGAATGCCGTGCTCGAGCGCCACGGCGGTGTTCACCAGCGCCTGGCCGTACGTGTCGTGGAAGTGCATGGCGAGGTCCTCGTTGCGGATGCCCGCCGCGCGCAGGCAGTTGAGCAGCTCCTTGGTGCGCGGCGCCGTGCCCATGCCCGTCGTGTCCCCCAGCGCAATCTCGTCGGCGCCGTACCCCAAAAGCTCCGTCGCGATCTCGGCCACCCGGTGCGGGTCCACGTCGTAACCCTCAAACGGACACCCCAGCACCACTGACACGTACGCGCGCACCCGCAGCGCAGCGCGTCCCCCTTCGCCGCCGCCGGCAGTGTTGTCCTTGGCGGCTTGGATCACCTCTTTGAAGCGCGCCAGGGACGTGGCGATGTCGCAGTTGAGGTTCTTTTGCGAGAAGGACTCGGTCGCAGCCGCGAAAACGGCGATCTCGACGGCGGGCTTGGCTTGGCTTGGCGGGTTGGTGCCCGAGGAGAAGGCGCCTGGGTGCTGGGAGAGGATGGAGAGCGTGTTGTTGAGGCCTTTGAGGTTCGGGGCGAGGAAGGCGAAGGTTAAGGGGTTCGGGGAGGACGGTGGGGACTTGAGCAGGTGTTGGAGGATTTCGGAGGAGTTGTCCATCTGGTATGGAGAGGTTAGAGCGGTGTGTTGAGGTGATAGGGAGGATGAGGGCGGCAGACCTGTGGCACCCATTTTGGTGAAACGAACGAACCGGCTTCAATTGTCGTTAGTCCCGTTTTTGCGAGGCGCTCAATTAGGTCGAGTTTGGTGGCTAGCGGAATGGCCTTTTTCTCGTTCTGCAGGCCGTCGCGGGGTCCGACCTCGACGAGCTTCACACGGTTGTCGAACGAGGGGCGCTGGTCCGATGCCGTCGCAAATGTCCGGGCGTTTCGTACCCGGGCATGGCGGCACAGGAAGCGGCGGGAGATTGTCGAAAACCTCGCCATCTTTGTGTATCGTTCAACCCATGAAGCTAAGGGGCGGCTCAACGTTGAGGAATCTCGGTGGTTCTGGCTGCGAGGTTGGACCTGCCGAGAGAGCACCGACTTCGCATAGCATCGGCTGCAGGGCCCCTGTCTCTCGACACGTGACTGTCCCTTCGATATTGCCCCCCGACAAAAACCTGGATTCCCTGAAGGGACGAGGGCAGCGCCAAACAAGTTTTAAGAATGACAATCCCGCCTCAAAGGCACCTAGGACTGTGAAGTAAGGCGATGGATTGTAGGTCCGGTTATGCATCTTGTACAGGCAGGAACGTCGAGAAGAGAGAGAAACGAGGTAATTGTTCTTTCATATTTATTCAAAATCGTAAACAGACTTCATGCAGCACGTGCCATGTTCAGGTTCTATAGTGTAGCGGTTATCACTCCGGATTCTGATTCCGGCAACCCCGGTTCGAGTCCGGGTAGGACCTCATTTTTTGTCGGGTTTTCAACGTCCTCATTTTGTCACAGCAAATTCAGCTCGCAGCGAACTTTCTCACACAACGCAAGCGTTGGATTCATTCCAAGTTCCCAGCAGCACGGTGAGAGCACCTGCAACCTCCGATCATATCCATGAACTCATCAACATGTCACCGTTCTTGAATGGGTGATCTGGAACAACGCCCTCTGAGGTCAAGTTTTTTGACTCGATTACCATACTAGTACCAGGTACGGCTGTTCGGCATGCATTAAGCCCGACAATGCTACTGTCCCCAAGCAGAGCAGTGCCATAGAAGTATCCGTTGACATGTTAACACGTCAGGTGGGAACGGATCAGATTCAGGTACGGATACCCAGTAGATCATTAGGCATGAATGGCTGCCAACTACGGTTTCACAGCATGGAGGCTGAAGTCACGGTGAGAGGTTTAGTCATGTGTCTCTCCATCCCAAGCCACTGCATCAAACTCAGATACTGCTGGCAGCCGAGTTTGAAGATGGAGACTATCTCATGTGGGGAACGATAATTCGGAATTGGCCTGCCCGACCGTACTACTAGTATGTAAAACTGGATATACCGGACGTGTTCTAACAAGTGACAATTTCTCAGGCTGAACTACGGCGTCCGCAACCCAGTCTCTACCTAGATATCCAGGTACCCTACTTTGATCAGAAAGGACGGAGACTCATCAGAGTCGAACTCGTGATCTCTACCGCGTTGCAGCCATACGGGCGGAGCATATGACGGCTAGAAGCTCCGTTTCCATGATGTCCGCCTCAGCCTCAGTTGGCTGGTGTAGATGTGTGCCCAACCTTGAGCCGGCTTGACCACATGTTCTTGTTGCCACCAGACTCTTGCAGCACGGCCGGGGTGGTCCAAGACCCGTTGGGCCCCTTTGGACTGAGGCTTTGATGAGCAAGTGGATGTGGTATCGTGTAGACGTATGACTCCAAGTCAAACTGCGTCGCTGGAGTGCCCATTTGAGGCGCAAGGCTGGGCTTCAAAAGCCCCGAAGTGTAAATTCTATTTGATGGCGCTCAATTGATACCATCGCCTGCATGTGAACTCCGAATCTGCAAGCCAAAATGCAGTTTGACCGAGGGAAAGTGATAAGCCCGATTCCATACATGTACTGAAAAGTAGTGATCGCCGTGTAGAGCCTAGTGGTTGCGATGTCAACATGACTGGAGGCCCCTGACCGACGCCGCGAGTACAGAATCAGGAGAGCCTCATGCTACCAAGCCGAGATTGCCGCTGCAATCCAGATGACTATGACTATCTTACTGGCGAGTATATATGTCAGATTAAAGGATCAAGGTAGGTTGGATGCCGGGCGCCGACTCCATCATTCAGTTCCATGCCGGCAGTATCCGTACTCCCAAAACAATCAGTGGCTATTCTCATTACTGCATAGGTACTCTGTTCACCATGTTCGACCTAGTCGCGCTTCTTTCTACTCTCGGCAGCACCTTGACCGCCCTCATATCCTCCAACTTGCCATCCGACATCTGGTTTACTGTCTCAAACCCACTCCTCGCCATTAATGGGTTGATATCAGCCAGAAGAGCTGACAGGAACATTGTCAAGGACGACACAATTCATGAAATCATGGCTCTGGCTGATTGCCATGAGACAGCCGCCTTGCTCGCTGACCTGATTCGGGTCGACGGAGCAGGCCGGTGGCCACCCCGAGCCAACCACGACCACGACACCTGGCCAGCAGCAATTCGACCTTACAAAGAAGCATACCTGGAAATGGGACCGCTCCTGGCTACAGCAGACCTCTCGCTAGACGACAACGTCAACAGGACGCGCATTGCCAACTTCCGTTCTCTCTTCCGGGAGCTGTTGCATGAGCGGGTTGATATGTCTCAGGTCAAACAGCTGCTTGAAGCAGCCGATGCCGGCCGTTGGGATGTGTTCCCCAGAGACACGTACAATGCCTTTTACTCATGTGTTTCCTGGTGTCGGCATGCGTATCGGTAAGAGACGGCCTTTCTTGTATGTCTTAGTACTGACTCAACCCCCCATCCCTGCCACAGCTGGGCCACGATCCCCGTAGTCCGCATCGCCCAGCTCGAAGAGCACATCGACCTCCCCCCGGAGCTCATCGAGCCGTGGGAGCACCTGCAGCGGCATTTTGGCCTGGTCTCCGCAGCGGGCAACGTGCACTCAACCCTCCTCTTATCCTTCGACTCGCAGGGCGCGTACCGTCTCAAGATCAACACGAGTCCTAGTGTCGCGGATAATATCGTTATTACCTCAGCGGAGGCCGCCTTTGCGGCCATCTTCCGCGAGACCGAGGTGCTTGCCCTACCCATCTACCACGCCATGGTGCATGCCATCTCTTTCTTTGCCCGCGGCGACCTGGCTGCATGTCTGGCGCACACGTCTCGCATCAGAGCGGCGCTGCGCCCGCTGTTTGCCGCCTACTACGACCGCATGCACAACGGGCGCATTGCGCTGGCCGTCTGGGTGCCTTACGTTCAGGGTTTCTTTGGCTGGGGCGTCGGGGGTCATGGCGATGATCGCGATCGCGACGATACGGGCGAGTTGATCAAATTTGGCGGGCTCAGCGGGAGCCAGGTGCTGCTTTTCCAGGTGCTGGATGCATTCCTGGGTATTGCGCTGCCGTACCTGGACGAGACAACACGGAGGCGCTCTGTGCCGGCCAGACAGCGGGCGTTGTGCGAGGCATTTGAGAAGCACTCGTTTCGAGGGAAGTTAGGGGATAGTGAGGTCGAGGAAAAGATTGTGGTTGAGTTCACAGAGATCGTGAAACGCCTCAGGGTAAGATACCTAGGTACTCACCTATCAAACCTTACATCGTGTGCTGGGTCAAGTTTCAGTACTCTTCTGTTTACTTTCATGCTAATGCGGGATTGCAGCTGTTTCGAGCCGCTCACAGGACGCGATCCAAGACCTACCTATCGCAGCCTGCCCCTGAAAGACTGCTAATGACGGCAGGTAGGTCGGTTCTTACCAAGGATACCATGGAAGAGAATCTGGCGGCTCTGGATGCATTTATGCTCGGCAGGCTGGCTCAGACTGTTTAGAGCGACGTTCAGGTTGGTACTTCAAGGAACTAGTATCGATCAAGGGCCGGGTGTAGGTACCTAGTATGGCCACCAATACGAAGTAGGTGGCCTCCTAATTTTGTGTGTACCCGTTTCCGCAGCCTTCAATGGTGGGATTCGGGGGTGGAATTCAGGGGTTCAGGGGGTGGATTCAGGGGGTAATTTCAGAATCAGGGGTATAGTAGTACAATGCATTGTTTGTAAACACACCTAAGTTGGAAGGTCCAATATGCTGAGTCCCAACAACATTCCGAAGTAACAGCCAGAGATTTAGCAGGGCAAGCTCATTTATCATACTTGGTCATAGCAAGGTCCGGTATCAAGTACTTACCTACCTAGACTACGGCACAAAGGGCGAGGGAGTTCTGTAGATTCGGTGCCAACCTATGGGTCGGGAACGGTACCCGCCAATGGCATTCATTACCAAGTCAATCAGTGGGTCGAGAGAGCGATGGCACATGGCAGATCCGTACCTAAGGTACAGTACCTACTTCATACTTGTATAAAACTCCATCATGGCATATGCCACGATTGTTGATTATTGGGGCTTAAGTTCCATGCCAGTAATCTTTTGCCGGACTTCTTTTCAACCTACTTCTTCTCTAATGTTTCAAGAGACACAATGGACAGTCCACCGCTACAGCAGTACTCCTACAAGCTACAGGCTACTTCTTATTGCTAGCCAAACTGGGTGGTCGCCGCCATGTCAGCACTTTATTAAAGCCAAGAGCGTCGCCCAGAACGAGGTGTGTCTACAAGTACATACCTAGGTTCTTTACGTTTGTCAGAAACCTTGGCGTGACGTTCAAGTCAACCTTGGTTCAAGTTATCCGGCCGCATCTCACTCTGATATTAGGCCTATATACGGTATGTACTGTAATTGTACCTCTTGCATCGACGGAGTGTAGTACCTTGTTTCTATATTCCAGTCTCTTTTCAGGAAGTTCCGTCCTCCTCTATGTTTTAAGTAGGTCACTCCAGTGGAAAAATCTTGCCTCCATCAAGGCATCAACCATTCATACTATAATTTTGACCCATCATCACCGAAGTGACCAAACGCCACGACCAGAACAAGACCACCCAAGCTCCACATTCCAACCCAGAATTTACATGCCTAAACGCTATTCCCTCACCCTCCACTCTCTCACAATTCCACCTTTGTACTGCACCCCCCAATCCCTCCGACCGGTCAACAACACTCTGCAAGCCTCGAGCCTCGCATAGAGGCTAACATCACTCCGTGCGCGGGCGCTGTCAACTTCACTATCCAGAACCTCGAGCAGCCCGCGCCCGTCCACGTCCCGGACGTGGACGTTGGCGCCGTGCTCAAGGAGGACGGCAAGGGCTACCTTGCGGCCGAGGCGCGCCGCCAGGAGCAATGGCGTCTCGGCGCGGCGGTTCCGTGCCTCCACGCAGCGGGGCCCGCCCGCGCGGATCAGCGTCTCGATGATGGTCTGCAGCGTCTTGGCCTTGTCATCTTGGTCGTCCGATATGTGCTCGATAAAGGCCATCAGCGGCGTCGTGCCGCGCCTGTCGTAGTGGTGCACGTCCACGTTGACTGACGGGTGCAAGAGCCCCTGCAGGTGGCGCAGGCGGGTTGGAAGGCTCCCTTCCTCAGCAGGGGGTGTTTGCGGGGATGGGGAGGAAGCCCCTGAAGTTACCCCTGGGCTAAGGGGGTAGACCTCAGTAATCGAGTCTGTGAGCTTCCGCTTTAGGTGCGGACGACTGAATGGGTAGGAGGAGGGTGAGGAAGCGGTAGAGGAGGCTGTGGCCAGGACGCCCCGCTGGACTTGCACGTGGCGATCCATTGTCTGCTGATTGAGGATTGCCTCTGCGAGGCAATGCAGGCCGTTACGACCTTCGGGGTCTTCGGCATTTGGGTTGTTGTAGGAGGACTGGATGACGTTGACGAGTCGTGCGTGGTAAGCCAGGAAAGAGCCTTCATCAGCGGAGGAGGTAGGCCAGCTGCCGCCCCTGTTAGGCTTAGCAAGCCTTTCAATAGGTGGTGAAAGGCTACCAAGCCGACGGGGCGGGATGTATAAGCCATCACGCCCCTGCCGGCTGTCGGAAACTGGGTTGAAACCGAAGGCATCACGGCCTGACACGAGCAGGGGTTCGAATGGAAAGATGAGGCCAGCTAGGGCTCTTGGGTCCCGGGCAATTGAATGGGCTCTGTGAAAGAAATTGCGGCCGTAGACGTCGGTTTGGCAGACCAAGTCCGGGCACGAGTTCCTAACGTGTGCTAGCAGCCGCGTCAGGGGTGACGACGGGCTTGAAAGTTCTGAGAACCACTCAAAATGAAGAATGTGAAGAAAAGTCTGGCCACCAGTATTCACCGCCTTTAGATTCTCGACGTTGGAGCTGATGACCATCCTTAGGAGTGTGTCTTGTTGCCCCTCCAATGCGGCGAGAACGTGAAGCAGCGTGTTGCCGAAGCTGTCGCGAAGGCTGGCGTCAATTAAAGGGAGATGCTTGATGGCATGCTTGGCACGCTCACTTAGTTCACCCTTTGCCGCCAACCATGTATTCTCTCCAGCGGACGTCTCTTCTGCGATCGAGCACCAGCAGTCTCTTTTCCCATGCTGTTGACCGGGAAAGTCGGCACAGTTCCTGGTATGAGCGCTGAGAAAATCCCCGGGCAGCGCGAAGCCCGGTTCCGGAAAGGCCTCAAAAGCCTCAGGGGTTGGTTCCGGGTCAACATGTTGCTCTGGCATGAAAACTTCGCTTAAAGCGACGGATGGTCGACGAGCGGACGATTCCTCTTCTGAAGTCTCCACGATAGTAAATTCTTCAACTAACGTTGAGATCTGGGCTGCGTAATGTGAGGAGCAGTCCGATATTCTCCGTTTTACCTCCTGGACAAACAAATCTGTCTGGCTTGAGTCTGTCGCATCGATACTTTGTTCCACCTGGCCTCTGAAGGCTGCGGGGAGTTTGGTGTGTCTTGCGGGAGGGTTCGAGGTGGAAACGGGGGATACAAATTCAAACCAAGGGGCGTCTCCCGTTATGTGGCTTGACCCAGGGGTGGATGCCTCGGCGACGGAGAGATTGCCCCCCTTCTACGGTGAGAATCATAGTCAGTGCCACGGACTCGGTGACCACCGTTGAGTCGTTGACCACCTACATCCGGAAACTCCAGGGCAGCCAGTTGGCTTGGAGATGCTTTCACTGAGGGCCGCCCTGGTCTTCTTCGACGGGTTGGAGACATGCAGAGATTGTTGATGCGCTTGGCCATCTCAATGCGAGACTCGGGCCGCAAATAGCGAGGATCGTTGTCCAGCATCTTGTGGATGGTCTTCTGGGCCGAATTTTTCCTGCCTACAGGTCAGCGTCACGCTGATTCTACGCTTGACCATTAGCAGCGGGAAAGCTCGCCGCACCTCGGTTTAAACGTATCCTCCTCGAGCACTTTGATGATTTTTTCGATGGAAAGCGTTGTATAGAGATACAATCTCGCGAGCTTGCGAGATCTCGAGACGGTCCACTGTGGCGGCCGTCCGATCCGAGATCCGGAAGGTGACGGCCCAGTGGTGATTGAGGCAGGTGAAGAACTCGAAGCCATTTCGAACGAACGCGTCCTCGAGACTGCGCCAGCGCTGTGAGGTCTGCGTGGGTATAACGAGAGTGACATCCGGTGATATTCGTCGACGCCGGCATGGCTTCCATAGAGTGTATCAAGGCAGATGGAGCCAGATTGGCCAGGTTGGGCTGCGGGCCGGAGCCTAGTCATGATGTCCTATGCATACTATGACTATCCACAGTCAACCGGATAGAGATTGGCTTGCATATATGGCAACGGGCAATTCCGAGTGTTTATCTCGGCCGTGGAATGTGCCAAAACACCCCCGGACATGCTCTGCCGCTTCGGCTGGAGAGGCCGAGGGCGAGCCCCATTCCGTAAGGAGAGCACTCGCCGCAAGAAGCTCGGTGGGAATCTGTCAACCGGCTTGGCAGAATCTGACTTGTCGATGTTTGAGTGGACATGGAGCTCTGGGAAGACGGACCTGGGAAGCGCATGGTTTGATATCGAGAGACCTCGGATCCCTAGGAACATGGCTGGTCGGACGGGTACCTCTCTAAGTATAAAAAGTCGGATGCAACGTGGATCCTCATGGGCTTCTATGCAGCTTCCATTTAGCTTCCATGCAGGGGTCTCTTTCTGCAGTGTGTGTGACCCAACACACTTCTGTGCCACACACCTGAGAGCTTCCCCCCACTAATTGCGGAGTGGCACGCAACACTGCGGGAGTAAGTTAGGGAAGCAGCTTGAAACAGGTAACCCTGCAGAGCGCCTCATCCAATGGGAGTTGTTCGCCTTGTCCGTCAGCCATGTGTAGCCATGTGGATTCCCAAGTAGCCTAACATTAAACAGCTGCGGAAGGGTAGTATCGCATGCCGAGGGGTTCTCGTTGATGGCACGTGGCCAGAGCATCTGTCACCTCGGGTCAACCTCTGGGGTTTATAATTCCAATCGCGCTGATGGCGTTACCGGGAAGGAGATTCTTTCGTCTCAAGCCATGCAGTGGGTATGGTGTACACATCAGGAGAGGGAGGTTGCCAACAGACCAGGCGTCGCGGCGATCATTAATGAACGCACCACTAGAAGGCTTCCGTTCATACGCCACGACATTCTTTTCCTGGCTTCCTCCCTGTATTGTACATTGCAGCTATGCCGTGGCTGGTTAGTGTGACCGTTCCCTTTTTTTTTGGGGGGCTGGGCATAGTGTTTGAGAAGAGTCCGAAGACGATGTGACCGGGGCGGAACGGCCGATGGCTTAGGTCGAGACTCGAGAGCGATAGGGACGCGGCAAACCCCAGATGCTGCGGATCCACTTGGAGATTCTAGGGTGAGTCAATACAACTAGGTGTGTCGTTGATGAAGTGTTGCAGCCGCTGATCGTGAGTCTTGGCTGGTGTTTGCGGCGAGATCCGAGGGCTTGTCGAAGAGGGATTGGCTCAGCTTGACTACCTGCGGTTCGCTATGCGGAGTATCCGTACCTCTGAGAGCAGTATCAGAATCAAGTTTTCGCCTACTGAACACGGAAATGGCGTTTTGGCGGTCAGCTGAGTGCCGAGTTCCTGAAGATGTGTAACTTACCTGAGGTGCCTATCAACGGCACATATCTCGGTTTGCATTCAGTCTGACATTCGTTCCCTGTCCTACAGACTGCAAGATAAGGTAAGGTAGGTAAAGATGCAGTAGCAGTAGGTAGATTACGACTTACTGTGGTGGTGCCTTCCCTACCTGTCAGGGCAGGCAGTGGTGGCAAGAACGGTAGGCAATATCGGAAAGCGCTTGCTTGGATTCCAGGTCTGGAGTCGCTCGCTACCTCACTTTCGCTCCGGATTTCATCTGACATGGCAAAGCGTGTAACTTATCATGAATGCACAACCTGGGATCATGGTGCTGAAAGCAATGGTCAGTCAGGTATCTGTACAATTATGACCACCTGTTGCGCTTTTCGAACCATAACCTGTCCAACACGCCATCGACGATTGGGCGGCCTCAAAGATGCGCTAGCTCCCCCTCTTTCAGAGCTACCTCGTACTCTCTCATCGAACCACCATGATGAATCGAATCTGGAAGCCATAAACGGCCAAAGGAATTGACCGGCGAGGATTCTAGCAAATCTCAGCATTGGCAGCGAATGGATGTTGTGTTCGTTCAGTCTCAGCCTCTCAGGTTGCGGAACTTGGGGATTCTCACAAACACCTCTAACTGAAGCAGCATGAATGGTTTATGTTTGCTCGTTTCATGTTTGAAGGCTGACACTGCCCGGCAGTTACAGTGCAGCAGGATTCAGAATGGCCCTGCTCGGTAAGGGATGGGAGGGTGGCAGTTCCGCAGTCCGCGCCGCAATGATGCGAACTGCAACCCGCAGAAAGCGAGGTCTTTCCGTCTGATTGCAATTGTTTTCAGCTTTCAGCACTCATCAAATATGGGGCTCGACAACAAGTTTAACGGGGGTCCATATGCAGCGTTGATATCCAAGGTATGTAGCCCGAAAGTACATTGAATCACCGTGATAGTACCAAAAAGGCAAAAACCTCAAGTGATCTAGATGGTTTCTCCGTGCAGGGCTAACTACTACACTACTCAGCTCATAGATGCATCCCGGGCCGTTGACGGCGAACCCCCCTGCCACACCCTTCCCACCGCCGCCTCGAACTCGAATCGGTCAGTCCATGGGAGACTCGTGGGCAACGAATCAGTTGATCAGACCAAAGAACCTCAACATTTGTTGCTCGTTCACGGTGGGTGCATGGCCCACGCCTTGCCCAAAGAATCCCTGCAGCTTCGTCCCATCTCCGTAGATCTGCTGCGTGAACTGGGCCGATGGTACTCCGGTTACGTTCCGAGTGAACTCAACGCCAAGGACATTGGACCACTGCTTCAACGCCTCGACGGCGCACTGCGGCCGTACCAAGGTATCGGCCAAGCCATGCGATATCTGCATCCGCGGTCGACGTCCGGTATATCCTGGGTACGAGTTGCGAACGAAGTTACCCCACTCCTGCGGCGTATGCTGCAGCCCCTGGGCACAGGTCTGGTTGGGAGCGAACGGTGTGGCTCCCTGGGCACCTGTGTTCAACGATCAGCCACCTCCTTATGTTGTTTTCAGACTTTCAGTTCAGAATCTCGAGCAGCGGATCCGGGCCACCGGTCATGCCCGGTGGCGGTCTCGGACTAAATTTATGACGATTTGTTTGCTTTACCAGCCCGGCTTGCTCTCCTTCAATCTTGTTCTGCGCCGACCTCCGGCATCAATACGAGAGGGAAACATACCGGCGAAACAAGCATGAGGGGTTCCAGAGTAGGCTGCCCCCGCCTCGAACACGTCGGGATACGAACCCGCGAGGACGTTGGTCATCATTCCGCCGGACGAAAACCCCATGACGTAGACGCGAGCGCGGTCGGCGCCGTACCGCTCAATGGTATAGTTGACCATATTTACGATGCCGAGTGCGTCCCCGCCCGCGCCATGGGTCAGGCTAGCCGGGCTATGCACATCCCAACAGTTGCTCATGTTGGGCGTGCTGGGGTAGATGAGGATAAACCCGTTGGAATCGGCGTAGGACGGCAGTCGTGTACCGCTGAACCATTGCTGCCCGGTACCTCCGCAAGGGTGGAGCTGGCGCCCTGTCAGTGAAGTTCAACAACCAGCGGCGATGGGCGCATTTCTTACCGCTACTATGATAGCTGGCTTGGTGGCCAGCCTGTCGGGCACATAGATGTACATCTGAATCCTGGTAGGGTTGGTGCCGAAGTTGCTGACCTGCTGTAGCGAAGCGCAGAGGCCTGATGCCGCCAAGGCGGCGAAGGTAGCAAGAGACTTCAACAGCATGGTGAGATAACTGCGCAAGCGGGACAGGAACCGTGAGGGCTTGGGATGGTGTTTGGAGTCTTGAGGCTGGGCTACACCTCAACGCTGGGCGGCAGCAGGAGGCGATTAAATACTAATACGCTCGCAGGTCACCTCGAGCCCATCTCTCTTATGGCAGAGATGCTACCACACCCAACGGAGCCGGATATAGTTCCCGATGAGATGCTAATAGCTCCAGCCAGGGCCCAGCAATCAGTCCAGCAACATCAAAGGTACGGCGATGCTACCAGAACACCGAAAGCTGCTAGCGATCTGCATTTTCATGTTGAAGTCGCTCCCGGTCACGTATCCCGGGAGGGATGGTAACGGAGGCGGGTAAATGCGGACCAGGCATTCGCGGCTGAACCACGAACCTGGTGCAAGCTCAGAGATCTGTTGTGGATATATAACCGAACTGGAGAGATGGGGAAGGCTTCCCATCGGTTGCAAGACTCGGCAACTGTTCTCTAATGTAACGCTGCCTGGATTGGATATTCGGAGTCAAGACTGCCTTTTATGGCAGTCCCCGCCTGTTGCATTCGACCATTTATGCCAAGTTTAGTGGCACATCATGCTTCCCCATTGGAGGCGCATGTAAGTCATGATCTTAGTTCCGGACCAAGCATACCCCTTATATTACTCCCTCTCCGATCTCCACGCACCATCTCGCTCGGCTTCAGAACGCGGGAATGGGAACTCTTGCAAACCGTTATGTAGGTATCCTCTGCGCCTGGACGCTGTGTCAAGCAACTACTGACAGTGGTACACGTAAGGGAATATCGTCCTCAAGACTTGTCATGGTCACCATGGAGTCAAACGACCCTCTCCGGCTAGATGTAGGTATCTTAAGCTTGGGGTCAGCCATTAAAACGACTCAAGACAGAATAATACCAGTAATTCTCAAACTGTCCCCATAGGGTCATGTGATATAGTTTTATGCGAGTCTCAAATCTCCTGCCCTTCTCATTTTGTCTAGCTTCCATGTGCCTCTCCTAAAAAGTGAAGAGAACCAGCTCAAATCTGAATGCATCCTCCCAAGACTGGAGCTCAACCACAAGTTTACTACGGTACCTAAAAAGTGCTTAAAATGGTACTATAACATGAAAGTTCCCAGCCAGATTTCCAGTTGTTTGCCAACACAATGTTCTAGCTAACAGACCAGACCCAAAATTCAAATCAACAATCTTTTATACTCTCTCAAATTCTCCAGCGAGATGCCAATCTATTAACCCGCAAACCAAGTTCACCACAGCCACCAGCCATTCATCGAGTCCTCAGCTGCTCAGCACCCGTACTTCATGACCAAGCCCATACCAGCCACATTGCCCTGAGTGAACTCCACACCCCGTGGGGCATGGCCGTCAGAGCCGCCATGACCAGAAGCCCCCTTGCCTTCAACGGCGCCCTTGTCAGCACCTTTGCCCTTGGCCTTGTCGTCACCCTTTCCCTTGCCGTCGTCCTTGCCCTTGTCGTCCTTGCCCTTGTCGCCGTCCTTACCCTTGTCGCTGTCTTTGCCCTTGTCACCATCTTTGCCCTTGTCGCCATCTTTGCCCTTGCCCTCACCCTTGCCATCGTCCTTGCCTTTGTCACCACCCTTGCCTTTGTGACCGTCCTTCCCCTTATCACCGTCCTTGTCCTTGCCGTCCTTGTCCTTGCCGTCCTTGTCCTTGCCGTCCTTGTCCTTGCCGTCTTTGCCCTTGCCGTCCTTGCCCTTGTCACCGTCCTTGCCCTTGTCACCGTCCTTGCCCTTGTCACCGTCCTTGCCCTTGTCACCGTCCTTGCCCTTGTCGCCGTCCTTGCCCTTGTCAGCGCCCTTGCCTTCCTTATGGGCAGAAACCAGGTCGTCTGAGAAGCCGTGTCCACCGGCCTCATAATCGTCAGCGACGGTCAACCGGTAGCACATCTCGGGCCGGCAGGCTGAGGTGCTGATGGTCTTGACGGCGCCCTTGGTGACTCGTGCCGAGCCGACCAGCATGCCAGCATCCGGACCGTCCAGGGCATAGACATTGACCCTGGCGCAACCCCGAACTTGCATATGGGGGTTGGTCATGTCGAGCATCAGGGTGCAGCGCGAAGCATGTGCCGCCCCCTTCTTCTGGCCGACGCCCTTGGAGTGGGTGCCCTTGCCAGCGTCCTTGCCTTTGCCGCCGTCCTTGTCCTTCCCGGAGTCTTTGCCCTTGTCTTTGCCAGCGTCCTTGTCTTTGCCAGCGTCCTTGTCTTTGCCAGCGTCCTTGTCTTTGCCCGAGTCCTTGTCTTTGCCCGAGTCCTTGTCTTTGCCCGAGTCTTTGCCCTTGTCCTTGCCGGCGTCCTTGTCCTTGCCGGAGTCCTTGCCCTTGCCGGCGTCCTTGCCCTTGCTGAGATCCTTGTCTTTGCCGGAGTCCTTGTCTTTGCCGGAGTCCTTGTCCTTGCCGGAGTCCTTGTCCTTGCCGGAGTCCTTGTCCTTGCCGGAGTCTTTGCCCTTGTCTTTACCACCGTCCTTTCCGTCGTCCTTGCCAGCGTCGTGACCAGAGCCATGGGCGACTCGAGGCTCGACGCCGCGGGTTATCACACCCTGACCGCCTCCAGCTCCTCCCTCCCCGACACCGAAACCAGCACCGTCATCGTCGTCGTCATCGCGACCACCAGCCGCAGCCGGCATCATGAAGCCCACATCCAGCGGGCTATTCTCAGAAATGGTGACCGAGTACGGATACGCCGGGGTCCTGGGTTGAAGCACAGGGTACGCAACTGGACAGCTCGCGCCGTGGGGGCCGTCATCAGCGGCACCACCGCCATGCCCGCCGCCGCCTGCCTGGGGTTTAGCCGCACGTTTCCACCAGTGGCCGTACCCGAAGCCGCCGCCCGGGAAGCCAACGCCGAAACCAGGTGGGTAATTGCCGAAACCGAAACCAGGGCCGAAACCGCCATTCCCGCCGCCAAAGTGGTTGGAAGGATTGCCGCCGAAACCGCCACCTCCGAAGCCGCCGCCTCTGAAGCCAGGGCCTCCCTGGGGAGCGGCAACATTGTTAGTTGCCGGCGCCGCGGAGACGGTCAGGGCGGCGATGGAGAAGAGGAGGATTCGGGGACTCATGCTTGGTGGCTGTCAATGATTGCGAAATGGAGCAACTTCTCTGAACGATAGATCGAAGTGGAAGGAAGGCGTTGCTTTCTTGTTGGTCTTGGTCGAAAACGATGGCTAGGGGAGGAAGGCATTATCCTTATTATACCCCTGAGCCTGCCGGCGACGCGGCATGTCGATGGCAACGCATCCATATCGACTGTAACCTGACTGTAGCCATCGGAGAATCTCTATGGCATGCATGGGCTCGGACACGGCTTGCGCTGTTGCCTCATCACGGTCTCGGAGGTTGGAAGACATTGCATCAAGCATTGCGTGTCTGAAGGTAGGCTGGGAATCTGTGATCGCGGATCGCGGCGAACGAGTCTTCCGAAATGCGGTGTTCCATTCGGTCGGCGAAGCTAGCCGTGGGAGGTCGGAATGTCGGCCACCGATTGCTGTGATGTAGATGATGTCTGTGAGCATACCTAGCTGTCGCACGATAGCGAGCTAAGAGACTCAAAATCGCTGGATGATGATTCCATCCTCTGCCGAGGACCATAGCCGGGCCATGACGGCATCCTCCTGGTTGACTTGCGTGTAACCGATGCTCTCCCTATCCACACGGAAGATGACGAAGGCTGAAAACGTCGAATTTTTGCTGATTCTGAAAATAATTCAAGATGATATCTCATGACTGCCTGGTCCGCCTTGTGCCATTACGCTTGAAGCTGTGTATTTGTGTATTCAAATTTCGTGCCCCTGAACGAAATAGAGTTGAGTTCTTGCAGCACATGAGCCAAGAGAGCGGCACAGCATACAGCTTGCATGTGAAATGGGGCATACCGATTGGCCGGGAATCAGGAACGATGACTGAATTGCGCATGTTCGCAGCCCACGTTGGGCTACGCAAGCACTTTCGCGTACATCCATGATATGTCGACCTAGCGTCGAGTCGTACATAGCAAGTACGTTCCTCCAGGCACCACCTCTATTTCAATGCATGTGCTTCCTCATCCCAATACTGCCCGGACAAATCGCCTGCTGGCTGAACTTTGTTCCGTCCATCCAATTTGCGGTAGGTGAGGGAGTCGAGATCGATATCGAAGAAAGTACGAACCTTTTCCCGTCATTTAGCTTCCATAGGTATTCTGTTAGAACTCATAGCGTCCTCTTTAGGGCTTACACTAATGCCATAAATGTGCTTCGGTGCGTAGACCTCGCGGAAATCGATGCCGATGCTAGCTCCGCAGTACTCGCAGAACATCTGATCTTTATTCTTGGTATTGAAGCGGTAGTTGCTACAGCGAGCACGGCTGTCGTTATACCAAGTAACAGATGAAGCCTCGGGGTCTAGAGGTTTGCTGAATTAGTTTCCCTCTCTTTCAAGGTTTCACCCTCTCCAAGCTTTTGGGAAGGAAGGGGAAAGGGAGGGAAAGCAACTCACAAACGAGAAGATAGCCGAATCGTGTGCACGCAGAGCAGTTGCAGTTAAGCACCTTAGTCTGGGGCAGCGGAGGCGTCAGGGTGACGCTAAACTTGATATACCCGCAATGACAGCCCGCCTTGTAAGTGCCGCTACTCTTCTCGTCTTCCTCTTTTTGTTCCTGCTGTGAAGATACCTCTCCACGCTTCTCTCCTTCGTCCTGAGACATGATAAGCAGGATCGACCTCGAAAGGTGTGCTGGTGGTTTTGCTCTATCAGGACGAGCACGATAGTAGAATACGATACTCAATATCTGTAGAAAAGCCTGAGCCGAGCTGGGAAAGGCCTGTGCAGAAAGAAGCGTAAACACCTTTAACCTAGCTGAACACTTAGTAGCATCGAAGAGAAGAGTGGGGGCTTCCTTTATCAGATCTCCAAGGGAGCACAGCCCCGCACTACGACCGGTGACCGCAGATGTTATTTGGAATACTCGGACTGTGGGAGGGACTGATTGGCCCCATTCACAACACCCTCGCAAAAGAGGCAGGTGTCATTCAACGGAGGTCTGTGAATGAATTGCCCAACCAGGGCGGCAAGTTGGTACGAGCGAGAGAACCCGATTATGCAGGTGGCTCTCTTATTCAAGGAACCGTATATTGCTCATCGATCACCGGGTGAAGCAGGCAATTCCCATGATGCAATTGATGGGGTAGGGTCTAGTACCCGGCGTGAGCCCAATTAAGCCTATAAGGTATCTTGGTGGTTCTGGGTTGTGGGACATGAAAAGCAGTGGAAGAATGTGTGTGTGTTTTGTGTTTTTGGAGTGGATAAAAGTTGAAGTTGGCCAACTTGGGGTGGAAGTTGAGATTGGAGATGCCTAGCCTGCCCAAGATACAATGAACACAAGAATATCGATGCCGTAGCTCCTTCCCATCCGTCAAGAATCTCTCACGACAAGGCGCGTCGTCTAGGAAAGTACTGTACACGTGTATTTATGCCCCACTGTCGTGTGGGCTCTGACCAAGCCCACACTGCTTACCTCACTCAGCCAGCCACACGCCCCTTTTTCTGGCCTCCACTGTACAATACCTTGACCTGGATTTCCCTTTTCCTTCCTCCTCAATAGCTGCGTCAATTTCCACCACTTTGAACCCCTCTACTTTCCTCCGTCCCCTTAGACACCCACACTACCCTCTGATCTAAACTCCTCGGTTATTACCACATTTGGGGCCACATGCACTGGACCTCAGGGCTCAGGCTCGAGGCCATGCTCAAGCAGATCGTTTCTTTAGGGAAGAGACGACGGCCATCCTACCCCTATCTTTCTGTTTTCTATAAGTACTATATAAGTCCGCACGCATAACCTGCACAAAATAAGATACATGTAGCCTTAGAGTAGCACTGTTCGACAGTTTGTGATAATCCACGAGGCACGAGATGGTAGTACTACTCGTAACCGCTCCTGCCATTTGATGTCATGCCTCGAGGGGATAGAACGAACTTAGGGAGGAATGGGAATCAGAATGGGCCCAATAGCAGGGGAGATCACCCTTGTCTCGAGACATCTCGATGGACTCACGGTCCCCTATTATCTTGTACACTACCTAGATCCTGCAAAAAGGGGCATTAAATACCTCTGTAAGTGGCCCCTAACTGCCGAGGGTTGGGAACGGAAGGATCAGCCAACAGAGAGTTATGGTTGGTTGCGATGCTGTTGAGGTGTGAGTCACACCACGTATAGGTAGGTCACTGAAACCTAGAATGTGCAATTCAGACTTGAACCTAAGAAAAGATAGTAGTGCCCTACCTTCTCTTTGCAACGGGGATAATTGAAGAATATTCATCACCATGCCGCTTTCTCTCTCATCCGCGGACAAAATCGCCTCATATGGCATCCGTGGCGCCGACCCCTCGCCGTCGTTCTTAGCCATTGAACTCAGCCAAGCCCGGCACCGTATCAACCTCATTAACGCATGGGATCCCGCAATAGGCCCTGGCACCCGGGTTCTCGAACTTGGTTGCGGTCAGGGCACCTGCACGCAGGCTCTCGCGGAAGCTGTTTCCTCCCCGGGCGACCACACCGGCGCGGGGCACATTACGGCGGTGGATCCCGGTCCGCCCGAGTACGGTGCCCCCTTCACGCTCGGCGAGGCGCAATCTCACCTCGCTGCTGGACCGCTCGGACCGCTAGTGACATTTCACCGTGCAGATCCTATAGACTTCCTCGCCGCCCACGCAGATACGCAGTGGGACGTGGCCGTGCTGGCGCACTGCATTTGGTATTTCCGCTCGGATGACACGCTCCGGCAAATCCTCTCGGCGCTGCGGGGCCGGGTAGCACGGGTATGCCTCGCCGAATGGGCACTGCACGCTACGGAGCCGGCGGCGACGGCGCATGTACTCGCTGCGGTGGCGCGAGCCACATTTGAGGCGCACCGAGTAGACAGCACGGAGAATATCCAGACGCTGGCGAGTCCACGAGCCATAAAGGAGGCCGTGCGACGGGCCGGCTGGAAAATGGAGACCGAAGGGACCATTGTCCCAGATGCTGAGTTGTCGGACGGATTCTGGGAGACGGGTACGGTGGTGGATCAGGGGTTTGCAAAAGATGTAGATAAGGAGATCAAGGAGGAAAGAGTGAAAGCGGCTTTGACGTCTGCGAGGGACGCGGTTATTGCAGCGGCGGACTCGGCTGGGGGCGCTAGAATGGTGAGAAGTATGGATGTTTGGGTCGCGACACTGATTCCGGAATAGCAAGTGAAGACTCTGTAGCTGGAAAGCCACGAGAGTACCCGTCCTCGGGTGTGAGCAAAGCGAAGCTTACGCCGCCGATTGTGTAGCCATGTCCACTGACGGCGGCCTTATACCTGCAGGCTGCGCAAAGGGATAATGTCGCTCTTCATTCAAGCAGCTAGATAGTAGCTATTCAAGCCGAAACTTTTGACTGGCCACGTCAAATAGGTATTGCGAGACAAATAAGTCGAAGACGGCGATTGTGACCTCTCGATCCTTGGATGGGGTGGAGGGTGGAAAGAACAAGATCCCTGCCGATCCCGATTCCCCGCCACGTGCCCGCACCCGTCCCCATTCCCCAAATCGATAGCCCCACGGGCCCCGCTAAAATCCCCCTGCTGCTTAACGTTATCGATAAGCAACACTTCTCAACGACATGGGAAAAAACTCGATTGACAATGGACACCGAAAGTAAACCACGACAGTCAGCATACCGAGGGCGCCAAAATGGTGAAAAGAAAGGTCGCCGCGCTCGAAAAGGTAGAGGCCGATCTGGTCAGTCTGCAATACAAGATTAGGAGAGACCCTCGGTAAGTTCGCGACCTGCAATTGTCCACGTCAGTCCATTTACTAATCAACGCTTCCGCAGCTCGTACGCCCAAGAGTTCTTTGACCAGGTACGAATACTCTCTTCCGTCGCGCCAGGGTAGCGAATTAATCAAGCGCAGTGGCTTGCATACGATGCGCAACGCCAGATCTTTATTTCATCTCCCGCGACGGCCTCGAGCGAGGACGTAAAGAAGTTTCACGACCTCGTCGATCTGGTCGCCCACGTGGCCGACCTCTACCCCGATCTCACCGCCCCGTTCCCTGACCACCTGAAGGAGCTCCTAAACCAGCACCATGCTACGCTCGACAAGGAATTGCGGGAAAAAGTGGTGGGCAGCCTGGTGCTGCTGCGGAGGAAGGACGTTATTGACTCGACCAGCCTGCTAACAACACTGTTCCCAATCCTCATCTCCACGCCCAGCAAGACGCTTCGATCGCTCTTATACACCAAAATCATAAGTGACCTACGGGAATCAAATTCAAAGGCAACCAATCACCGTCTCAACAGAACTATTCAGACCGTCCTCCACAACCTTGTCACTTCAGACCGCACCTCTACCAAGGGTATGTGGGCCACGCGGATTACCCGCGAACTATGGCGCCGCCAGATATGGACTGATGCGAGGCCTTGCGACGTCATGAAGGAGGCTTGCTTAAGCGACAACGAAAAAGTGGTTGTCGGAGGTGTCCGCTTCTTCCTAGGGGGGGATAAAGAGAGAGAGGAGCTAGAGGATGACTCGAGCGGTGATGAGATTGACCTGAAGAAAGTCAAGCATCAAGGGACAATAAATAAAAAAACGAAAAAGCGCCAAAAGGCGTATGAGAGAGCCCTGGAGAAAGTCAAAAGGTGTGTCTTCAGCTTACTTCTGGACTCTAGTAACCACTTCAACTAACATGGTAACAGGCAAGAGCGCAAGAAGAGTGCGCCCTCGCCGTTGAATTTCTCGGCATTGCATCTCATCCACGACCCACAAGGGTTCGCCGAGAAGTTGTTCCAAAAGCACTTGCAAAATGCGAAAAACAAGTTCTCGCTCGATAACAAGCTCCTCATCCTACAGCTCGTCACTCGCCTCGTCGGCCTGCACAAGCTCACAATCATCTCCCTCTATTCTTGGTTTGTTCGTTACCTGACACCCAAGCAAACGAATGTCACGTCGTTCCTCGCATCATTAGCCCAAGCAACGCACAACCTGGTACCACCGGATGTGCTCGAGCCACTCATTGTCAAGATCGCGAATGAGTTTGTGTCGGAAGCATCCGCATCCGAGGTGGCCGCTGCTGGCATCAATGCCATTCGAGAGGTGGCACTTCGGCAACCGCTCTGTGTAAACGAGACACTGCTGCAAGATCTGGTCATGTATCAGAAGAGCAAAGACAAGGGCGTAGTCATGGCGGCCAAAGGCCTGCAGTCTCTGTATCGCGAGGTCTATCCTGAGTTGCTTCAGAAGAAGTACCGTGGCAAGGAAGCTACCATGGGCCTTCGCTCAGGGGAGGTAAAACAACGGAAGTTCGGCGAGGAAGAGGAGGGAGGTATTGAGGGTATCGAGCTTCTTGAGAAGTACAAGGAGGAGCAAAAGCGACAGAAGCAGGCTGAGCAAGCGGCGGCAAACGACGGAGATGTCAAAGACAAGGACGACGAAGATGAGGATGGTTTCAATTCGAGTGATTGGGAGGTTGGATCGACAGAGAGCGAATCATCAACGGGCTGGATAGACGTCAGCAGCGAGTCAGAAAGCGAGGACGAACCCGCCAAAAAGCGTCTACGGAGGGATTCGTCCGATGTTCCCGACCTCGTCGATACCTCAAAGGAAACAGACTCTTCCGCTGCCGCTGCCGAGGCCACCAGGATATCCAAGCTTGCCACCACCTCCATCCTCACTCCCGCCGACCTCGCTAAGCTGGCTGAACTTCGTCGTGAAGCCAAAATCGACAAGGCTTTGGGCAACCAATCAAAACGCAAGAAGGAACTTATCCAAAAGCATATTGACGAGGGCCTCACGGCCGAGGACATTGAGCTGCCCGCGCAGCTGGGCAAGAAGACGACCAAGGAGGAGAGGATAGCGCTGGCCAAGGAAGGGAAGCCCGGGCGCGAGGAGCACAAGTCGACGCAGGCGATCCGCAAGGCCAAGAAGGAGGCCGAGGGGAAGAGCACGACCAACAGGGAGAAGGCGCGCAAGAAGAACTTTCTCATGACGGTCGGCAAGGCGAGGGCGAAGCACAAGCGGAGTCTGGTCGAGACGAGGAAGACGCTGCGGGCTCACATTGCGAGGAGCAAGAGTGGCGGGAGGAGGAGAAATGGGTTGTAGACGGCTTGCGTCGTGCTTATTGGGTAGCTATGTCTGTCAATGATATTGAGATGACGGCTCCAAACGACATCGTCCCGCCGCGTGATGCCAACGGCACTTTGGCGTAGAAGATATCGAACTACGCACTTGGTCGACCTAATGCTTCATCGCTCCACGTTTGCCTCTGTGGTGTTTATATTGTTGTTGGTTTGGTTTTTGAGTCAATATTGCTTATCGAAGGGATTGTCCCCGTGGTCCTAGCCTCCTAGGTCAAGCTGAATCTTGCGCGGACTGGGGCAATACTACTAATACCATAGGTACTATACTATCCATATCATCAACAGGCTGTACGATATGAGTGCCTGATGTTCAGCTCGTTTTCCCGTAAACAACGCAAATCGAGGTACACAACGCTCGGATGATGATGCTGCCGCTACACCCTTCCAGATACTTCCTGCTACAGGGGCCTTTTTTGTTGATATATAACCAAAGTAGGTACTTTACTACTAGAAGAGGAGATCAGTTTATTGAGCAGGGAAGCCGCGGCCACTGGCAGGTCTATCCTATATCCACCTGTAACTTTAGACCCCTTGGTGAGCGACGGCCATTGAAATGACTCAGTTCCATGCCCGGCATCCCCGCTAAGTCCAAGACTTGCATCTTTCCCCCAACAGCGGATTGAAGGCCACATACAGTATACGACCCGTAAGTTTTACGACCACCAGACGCAGTACTAATATTATGAGGATCACGTGTCGGGGGAGAGAGAATACTGCATGCCGCTTTCTTAGTCTTATGTATGCAATAACCCAGCAGTGGGAGTTTTGGCCTGGGATCAAGTCGTTTGGGCCGTATCTCCTTTATAAGAGCACCGAGTCGGATCGCCGAGCACTCGAAATGACATGGATCTGGGCCATCCCGGAAAAACACATAGAGCTCACTAAGTACCGTATAAATCTTGTCGACGGTTTCTTGTCTGCGGCTCTCAATCGTCTCTGGTAGTAATGTTAGCGCTCTTAAAGGATGAGCAGGTTCAGACTTCTAGCGGGTACCTACCAACGATCGCAGGTGGGATTGGGAGATACAATGTCGGGAGCGGTCCCCGGGCTTGCTCAAGGGCTGTCTTCGTTACGGCCGTGAAGATGTCAGTCGCACTGAATATCCACGACACGCAGAGCCATAGAATGAGCTCCCTGTTGATCTTTTTCGGAACTTGGTCTTTCAGTTGTCGTAGCCATATTTCGGCGAAGACCTCGACCGCCTCGTAGCATTCGTAGTAATCAACGAGAACGGCAATCTTGGCCAGCAACTCGAGGCTGACGCTCCTGGGGACTTGTCCGTTGCGGCCGTGAATGATGTGCATCAAGATCAGAAATGCCTGCGGATCCCAGTCCTCGGCGGATATGTACAGGTGATGATCGGCCGTATCGGGTGCTGATTCTTCCCATGGACCGTCTAGAGCTTTCTTGAAGTATGGGGATGCCAGCATCAAATGCCTTGATGAAACTCGAAACTGTATTTCCTCGGGTTCCGAGATGCGACGCTCTTCTGCATGCACCCCAGAACCATCTCCGCGCAAACCGGCTGGCTCGATGATATGGTCCTCTTCACCGGCGACTTCTTCCTGTACCATCTCAACGATATTTTGATAGCATGAGAATGCCGCAGGTTCGATCCAGACCGCAAACGGCGCGCCGGGATTGTGAAGACAGAGAATGACGTCTCCGTTGGGATCGATCTCGCGCGACGTTTCCATCCTGATAGCTCAAGAGGCTTGGTACGGGGTTATCTGGTGCAGTGCGGCAACGAGTCTCGGGGGCTGTGCCCATGAAGTTGTGAACAGTGGTAAACTGGTGAACAGTGGTAAACTGGGAAGTAGGACATCAGATAAATATCTGACTGGACGTTCAAATTCCTACGTCAGAGCCTGCCCATCTAGTAATCTTGCGACCAAGGAAGCCAAGCATCTCTGGATCCAAACGCACTGGTCCTGCGCTTTCGAGCGAAATGAAACAGCGGAGGGGGTTACTGAGGCGAGCCAAACAAAGTCTCTTAATATTGGCAAATTGAACTCAACATGCTTTCGACGTAATGATGCGTCATGAGACAACAAGGGCTAAAGGAAGGTAAGTTTGCTGTTGCAGCAGTAGGAAAGAGCCGCAGGGGAAGCCGGCGGCCCGGCGCCAACAAGGGACATGGGAAACATTGCTGCCCAAGCTGAGCCGTCGTTCCAAAAGCAGACCTGCAGTGCTGTCCGGGCAATACAGTACCTTACTTAGTAAGAATGTACACGAAGCGATCAGTCCAGGTTTCAGACAGCTCCAACCTTAAGCAGTTGCATCATGGCGACTGCTAGACTCTCGAGGTCCGAAACCGAGACTGGTGGTGTTTTCGTGCTTTTCTAGGTTAACCGTGGAAGACTGATAGCCGCAGCTCTGCACATTATGAATACATATTATTGCCTTCTATGCACCGTTGGCTCGACCATCACATAATACATGTCTTGGACGACACGGGAATCTCAGGAGATCAAGGCCAGCAGTGTTAAGCTGCTAATGTTCCTATGCTACTCTTTCGTAAGAGCTAAAGTCAACGCTCAACTCAACTACTCGTACATCTCAGATCCTCAAGCTTCCACTTCCAAAGCAGCAACTCAAATTACCCGTGGGGAAGCCTCCGAACTCCCAGCCTATCTCCTAGGGTTTGCCAGGGATTGCCTCGGCTTTACACTGCCGCCTAAATCCGCCTCGTCATTCCACCTCCGGAGCACCAACCCAGACTACCGCCGGAGAAGCCCAAGAACTGCCAGACCATGACCCCATTGTTCGCCAGGGAGTGTCTCGGCTTACCCTGTTCTCCTAGGGCGGCCTCGTGATCGTCTCTCAGAGGCGACCCCGGCTGCCCCTTCCGCTGGTTCCTTGAATTTTGTTGGTTCTAGGAGAAGTCGATTTTGTGACGCCGCCGTCCTGCGCCTTGCGTGGGCGACCCGCTCTTTTGGGCGCGTCGGGAAGCCGAAGGTTTGATGTGCGGCGGTGATGCAGCTGGATGGCCCCTCGGCGTGCGAGTCCGCTTTGCCGGGGCGATTACCACTGGATGTGACGGCGGCGAGTTGGAATTCCTTACCGCTATCCTCGCACTGCGCCGCGGTGATGGTAGTGATAGCGGTGGTGATGGTGATGCAGCCGCGACCTTCTGCCTGCTGTAGCTCTTTGCTTGAACCGCGACGGCGGCCTGGTGTCTCATCGCCGGGCAGCTGCACTGACTGATCTTCTGGTCCATTTGCAGCATTTGAGCCCGCGTCATCCCAAGGCCGAAAAGGTTTGAAATCCGGGTCAAAAATCGTGCCTTTAATTCACTGGGTAATGGACCCCAGTCCACCGGCGATCTCTCTCTTGGTGGTGTGGAAGAGGGGATTGCGTCAATTGCCTCAAGGGCGTCCACCTCAGAGGGTGTGTATTCCATGTTATCCGTGTTCAAACGTGTAAGTCTTCAGGCTCCGGCGAAGAGCTCTCGTACCGCCATTTCCAACTCGTCATGCAGTCGCCTCTTTCTTTCCACCGCTGTGCTATCTGCAGGTTTATGTTGTCAAAACCCTCTGTCATTGGAGGGATCCGGAAGGATCTCTCCCTGGATTCGACGTTCTCAACCACACTGACGAACCAAGGTCTCGATATAATGAACGATTCTGCCTGAGCGGCCGACGAACCATCATGAAGGTGTGAATGTGGAGGAGGCGGAGCATGCTCGCCATAGGAAAGCTTTTTACGGAGCTCCAGGGCCCGGTTAATCGCTCGACCTTGTTCTAAGGAAGGCGGATCGGCGGTAGACTGCCACTTCCACTTCCAACTCTCAAGGTTGTCATTGGGCCGTCCATTGACGCGACCAGGAATGCCCCAATCGGTGTTCCAGACGCCGAGGCTCTGCCATCGCTTTTTGATGTTGTGTCGCACAATGACGTCTCGTCTCTGATGGCCTCTTGATTCCGTACAAGGGAACGAGTCTTGTACGCTTAAGGATTCCTTGACGTGTGGACTAGCCTTGTCGGACCAAATGAAGTCATTCAGCCTGGCGTGTTCCTCTTCCGCCTCGTATCGATATCGGTAGCTGGGAGAGTATATGTCGGAACTCTGTAATGCGTGCACGGCAAATATCGTTTCACGGTCGTCCAGAGGCTTATTCAGAAGATCTCCAAACTCTTTCAGTATTGCCTCGTGAGGCTTACTGGCAGCTTGGGCTTGGCGGAAGAATAGCTCCTCCTCTTCGGATTCGCTCGAGGATACGTAAGGTGGCGGGCCATCACGCTCGAACCGATGGTTCAAGTCATTTCAAGATGAGTCGGATTTGCGGATAGTTGCCTAAGCTTTGTCATTGCGCGCGCCTCTATTTCGTTTTCGAGCTGTGACAAGGGAAAAAGTGGCATCGTTGTTGCTGCGCGGTCGCGAACAAAAGTCCAGAGAAACGCGATGGTGGGTGGGTGATGGCCACAGCGAAGTTGCTTGTGTTGGAGTCGAAAATACTTGGTAGCAAGAACCTTGCACAGCTCATATCTAAGCAATAATGTAGTTGTCAAAAGAAATTTGCATTTAGCTTTATTAAACCCAACTCCAATAAGGGACATTGATAATCCTTATTGTACTAGTAGCAGGCTACATTCAGACCTACCCTAGATATCTAAGTTAGATAGTTACAAAAAGGGGCCAGTTTATTTTGGATATACTTAGCGCTATTGTATTCACATATTCACAAAAGTAAATACATAATGTGGCTTTTTTCCAAGAGAAAAGCTCGACCAAAACTCATTTTGGCTGTGATTTTGCGAATGTGGATCAACATTGCCGGCAGGAACTTGCAGAATATACGACAGAAACTGGTCGAGTTCCCTGTCCCTTGTTCTTTCCAGTTTCGTTGCTTTCGAGGGGAGCCTCAGAACCATCGAATCGAGACACCCCCTTCAACTCATCAGTTTCTGCCAGCACTTTTCTGGGCCATTGTCTAGCCTCCGATTTTCGTCACCAGCAATTCTAAGCAGTCACCAACCTTTTCTATTCCCTGGTGCCCGAATCGACTTTCAAATTCTAACTTCTCAACCCCGAATCAACTTTCTCGGATTCCTTCCCGACGGGAATCAACTTCCTTAGATTCCTCTCCGTCCCGAATCAACTTGTCAAGTCGCAGCGTTTGCCAAATCCGGAAAGGCAGGTCGCATTTTCAGGTATGTCATGAAGCTTCAGAAATTCAGAATACTACTTCTCTTCATGTTCTCGCGTGCCTACCATCGAAATCATGGCATGAAATCGAGTTGTTGTTTGCTAACCTGCATATACGTAGACACTCTGCCATATAGGATCCAGACTCGGACAAGCTCTGCCCTTGAGGTCTCACACCGGACACCCAATTCTTCGCCTTCCGTTGTATTCGGCTCGAAAACTCGATGGCTTGTAACGAAAGAACCCTATTTCACCTCGTGCCCATGAATAAGGATGCTCTGGAAGCTCTATCGCATCCAGATAACAAACTGTTTATCTCCGCCAGCGCCATCGGCGTAGAGGGACTGGAGATCGGCTTTCATGTTCCGCCATTTTCTCGCGGTCATGTGATTACCAAACTGGGGAGGAACACGGACTTAATACTTTCCAAAAGCTACTCAGGGGTCCATGTTGCATTTGAAATGCAAATGGATCCCTTGGTGGTGATGCTGTCGGTCCGGACAAAGCAGTCCAGGACCGTTACCGTTGAGCCCGAGAAATACGACAATACCGTCAATACCCCGGCGCAACGAATTGCTGGAGATTGTGCTCTGCGCTACGGACAACGCTATATCATTAGCATTACGTCTTACAGGTTTCGTCTGGTCTGGCGTTCAGATCTGGCCCAGCCTCTCGAGGAGCTGGCTGTCAGAGAATATCGAGATTCCATGGAACGGCTCAAAACCGTCAGGTCGCGAGATCAGTCAATAGTATGCGCAAGCTCATCACCGAATTCATGGTACATGACGCGGCTACGATCTGCAAGAGCGCCCGTGGTTATAGAGCTTCCGGGCACCCGCACAAAACCCGGGTAGGGCGCGTACGGTACTGTGTACGCGGCAGTTGACCAGAGAACTTTGAGAAATTTTGCCATCAAAGTGGTTCATCTTAGCGAACAGTCAGAGGCAGAACGAGGTGCTCTCTACAGGGAGATCAAAACCTTGGAGACTCTCGATCATGTGAGGCTGTTTCTTTTGAAAGCATTTCTGCGTCTTCCGAGTTCCGTCTCTAACGTCATGAAAGAAACATATCATCGAATGTCTAGGAACAATGGACTTCGACACGGACAGTCCGCTGATTTTTATGCCGAAGTGCGAGGGAAATTTGGCGACCCTTGTCAAAAGCTTTCGCAATAACTCCACAGATCTTCACCGGGTCTGCAATCAGGTCCTAGAGGAAATGCTGAGGGCACTGGATTACCTCGCCGCCAAGGGGTACATCCATCGGGATGTTAAACCCGTGAACGTCCTTTGGAGATACAACTCTAAGTCCCCTGGACGTCGCTACCACTTCCAACTTGGGGATTTCGGCCTGGCGAACCATTTCCTGATGGCAAGAACCATCGTCGGCACCCGCATGTATATGGCTCCGGAATTCCACAACCCTGACAGGTTGCGTCAGACCCCGAAAGTTGACATATGGTCGCTCTTTGTGACCATGGCCGAGATCTTGCCTCATGACGTTTGCAACTTTCCGCCAAACTCGTGGGCCGATTCCAGTCACAGGGGCATCATACAGGCCGTCCGACAGGCCGCAGAAGCTGATTTATTACGGCAGCTTCGGCCTATGGCAAGGGTGGATCCGAACCTTCGGGCATCGGCTGCGCAAATGCTCCTCGAGATCTATGGGGGCGAAGGTTTGACCACGCCAAGGGACGACATTACCCCTATCCAATGGGACGTCGTGGAGCCGGCAGCCTTCCCTATCGGCGAACAATTCTCAGCCCAGGCGGCCTGACATCCAGTTATCGAGTACCCTCAGCAGAATCGCAAATAGCGGTCACTCCCCGTGCCGTCCACAGATGATGGCCCCGAGCCGGCCGAGTGCGGGCGATGCAGGTCATTTAGGCGGGCGCTGAAACGGATCCAGCAGCAAGGGGTGAACACATTCTGGGGAAAGCACCACTGGGAATGAAGCCGGAACACGATGAGAAGACTCTACTAGCTCGCAATACCTCGGCTCCGGCTACGGCGGCGAATATACGGGCAGTTTTAGCGTCTCGTCTCCCCGGGGAGTTCACAGGAAGACAGAGACAACAACGAAATGTTTCCAAAACTTAATTACACGCTGTGAGTGTGAGCCAAGTTTCGGACGGTCAAGTACTGTACATACATACATCCCCCCCTGGTTTTTTCGATAGTGCCAAACTTTGAAGCCAGGCATCAAGCCCAAGATTCAGATCTCAGCATTAGAACAGCGCCTTGTTGAAGTTCTTGTCCACAAATAGCAATTGAAGAGAACAATGCTTCAGGGTGTTACAAGAAACCCTATTTTTTTGCGTTGAGTCCAGGTTTATAACTGCCGTGCTAAGAGGAATCTTTCTGAATTTGGGACCAGGGTCCCTGTTATGAGAGGATCAAGAGTTCCACGTTAACGGAAGTACCAACATTGAAAGTGTGCAGTCCAAGGATTCTCTCGGCTCAATCCTTCATTCCTCCAGGCTCCAAGGTAGTCTGCGGCGTCGGGTCCCAAACAATACGGGGCCGGTGAGGCCGATGATACTGGTGAGTGGTGACATAGACCCGCGGGCCGCGGCGCAGCGAACACGACATGGACGCGTCTAGAAGACTTTAATTTCGTGGTCGGGGTATGTATATAAGTCTCGTTGAAACGGTTATCTGGGATTTTGAACATTGCAATCACTCCACCCTCAAACACTTGTCACATTTACTAGTAATCTTAAAGAAGTCCCTCGACTGTCCCTCGACTCCCAATTCCTCATCTTAAGTCATGGGGTTCTTTGGTACAGCAGCGCTGCTCCTGCTGGGCACTGCCGCTCACTCTGGTCTTGCCCAGAGCAGCGCGACGACGGACCCCTCCGCTGCATCCAGTCTTTCAGTCGCGGAGCTGTGGAAGCTGCAGACGACCCTCTGGGACAACTTCTTGTACCCTGCCAATGCTAAGCAAATGCAGTCTATCAACTCGACGCTCTTTGCGCCAAATGTATGCAACTTGAAGACGAAGTCTGCATTCAAAATACTCTGTCTGCCACATGAATCACCATTATTAACAAGGGTCACAGATCCAAGGTCGTGTCGACATCACTCGCACATTTGACGGCGCTGAGCTCAACACGGAATACATTTTTGGCCTCTTCTCAGACCCATCCCAACTCTCGCTGATCGGTGTGCCCGTTTCATACAAGATCGTCAAGTTCGCTGCAACCGACAACATCGCGGCGGCAAGTACCATCTTCACCTTCAACGCCACCATGTTCGGCAAGCTGCTTCCTCTGAACATCGACACCTTCATCACCTTCGACAAAGACACGAAGCAGGTCACACAGTACGACGCGACCTTCAAGTGGATGGACTTCCTCTTTGCCGAGCTATACGGCGAGATCGGCAAGCTCATCCAGGCCAACTCGACCGACCAGGTGACTGCTTACCTGACGGATATGATGGCCAAGACCCTCTGCTCGACGCACAGCAGCCACTGCACGGGCACAATGCAGCAGTATGCAGACTCGGCCAGCTGCTACAACTTCCTCACCACTCAGATCCGGTTTGGCCAGACCTTTGAGATGGGCCGGAACACGTTGTTTTGCCGCATGATGCATGCTGAAATGTTGCAGTACCGGCCTGAAGTGCATTGCCCTCACATCGGCCCTTCGGGAGGGGGCATGTGCGTCGATGATCAGACATATTCCGAGAAGGTGCTCCAGGACTACTTCACGAATGCTCCATTCACCCCGCGCATCTAAGGCAGAATCATTGGGTTGGGGGGTTGGAAGCATAGGTGGATTGGGTTCACCTTGGATTCGGGTTACGGTGCTGATCTTGGGTTACTGGACTGCTCCATGTCGTCGCTCCAGGGGAAGCGTTTGCTTTTGTCTAATCCGTGTAATGCTTGGTTATGAGGCCAGTTAGCGCAGTGTTCAATACTACTGGTACATTCCCTTGCGGTTAGTAATTCCGTGAAGGAAGTCTTGGGTTCGAACTATAGGTAGAAGGTAAGGTAGTATGTATGTACATATTTGAATTTTCAGTATCGAGTGGTTTATGTCGCTGGAAGCCCTTAATAGCTGGCTAGCCTGCTATGGGTAATAGTTCAAAAAACAGAGTGGTTTTCGCATTCGGATTTAATGATGCCTTGTGTGTATTAGAAAAAAGGAGCTGTCTACTTACCTGATTGAAATCTTGTTTCTCCCCGGTGCCCCTTCTTCCGCTGAGGTAATGGGACCATCAAAAGCAAAGGTGGAAATCAAGTGAGAGATGAATGCTCGTCGCGTCAATCCTCATCTACAATCCGTATTGAGGCTGGAGTTCCAGAATCTGCCCGCGAGTCCAATGACTGTTGCAAGCAGTTAACAGAGCACTCAGAGTCTGAGTTTACAATGTAGTCCAGGGAGTCGGTGACGGCCTTGCCAATGACACTGGAAGTGTCACTTCCAGAGTCACTGTCCAGGCGCAAAGGCTGCAGCTGCTGGTCCAAGCCAAACTCAAAGTCTGGATGGCACTTCTTCAAGTGCTTATGGAGCAGCTTCGCCCTTGGGTACCATAGCCCACAGCCGGGAACAGGGCACTGGCGGTCGTACTTGGCTGCGAGAGCGCCCCCAGGATGCCAGGCTCGCAGATCGCTCACTGAGTGATGCCCAATGCCTCGCCGACAGGGTTTGCAAGATTCAGTGAACTGAATGATCAGGCGAGCCTGATCCACGTTTCTGAGCTTGCTGTCAAGCGCGGGCGGGTGCGGAGCATCTTTAAACGGCTTCTTAGCACGCCTGCTCGTGGGACGAGTCAGTATTCTCACCACCTTGCCCGTGAGCATGTGCTGAGCACACTCCTTGAGGCCGATGGAAGAGGCCTTCGAGACCCCTTCTCCCTGATGCACCTCGCGATAATGGTTCCTCAGAGAGGTTTGACCATTCCGGTTTTGAGGGTAGACCTTTTGGCAGAGATGGCACTCTAGGAGAGTGCTGAAACGCGGGTCAGTCTGGAACATCTCCCACTGCTCGAGGTGAACCCCAAGGAGATGTTGCAGTAATCCCGCGTCTGAAGTGAAGATTGGGTGTTTACAGCTTGGAATGGGGCAGAAGCCAGACTGGGAGCGGTCTCGCACCATTGTTGTCAGTTTCAACTTTTAAGCGCACACCCGCTTGCAGTCGCTCTTTACTTACCTTTAAAGAGTGTTCGTCTCCTTTCCCTCCGTACCTATCTTTTATTGAGGCAGATTGATCTCGTGTTCGTTGAAGTGTTGGAGGTCTGAGGAATGAAGCAACTGATGCGAGTGTGGGATGATGGAATGACAGATTGCGATGTGATAGATTAGCAAAGACAGGACATCACCAGAGTTTTTATATTCAAGTCGCCATATGACATGGCAACAACAGGCATGACTTGGTGTCTGGTACAATACAATACCCATGTTGGTTTCGAATAATTTGTGACAATGAGATCCTGCATTTCAGGTGCTTTATAGTAGAGACGAATGAAGCAAGAGACAAAACACTACATACTTTACCTATGCTCGAGGCTAAGCGGGGCTGGGAAAAGGTAAAAGATTTTGAGTACCAAAACAGTTCACTCATTCAGGATTCAGGCCACAACATTGACGCACTTGATGTGCCATTGCTAGGTACGGTCCCTCCTGTGTAGTTTCCTTTGTTCCACTTGCTCGAGTCCCGGCAAAGAGCTGAAACCACAACACTCCCTTCCATTGGCACTCAATTCAACGCTGTGGGCTAACAGACAGCGTCCAAGCATAGCATTCCATCTATGCTAATCGCCATGTCGGTAAGCTAGCAGGTAGGAAACCCCCTGTTTTAGCTGTGGATGTTCAGCACTGATGGCGGCATAGACGGCCAGGTATGGATACCTGTTCAGTTTCGTGTCCTCGCCACGAAGCCCTGGTAGCCGAGGCCGAAGCATCCCTAGAATCACGCAACAAATTATTCCTTTACAATGCCCCAACCTTAACCAAAGCTAGGTATATTAATGTAGCGGAGTGTCTGTGAGCCAGCCAGAGATGTGAGGCATCGTCAACGCCTAAGGCTCAGTTCCCCTGCCCATACAAGTATGCTATCTTAGCTCAGTGCGCTTCTTATCTCACTCCGCCCGCTAAGTACCATGAAACCTCAACGTTGATCTCATTCCCGCCCTTATGACTCGCCTACCCGCCAACCCTCTACCACGTCTCTTCGCCAGCCGACATCGCATAATTCCCTTGGTGGAGCCGCATTCTCGCATTGAACATGACAGCCTCCGCGAGCGAACCGGAGTGGCGTCAAAGAAACAAGGGGAAAGAAGAGCCCCTATTCAACCGGCGGGTCTGGTCTGACAGCATCTGACATGCCTATTTGCCAAGAAAAACTTCGCCAAAATCGAGTAACCGTTCCTTGACGCCAAGTAGGATGATGATCTCCCATCGGAAGAATGTAGAAAAAAAGAGAAAGGCAAGATATGCACAAAGGAAATAAAGCATATGAGATGCCAACGTATCAACAGTCTCTACAAATCCAAGCAAGTTTAAGGAGAGCGAGAGACTTGACCAATGTAAATTGGAAGGATGGAGTTGACTTATAACCCGATAGTCAACAGCTCTAACCTCGCCGCCACACTCTCCAAATTTGCATTGATCCGCTGGAACCTCGCCATTGCCAAGCATGCCGCAGCCTCCTCTTCTGTGGCATCCACGAGTTCGTACCGTGCAAACGCCTTCTCGGGTTCAATCCCGCCGAAGATGTCAATTTGCGACAGCGCCTCAATGTCGAGCTCCACTGCGGGCTTGATCGCTTCTGGCGTGGAAGGAGAATCATGGTAGAGTGCAAAATCCGGGTCATTTTCGAATTGCTCGTCGATGGGTGCCGGGGTTGTGGCAGCAGCAGCCGCCTCATCATGAGGAGGCGCGGGAGCAGGATGCTCAATCATAGGCAGCTCCGCCTTGTCTTCATCTGAGGAATCGAACGATTCGCTAGCGAATGAGTCCGGTTTGCCCGACAGCGTGGCAGCGTCAAGGATCGGCTCGGGAGTTTCCAGGACGGCGTAGACTTGAGGCTGGAACGAAAAGCCATCGACCGGGTTGATGGCCATCATTGGAGCCGTCTGTTCGGGGATCATAGCAAGTCCGATCTGTGGGTGCTGGGTCACTTGCTGCGCTGCGTAGGGGTTGACATCCTTGGGCATTTGGCGCTGGTCCTGTGACTGAGGCTGTGCTTGCGGTATCATCTGCGGATTGGAGCTGAGGCGATCGAGGAAGTCGGAAAAGGAAGGGGACGAGAGGAGCATGCGAGTGAGATCGCTCAGACGTTTGTTCTCTTCGATTAAAGCTCGGTTCTGAGCACGCAGATCGCCATTCTCATTGACCTTGTTGGCAATCTCGGTCTCGAGTTGAGAGATGTATTCTGCAGAACAGTTAGTTTGAGGGAGCCAGAGTGGGGGAACAAGCTCGATCCTTACCCTTTCTCCTGGACCGGAACGCACGAGCAGAAACTTTGTTGCGAAGTTGGCGTCGTTCCTTGCTACTGAGCTTCTTGCCTTCCTCGCTAGCCAAGAGCCGTTCATCCTCATCCATCTCATCCTCATCCTTCCTAGGTCGAGGTAAATTTATGACGGGTGGATTCTGAGAAGATTCGGCTGTGGATGGCTTGGCTCGCATCGAATTGAGGAGCTGCGTGATTTTCTGTTCCACGATGGGGTCTGTTGCCTGAGGGGACTTAGATTTAGAAGCCTGCTTGGAGTGCTGTTGAGTTTGTCGTTGCCTCTGCAATAGTTGCTGCTGCTGCTGCTGTTGTTGTTGCTGCGCCCTGGCCAGCGCTGCCTGTTGGTGCATACCTGGCCACATGCGCCCCACGTTGCTTTGGGTCGACAAGGGCGACGGCGACGACAGTGTGCTTGGCTCTTGGCCACCGATGGAGCTGGGGTTGACCGTTGACTCGAACAGCATGCTGGGATTGCTAGAGGGCGAATCAAACTCCAAGTCCATGTCCGGCGAGGCGCTGAAATCGTTGAAGTCAAACACGTCGTCCGAGTTCGCCATTCCGAGGTAGTCGAAGCCGCCGAGCCCACCAAAGCCGTGAATGTGCGAGTTGTTTTGATTCGCGGCCAACGTTGTAGCCAAAGCTCCTGGCACGATGCCTGTCTGCTGCTTGTAGAGATCGTACTGGTGGCTGGGCCCAGTGAGAGGCTGACTGGTAGACAGCAGCGATGTCTGGGCGGTCTCGGTCTTGATGGACCTAGTGGTGAATGTCGTCTTGTTCGAGGATACGGGCGACAGCGAGGGTGACTGGTATGGGACGCTATCGAACTCCGAAAGGTCAAGGAAAGAGTCGGCCAGATGATCGATAAGGCCAAGCTGCGTGGCAGCCGGGCTCGTGGACAATGATCCGGACATTGCCTGCTCCCCCCGAGTCGGAGGCCTAAGTGAGCTCCTGGCGGTTGAGGCGGCGAAAGGCTAGTCGCAATCAGCTTGATCAGACCTGATCAACTCGGTCAATTCCCCGGACTCGGACGGTCGCAAGGCAATGATTTGTTTGTCGTTGCACGGGGCGATTGACCTGAATGACGGTGGTGGAGTTTGTTGTTGGCGGGCGAAATGTGGGAGCAAGTTGGAAAGAAAGGCGCTGACAGCAGGCGCTGGGGGATTTTCTCTGTCTGGGTGCCTGGCTTTGGGTGCAGTCTGCTTGGCACTATCGGGGGGCTCAAGTGGGGCTATCCTGGATAAGCGAATGCGGGCTGACAGGGATCAGTCGCTTTAGAAAGGGGGGACGCGTAATCCAATGCGAGGGTCAATGTTCACCCCAATCCCGCAACTCTCCTGCCTCGAGACCGGACGAATTAGCTTCGGTCTTGGGAGAAATAGCCTGTTAACAGCGACAGAGCGCAATCGCAACCGATTTTCGACAGCCCGCTCGGACACGCTGTCCCGGACATTCACCCAGTACTTTATGGCAACTGTGAGATGGCTGCGCTGCATGCATCCTTACTGCTCACTGAGTACGGAGGTACAGTACAGTACATACAGTATGTAAATTACGACTAACCCCAAACGCCGTGCTGGGACTGTTAGGTAATTACGGTACAATACATCTCTGCCGCTGCGGCCTCGGGATGACGACGCAGCTTCCCTTTCGGGGAAAAGGATCATGTTCAGGTCGCAGTATCCGTAAGATGGAAGTTGATACACTGGGGTATATTGGCGACTAGGTACGAAACGAGGAAGAGATACGAATGCTATATGACGAGGACAAAAGCTACAGGTTCTCAAAAGGCGGAGAGCAGAAACACGACGAGGGATTGCACAACTGGGCAACCGCAGCGAACCACAAGCAATCGACATGATCAACAGGCATGCTGTTACAGTACACTACACAATACCGACGAGAAGAGACGGGGAACGATGGAATCAGACAGGAAGCCAGAGAAAGGAGAAAGCCCGGAAGCGACGGGAAGGCGCAGCCAACGCTGGCAAATTGGAGAAATTGTTAAGTTAGCTCGCATTTGCACTGCCTCAACCGCTCATCAATCTCTCTCCATCATTCAACCAGTCAAGGAAAACCCCCACTGCTGAATCGTTGGAGCAGACATCCAGAAATTTGAAACACCCTGCGGGACTCACTTCCGTCGAGGGAATCCAGGCCGAATAAAATTCAGCGGTTTGGAGGCTCCTCTACTGGACTCGACCTTCACATCTTCTTTGATCGGTCTCCATGCATCTGTAACGTGCGCTCTGTGAATATCAGCGACCACCAGAAGCGTGGAGATTCATGCGATCGGCCTCTGTTTCGGCCCCCGAACCTAATGTAGCTAGAACACCTGGGGTCCAAGCAGAAACAAAAAGACAACGAGGATAATGCACTGCCTCAGCTGCTCCAATCGGGGGAAATCTAGCTGACAAGCGCTCCAGCGGGAGATGGGTACAGCGCGGTCAATCCCTCGTCGATCGTCAAACATGGACGACACGTTCGACAACGAGGTAGGTTTGATGAAGGACGAATGGACACTTGGGCCTAACCATCCGCATCGGGCGGCTTTCCAGTTAGGTACCTGGGCCGTTTGAAGACCGGTGAGTCGGCGTTTGTAGCTGCCGACCAACCCTTAAACATCACTTGAACTCCGTGATTCGGTCCCCTTTGTCAGCGCCACCAGCCACAACGGGGCTTATATTCATGTGTGGCTTCCGAGTTGTCCAAAGACCAGCCCACTTCCCGAACATCCTCGGCCGTTGTGGGTGTGCCGAAGATCGACTCGGCAGTGAGCGCCAAGCTCATTCATAGCTGCGCGGCAAAAATAGAAGCTCGCCTTGGGGCTTGTGGGTAGTGCAAGCATGTGGCTGTTTCATCATGACGTTGGCTATCCCGTGATCGGGCGATTCGCTGTGTTCGTCGAGTACCGGTATCGAGAGTAGTGGCCCCTATGGGGCTGGCGGCCTCTCATGCAAAGGGCGCTAGACGAGACGAATTACCTAAGTCTCTTGTGTAACGTTCGGTATGTCCTCAATGCTTCTTTCCACGGCTCTCTAACGGATAGTACGTGTAGGTGTAAGTTACTAACTTGATTCCAAGAGCTCAAGCTTCTCCGCTCATCAACACCCTTTTTTTTTTTTTTTTTTTTTTTTTTTTTTTTTTTTTTTTTTTTTTTTTTCAGATTTTCTGGTGATTATCATCGCAACTACGAATTAACATGGACTCGGAGTTGCATACCGTCACGACTCACTAGTGACTACTGGGCATTCTGAGACTCGACAATAGGCCAATTATCTGCTCAATCCATCGTCGGATAGAGCCAGACTATGGATATCCACAATGCCTTGCCTGTTTAGCCTTACTTAACAGCTTCAACTCGAATTCATTGCAAGTACACGACTAGAGCTTGAGCCTTGCGGTTCTTCTGATATCCTGTAGTGTTGACCTATACCACGGCACATCTGCGTCAGGCTCATCCTTAATTCCCGAAGTGCGCGGGTAAAGATTGACTCGCTACCTGAGTGCGAGAAATATTTGATAGCTCCTTGGGAAGTCTGAACAGGCTGGGATCGTGACGTATCTATCAACCGGGGCAATGCGGGACGGAGAAACACTTGAAATGCGGCCATTGTACGGAGTAAAGCTTGCATTGCTTTCATAACTCACTATGGCTACACAACATGAATTGCTAGATGATTATACGATTCACTGGCAGTGGTTACCGCCTTGAGACGAATAGGTTTGAAAAGATTCAGGTATGAATATACTTGATATCGCTAGGACGAAGTAAACCCTGCTAACGAAAGGCATAGCTAACTTCGAAGCCAGGCTGACCTGAAGAGCCAAGCTAGGAATGTCCACCAGGGAGTTGTGGGGTCTGTTTTGGGATGTTTTGAGACCTCAAACAGACTCAAACTCATCAGGCAAGTGACAAAAGCGGGGTGGACCACTATGCGTGTAGGTAGTTATCAGATGTCGTAGACTATCTGCCCCAGCAAATGTTTACCCGTTGGCTGGATCTTGGTCGATCTCAGGGCCACTTGATCGGGTACAGTACACATACAAGCTGTTTTACCTGGTTTCCTCTCTCACCGAGGCGGCAAAATGGAACTATGAGCATCAAAAACAACAAACAGCGTTCTTTAAGCGTACACGCGTTTGAAATACTGCTTTCCATACCTCAAAGACCATGCAACTTTCCGACTGACCAACTGGCAAAAAAATGGATAGTCCTGGTGGGGATTGAACCCACGACCGTCGCATACCCATGACCCAAGCAAGGGGTATAAGAGCGAAATCTTAACCGCTAGACCACAGGACTATTTCCACTGATTGGTGGTGCTACGCAAAATTCCCGCTCTAAGAAGAACTTTGTTTGATACCGACCCCTGATTCTGATACCTAACGACAACCTACCAAATGGTGAACCTCACGCTGCGACAGGCTGTGCCAGTGTGATTGAACGTCCCATTCGATCGACTTTCCCCATGCAACTTTGAGTTGCTTGTTCTTGCTCCCGGTCGGAAATTAAGTATGATTTAGGCACGCAGTAAATTCCTTCTTCATGGAAGACTTTCGATCGTCTGTTGACTGTTCCCGACCAGACTCTGAGGGAATCGACACGGGTAGGTTAGTTACATGGAGTAGTTGGTGTAGTTTTACTCCTATTTGAAGTCAGGTCGACGCACCCTACCCAAATTGAGTTGCAACTACTATTGCTGGAAAGTCTGAACTCTCAGCCGCGGCTTGTATACTAGCGACCATGTAATTGTACCGCTATCTACGGAGTACATGTACAGTCTAATGAGTCATGTTAACAAGGCAATCGCAGGCCAAAGTTCGAAACTATCACTTACTGTGTACAACTACAGTTTTGTGAATCCTTCCCCCCTATATTCCACCGCATCTCGGCCATTCTCTCTGCAAAGGCTTGAAAGAAAACTTGAAAAATGCAGGAACTTGGGAATAAGCATCCAAGTCCACTCAGAAGGCATCACAGCCTGTTCTCAAACTGATGTTCGGGTATCACTGACCACCGGTGATCAACCGTTATAGAAGAATATGGCCATCAGCGGGCCGCTCCAGGCACAGACCGAATCATCGACCGCTGCCTGGCATGGTCAGTGTCACCTGTGCTTGGCCCTGCCTCGAGGGTTATCCGTACGACTGCGATGGCGAACTTGGTCCGGGGCCGGCGACTCGGGAAGAATACAGAGCGGCGTTCGATACCAGCAATCCTCTGTGTTATCATATTAGTACTTGGCTGAAATGACGGGTTTGGGGACTGGCAAGTAGGTCAGGGGTAGTGAGTAGGCTCACAATTGGGATTGAGGTAAGGTTAGCACACACTAGATAGAGCTCGGATGTAGCAGGTTAGTTTGCCCCACGAGGTCGTCGTATATCCGTGACTCAACGTGAGTCTTCCTCTTGTATAATTCTGACTTACTTCCCGCTGGACTGGCAGCAGCAGAGGATCTGTGCTAACGGGCCTCGAATCCCGACAGGGGATCTACCAACGATGATGAGAGTGCACGGCTACCTTGGGAGTCTGGGACGTGTCCTCGGCCATATATGGGATCCTGCAGAACAATTCCGGTGGCGATGTCCTTTGGTCGATGCCGCCCAGGAGCATTTATGGAAAGCCCTCGACGGCCTTGTTCTCACTGTTAGCTCCTGGAAGGATCGGAGAAGGGCGGTGAAACGGCCAAAGCGCCGATCAGTTGTGGCTCGACATTAGGGTATGGTATCATCGATGGTTAAACCCAGGCGACAAGGAAGTATTGAGCTCCGTCCTTTCTCTCGGTTAGGTCCAATACTACAAGTTGCCGCTACCCTCAACATTTATATGTAGGACGGGCGTATGGCTTCGTGCTTCAAGTCTGAGGCGCTCCATGTCATTCTGTGATTCTGTCTTAGAGCCTGATAGTCATTTCGAAGTTGGCGACTTTGAACAATCAAGGGATTATGTCCGAGAACAGCAATGAAGGCTGTGATTCTACCTCGGGGACGGCGAGGACGATGAGGATGACCTCAGGAGAACACGGTTACCCCGCGCTCCCATCAAGCATGAACTCGCATCAACCACTCTGGCATCATAAACCTCTAAGAAGGGCCAAGCTCTGCGGTGCCAGTGAGAGCGATTTCCTCTGTGTCTTCGAGGTTCACATCGGCTATCTCCCTGTCGGACCGCTCAACTCTCGGCGTAGCCCGTATTTGCGCGCCAGGGGACCAGCACTAACGCCCCCGTACTACGTCCTTCGGTTGTAGGTGACAAGCACCTGCAGGCTGCCATTGTAGCTCTCAATGTTCAGTCTCGACAGCGAGATGATAGATCATGCTATTGCCGTTCATGCCGGATAGAAATCCACGGAAGCTGCGAGCCTAAGGCAGGATAAGCAAGACGATGCTGAGGATTGCCGAGAAGATGGGGTCCCACCGTTCAAATGAGTCTTGACATCAGTTTATCTCACTTTGAAGTTAGTATACCCTGCAAGCATGGAGACTTGGGCAAGGCCTGGGTATTGGCGTTTTTTATTTGTGTCTTTGCTTTGCATGCCACCTAGAATGGATTTTATCGTTCCCATTGCTAGGATGACGTTGAACCAAAACTTCTTGGGCAACTGCGGAACACTGCAGCATGCGGGTCGACCCGTCACCCGCTGGAATGCCAGCCCTGAAGCGACAACCAACCATTACCTGCTCTTTCAAAGAAATTCACACATTCACACTTCACACAAAATTGGCGATCGATGTCCAATGCCGCACAAAAACTCATTTTGACTGAAAGCAAAGCGGCAACAATGACTACGCATTTTCCAGGACGTCAATCATGACCATCTGCCGCAGTGTCGCCAAGATGGGGGGCGGGGCTGATTGCCCGGCAACCGTTTGTTTACCCAGCGGGGGATTGGCTCCATTGACCTGTCACAGCCCATCACGGCCCGTCACCGCCCTTCCGCGGGGGCCTGTCCAGCGTGTTAGACCAGTCGGGTGCTCCCACTGCAAAAACAATCCGCAGCTCCTCGTCGTTTCGGACCACTGCCAGCGCATCGCTGCCCGGGACACCAGTGGAGAGACCATTCTCATTGGATTTCATTGTCTGAGCTCCCAGGCCGCGCATGTCATTTCTGTAAACATAAATCCACCAGCCTGCCGCTGCAGAAGTTGAAAAATGCCACGGAAGGTCCAAGAACTCGACCTGGATTTCCAGATTTATGTAGACCCTTCCTGTCTGAGCGAGCCGATGGAGGACGACATTCCGGTAACGCAGCAGCCGCCCTTGAGCGACGAGGCGCACAATCCCACAGTCACAGAGGACACAGAAGAAGACGCGATTGCGGCGAATGAGACAACCGCAGAGTGTCAACCGGCCGGCGACAGTGGCGATGTTCCCAATGAAGACCTGCAGGAACATACGGCCGCTGACGAGGATGGCACACAAGCGGATGAACCTGCGGTCACTGAGCAGGCCGAGACCACAGTTACACCTGACCAGCCGGTGACTGGGGAAATCCAGGAATATGCGCCAGCAGATGATGTCGTCGCCGAGGTTCAGCCAGTTGTCCAGCTAGCACTCGACCCAGAAGATGGGACCGCGATTCAAGAGGTTCCGGAGGACACAGCTGCACACGACGGGCATTCAGATTCCGAGAAGCGCACAGACCTTGAAGGAGAAGCGACAACCGACGAGTCTCCCATCGTCGAGAACACCCCAACGGACACTGCGGCTGAGGAACCTGAACATGTCGAGGAGGCCGTCACCAACGCTTCCCTTCCTGGGTCCGACAGCCAGGAGCTATCCACTGGCGGCAGCGAGCCAGTTGGCCAAGCGGAAAACGAGGGGACTCAAGTGGGACAACACAAAGATGTTGGCGACGCCGAGGAGACGACTGAGGATGCAAATACTCCGAGACCAGCATACGACATGGACATGGATGCCGAGCAGACATACAGCGCGCCTCAGCCATCAACTTTCACGGACCGCAAGACTTCGTTTCGGACGGAGGCCTTGATCCAGGCTGCTGCACGTGCCGTTGTGGCCAAGATTGAGAAGCGTCACAGCGGAGGGTCGACCGAGCACGATGACGATGAATTCGAACACTCCTTTCTTAGCACTGGCTCGCACGGGACCCACGGCCTTGGAGATGCCGATCAGGCTTTTGATAGGCCGCGCGGCTCAAGCCGTCGGGAATCATCCGAGTCACAAGTCCGACACAACCTTCCGTCTCGGTCCACCTCTGGCGATGAGGGTGGTGACAGCAGCTCCCACAATGAGCCCGACGACGACGTGTTTAGTGACCGCAGCGCTCGAAGTTCGCTCTGCTCACTTGAGGCCAACGACTTTGACGTGAAGACACCCCAAGCGAAGCAGCACCTGTCACGCCGGGAATCGTTCGCATCCAGCAGAAACTCGCCGAGAGCAGTGTCAGGACTCTCAGTCATCTCTGGCCTCTCCCAATATGACAAAGAGCATTTCGTCCCCACCAGCCGCGAAAACCGGATGCCTTTCCGCACGCCCTCAGAAATTCGTGCCATGCAGATGGGTTCCCCCACGCCGTCAGTCTTCAACGGCAGCTCACCTCGATCTAGCCGGCGTCACGCGGGGAGCCCCAACGGTATTCTCCCGCCAATCTCGAGGATTGGGAGCCCGACGGTTTCTACCCAGTACTCGCCCAAAGGCCGGTCGACCCCGCCGCGGCTCAAGGTTCGCAAAGAAGCCCCTCTTGTTCTTCTCCACGTCACTCTGCTACCCCTGCGATGGGTATGGGGCGATGTGCTGAATGGTTTAGACGCTATCAATGGCAAGGTCCTCGGAGATATGGAACAGCCATTTGAGGCGTCTGACCAGCTCAAGACACTCCGCGATTCCTGGCGAGAGCTACAAGACCGTGTTGGGGATACTGTCCTCGAGCGCGGCATCCTGCTCCCCCATCCGCAGAATGACTATGAGGTTCTCGAGGAGAGACTGCTTGAAGCGCTTGAGCTTCCCCTACGGCGACGCGCAAGGATCCTTGAGTGCGGACATTACCTTGGTCCAGCCAATGAGATGGTCGACGATGAGGAGGAGAGTGACGACGAGGTGTCCCAGTCTGGGCGGACCAAGGAGGAGAAGAGGCACTGGTGTAATACCTGCAGAAACGAGATCAAATACGATGATCTGGGTCCAGGCAAGGTCTTCCGTGTCAAGGTCTACGCCAGCAACGGGCTTATGAAGGCTGGCGCGTGGGAGGCCTGCTGGAAGGAGATGGAACGGGTTGACGTGGAAGTTGAGCCTATTGTCAACCCATCGCTGCAGAATGAACTCGAAAAGCTCAGTGTCCTGCAGCTTGAGTTGGCGGAGCACCATCAGAGGCAGGAGCCTGACCTGGAACGAAGCCCCGAGCCAGAAGCAGAACCCAAGCAAGAGCCATCACCCGACCTGGCACAGCATACCGATACCCAGCAACCTTCCCACTTCACTTCCCCCGAGCCTGAGCCTCCACAACCCGACGCCCACAGCCAAGGACAGCACCTCATGCCTTGCCCTCCGCCTTCAGCGATGCAACTCGCCATGCCAGCCTCCCCTGCCCAACCTACCCTGACCCCCACCATTCACCTCAGCCCTCCGACGTTCGCCCATCCCTACCACGACATGTCTGAAGACCGCCGTCGACGCGAGGAGGAACGCATGCGCGAGATCTACGGCGATACGATGCCACAACCACCCCCTCAATTCCAGCCGTCCGACGCTCACTATCCACCGCCCCAGTCTCATTCCCATGCCCTGACGCCGTCCATCGGCCTCCTCACCGATCACTCCTCCTCCTCTCCCGCAAGCACCCTCCGCCAAAGACACCCGGATTCCTACGTGGCCCCTCCAATGCAGCGCTCCCCTTCGGAGGAGGCGTATGAGCGCCGTGAGCGGAGGCAGCAGCAGCAGCATTACCAGGAGGAGAAGCGGGAGGAGCAAAGGATGAACGGGAGTGCAGGGGAGCCAGGGTTTGTGGAACTCCTTATGGAGGCGTTCAAAGTCCTTTTGAGGGACCCCAAGAACGTAGCCATTATTGTGCTGTGCGTGTTCTTGATGGTCTTGATGAATCGGCTTGGGCAGGGGTATTCCTTTGGGAACGGCAATACCGGTGCGGGAGGTGGAAATGGGCTCGGGGTGTACAGAGGGCATGAAGTTCCTGTCAGGATGGAGGTCGGTGGAGAGAAGGTTGATGGGAAGGTGGAGGTGCTGGTTGAGGGGATGGCGGAGACATCGCGTGCTGTTGAAGGGGTGCGGATGGATGACGGTTTGGTGGTGGAGAAAACACCGGCCTTGAAAGGCGAGGAGGGTGAGATGGTGTCGATGCTGCTGCCGGAAGAGCCGGCGCCGGCTATGCAAGTTGAGGAGGTGGCGATCATGTCACACCCTGCGCTGGAGGCTGAAGCGCCGGTTGAGCAGGAAGCCCTCGGTTTTACGCCGGTTGAGGATGTGTTCGGTTTTGCGACTCCAAATGCGGATTTGGAAGTGTCTCCGTCCGGTGCTTTGGAGGAGCCGGATGCTAACAGTTTGCTGGAAGCTGAAGCATTGGCGGTCAACGAGAGTGTTCCTGCCGATGTGGCGGCTCAAGAGGTGGAAGACCAGCAGTTGCTTGGCTCGCTGGAAGATCCTGCTCTGATGGCCGCGGCTGAGCTCACAGAAGCCAGCACGGAGGAAGTTTCCGCTCCCGAATCTGACAAGATGGCAGACATATCCATGTCTTGCGGCGCCGAGGCCACACCGGAGGATACCGATATCCCGTCCGTCGTGGACCAGCCAGAACCCACCGTCCCTCTTGCCACAGAGCCCGAAGTCAGCGTTGCCGACGAGGGCGAGGGATCCATTCCTGCAACACCAAAGATGGAGATGCTCGGCGATGGTAATGGTTTGCCCAACCCCGAGCAGGGAGAGCCGTCCCCCATTCCCACACCCAACGCCGAAGCAGGCAGCGGGTGCGATGTCGACGCGGACTACGACTACGACTATGATAGCGACCATGACACAGACGAACCTTTTACAACAACCCCCTCCCCCGTGCCGTCATCATCCGAGGTCTTTGTCCCCGGCCCGTTTGTAACGGAGCGCAAGACGGTGCGGGTGTTTGAGACGGTCACCGAGACGGTTCGCGTGAGCGTGGTTACCCAGACCGAGACGGTCAGCACCGTCGTCACGGCTGTCCCGCAGACGGTTGAGGAGACGGTCTACGAGACGGAGACGGTTCGCATCACGGTCTCGGTGCCCGTCAATGAGGGCGGTAAGGGGGAGAAGCGGAGACGAGGGAGTTCGGGATGTCGGGCTTAGATTGATTGATTTGAGCACAAGGAAAGAGCTTGGCCCGATCGATGCATATGTGTGTATGAGAGAATGAGGGTATGTGTGACGCGGTGGTTCAGACTGTTGAGTAGTGGGTGAACTTGGAATGATGGGTTTATGTAGTGGGATGTGACATGCTTGTATGTGGGGCATGTGGTTTCCTTGTGTTGTTTTCCTAGTTCATGATTCTTTGGCCCAGATAGCGGATACTACCTAGATGTGCAGCGTTAAGATGTGTTATGATGACGGAACATGAAGAACATGGAGATATTATTTGTATCATTGGCTCCTTCTTTTTTGGTCAAGAGTGAGCGTGCATATGCAACCTATGTCGTGCATGACCGTGAACAGCGGGCTACTGGTGTCATCCACTCGAAGCAAGAGGTTTCAATGCCATGTGGAACTTCCAGGATCAAACCCGAGGTCGTCGTAGAATAATTGCTTGCAGTGTCTCGCTCCGCTGGGGATATCCGCATGTTCCACACCGGCGTAGTGTAGCAGCCGTCGAAGCCTTGTCCGTTGTGGAGCGTCGCATTTGGGGTACAGACACAGAGTCCACCGAGTGGTCGTCTGAACTCTGAAGCCAGAAAGTGTGCAAGTGGTGACACAGAACCATTTCAGTTTGGCAAGTGTTTATCGAGAACCTAGGGGCCGGCGCAACGCATGGGATTGAATGACGGACATGGTTAGAAAAGGGTCAATTCAAGAGGAGAGTGAGGTACTGGTGACATGGTGATATTGTAGACCATCAATTGTGTGACATGCTTAGAAATGGCAAAGCTGACGCAGGCAAGCATGTTGGAAGGCCAAGTACCTCAGCAACAGCAACTGCGACTGACCTGTGGAGATGGATGTCGATGTCTGTCTCTGCAAGTGGGGGGTGAGTGAGATGATGTGTGGCGGTCTGTGCGTTTCTCCCGTTATCTTTCCATGTCGTCTGTTGACTGCTCTGGTCCAGCAAACGGGCATTGGATTGGCAAACAGAGAAGTAAACAATTCGTCAGTAGTGCGTTCTTGACTTTAGATTGTCTCTCAAACGAATTGCTACCGTTTACTGTGTCATGTTCCCGCCGATTCGGATCTTGCACTTCGAAATCTTTTTGACGAGAAACGGAATTTTTTGACAGAAAAAGGAGCCCGAATTGGAAAAGCCACGCGGGAACGGGAACCCCTGCGCTTGGCCAGCCCCTCTCCCCAACTTTTTCTTCGCCAACCATCCGATGCTTCTACCCCAGGGTCCCAGATTCCCAGGGGCAAGTCTTCTCTCGTTCGCTGAAAATCTCAGGCACCGTCCTGCGAGCTGTGGGTAATTGCAGTCCCTTTGTCGAGCCTTGATTGCTCACCCGTGGAAATCTGGGAAAGGCGAGTCAGTGACTGACATCAGCAACCGGCAGCGTTCCCAACGAGCGAATTCGCTTTCCCAATTAGATGATTGGCACTAGCGAGGTTTCTCTCTGGAGATGAACGGCAGACCCACCCCTGATGCAGACGGGAAATTCAGGACGATTGCAATATCGCAGCACTCGCGGGCATCGAGGCTTCACTAATCCACCGCTCCTTCGCTCTACTGAAACTAGACCGAGCTGAGAGTTCCTGCGCGGCGACGAAACTACTCAGATTTTCAGAGCGAAAACCGGCGCCGGACGATTAGAATCTGACGCAGCCGTGCCGAACCTTGACAGACTGCGCCGCGCATTCCTTCCCCGTCCCGGGACCTCCCTACGAATAAGCTGCGATACCCATCAAGATCAGATCCATAGATGCGTTCCTGCCGCCCACCATGCCCTGGCAACCTTTGCCTCGCATCGCCTTCGCCGTAGCGACCTATCCCTTTGCCGCCTCGAGTCCCGCCGATTTACCTCTTGAGCTAGGCGACGAGCTGTACATTATCGAAGAAACCCCCGACGGCAATTGGCTCCGCGGCTATCTGGTCGCGCCTCCAAGTCTGCTCGCCGGCTTGACCAGTGTCAAGGGTCAGACCTTAGAGGCCCGCGTCTTCAGTGGCGTATTTCCCCGCAGCTGCGTCGAGGTCCGTGAGGTGTTGGGTGAGGTCGACGACACCGACGATGTCGAGAGCGAAGATGACACGGCCCCGGTATCCGAGCCCACGCGTGGAGGGGCCGATTCGGCAAAAGCTGGGCTAGGAGGGAACAACGCCGAGAGGAAGAGGAGGAAAGACAACCTAACAGGCCCGCGGAGTAAGGCCTCCAGGGAACATATCGCCCTTTCTAATGGAAACCAAGGGCCACTCTCACTGCCCGTGAAGCGGGATCCGAATGCGCCCCGACCACCGGCGCCCGTACCTATGCTCAAGATTGGCGACGAGACGCCAACCTCAACTTCGGAACCGCTTATTGACGAGATAGCGTCCTGTCTGAGGGAATGGCACTCGACAAATCTCCACGAGCTGCTGCTGTCGCGCCAGTACGGGAAGTTAGACACGCTGTCGCAGCTTATCAACGCCCTCAACTTTTCGCGCCAGCAGTTCTTGCACGACGTGCTGACGACATGGGAGTACGAAAATCTGCGCGAGAAGACCGTATGGGACCTAGTCCGTGTCAATAAGCTGTGCGGGGGCGAAGTGATTGTGCGTGACCCGCACGCCCGTGGCCGGGTGCTGACCGGGGACGACTCGGTTATCGAGATCACGAAACTGCAGTCCATCATGAGCCTCCTGGACGAGACGCCAAAACACACAGTCGAGCTGACTGCGCTGCACCATTTGCTGGTGGATATCAAGGGCCTCGCCGGTGCATCCACCGAGGACACCACCCTGGTACTGTACCTGGCGACAAAAACATCCGGCGGAGCGTTGACGCCCCTCTCCGAAAACTACATTGTCGAAATGCCCGCTGGCGGTCGAATGGTCCATCTAGCCAGGAACATGCAGATGCGCACCCTCTTCGCCGACTTGACCGCCATCGAGATCGGCGATGTGCCCTCGGTCGAGTCAGACCTGTTCCTCGTCGTCAAGATCCGCGCGCCGCAGCAGGTCACGGGTGCAAAGCCCGGCTCGCGGTCCGGGTCGCAGGGCCCGCCGCAGTTCTCGAAAGACCCGTCGAAACCGCCGCTATCCGCCGGGGGCAAATCAGTACGTAGGAGCCTGATGTGGGCCGGCAAGAGTACAAGGTCGGCATTTTCGCGCGGCAACGCCAGGCTTGATTCGCTGTCGGAGCAACCAGAAGAGGCAGGATCGCCAACCACAGCCGGCGCAGAAAGTCGCGACGGCCCGCCGCCCAGCACGGCCAACTCCAAGACGGGCCGCGCTTCTGTGGACGGTAACGCAGCCCAATTGATGGCCGATAAAACGGTCGGCGTTGGCGTGCTAAAACTGAACTCGGTCATGAAAGAGGACGAGGAGGTCGAGCACATCGTGAGTATATGGTCTCCATCATCGAGGGGCCCCGAGAGGCAGCAGGATGGCGACGAATGGGACCCAATAATCCGTGAGATTATGGATAGTAAGACAGGATACTACGAGAAATCGAGAAGGGCGGAACGCTTGCAGGTACATCTCAGAGCATTCAGCCATCCGGATGCGGATGCCCTGATCAAAGAAACCCCCACCGTGCTCTCCGGCATTTGCAAGACGAGCAAAATGGGCTTCTCAGGGGCACCAACAAAGCAGCGGTCCGACATTTACCTGACAATCGACGAGGCCGTCCTCACCCGGCAGACTCTATTGTCTCGATACGGCGGCAGCGCAACGTCTCTCCCGAACACCATACACGGGAACAATCTGCAAATTACGCTCGAAGTCCGCAGGGCGTCCGGTGAACGCATCGATAGCTGCATCCACCCCTCGTCAAACTCAGAACCTGTGAGCACTTGGAAGACGGTCGTTACTGAACGTGGAGATCCTTGGCGGCAATCAATTAAGCTCGTCCTCGCTCCTGCAGACGTCCAACAGGCACACGTGGTGATGCACCTCGCCGATGCCCCTAATCCGCCCTTTGCTGTGTCGTACATGCCTCTTTGGGATAAGCAAGCGTTTATCCACGACGGGCCGCACAATCTCTTGCTCTACAAGCTAGACGAGCACACGGCCACGCCTCAGCCTGGCCCGCAGGCCAAGGGCGGCTACCTGAGCCTACCCTTTTCTGCCAGGGGAAAGGATGAACATCAGGCCGAGGTGACAGGGCCTTTCGCCGTGGTGCGCGTCGAGACCTATCTGTGCAGCACGCGGTTTTCCCAAGACAGAGTGGTACTGGGCTTGCTGGCATGGAAGGAGGCTCCTCGGGATGGTATCCCAAATCTACTGAAGGAGTTTATTTTCGTCGCTGAGATTGAAGTTGTCAAACTGCTAAGCGATGTTCTGGATGCTCTGTTTGGTATTCTTGTCGAGTACTCTGGCAATGATGATTACGAAGACCTCGTGTTCACGGCGCTCGTGAGGGTGCTGGATATTGTTCATGACAGGAGATTCAACCTGGCGCCACTAGTCGACCAGTACGCCGAGAGCAAGTTCAACTATCCCTTCGCTACGCCGTGTTTGGTTAGGTCCTTCACGCGGCTCTTGTCGAAGCCTACCGAGCCTGAGACGGCAAGAAAGCTTCGCGCTACCTTCAAGGTCGCGAGGCATATTCTCAAGTTCATCACACATGCCCGAGATCAGCAGAAGGCGAAAGAGGCGGGAATCGGAATCACCCACTCAAGTCCAGGCTTCACACGTCACCTGCGGGGCATCTTCAAGGCCCTCGACTCCATGATGCGCAGCACCGCCCCTGTCCTTGTGGGCAGCCAAACCCTTGCCGTTCAGCACTTTCACACCTGGCTTCCGGAGCTTGCCGGGCTCTTGACTACCGAGGAGATTCTGCACATCGCCATCGATTTTATGGATTCTTGCTCGGGGGTCAAGGGCAAGCTCGTCCTGTACAAGTTGGTCCTCATCATCAACTACGCAAAGCTCGAGATATTTTCGCACCCGGAGCAGCGGTCTGCTCTAAGCGCAAATACCGTCAGGTGGATAGCACCGCACTGGGGACATACTGACGAGGTCACGGAGCAGTGGAGAGAGCAGGTTCGCCTCTGTTGCTCCGTTCTCGCCAGCCAGGTCGACCACCTCGGCCCCGAGATCCCCGACTACATTCCCAAAATTATCCAGTCCTATCTGGTCATACAGGCTGTCCCGAAGAAGCCCAAAGACCGCCTGTCGCTTCTTTTCCCCACGTCATACCCATTCCCGAGCAAGCCAATCACCGAAGAAGCCGTGTTCGATGAGGCCCTCATTGAGCTCTCGGCCGTCCTCTCCGCACTGTCCAACTCACCTGCCGGAATGCAGCTCGAACTGGCCGAGGATGACCTCAACGTCATCGTGGAAAACTCTCTCCGCGTGCACATGAGCATCTTGCAGGGCGAGACTTTCCCTTCGAATTGGCTGAGCGTGCACATCTTCCACCACAAGTCGACGATGCGGACGCTGCAGTACCTTGCCGGCATCCTCCTAGAGTCGTTTCTCCCCCACCCGGACGAGGCCGAGAACTTCAGCACCGAGTTGTGGAAACTCTTCTTCACCACGCTGCTCAAGCTAGTCGGAAGTCCTTCGCTCGCGCTCGAGACGTTCCCAGAGCAGAAGCGACGGGCCGTCTGGAAAATTGCAGGTGACGTGCGGGAACATGGCGCCGAGTTACTTAGGCGGACCTGGGAGGCCATCGGGTGGGAGACGACCATGGAGGAGCGGGCGAGGTACGGCTTGTCCAAGATGGGCGGGTACCAGGTGCAGTACGTGCCGACGCTCGTGGGGCCCATTGTCGAGTTGTGCCTCAGTGTGCATGAAGGGCTGAGGAGGATGGCGGTCGAGGTGCTGCAGACCATGATCGTCAGCGAGTGGACGCTCAGCGAGGACCTATCAGTCATTCAGACGGAGATGATTGATTGCCTGGATGTCTACTTCAAGACGAAGCCACTGACTGAGAGCATCCTGCAGAAGCTGTTTGTTTCTGAGCTGCTGCATCGGTTTGAGTCATTGTCAAGGATGCCAGACGAGCCGCTCTATGCCGCGATCCGTGAGCTCACGGATACAATCGACGTGTTCTTGGATCTGCTGGTTGCTGTCCACAGCGGGGACGGCTCAGGAGAGGCGTCGCATCTCATCCACCGGTTGAGGCTGATGGAGTTCCTGCGCGACATGCAGAAAGAGGAGATTTTTGTTCGCTACGTCCACCAGCTGGCGAACCTCCAGGCCAAGGCGAGGAACCACGCCGAGGCCGGGTTGGCCCTTCGACTCCACGCTGATCTATACGACTGGGACCCGCTCAAGACGACACCAGCCCTGCACGACCCCGAGTTCCCAGCGCAAAGCCACTTTGAGCGGAAGGAGCGCATCTACTTCGACATGATTAAGCACTTTGAGGACGGCGAAGCATGGAGCAGCGCTCTGGCTGCCTACAAGGAGCTTCAGGCCCAGTACGAGAACAACACGTTTGACTTTGCCAAGCTTGCCCGCACGGAGCGCGCCATTGCCAGCATCTACGAGACGATTGCCAAGAGCGACAAACTGGTGCCCAAGTACTTCAAGGTCATTTATAAGGGGCTCGGCTTTCCAGCCAGCGTGCGCGACAAGGAGTTTGTGTTTGAGGGTTCGCCAGCTGAGCGTACCTCGAGCTTCACGGATCGCATGCAGGAAATGTACCCATCAGCGCGCATTGTTACGAGCGAGCACATTGATGACGTGGAGGGTCAATTCCTTGTCATCTCACCCCTCAGTCCGCATCGTGATCTGAGCCACAACGTCTTTCAGCGGGCGCGGGTACCGCAAGTCATCAGGGACTATTTGGTGTCTGCCCATCCTCAAACCTTTTCGGTCAGCACCAAGAGGAACACGACAGGGCCGGTTGCCGAACATTACTCGGAGAAGATTGTCTATACAACAGCCGAGCCGTTCCCGACCATACTCCGGCGCAGTGAGATCGTTTCGGTGCGGGAAATCCGGCTGTCGGCGAAGGAAACGGCGCTCGAGCGCATCGTGCGCAAGACGACCGAAATGTCAGCTGTCGAGAAGAAGGTTGCTGACGGCGAGGGTGGAGATGAGACGGTGCAATTGCTTGTTGACGCCGTTGGCATCAGCGTGAATCCTGATTCGGAAAGCAGTGTTGTTCGTTACCGCGAGCTGCTCCCTAGAGCGTCTCGGCCTGGTCACGGCTCTCCGGCGTCTAACGAGAGCCAACTTCAACTGGATGACGAGAATATCGAACCGCCAGAGTTCGACCCGCAGGAGAACGCCATCAGGATGGCGCTTGTCGACCACGCGATTATGCTGAAACGGTGTCTAGCGACGTTTGCCAAGAGCAGGAACGAGATCCTCGTCCGGCATTTGGACGACCTCCAAAGACGTAAGGCACTTGACCCTCCCCATTCTCAACGGTATTAATATTGAATGTTTTATTTCTAGTCTTTGAGTCAACCTGGGCACCCGAGATAGCCCTCTTCACCCCGGCTCCAAACCACTCCCGCGACCAAAACAACAATGCCACCACGCCTTCCCCGACGTGGCCGCGCTCCCCGCTATCAGCCGGAACAGGTCCCGGGTCTCTACAACAATTCACATCCAACCGCCCGCGAGCCGCCAGCACCGCCACAAACGGGGCCCCTAATGGAGTCACGACCGAAGAAGCGACCATCGCGCAGCCGGTAAAGGGCCGAGGGGCGCGATTGAGCTTCCTAGGCGGCCGGAAGAAGGACCAGCAGGCGCCGAAACAACAGCAGGAGATGACCAACGGCGATCAGCACGGGCCCATCCAGGAGGAGGACGAGTCGGGCTCTATGGCAAAGACCAAGGAGAACAGAAGGAGTTTCTTCCGCTCGCAACACCCGCAGCAGCAGCAGCATCAGCAGGTGAATGGGACCGATTCTGCCCCGCCGAGGAGTGAGCACGGTGGTTATGCAACCAGCAATAATCTCGTCGGGACTACTACTACGATCAGTAATAGTAGTAGCGACTGGGTGACGGATGTTGGGGGCAGTCACTCGGAGGTGTACTCTACCGTGGGTGGGGAGAAGCAAGGCGTCAGGGTGGCCGAGACGCAGGTCGGGCAGGCCAACCAACATCAGCATCATCATCCTTCCGGGCTGATGGGAGGCGTGGGCAGCGTGAGGAAGAGGCTGAGCCTGTTGAGGCTTGGCAAGAAGAGCAGTAAAGGCATTGGCGCGTCTGGATTGGGCGGGTTGGATGAAGAGTAGTGGTATACACTACACTCACAACATACCACAGCACAAGGCTTGTGGCCTGGTTTCTTTTGTTGGTTTTGTTTGGTTGCTGGGTTGTGGTTTGTGGCTGTTGTTGTTGTCTTGTTCGGTTCTGGATAATACCACTTACATCTGGTACACTGGCGCCATTTCATTTTCAAGTCTTTCTTGTGCTTAGCGTTTTCTGCTTGGGGTTCAACTAGTGAGGGCGGAGGCAAAGGCAAACGAAACTTGGAATGGGGCCGGGATGGATGGACTTGTCGGTGGAGGATTTGAGTGTTTTGTTTGTTTCCCCCTTTTGCTTCTGCTTCAGATACATACTTGATTTTGTCTTGTCTGGCTTGAGCAGGCGTGCTCGCTGGGTTTCCCTCTTTTTCTTTTCCATTCATTATTTTCTACTTCTTGTTTACTCTTCCGTGTACTGTTTTATTTTTCCGACTCTTCTGCCTGTACTCGACTTTACTGTAGTCTCCTACGCCATCCCGTCGGATGTGTTTCCCTGAACTTTAATGCCTTCTCCTAGGGCTATGTAAGGAGGATTTCTGGCTCTATTGTCCTTGGATCGAGCCTCGCTCGGCCAAGCTGTGTATATATCTGTGATCGAAATGCTAGCGTTGGTGGAGGATGTGGTAGGCAGAGCTGATAGCCTGAATTCCCCTGGGCTTGACCCCTGCTTGTACTTATAGCCTAGGTTCCTCGCGGAGATGGGGAGAATAGAAGTCATAAGAGAAGCTACCAAGGATACCTTATACATACTCGTGTACAATAAAGTCCCATTGCCACTGTGCTCAGCCCGTCCGGGACTGTCGTGCTGTGATGTTCGTTGACTACCTACAGATGGAGCTGCGGGATGTGGGCGGTCTTTGACGAGGGGGGGGGGACGGGTAAAAGCTATTGCTCCTTCGCTACCGAATCGACTCCGATGGAACTTACTACTCTATACTGTATTCCATCTTGGTTTAGCACTATAGGTGGGTTCGTAGTCGAGATAGAGCAAATGGTGCTGGATGAGGCTTCCACTCTGTTGCTGGGCACAGCGGCCACATGCAGAGTGCGAGTAGTGATGGGCAGTGCCGGAGACTTAGACATCAGAACAGACCGTGGAGGCAGTTTCGTAAAAACTGCGATAGAAAAACATCAACCGGACGCATACTGGGCCATTAGGTATATGTATGGTATTAGTAAAGAACTACTCTTATACTAGGTACCTAAGTACTTAATAGAAGTCTATCACAACTTCACATTTTCACAAGCGCTCACATCCCTCAACTTGCCTTGAGACGGGCTTCTCCTGTTGTGATGCTGCTGCTTTTTCGATCCAACCAGACTGCAAGCGACAAGTTCAAACAAAACACATGTCCAGTTAAAACACCTATTTTTGGCTGATAGCCGCTGACGCGTCCCGGTTTTCGTCTCTCCGTTCCGGCCGGGGAAAGGGTGTCTGTGCTAAAACTGAGTTTATCCTGCCCGGCGTGCCGTTTGATTACATGTACAACCGGACGAGGACCCTCCTCAACCTTACACAGTACTTTTCTAGACCCGGAGACCAGCTCTTGGCTCTGGATCGAGAGTTCTGGGTTTCAACTAATGCACACAATCTGTGATTTAGCCACTAGTAACCAGCAACCCGGTATCGCCTATCATGCCGTGATCGGTTTTGGCCACCTAGCGTAACAAAACTTACAGAATTGTCTCGGTTTTCGATGTAGGTGAGTCTGGTACTATCAGCAGTATTGTCGCTGGCCGCTCTGCCTTTCCATCCTAGCATGCCTACACTTGTCTTGCTAAAATGGATCTGCGAGCTCTGCGGCATACTTGACTTATACGAACTCCTTTGGACTTCACTTCGCTGAGGACGAACAGGATTTCAAGACAATGAATGGGTGAACCTGACTGAGAGCTGGGATATACCAAAGCCAATCGCCCATCGCCATGGGCAAGGTGATGCACATGTCGGTGCGGTCTCGGTACCGGGTGTTATTGTTCCTCATTGTCGCCATCTTCATCTACTCCCTGTCACCACAAACCAGCCGGCTATCTCTCTCAACCACATCCGTCATAGAATGGTCGCAGAAGCACATACCCTCCCCAGCCAGGAGCAGGAGCGACTTTTGGCGCAAAAGACCGCGGACTAAGGGGGGCATCGATAGACCTGAACCCTTCGAACAATCCCAGGTCCCGCTCGAAACCCTCCAACATGACTTCTTCACCTGGGCAGACCCGGATCAACCGGCCAGGCCCAAACCGCCTTACAAGCCCGCGCGCGAGCCATCACCGCCGGTTCCAGACCCGTTCCCGCTACTCTCGAGGAACCCTCCCCCTGACCGCAGCCAGCTCCAGGCGCCCGTAGCGGCACACCGTCCGCCAAAGAAGCACATCCCGGAGCAGACGCCGCTGTTTGTCGGCTTCACGCGCAACTGGCCCCAGCTGCTGCAGTGCGTCGTGAGCTACATTGCGGCAGGGTGGCCGCCCGAGGACATCTACGTGGTCGAGAACACGGGCGTTATGTTTGCGAACAAGGAGGGCAAGCTGACGTTGCAGAATCCGTTTTATCTGAATCATACTCAGCTGGAGTTGCTGGGGGTGAATGTGATAATTGTAAGTGTATCCTTGGCATCTGTTTTGGTTCACCTCACTGCATACTGGGGCATATCGTACGGCTATCATCAAACACCGGAGAGCACGACGACAATTCTCAGGGGTAGCAAGCAGGCATCAGCTCTACAGCTAAACAGCTAACCACATCATGTTCTACAGACACCAACCCTCCTCACCTTCTCACAACTCCAAAACTTTTACCTCTGGTAAGCCCCGTTGCCCCCCCTTTCCCCTTTGTTTTCTATCAATACCAACATCACTCACCACACAGGACATCCCTAACCCACACCCCTCCCTTCCCCTATTTCTTCTGGACGCACCAAGACCTTCTCGTCTTCCGTTCCCACCCACCGCCCACACCCAGCCTCTACGACTCCGCCGTGGGCGTGCTTCGGTACCTGACCAACCCAGCAACCACCGCCGCACCGCGCTGGGCGCATTATTTCTTCGCCTACGACCACCTGACGCTCGTCCACCGCGACGCGGTGCTGTCGGTCGGCGGGTGGGACACACACATACCCTTTTACGCGTCCGACTGCGACATGTACGTGCGCCTGATGTGGGCCGGGTACTGGCAGGGTGAGCAGGGGCAGGAGCAGGACCCCGTCGGGATTATACTTGATGTGGCGAGCGTTTTTGACGATCTTGGCGCGCTGTTGGGGGTGAAGGGGGTCAAGGCTAGTGTTAGGGGGTTGGGGTTGGGGACTGAATGGGGGAATGGGACTGATGAGGATGACGGTGGGGAGGATTATGTCGAGACGCGCGAGAGGCTGCTCGAGCTGGGATATCAAATGGAAAAGGCCAAGTACGCCGAGGGCAACGGCTGGCGGAACACCTGGCAGGTGCGGCAGACAGGGGGCCAGGGCGAGCCCTTCTACCGCGACCCGGAGGGCTTTGAGATTGGCGTGCGCATGATGATTGATACGGGTCGGAGCGTCTTTGCTGAGAAGTGGGGGCACCGCGGGTGCGACATTGCGCGCGCGGGGATCAAGGCTGAGGATGCATGGCGCTTGGAGAGGGATTGGGATGAGGAGACGGAGGGGGCGGGGTCTAGAGGGGATTCGTGGTAAAGGGGCCAAGGGGGGAAACTTGCTACTATTGCTTGAGCATAATAAATGATGCTGCTTGAAGGCGAGTGGCCTATGGTCACTTGAGATCAGAACGAAAGAATGGTGTGCAACATGGCCAACTTTACCAGCCCGCTCATCTGCGCAGATGCGCACAACAATGATCTGAGCGAGACCTTGGATGGCGGCATGACCCAATGCAGCCTAAGCCACCGTCAAGCTGGTCAACCACCTGCGATGCTCCGCTGCACAAGCACAAGCACAAGCACAACACTCGGCATCTGCGCTTAGTGTTGGCCCCCGCCAGATATCAGTCTCACTCTTGCAGGTGGGCTCAGCCAGTAAAAGGGGCTGTCTTGACCGAGATATACCTGCGCTCCCGCGATGACGGACCCGAGCTTATTGCGAAGGAGCCTGGAAGGGCCAATCAGCCAACACGCATGGTCGATAGAGCCATTGACGTGTCCGGTTGGCCACGAGATGCATGTGCGGGGCTCCGGACAGCAGCTCTTTGAGGCTCAGTCGCGGGGTCGTCAGTCAAGGACGGTGCTTTGCAATCCCCCGTCCTCGTTTGGTATTGCCGCCCCATGCTGCTCTCCCCGTCTCATTCAGCACTAGAGCATGTTCCCTCTTGCTGCTGGGCAGGGGAAGTGAGAAACACGCGAGGTGGGGGGGGGGGGAAGGAATTTGAAGCGGTTAAACGTGCTCGTGCAACCGAAGATAATGAGACATGTCATTGCCGTATATCAGAACAAGTCGAATTTGCGGTTGAAGCCAATGTGCAGTTGCTTGTTCATGTTTGGTAAGTACTTCTCGTACAGGAAACAAAGAGAATACAGTTGGGAAAGCTCAGCCACGGCGGTCGCCTCAATATCATAGAAAATACAGTAGAGAAAGCTTGTAAAAGGAGCGTGGACAGTTTCACAGTGATTTGGACAGGTCAGGTTCATGAAATCCCGCGAAAGAACTCTCATCTGACAACGTGAAATAGGCCGAGTCGTCGCTGGAATTGGCGCAGCCGAGGTCCGGATTTCCAGCAAACAGATCCTCGAGATCATACTGAAGACCATTGCAGAAGTTGTCGTACATAGGGTCGCCGCGTAGGTCCGCCATCAGCTCGTACACCGAAGCCATGTCAGACGACCCTGGACTGAGAGGCGGGCTTGGCTCTGAGCGATGGGCGGCAGCAGGAGCGACGGATTGCTCCTCTCCAAACTGGATCGTCCGAAGCATCTGCAGCTCCACGTCTCGGATAATCTCGACCGTCTTCTGGTTCACCTTCTCCTGAAGGTCTTCAAACAGACGGTCGACCTCCTTCTCCAAGGCGCGTCTGACCAGGGGAGGCAGTTTGGTGCGCAGAAGCTCCTTGACTTCATCCGGGCTCGAGAAACGGCTGATGCCGGCCTTAGAGGGTTCAGCAGCCAGCTCGTGGTCTGGTTACAGTCAGCACATTCTCGTCACCAGGGGTCAGCGGGGCCCTAGACGTACATGGAGACGGGACTTCCTCGCCCGGAAAGATGATCTGGTACATCTCGCGCCATTTCTCCTCTTCTGGAACGTTCGGCTTGGCCCTGGTGTGAAGTTTTTTCTCCTGTTCGTCGGTGATTGTGTCTACCGACGCCTGCTTCAACTCGCACGGCACCTTCGCCCGCTGGTGATCTTTGAGGGCCTCTGACCCGTCAAAATGCTCCAAACATCGAGGACAGCAATTCTTCAAGACATGGTTGCGGTATATATGCTCCCTGTGAAAGTTAGAACCAAGCTTTTATAAACGGACGGACATGGCGAGGCATACTTGAGGCGGTGGACGGTTTTCCAGCAGTGGCCAGAGCACGTATTGTGGTTCTTGTACTTGGCCGGGTCATGCTTGTAGAACGGGCAGGCGAGTCTCAAGCCGTTAGGTTCAGGCGCCGCACGCTTCCTCTTGGTCCTGGGACCGGTCTCGGAAGTGCGGTGCTCGGGTGTTGTGTCCTCATCATCCCGCTGCCGCTTCGTCCGGCGCGGCGTAGAGACTGAGTTGTTAAGACATCGTTCCAGGGATTGCTCGAAGATAGCCATAGATCTATCTACGATTTCTTTCTTCTTGCGGCTTAAGAAGCTTTCGTTGGGGGGCGAAATGCCTGAGCCGCGGGATGCCATGGACCGGAACAATGATAGACTCGATCCGTATCAGAGTAGGGCCCCTGGATCTCGAGACATGAGATTCAGGTCATAGACGGCAATGGCTTCCGCTTGATCTGCTTCTTGCCGGGTGTTGGTGGCCAAGATGATGTGACAGACCTTGTTACGGTCGTGCTAGACGGCGTGATGAATGCGGGGAGGCTTTAAACAGGGAAGAGGGGCAGTGACAAATCACCAAGAGTAGAAGACGTTGAAAAGAGAAGAGCCAGCAGCAGACGTCGCGATCCGCAATGTGTTCGAGAAGCAGTGCGTAAGCGACAGTGGCCGCTCAAGGATGGCAAGGAGTTTGCGGAGACGAGGGACAACAGCCCAAACGTCTCATGGTTCTCATGACCGCAACTATATACCCGCCCGCCGTTTGCGCGAATGCGGACAGCCTGCTCAGGTGCGCAGAGACACACCCATCCTCGAGTCTCCCGAGGAATCATAGCCATTCTCCAATGAGCTTTGCCCTGCGCATGCCCGCAAGTTCCGGCACGGTTGAGCGGACAAGGCTTGACAGGGATTGGTCGGCTGCTTCCGATTACACGCAGATGGGGTTGAGGTGGGTAGAGCACGGGGGTGTGTCCGTGGTTATGGGCAGTTGTGGAGGCAGTGCGACAGATGACGGCGTAAGATGCAAGTGCTCGATTGCGGGAACCTGTCTCGTCGCTGCAATGTTCGGGCCCGCAGATAAGGCTGAGCGGGGAAGCGAGACGCGGGCAATCCAGGCAGGGATTGCGCTATTGGGACTTCGGCACGGTTTTGAGTTGACTTGTCTGTCTGTGACTTCCGGAATCGGGAGCCCACCCTGGACGGAGACAAGCGTTGACATTGTGACCAACATGGCCTTCCAGAAGATGCCTAATCCGGGGACAATGACTCAATGCCTGAGACTGCCACCGGCCACGCTTTGTCTTTCGGTCCAAGACCAGCTCAACGCGAGACCACAGCCTCGCGGTTTGCTGATAGACTGGCAAAAGGCCATGTGGTTGCATCTGCTCAGGGAGCGCATCTGCTCCAGAGAGCGCAACTCTCGGTGCGCAGTTCAATGACGCGCGCAAATGGACGCGGAACGTCCAACTTAGAAACGATGATTTAAGAGGAGAGTAGTGCGTGGATTTGTCCCAGATGGAAGTTCAAGACCATGCCCAAGCCAGTCGCCGCATGAGCTTTGACAATCTTCGAGCCCAGAGAGAACTTTACTGTCAACGCCTCGTGTCAACAAAGACTGTCCAAATACACCATGAGCCAGAGGACGAACACCAGCCCTAAATATTCAGAGGAACGGTGGGTACCGGCCCTGTGAGAAGCAGAGACATGCTGACGACGAGACCAGGCAAAGCTTGGAAACGGCCAGCTACTCCCTAGACAGATACCTCAAGTCAAACGATGGAGTCACGGAACGGCTGCTAAAAGGCTTCAATATCGCCGACGTCGCGAGCCGGGTCAAATCCGTGAGCGACGAGGTGAGGGTGTTAGCGGAGGAGATCTCCCAATCGTCGGGAAGCTCGAGCTGATGGCCGAGTTTGCTGTGGTGTATTATTACTGTGGTGGGATAGGTGGACGGGGGGCGATTGGGAGATCGCCAAATTTGAAGTTTGAGATGGGACCAAAAGCCTGTTGGTCCGTTAGCCTATAATTCTCAAAGCAAAAGCCCGTGAGACTCACGGCAGCATCAAGATCCACCCAATCTGTAATCATCCACTTGTCCCAGAGTTTCGGAAGGTAGACAGGTGATGCCTCTGATGGCCCATTATCATTGTCGTTGGAATTATTATTATTGTTAGCGGGGGTCTCGGCGGAAAGGTCTGCCTCCCAATGAGCGCGCAGTGCGTCCTCCAGCAGCTGTTGGGCTGGGGACTCGATGTTACTGCCGGGATTCTGTTGGCCTGGAGACTGGGAGTCATTGCCAGGATCTCGCTCAGGCTTCTGATCACGATTTTCGCTGTTTGTTCGCCGAACTTGGCGGGCGGCTTCGTCCCGCATCTCGTTGAGAATGATGACCCATTTGCGCGCAGGCGAATGCTCATAGGTGGAGTCGGCGAGAGCCTTGATCCCTTTATCGGCCAGAATAACAAACCTGTCGTCCGCTATTGGCTTTTTGTAATTGGGCGGGGGGAACCTCGCCTGCCGCTCCCGGACTTGAGGGATGAGAAGCAGAACTGAGACGGCACAGAAGGTGACATGGTGAGTATACAAGATGGTGCGAAATTGGCTTTTATCTCTGTCGACTTGCTGGCGGGCCAGATCAGCGGCGGTGGTGATGGTCGCACGAGCAGCTTCGATACAGGCTCGAATAGCGGAGTCTGCAACCCTCTTCTTCGCAAGGTCTAAGGGGTATTCCGCGGTCATGAACGGGCGGTAGGCAAGAATTTGAGCGTGCCGATAGGCGAGGTGCATCAGCGTTGCCTGCCGACGGAACGTGAGATGGAGTAAATCGGTTTTTATACTGCCCAGCAGAAATGGCAGGCTGGCGTGCCACTGTTCAATTTGCTCGCCGATCTGCCAGGCACGAGCCAGCCTTTCGTCCTCGGGTATGTCACGGAGTGAGTAAACCTCGCTCAACAGCCTATCGGTCAGTCTCGTCAACCTAGTACGTCAGTCAGACAAGTTAAAAAGCTACTGCGAACAGGAGTGGTGGCGGCCTACTTGATCTGCTCAACTAGAGCATCCATATAGCAATCGCCTTTATGTGGCCTGAAGGGCCCGGCCGGATGCATGTCTTCGTCATTGACACCATCCGGCAGCTCCTGGTCCACGAGATCACCATTAAAGTAGCGGGGCCTGCCAGTCATCATGGCAATTTGTTTGTCGAGGAGATACGCAGACCAGAAAGTCCGTCTCTCGCACTGAATCTTTGCGTAATCCGGATGGAGAACAATGTCAGGACCGAGACCCCGGTTCCTCCCTCGCCGTCTATGAAGGCCAAGGGACGTCACGATATGGACAGCATTGTTGAAAACAGAGCACGCTAGGTTTATCCGGCATGTGCAGAGTAGATAAAGCGCCTGAAGGAGGCGGGCTTGAACAGAATCCAAGGCCGGAAGGCCTGTCTCTTGGTCGGTCAGACGCAGAGAAACCAAGAATAGCTGGTCCCCGGTGCCGAGGGTCCAGATCCAGCTCCATTGTTGATCTCTCTTACTCGGATTCCACGGCCGGACGTAGAAGAGAGATCCCAATGCCATTGTCATGATGGCAATGGCAGCCTTGGCATGGCCGACGTCACGCTCCAATGGGGCACGGTCAGTCATGTTCTTGAACACTTTTTCGAGCCACGACCTCGCAGTGGCACGGTGGAGAAAGTGAAAAGTCTCTGTCCACCCCATTTGGAACGACTTCTGCATCTCGATCCATTTCGCCAGGGTGTCGGGAAATTGGAAGGGCTTGGACGTATCAAACGGCTGGTCGCCGACGGCGAGGACCGGCTGATTGGGCTCTTCACGCTCTGCTGCTGGCTGGTTGGCCCTCTCAAGGGCATGTGCGATCTTCTGCCAGGCTCTGTGTAGAAATAGCAGGGGTGGCGTGTCCTCGTGGGAGTATCTCGTGGCTATCTGGAGAGGCGCGACATCGGGAGCCGCACGGGCAAGACCAGCCTCGGCGAAGGCCTGGTAGGACGTGTCGTCAGATACCCCTTCGGCGTTGAGTTCCTGAGGGGCGTCCAAAAAAGATCCCGAAGCCATCCTAGCATCCCGGGCGCCAAATAGTTGAAGAGGAGCCTGGCCAGCTTTCTGAGCGGCCCGCCTAGACCACATTTCAGTTGCCCGTCGTGGTCAGGAAACAATCATACAGGGGGGCTGACATGTTATAGGTGCATTCGACTCGCTTCTCAAAGCAAGCGTCGCATGGGATTCTGCCTTTGCAGCGCTCACGCAGGGTCCGGCATCGATCGCAAGAGCGTACGGCCCAAGACTTGTCGTGCCAATACGGGATGCTGGGATCCCGTAGATTGGTCAAGTTCCGGGCATTTGGATCGGGATTGTCGGGGGGCGGAGGAGGTGTCCTCGCTGGGCCCCTCCGGCTGGGCCTGTCATAGGTGCATGTCTTGCCCCTTTTAGTGCCTACAGGAGCTGTTGCATCAGCATTGGAGCCAGTAGAGGCAGGTAAACCGGGAGGAAGAATCACAGTTGTAGCATGGCTTGAAGCCTTGACACCTCATGGACCTGCCATGACACTGGTCGCAGGAACGGGCAATTCTAGTCCTTTTTGCACTCGGGGAATTAGTCGCGCTAGGGGGCGAGGTGGATGGCGCGGCGGGAGCAGCGGGAGCGGCGTTCACCCCCGTTGTAGCATCAGTTGTAGCCTCAGTTGCAGCATCGGCAGGGACAGACGCGGCGGGCGTTGAGGACTCGCTTTCCGACGGCGGAAGGAATTGCTGCTCCGTGAGGCCCGACATTGGGGTGGCTGCCCGGCACTTGGGGCTTGACAATCGTTTAATTCGGAGGACTGTAGGCGCGCTCACGATTGCCACTACACGCAGTTTGGTGATGGGCGGGTTCTCAAGACGCGGTTCTGTCAATCAGCAAGCTGGGTTACACGTGTAGAGAGGAAAGTGGGGCCCGCTTCTTGCCGAATTGGCCAGGGGCAGATGGAGAGACACACAGGGGTGCTGCTCCTAATCACGGCATGTTCCGACGATCGGGTAACTTATTTTATTTCTCTTATGTTTTCACTTTTTCTTCTGGGCGGGGACAACGTGTATGTTCTTCTTATAAATCTAGGGTCATTATTACAGTTGAGATGCTATTGTGCCTCTCACCAGGCCTAGGTTGTAGTAAGAGAGGTGCCTGGCTTTTGGTAAGGTGGTGAAGTCGGCAAATCCACTGGACCGCAGCTGCGCCGCCGAGTCTGCAGCGAAACGCCGGCTTGGCACGGCACAAGCTCCGTCCTCCGTCGGGTGCTCTTTGTAAAGTAATTACGTCACGGTCATTGGCAACTCTGCTTGCTGCTATCGCGTACACTAGTGTTACATACCAACGAATAAGTTCCGACTTACATGCGGGGTTGTGTTCTTGGACGGACAGGGAAGTGATTTGGCAGCTGGTTGGAAGGGGCCAGACTCCAGATTAACGTACAAGTACAAGTACCACCTCACCTCCGTTGCCGTTGCCATGCTCGCATGCTCGCATGCTCTCGACTCCGTCTCCTGTCAGTCTCAGCGATGATTCGAGCCGCCAGCACATATGAGACGCCCAACTAACTGCCTAGACACATTTTAATACTGCAATCACACCGGTGACACCACCACTTACTCCCCGTTTCGGCAACAACAATGGTGACCACCACAATCCGCCTGGGCACGGCATCGCCGGGGACCCGAGCTACCACGGCCCAAACCCTGGCCGAGCTGGAGCAGTTTGCCCGCCGTGCCGCCACAAAAAAGATCGACCTCCTCTTGCTGCCGGAAGCTTACCTCGGCGGTTACCCCCGTGGCACCCATTTTGGGTGTGTTATGGGCGGCCGATCCCCCGAGGGCCGGGAGGAATACCTCCGCTACTTCCAGGGCGCCGTCGATCTCGGCGACACAGTGGGTGGCGGTGCTGGCGCTGGGCAGGCCTGGATCGATAGAACACTGCCGACTGATGCGATACCCGGGTCTGGCGACGAGCAGAAGCAGGTCGCCAAAAGACGTGGCGACGGCAGTCGGGAAGAGCTGGAGCGCATCGCCCGCGAGACCGGGGTATTTCTCGTCACGGGGCTTGTCGAGAAGGCGGGCGGTAGTTTGTACTGCTCTGTCGTCTACGTATGCCCCAAATTGGGTATCATAGGCAAGCGAAGAAAAGTCATGCCTGTACGCTTGTCCCCTTACTCTCCGAGCCGTTATCCCTTACTGACCTACTCAAGACCGCCATCGAGAGGTTAGTCTGGGCCCAAGGCTCACCGGCGACCCTCCGCGCAGTGAGCACAACCATCCGGGGTGTGCGCATCAACCTCGCGGCGGCCATCTGCTGGGAGAACTACATGCCGCTGGTCCGGCAGGCCCTCTATGCCCAAAACATCAACCTGTACCTTGCCCCAACCGCCGACGGCCGTGACGCTTGGCTGTCCCTGATGCGCACAACGGCTATTGAAGGCCGATGCTTCGTATTGTCGTCCAACATGTGCGTTCGCAGCCCCGCGACAGCGCCCGCTCAGGCCAACGGTCGTGTCCACCACATCTATCCGGAAACAGCTTTACACGACGGTGACGAGGACAGACAGAGCACGATCGACGGCGCCATCACAGACTCAGGCCCAATCACCGCGCGTCGTAGCTCGTGCGTGACCGAAGAAGGCTTTGAGATCGCACTTCCCAAATCGCCGCACGGCCGACCGAGGAGACGGCAGTCCGTCTTTGACGACGACGGAAACGAGATTGTTCTCTGCGGCAGTGGGAAGCGGCACACCGGGGACGAGGTTACTGCCGTCGCTGCTACAAAAGCAACAACGACTACCGCCACAACTCCGGCAAAGACGGATTTCATCTCCCGCGGCGGGTCTGCCATCGTCTCGCCGTACGGCGACGTCCTGGCCGGCCCGCAGTGGGAAGACGACCACGGCATCATCTACGCCGACGTCGATTTCCAGGATTGCATCCGCGGCCGCTTAGACATTGACATGGCGGGCAGCTATTCGCGCAACGACTCGTTCAAATTTTCCGTTGAGGGGCTAGATCTCTCGCCGCTCCCTTACTGATCCAACCATGAGTGCAGGAGACGCTGAAATTTGGACCCCGAGGATCGCGTGTACGCATATCAGTCTGTTCACCCTAAGCAAGGCGCAAGTGAGGGCTTGGATTGGATATTACAACATATATGTGACTTTGGGTCTCCGCTCTGACTGTCATGTATGTATCAGTAGCCTGTGGGTAAGCTAAGGCCGCTCGGTGGTTGCATGCGCGAACATAGCTGCTCTTGATTTCTTGTGACTGATAGGTATCACGTTCCTAAGGAGACAAAAAAGAAAAGAAAACGCGAGACCAAACCACTGCAGCAATGAACCATCAAGCGCCATACCGTTGACCCGAGTCCTCGTTTCTCATACCCCGCCCAAGAGATGAAAGAATAACAAAGCAGAACAAGAAGCCAACTCATAACCAGCTCAAACCTTCTAATCCCCGCCGTCATCCTCATCACCCTCCTCAACCCCTTTCTCCATTTCCCTCTCCCTGGGACTCGCAGCGTTAGAAGCCCCAGCCACAGCCAAGCCACCAACACTCCCGTTCACACTATCCGCCCGTCCATGCCCGTACAGGCCGCTCCTCACACTGCCGGCATCTCCGCTTGCCAGTCCCTGCTTAGTTCCGCCCGCATAGAGACTATTCCTCTCGCTTGCACCTGCAGTAGGGAAGATGCCCGTGCCCGAGTAGATGCTCGTCCGCTCCCCCGCGCCGACGCCGGACGCGCCGCGGTGCAGGCCCGGGGTGGCCGGCCCGCCGTCAACAGTCATGGTCGCCGAGAGGACGCTCAACGGTAAAGACTCGCGGCTGCCGCCCCAGAGCGAGGACGGCGCGAGAGCCCGGACCGAGGCGTCCGTGTCGAAGGAGCGCCGCCGCCGGCGTTTCGACGACGACGCGAGCGTCAGGATCGACGCGTTGTCCGTCAGCAGATTGTTGGCTGTCGCCGCGGCATACGTCGTGGGATGTCCTAGCGTGCTGCCCGATGGAAGCAAATGCGGGGGTACTGCCGGGGCGGGGGATGTGGTTGTTGGGAAGGGCTGGTTGAAATGGATTGCTTGGGAGCTGGACTGGGATTGGTGCGAGTGGTGATTGCTGGTGTAGTTCACGGACGTCGGATTCTGCGTCCCCGCGCCGGCCCCATTTGGTGCTACCGTTTGAATTGTGGTAAGCGTTGTCGTGAGCGAGCGGACTGATGGGGCCGGGGACGAGAAGGTGCTGTCACCGCCTCTGGGGCCATTGGCGGTGCGGCTAGTACCAGCGACGGAGGACGTACCGTGCGAAGGGGTTGTTGTCGAGCGTAACGTCTCGTTTTCGGTCGAAACTGTTGGAGCTATTGAGCGGCCCCCGGTCGTCGGGGGCGGCCGCTCATCGACGGATAACCGAACCGACTCTTCTTGCTCCAACGACGTGACGCTGCCTAGCCTTGGGCTCGGGACCGACGATGTTGAGTGATGGCTGCCACGCGATGAGAAACCAACGCCGACGGCACCGGACTGAGGGTACGGGTTGTTTTGTGTCTGTCGTTTCTTGCCGGCATCGCGTTTCGAACCAATATGACGGCTTCCGTCTCCGGATGACGTAGCTTTCAAGTTCGCAAGCTTCTTCATCAAGGTTGAAAAGGGCCGTCGGCGGCCTAACCGGCCTGTCCTATCTGTCATGGCGTTAACGGTGGTGAATCGGCATCGACAATCTGATGCTGGGTGGGTGGCTGAGAAGGGTGGCATAGCGCACAAGGTTTGACGGGATGTGGAGGGGAGGTTCGCGCCAGGAACCGCGAGGTGAAACGGCAGGGATCGATCATGAGATATTGAAATGGTAGTTACCATGCGCTTGGGCTGCAGTCTCCGTCATGGCCGTAAGGCAAGGCGGGGAATCTGAAGGCGTATGGGCCTCGGCGAAGGATCGATCAGATGCACGGCCTTCGGAGCGGCAGCAGGTGCGCTAGCTTCGAGGCGACGGGGCACTTCCAGTTTCAGGAAGAAATGTGTCTGATGACGGGCAGTAATCTGGCGGACAGAGTCTGAAAGTGCAGTTGCAGTTGCGATTGCAGTCGCAGTGCAGTCGCGGGTCGTCGGTGCCTGCTCAACCCTCCAACCAAGCTAGCCGTATGTACTCCGTACGAAGTACCTAATCAAACCTTAGCTGTTTCGGGTAAGGGAAGCTCGATGCTAAAGGAGAGTCTGCTGCAACGAAAATGCTTTAAGTGATCAAAATTGCCGGGAACAGGAAACAGCGTGAGTCAGTTGGCGAAGCACATTGACAGGCTTGGTGGGAATGAGAGTTGGACAAGAACTGTTGGCATCAAACATGACCCGCCACATCGACACATGAAATCAGCCAAATGAGATGTTGCAGAGAGTCCCGAGCTTTGGGCGCCAGGGGTCATTGGCCTATACAGTGTGTTTATACCAACTACTGTGCTCTACACACTGTATGCCGCTGCTCTGCGTTGGTGGGGAATGTGAGCTTGGCGCAGAACATCGTTCGCTGCACTTGCAGGCCATGCCCCGCTTGTTTGGCTGATCTGGATGCTGGCCGGTGCTGGGCCCGCCATCGCGGGAAGGCCCGCAGGACCTCTGCCGGGGTTGTGCACAACCTCAAATCCATCCGGCAACGGCGTCACTTCCGGGTATCTCACTATTTCCACAGTTGCCGCACTCCGTTGGCAACCTCCTAATTCAACCTATCGTGGCTGGCATTTATCTGTCGCCCTTGCACTTTTCGAGTCTTTACTTCCTCGGCATCCCCCGCAAATCCACTCCCATTGCGATGCGCAGACTTGTCACTTGACCCTTTCGGCACAGGTAAGCCAGCGACCAGCTGTTGAGGCCGGGACGGGATGTCTAGCCCACAGCGCCATGTCGATACAGCTACTCCCTGAGGACGTCATCGCCCAAATCAAGTCCTCGGCAGCGATAACATCACTAAACGGCGCAATATGCGGGTTGCTGCAAAATTCACTGGATGCGGGTGCGTCCACCATCAACATCTCTGTCGACTATAGCCGTGCAAACTGCTCGGTTGAGGATAATGGATGCGGTATTACGCCTGCCAGCTTTCGGGAGGATGGAGGGCTCGGCAAGCTTCATTGTAAATGCACTTCCCATTCTAGAGTGGATGGACATGGTTGACGTAGCTTAGATACCTCTAAATATCCACCCTCCCCGGACCGCCATGGCAAGCGCGGTGAATTTCTGGCTTCCCTTGGGGCATTATCACTGCTCTCAATCGCATCGCACCATTGCGAGTATCGGACGCACAACTCTTTGACCATTCATAACTCAAGGGTGGTGGCGCGCCATACTCCTGCCCTCCCCGAGCAACGAGTCCTGGCCTTCGCCAGCGGGACTCGGGTTATTGTCCGTGATCTATTTGGATCCATGCCAGTTCGTGTCAAGCAGCGAGCTATGGAAGTCGAACGATTCGGAACCTCCAAGGACTTTGAGCAGCTAGTCTACCAAGTTGTATCTCTTCTGCTTGCTTGGCCTGGCGAAGCAACAGTTAGCGCCCAGGACACATACTCCCACCGGACCGTGACCCTCCATGCATCCAAAGTGCCGGGTGATGATTCCAGTCATCTCAGTACGGCCCATACTATTGCTCCTCGGACAGCTACGCTTCTGACGCAGGCGTCCCTGGTGGAGCAAATCGACATGAAGTCATGGGTACCAATCGGAGCCAGTGCACCTGGAGTTTCGGTGCAAGGCTGCGTATCACTTCGGCCCGTTGCCACGAAGCGTGTACAGTTTATCGCTCTTGGCGTCCAGCCGTTGCCAAATGAACGCAACTCCAACCTTCTCTACGAGGAGTTCAACCGAGTATTTGTCGAATCCGATTTCGGTGTGGTAGAGGAAGTTGCTCTTGGGGATGACGGGTTGCCTGCTAAGACCGACAGTTTCACAGGAAAGGAATTGAAGCCAAGAAGGGGCATCGACCGTTGGCCAATGTTCTTCCTGCAGATCAACCTAGGAGATCAAGCGGACCCGGTCAACATTGACGAGTATCTCGATGAGGGACGTAACAACCTCTTAATCGTCACCGACCTCCTTCAGGTGGTGGCGTATGAATTCTTGAAGAAGCACCACTTCCGCCCGAAATCAATCAATGCACTCGAGCGACTCAGGAGGCCAAGGCTGACCCCTGCCATTCCTCCTTCCCAGTCAATCCTGGCCTCATCGTTGCCTCCGAGGGATCAGATCCAGTCGGCTACCAGACGACCCCGGTCCAAGCGCGAGAGTCGCAAAGGCGCCTCATCATCACACTTGAGTCGTTCGAGCTCTATGACAAGACCGATTTCTCCTTTTTCATCCTGGGCACGAGTAAAGTCGGGTACCAAATCAGAAGCTGCTGTTACTGCGACACGTGCCGCAGACAAAACGCAGGCTGCGGGTGGCTTCACTCTCGATACGCCAGATGCCTGTCCAAAGACGGAGATTCCGCTATTTGATAGAAGTGGCAATCTTATGCGTAAACCATTTGATGACGTTGATGACACGCCAGCATGCCAGTCGGGGAACCTCACATCGGGCCAGGCAGAACATGCGTCCTCGGCCACTGACACTCATAGCCCGCGTGAGACGGTTGTCTGGGTCGATCCAATGAGGAAGGTCAAATCGGTAATAGATAAACGGACAGGCTTCGCCGTCAAAACAAGCAGCGGCCGTGCGAAGGTGCCTTCGAGGCTGACGGAGGTGGTGGAGGATCCCTCTCGGCCGCTCAAGGGAAAACCAGCGCCATCTGGTCACAGAAACACTGTGTTCCAGCCTAAAGAACTCGCTATCCCACAGGTTCTCCAGATTCCGGAAGCACTGGGGTGCGGACATAACGTCGGCGTCCTGGACGTCAAAGACATTGCAAACGGCTCATGCAGTGCTAATCCCTCGCCCATGCGCGAGGGCCGGATCTCGAAGGCTGGCCTTCAGCGAGCAGAGATACTCGGCCAGGTTGATCAAAAGTTCATCTTGATCAAGGCATCCACCGAGTTCCCAGCTGGGTTATCAAACAGTGTTAACCGGGCTGATCAGATGCTTATTATGATTGACCAACACGCCGCCGACGAGAGATGTCGAGTAGAAGAATTGCTAAAACGTTTCTTCGTACCCGATCCAACCAGTAGTGGCAAGCTAGCCGCGCAGACTCAGTATTTGGATAAGCCGCTGCGGTTCGATGTTTCGGCGCAGGAGGCAGGGTTCCTCTCTCGCCTCAAGAGTCATTTCGCGTATTGGGGTATTGTTTACGAAGTGCTTCAGGATCCTCTAGAAAAAGGGGTTTCCAGCAAGACTGCGGAGGTTCGGGCGTTGCCACCGAGCATTGCAGAGAGGTGCCGACTGGAGCCGAAGCTTCTTATCGACCTGCTGCGAAAGGAGGTATGGAAGCAAGACTGGGCAAGAGAGCCGAAGGGCGCTCTCGATACGGCTGCACAACACGACTGGATTGCAAGGTTCCATGGGTGTCCTGAAGGCATTATGGACTTGATCAGTTCCAGGGCCTGCCGGAGTAAGTTACCGAGACGGCTGGGAAAGGGGACGCTGAGCTGACATTCTACAGGCGCCATCATGTTCAATGACCCTTTAACATTGGATCAATGCTCGGAACTGGTTGGACGGCTGGCACTATGCGCCTTTCCATTCCAGTGCGCTCACGGACGGCCCTCCATGGTTCCTTTGGTAAGCCTGTGTTGTGACAGTACACTTGCAGGCGTTGGCGCGGTGTTCAAGGAGGAGAAAGCAGAGGACCTGATTACCTCCTTGAAGCGGTGGAAGTGCAGCATAGAGAGAAGGCGGTAGCCCTCAGTCTCACCTTCCCGGTGGAAGATTCAGAAGGTCTATTGACATTAAGAGCAGCGTCGTCGATGGTTACATGCCCTTAAGACTCATCTGTTAGTGCATCGCAAAAATTTGTACGTAAAATTTGACCTCTCGACTATCGCTCTTAACAGGTATGTCGGCTTGTAGGTTCCTTCCAGAGGGACACTGCAGCCGGCCTGGTACAAGTACCTAGCAGGAGCTCAGTCCAGCGCACTGGAGTTAGGGTTAAAGATGCTGTCGATTTGCCCGAGACCCACTGCAGCTGGAAGCTTGGTTCCCACCCCGCGTCACTGGCCAGGGTGGTTCTCGCTGCCACAAGACAGCTACAGTAGGTGCCAGACTGAGGTACTCGGCACAGTTCGACATAGGAGAGCACCACCACACACTGAATAGCCGGGCAAGCCTGGTGATAAAGATGCGACCATGGCGTTGACGGTTCGTCTCTTCTGCTTCAGCTCCATTCCGATGAATGACAACCCCTATCCCAACTCAGGACACAATAAGAGGTCTGTATGTACAAGAGCTAACCAACCTCTGCGCCAAATGAACAGTGGAGGTCCTTTGACTTCTTCGACGCCAGCCAGGTTAAACTCGCCGACGATGACACGCGCTCATTCTTTGAGAGCAACGAGATCTCGTCCGTCTGCTCCGGTTCCGACAGCCTCTTTCTCGGCAGTTACGATGGCCAGGTGCGCATCGTCGGGCCGAGCTGGAAGGTGGTGCGCAGCTTCGTTGCCTACGACAGCGGCGCCCCCATCACCCATATGAAGCAGGTTGAGGGCACCAGTTTGCTAGTGACTGTCGCGGTACGTTGGACCAGGGCTACGTCGTGGCGGGACTGAGGAAGGCTGACGGGGGCCGTGTGCACAGGAAGAGCCAAGCGCGGGCGGGGACTCGCCCAACCAGCCTTTGCTCAAGGTGTGGGCGCTCGATAAGCCCGTCAAGAAGACGGGGATTCCGACCTGCTTGAGCTCCGTGTCAATCAACAATGGGAAGAAGCCCTTTCCGGTAGGTGGCGGTTTGCTTCGTTTACTTGGACAGGAGTTTGGGAGGAGCAGCTGTGGAGGCTGACCATTGCAAGATCTCGGCCTTTGCCGCCACCGAGGACCTGACGCAGCTTGCGGTGGGCTTCGCTAACGGCGCCGTCACTGTCATCCGCGGCGACTTGGTCCATGACCTCGGGACGAAGCAGCGCATCATCTACGAGTCAGACGAGCCGATCACGGGTGTGGAGCTCCACGTCGATGCGAGCTTGACGACTTTGTTTATTGCGACTACCTCACGCATACTGAAACTGGTTATCTCTGGGAAGGGCCATGGCCAGCCACCAAAGACGGTTGAGGACACTGGTTGTGGTGTGGGTTGTATGGCCGTGGACAAGAGGACGGGGAACATCGTTGTCGGAAGGGAGGATGCTGTCTACTACTACACGCTTGATGGAAGGGAGGCTCCGACTGCCTACGAGGCCCCGAAGAAACTAGTTGCAGTATACCAGGACTATATCGCGCTCGTGTCTCCTCCCACGCCGGCAGGAGAGACGGACACGATGCGGCGCCGGTTCTGGGGCGCCACGGCGGACAGCATCTACACGTTCACCCTGATACAGCCTGATCTAAGGATAATTGCCCACAGCGAAACGGTCCTGTCTGATGTCAAATCAATCTTTCACGTTTGGGGTGACCTATACATCCTCACTCAGGAGGGCAAGGTTCGTTTCCCCCCTTGGTAACCCGAGACAGTGACCTGACAGGGCTCAGGTGTTTCGCTATCACGAGAAAACGCTTCAACAGCAGCTGGAGATGCTCTACGAGCGGAACCTCTATAATCTGGCTGTCGAACTTGCCCAGAAATCCGGGATGGATGCACAGCAACAAAACATCATATTCCGAAAATACGGCGACTACCTTTACCAGAAAGGGAACTACGATGAAGCCATGGCCCAATACATCAAAGCCATTGACTGCACAGAGCCTTCGCAGGTAATCAGGAAGTTCTTGGAGACACAGAGGATACACAATCTCATCGAGTACTTGGAAGAGCTCCATGAGCACCACAAAGCAACGTCTGACCACACTACTCTACTCCTGAACTGCTATGCAAAGCTCAAGGACATCGATAAGTTGGAGAAGTTTATCAAGTCGCCTGGTGACCTCAAATTCGACCTGGACACTGCCATTTCCATGTGCCGGCAGGGCGGTTATTACGAACAAGCGGCATACCTCGCCAAGAAGCACGGGGAGAATGACCTGGTGGTAGATATCTTGATCGAGGATTCCAAGGCTTACGACGAAGCTCTAGATTTTATCTGGCACTTGGATCCAGATACAGTAAGCAATACCTTTCACCTCTACGTCGCGTTACTGACCACTTTCAGGCGTACCCCTGTCTCATGAAGTACGCTCGAGTTCTCATCGAACACTGTCCCAAAGATGCGACCCAGGTCTTCATTGACTACTATACTGGACGGTATATCCCCAGAACAGATCCCCCACCTTCTGAGGGCAACGCGCCGGCTGCGACCAATGGAGGGTTCGTTGTCGGCGCTGCGAATGCAGTCCAAAATCTCAGCAACTTATTGCCCTTACCCTACATGAATGCTGCAGCAACAAATGCGCAACAAGCCAACACCAAACCAACCGTTGCGGACCTTGATATCAAGCAAAATGGGGAAGCTCCAAAGTACACACCGCCGCGCCCTCGAACAGCATTCTCCTCGTTTATCGACCACCCAGACGAATTCATCGTCTTCTTAGAAGCATGTATAAAGGACGATAACCTCTCTGAGGCTGACAAGACAGACATCTCCACCACCCTGTTTGAGATGTACCTCCATAAGGCCAATGAAAAGAAAGGCGACCACCACCGCGAAGAATGGGAGCGCAAGGCCAAAGCGCTCATCGACAGCAAGAACCAGGCTACAAACAAGCCACCCATCGAGAAGTCTGATGTTCTCCTGCTCTCCCACTTGTCCGACTTCCGCGACGGCACTACTCTCGTCAAGGAACAGTCCGGCCTGCTCTTTGACATATTCCGCTCCTACACGTCAGCAAAAGACACGCGTGGTGCCATCAAGGCTCTCCACAAATACGGGCCCGAGGAGCCCCAGCTCTATCCGGCCGCGCTGTCGTACCTTACCTCTGACGCGCGGGTTCTGGAAGACGCTGGGCCGGATGAGCTGGCCTCGGTGCTTGAGCGCATCGACCGGGACGGGCTGATGGCGCCGTTGCAGGTCGTGCAGACGCTAAGCAAGAACTCAGTCGCCAACATGGGCATGATCAAGCCCTACCTCGCCAAGCGCATCGAGCGAGAGCGGCAAGACATTGCCGAGAACCGGCGGCTGGCGACGCAGTTCCGCAGCGAGACGGAGGCGCGCAGAAAGGAGATTGCCGACCTGGGCACCAAGCCCGCCGTGTTCCAGGCCACGCGCTGCGCGCAGTGCACGCAGCAGCTGGAGCTGCCCACGGTGCACTTTTTGTGCAAGCACTCGTTCCACCAGCGGTGTCTGCGCGGCGGCTTGGCGACGGGCCAGGAGGCCGAGTGCCCGCTCTGCGCGAGGGATAACGCCACCATTCGGGCGCTCAAGAAGAGCCAGGAGGAGAATGCCGAGCGGCATGAGTTGTTCAAGGCTGATTTGGAGAGGAGCGAGGACCGGTTCAGGACAGTTGCTGAGTGGTTTGGCCGAGGGGTCATGAGTGCGCCTCATGTGGAGTAAATATTAGAAGGGGTTCATTTTGGCAAAGCTGGAAAGGGTATCATTCCAATGTTTAACGAATTCTTAACGAATCTCCTGGGGTAATGAGCCGGCTACGTCTAAAGCATCTACCGCAGACTGTCCGGCCCCTCCACCCTCCTCACGGGGCCCCTTGATCCCGAACATATAGTTGAGCCACTCCCCAACCTTGCCTGCGTCTACGGGAACTGGGCTGGCTGATGTGAGCGTCTGTGTCCAATCATTGATATGGTGAAGACGCTTCTTGACCAGGCCCTGGCTCAACAGCGCATCCTGGCTGGCTTCGTCGACGAAATCTTGATATTCAAGCCCAGAGACGGCGGCAGATTGGATCTCGCCGTGACGAACGGTAAAATGGGCTCGGAACTGGTTGATCATGAGAAGGTGCTTAGCTGGGGTCAGGGGAGGCTACTTACGCCGTGTGGCAACCAATCCGGCAGTTCAGGGCGTTCCCGCGGGTCCTCCTCAGTCGGGTGCGTCGAGAAGGTGAAGTGAGGCGTCTGGCCAAATATCCATTCAGGGGACTAGACAATCCCTCATCAGCGCATGTCTCACCCAAAGTCCAACTGCAACTCGAACAACCCACCGTAAGCTCCTTCATCCCCTTGACCACCTCTTCCACCTCGAACGCCTCTTTTTCCCCCACCGTCACCCCTTTCCACTCCCCGGCACCATACATGCCCGCAAACTCCCCAACAACAGCATCCACAAACTCCGCCGACCCAACGCCCACATTCCTAATCCGGCTCCGCACACTCTCCACCCCTCTAGCCTTAATAAACCTCTCAGCAGGCGACCTCAACACTCGTGAAATGCTCCCCAGGTGCTCGCTCGAAAGCAGACAGGTGCCGTGGTGCAGCGACCGGGTGCGGGTCAGCTTGTAAGCCGACCCGGACACCTTGAACGTCGTCGTTTCCGTACCGTTACCCTCAGAGACGTCCATGACTATGTCGTGCCGCCCGTTCACCCGCACCCCGCCGCCCACCCCGAGCCGGGCCAGCGCCCGCACCACCATGGCCGCGTGCTTGTCCCGGTCAAACGTTGCCGGCGGGCAGATGACGGACCAGTTGATGTTGCCTTGGTCGTGGAAGACGGCGCCGCCGCCTGAGCGCCGGCGCACGAGGGCGATTGGGGTGCTGTTGCTGCTGCTGCTGGCATTTTGCTCTGACTGGGAGGAGGGGTCTTCGGGGTAGACGTCAGGGGTTGAGAGGGTTGCCTCGGAGGTGGTGTTTGAGGAAGAGGAGGAAGTAGGAGAGGAAGAAGAGGGAGGTAAACCCTCGCGTAACAGGTGCAGATTAACTTCCAGCCAGGGGTTTTGGTTGCGGCCGATAACTACGCAGGGCCGGTTGGCATACAAGAAGAGGACGGTTGAGTCTGGATGGGAGCGTTGGAGCAGGCAATGCTCAATGGAGAGGTTCAGGTAGGGATCTGTGGCGGTGGAGCGGTAGATTTGTACGGGACGCTCAAGGAGGGTCTGGGTGAACGGTCTCTTTTGGAGGGTTGGTGCTGTTTTGAGGTAGAGCTTTGGCGTTGGAGGTACGCGGCGGGCATGGCGGGAGAGGGCTGTGAGGGCCATTGCTATGTACAAAGTGAATCTGACCGATAATATGCAATTTTATGAAGGTTGGAAATTCACATCCATCTTGGCCGAGCCTGGCATGTCTTCCCTGATATCGTACCTCAGAATTAGCTTTCGACACTTCTGAGCTCAGCTTGACGTTTGGCTTCGTTTGCAGCTGACAGAAGCTCCAGCTGCAGAGCTCTTCCAGGCAGGGGCCCCATGCTCACAGCCGCGCCAAGCTGCCCCAGACCCACCTGACCCGCTCCACCCAGACCTGATGGACAAGGGGGAGCCGATGACGGCGCATGGAGGGGTCAAGCTGTGAACTTTTCCAATTGCAGCCAGATTTTCCCACAGCATCGTGCCACTCTCGTTAGCGGTCTGCCTGACTCACCATTGCCCGGTGATTTGGAGTGAAAAAGGAGTCCTCCAACAACTATCCTACTTTCAATTGGAAGGTGATTGACTGTCTATTCGAGGTCATTGCCCTCCATTGCTTTGTCTCTCCATTGTCCAAGGTTGCAGCAATCCCTCCATCACCATGTCGACATTCGGTGAATACTTCAGAGTCACCACGTATGTCCATCCAGGCCGGATGCCTTGTGTAGTGCAAATGTTGACAGTAACAGCTATGGCGAATCACACTGCCGCTCTGTCGGCTGCATCGTCGACGGCTGTCCGCCGGGCATGGAGCTCACCGAGGAAGACATCCAGCCGCAGATGACACGCCGACGGCCGGGCCAGAGCAATATCACCACGCCGCGGAACGAGAAGGACAGAGTCCTTATCCAGTCGGGAACCGAGTTTGGCGTCACCCTTGGGACGCCAATTGGCATGATGGTGCTGAACGAGGATCAGCGGCCAAAGGGTACGCTCTCCCCCAGCTAAATTTCTCACGCTTGTCCTGACGTTTCGGTCTGCAGACTACGGAAACCAAACCATGGACCTTTACCCGAGACCCAGCCACGCCGACTGGACCTATCTGGAGAAATACGGCGTTAAGGCAAGCAGCGGAGGGGGGAGGAGTAGCGCGCGAGAGACCATCGGCCGTGTCGCGGCTGGCGCCATTGCCGAGAAGTATCTGAAGCTGGCCTATGGCGTCGAGATTGTCGCCTTTACTAGCTCTGTCGGCAGCCTACACCTGTTCCCGCCGACAGCAGAGCACCCCAGTCCGAGCACAAATCCGGAATTCCTGTCGCTCCTCCAGACCATCAGCCGTAAGGAGGTTGACAGCTTTCTCCCCGTCAGATGTCCCAACGAAGCTATGTCGAAGAAAATGGTAGACTACATCTCGGACTTCAAAGACCGCAACGATAGCATTGGTGGGACGGTGACCTGCGTCATTCGCAATGCTCCCAGCGGTCTGGGTGAGCCCTGTTTCGACAAGCTCGAGGCCATGTTGGCACACGCGATGCTGAGCATCCCAGCCACCAAGGGCTTCGAAATTGGATCTGGTTTCGGTGGCTGCGAAGTCCCTGGGTCAATACACAACGATCCCTTTGTCCCGGCGGCAAATGTGGAGCTCCCGCCTGGCGTCGCCGAGAGCGGAGCTGCCAAGTCCGGTCATCCGCGACCGAAACTAACGACCAAGACAAACTACTCTGGCGGCATCCAGGGCGGCATCTCCAACGGCGCCCCAATCTATTTCAGAGTCGCCTTCAAGCCACCCGCAACTATTGGACAGGAGCAGTTGACGGCGACGTACGATGGAGAATCTGAGGGTGTCTTGGCGGCCAAGGGACGGCACGACCCCTGCGTGGTCCCCCGGGCCGTTCCGATTGTGGAGGCCATGGCGGCCTTGGTCCTCATGGATGCTGTTCTTGCACAACAGGCAAGGCACACTGCAAAGAGCCTGCTGCCTCCGCTGAAACAGACCATAAACTCCGGGAAGCCGGCTGGGAATGGCGTTACCGAGGAGGAGGTGAAGAGTCAATAGATTCGCTTAGACGCTGAATAAGGAACTCCTGGGATACCCAAATGATGGTGTGTGACCCTGACCCAGGTGTGAGCTCCCGCATCCGATGTCTATCAGGAACGTAGCCTTGATACAAACAGCCAGGGTTTGGTTGACACTGCAGCGGCCTAGGGAGGGCGAGGTTAAGAACGCAGTTGCAGATGGGACCTAGAGCGAATAAACTCCCAGGCTTTTGTATGGCTAGATGACAGCCAGTAGGGTGTCAAAGCGGGTGTCAGGAAGCCAAAGACATTGTTTGCAATATGCAGAATGTATGCTGCGGGCCTCAGGCGGGGTCGCTCAACGTGACCGTGACGCATCCAGCCGTGGCCTCCTGGAATTACCGCTCCCTTACAGCAGGCCTAAGATTTAGTCTTCAGACATCTCTCAGATTCCACTGCCTCGTTCTTCTCGTTCTTCTCATCTAAGTCGACTCGATCCCGCAACCGGTACTGTACACCTGAATAGTCGCTGGCTATGGCGCCTCTACTGATGCTCTACGTGCTTGTACGTCTACATTCCTCCTGAGTGACACTGTTTCTGCTAACCCTCTCTCCAGATTATCCTCAGCCTTGTCGGCGCGGCCATGTATGTGCCCCATCCCCTCACACACCTTCCTCCTTACGCAACAGATAAACCTAGCTAACAACAGCTTCACCTACGCCAGCTACCAACATGTAACCACGACAGCCCTCTCGCTACCGATCCCACCCGCTCTCACAATCCTCGCCATCCTCCTTCCCATCCTCTCTGCCATGACCACCTTTACCCTGCCCCAGTTACGCCGGGCCCTCCTCCTCCCGCAAACCCGCTCCAACCATCCCCGCACGGCCTCCATGTCCCGACTGCTTCTCCCCGCCGCACACATCCTCCAGATGATCCTCACGACGGTGCTGGCAACCCTCTTCTCGACCCCGCTCGCCGGGCAAACGACACCAAGCTGCCTGCTCACGCAGCAGTGGACGTCGCTGTACAGAGCCCACTCGGCGGCGCCCATCCGCGCCATCCAGGACGCCCTCGCCTGCTGCGGCCTGCGCACCACGCGCGACATGGCCTGGCCCTTCCCCGGCGGCCAAGATCACATCCCTCCGGGAGCCTGTGAAGCACAGTTTGGCCGCCACATGCCCTGCCTCCCGGTCTGGCAGGACGCGCTGGATAGGATGGCGGGTGGAGAGGTTGGGGTTGTGGTTGCTGTTGGGGTGATGCAGGTCCTTGGCTGGCTTTGGGTGTTTACTGCGAATACTAGTAGGGATAATAGGGGAGGGTTGGGGGCCGGGTTTGTGGAGAGGTGGTGGCGTGGGTTGTCTGGAGGGGGTGGAAGGGCGGGGCACGGTGACGAGGCCAGGAGGGCGTTGTTACCTGCTGCAAGGGAAGTTGAGGCTACGGGTGGTGCGATGGGAGGAGATGATAGAGGGTATCATCAGGAGGAGGAGGAGGAGGAGGAGGAGGTGCAGAGCCACGACGGAGAGGGTGAGCAGCGGGGAGCAGCGGGTGGTGGGTATGGTACGGTTAGAGGGACTGGGCCGAGGGTTGAGCCGGCGCATCATGATCCTTGGGCTGGCGTCGAGCGGGCGTAAACGTTTCGAGTTCCAACATTCGGTTCTCTCTTCGAAAGCCAGCTTCCAGAGCCACCAAAATCCCAGTAACTAGGTAGGCAGCGAAGTGTTGTCCTACAGGGAGAACCAAAGGGGTGAATAGGTTTCATAGGGATGTTTTACTTTCAGACTTGAAAGACCACGCACCACAAGCAGCATCTTGAGCTATTAGAGTGACTGGAGAGGAAAATGTTCGTAGGGTACAGAGTTTGCTGCCAGTGCTGTTTACAAAGAGCCCTACGAGTCTCGTCTATCATTCGGTCGTGAAAGGCAGTAGCTCTCCATATCACTACAAAGCAACTTGAAGACGTGCAGGTCCGCCTCGACATGGCGCCCTGGGGACGCCGGCCGCGGACTCAATCTCTCGTATAGGAAGGAGCAGTGGGCGGCACCAGTCTTTTTATGGATCGTACCCGCCTTACACAGCCAAGTCGTTGTTGCTGTACACAAGGTAAGTGCGTGCTTGGGTAACTGGCACCTGGGCATTGCCTCAGTGAACACGTCAGAGCGGCCGCCTCTGCTCGTCTGCCGTTCTCACAACATCAATTCAACACTTTGGGATCCCTCCTTTCCCTGTTTGCAGCTTTGTTGACCAGTCAGACCATCATTCCATCAAAATGACCCGGCTCGACCCCTTTCCGCAGCTGAGCACTGTAGACGCTGGCGGATTATCACACCGCCGCTCGAATGTGAAGCGCAACTCTCAGGATCTGGCTGGCCATGCAGGTCCCATGCAGCCGGTAATCCACGACCAGTCGTCAAAGCTCAGGAAAAAATCTCGTGGATCCCTTAGACTATCCCGGCGAACCTGGGTCCTGCCTCTGCTTCTCATGCTGACCTTCATCACGCTCTATGCCATCAATCCATCCGAGTCTAATATCTTCCGACACTTCCTCTTTCTTTCCTACAAACTCGATGATCAAGACGACCAGTACGGCAAGGGTCCCTGGGACTTCGCCATTTTATGCTCCTACACCATCCTGTTGACCTTCGCTCGCGGGTTTCTCATGCAAGAAGTTCTCAGACCCCTTGGCCGTCTCGGTGGGATAAAGTCACGGCGGAAGCTATCACGCTTCATGGAGCAAATGTACACGGTCTACTACATGGGCTTCGTCGGGCTTCTCGGGCTTTACACCATGAAGCGGACTCCAGGGCTTTGGTATTTCGAGACGCGAGCCATGTACGAGTCGTATCCGCACCTATCTCATGATGCCGTATTCAAGTCTTACTACCTGATGCAGGCCGCCTTTTCGGTCCAACAGGCACTCATCATGCTGCTCGGCCAAGAAGAGCGGCGGAAGGATTTCCAGGAGCTTGTCGCGCACCACGCCATCGCTCTGGCGCTGATATGGATCAGCTACCGATATCACTTTACATACCTTGGCCTCGCCGTCTTTGTCTCGCATGATATCAGCGACTTCTGCCTGGCGGTAGGTACTTATTACTGCTTCAACCACCGACCTGAGCCATCAAACTCTCTATTCCAGCCTCTGCCAGCCTTGAGATTAAGTAGCTATATGTTTCAGATAAGTGGCTAACCCACCTAGCAGATGTCCAAGTCGCTCAACTATCTCAAACACCGCGCTCAGATCGCCTCCTTCCTCCTGTGCATCGCTACATGGATCTACCTCCGCCACTACATCAACCTGCGCATCCTCTACTCGATCGCTACCGAGTATGCCACCATCGGCCCATTTGGAGTTAACCCTGAGGCAGGGGAGTACAAGTGCCGCCTCTCCCAGACCGTCACCTTTGCGTTGCTGGCCATGCTGCAGGGCCTCAACCTGTTCTGGCTCTACCTTCTGCTCCGCGGCGCCTACCGTTATTTTGCCACGGGTGTTGCCAGGGACGATAGGTCCGAGGCTGATGAGTCAGAGGGAGGACCTGAACCCTGGGTTGCGGACGAGAGTCAGGGAGGCAAGGAGGAGAGGAAAGGGGTCGAAGTTTGATCACATGGGGTGTGGCTAGTTGACGATAGTTCGGCTGATAAGTGATGAATTGGACGTTGCAGTCAAGGTATCACTAGCCCATACCTTACTTAGAAAGTTAGAAGGTCCCATTTGTAAGGCCTTTGGCCTCGAATGCTTTATTGATTTTAATCCCTTGTTGAGAACAGCCTGGACAGGAATCAATATCATAGTGTATCGGTCATCGAAACTTCCAAAACTCCCTTCGAAACTCCATGCCGTGCTGAGCGCCATCCGCCACTGCAGTTTTTAGAGACTGGGATGAGTATTGTAGCTTGGAAGCTCTGGAAGTTGGTTGGTGATGCCTCTGATCCGCTCCCCAACCACGAATGTAGTTGCGGTGGGTGCAGTAGCCCCCTGGAAGGTGTAGTATCTGTATCGTCTGTCACTGGGCCTCAACCAGCATGGAACTGCGATCAACTTGCGCACGGAGAGCATTAGGGGGACAATGGTAGGGGGTATCAACAACAAATGAACAAGGTGTCTGTCTTGATAAGGAGACCCGTCGGATTGGCTATCCAGCTACGGTGGATGAAAACATCCACAAGTCTTCCGTAGTATAGTGGTCAGTATGTGAGCTTGTCATCAGACCCCGCCTGGGATCCAGACAACGCTCGAGACCCGGGTTCAATTCCCGGCGGGAGAGTCAAAGCCACACAGATTTTTTTTCTTGCATCTTCCCATGGCATTACCACGTTCATGACCTTTTTCGTCTAATGAACCCATTATGTATCCAGGCTAAAAAGGTACCAGACCTTACAGACCAGAGGTAGGCAAGTGAAGTGTTGAAAAGAACTGAACACCTTCGATACCTAAGCAACATCGGACGGTAAACGAGCCGGACCGCCGTGGCGGATGCAAGGTCCCCGCAGCCGCCTTCAACCGCTCCCTCGATAACTCTTCATCAATCCCACCCCGCGATTGCGTGGTGCGGTGAACCCATACCGATCCCTCTACTTCGTACGCCTGCTTTGTATTGTACAACAGGCACTCGCCGGGTCTCGCAAAACCGCACAGGTAGCTCTCAATCCAGGCGGCGCTCCTCCGTGTCAGCGTAGAGGCCCTGAAAAGTTGGGATGCCGCTGCTTTTCCTTCCGCCCAGGCAGAAGCGCGGTTGCAGGATGGGCAACTGAACAAAAGCGCACAACTTCCCTGCTACCGATTGGCCCCTTGGCGGTGTATTTCAGTAGGAAGCTCGGCAGCGGATACGTGACTGAGAGGCAGCTCCACAGGAGACGCGTTCGGATGTGCAGCTTCCCAATGCGCCGCTGGCTTCGCCTCGGAGCCATACACATAGGAGCCAAGCTGCCCTGGCGGCGGCTGCTGCAGCAGAAGCTGTTGTTGTTGCGGCGACAGCCCAGCGCCAAGCTCGGGAACCTGGGACGTCCGCTTGCGTTTCTTCCATAGCCAGAAAAAGAGCGCCGCTAGCAGAGATAGCACGACCACAGGCACAACCACTGCAACCGCCACGATCGCGCCCGTGGACATGGACTGCGCATCAGACGGCGCTGGGGAAGGCGTCAACGACGGCACCCCTGACTGGATACCGCCGGCTGCTCCTCCTCCTCCTCCTCCTCCTCCTGCTGTCTGCGTCGTCGTTGCCGTCGTCGTTGCGAGATCGGTGGCCTGGTGTACCATCCGGATGCCGTACGCATTTATCCCTTCCGGACTTGTCATGGTCGAGAGAATGGTCGATGTGGTGCCTTCAGCGGAGAGGGTCATTGGGACTGCTGCCCCGCTTTGCGGGGCGATCCATGTGCAAAACAGGTTCTCCCATATGCTTGAGAGCGTGGACGGGTCGACGCAGGAGAGGGTGATGGAGTCGCGGATGGGACAGCAGGTCACCGTCGTTATGCTCGAGACGCCTTGAGTGTCGTGGCAGGCGGTGTAGTAGCCGGCGGGGCAGGCGATGCCGGGGGAGAAGTAGTTGGTCGCCGAGAGGCCGAAGCCGGAGGGTTGGCACGACGACATGCCGCCGACGATGCCGACGTTTGACCAGTAGATGCCGGTACATGGTGCTGGCGGCGTGAACGTGGTGGTGAGAGGGTTGAGGGGGAAGGAGGTTATGACGGTAGCAGAGGCGGAAGTGACGGTAGTCGCAGCCATTGTGGTAATTGGCAGATACCTAGAATGTCTGTCGACTTCCCTGTCTCAACTCTCAAGGCCAGGCGTCAACCGAACGCCTGATGTGCTTGCGCGGTGAGGTCGACGGGCAGGACGTTGACGAGTTGTCGCTGCGGGAGGAAACGGTTGATCGACTCCAAGCTGACTCCATCTCTGGGGCTGAATCTCTCCCCTCCACTAGCGCCACTGGTGAGATGGTGAGATCGAGGCTTATTACCGGTATGTACTGCCATTCATGGATCATGGATCTTCGGTTGTCCAAAAATCCGAGGCATGAGTCCGAGGGACCCAAGCAGCGCTTAAAATGTGTCAGATTGTCCTTTTCTTCGTAAGACCGCAATCAGCCCAATCAGAGCACCGCTCAGAGCCATGGTGTGGATCAAATTCTTGGGTAGTTTCGTGCTAACGTTACACGTGTACTTGGGGGTGTAGGGACAATTCGTCGGAAACGGAACGTCATGTCCAAAGCAGCCGAACCAAGAATTCCCTTGCTCTCAATTAATTGCAAGTCGAAGCAGTAAGGCTACGTGCCAATCAGGAACCTTCTTTGCTTGCAATTCCTCGGCTGAGGTGAGGCTCACCCCCAAGGCTTGCTGTGCCCTGCCTAGTCGGGCAGCGACGGTCCACCAACCATCACGGGTGACCGTTCGTTCTGTCCAGTCCATTGGCGTTAACCCCTGACCGCCGTACCACCATCTCACCACTGCGCAACGACCTATTTACCTTCGACTGAGATCAATTTCGATTCAAACCCGCTCATATGTACTGTATTGTACAAGTACCAGTGCACGTCTGCACTAACCCTCATCTTAATGCCAATGATCGCCTTTAGTTTATGGTAATTCTCTAGCTTTTGTACCCTACATGTGTAGGGCTGAACGCGCTTGAGGCGAGCGAAGGGCTAGGCTCTGATTCATGAAAATGATGAAATTATTCTGATGGGTCCGAATGCGACGAGAGGCATGAGGAGAGGGGTCTGCTCTAGCCGGAGCTGGTTCTGCTGACGGATAACAACTTAACAAGTCGAGCAACCTCGCGCGGCGACACTCCACGCGGCAGGAGCGCACCCTGCGATCGAGACCAGGCCAGCTTTCCATATTCTACCAATTCGTTGGGAGCGCGGAAGTTGCACCTTAACTTCTGCGCTTCACCTTTTGTTCCAAATTGGAATGCCGGCTTCAGAGGAAGACCGAAAGGGTACCCAAGCAGTCAGGATCTACGGACTGGGAGCGCTCTTTGCTGCTTCTGACAAGTTCATGTTCATACACTGCACCTCGCTTGTGTTGGAGCCAACACTGATCATGTTCAAAGGGCCACAGCAGACTTATCCAAACGGTCTTGCATTCCTTCCTGAGTTCCTGTCGGTATCTACCTACACTCAATAGCATCCTACCACTAGCCTCAGATCCACCCGCGTCTCTCCTACCACGACTGACGTGATTTCAACCCCGGAACACAATCATCTTCCCCAGAATAGTATGGATCCATCGAAAGGTCAAAAGAAGCGTAGTCTTCTGGACAAAAAGTTGGTGTCACCCCCGCGGCAGGAATAACGGCCTGCTTTCCTGTCAGATACCCCCATGCCGAGCAGAAAAGTCCCAGTATGCCCCCTGGAGACTCGGGCTCCTCCATCAACTTCAACAGCTCACCGAGGTTGGGGGGTCGGATTTGCTGAAGCAATGTCCTCAGGGGCATGGCGTGTGTCGGTCCCTTTGGGCTCTCGCGTTTACCAAGAACCACAGGTGGAATGATTGTCAGCCGAACAAAACAGTTGGTTTCAGCCCCGGTCTCGAAGAAGTATTGTATGGCCTCGCAGATGCGCCGCATCGTGGCGTTGTCAGGGTTGTACAAGTCCCAATACCTCCGCTCCATAATCTGAATAACAAGAGCGGCACATACGATCTCCCAGACCGTAAACTGACATGGGTTGCTCAGCTTAGTTGACACTAGATCGTGCGGGGACGACACCAGCATCGAGGAGCAACTTGGTCATAGCGGAAGCTTGGGGCGTTCGACCAAGCGCGGCGGACAGGAGGAGGGACATGCTGCCTCGAGGCCGCAGCAAGCCTGGATCGGCCGCCACTTTTTTCCGAATGTAATCAACAAAGCCCTCCCGCGCGAGGTAGTGAAGATAGGAGGCGGCGACCCAAGGTTCTTGGATCTGCATTATCATCAATTTCAAGGTGAAGCCGGTAATGGGCTTCTGTATGAATTGACGGTAGCCGAGAAAAACAGGTGACTTCAACGACTCGTTATTGTGGTGGTTCGTTGCTCTCCCAAAAGCATCCAGTAGCCCATCGTCAAGTCGAAGTTCTGCAGGTGGTCCAGGGTTCAAGAAGCTACGGTGTGTATCTCGAATCTTGTCTATGGACTGTCTTGGGACCTCACGTTCGTCGATCATGTTGTCAGTTCTCGCAAACCAAAGCTGTGCAAGGAAGAGCCGTGCGTAGTCTGACTGGCAGGGTAGGTATGCAGCGTTGGTTGAAAACTCCTGAATGATGCTGCTCTGGCAGACGAAGTCCCGGACAGTGCGGTGAAAGAACTGGACATGTTTCCGGAAGGATAGGGGTATATCGTCATGCTTGTCGTCTACGATCTCCAATAGGCCTCTCGTCAGACTGTCGAGTTGGTATTTGGCTTCGAGATGCCGCCGCCGGATCTCCTCGTCAGAATACGGTTCGAATTCGCACCTCATTGGGAAACCCGGATCGTCCAAGTCTCGAAGCCAGGTGACCATGAGAGCACTCAATGGGTACATGAAACGGGGAACTCCAGCAACAAGGAGCAGCAGTTTGAAAGCCTTGGCCTGATCAACAGGATCGATAGACATGAAGATCTTCTGCTAAAGCTTGTTGAAGTCCCCCGGGATGCCTTTTAAATGCTCTCTAAGCGAGTGGATGGGATCGTAACGTCCAATGGCGTTGAGGAGACTACGGATGGCAAGAGTTGCCCACAAGAAAACCCCATCAGAAGCGGCAGCTACCTGTTCCACCAGGTCGATATAGCACTCCTGGACTTCGGGTCGCGCAAACGTCTTGTCCTTCTCGAACATTTGCCGGCCGGCGAGAACCATGTCGGATCTCGTTAGCTCATGCGGACGAATGCGCCGTTCGTCCGAGAATGTATCTTCGAACTGCCTATGTGGACGAGAGCTGGCCAAGATCTTGACATCGGGGTGGGCGGCCCAGGAATTCAAGTCATCGGCCAACCGCTGATGTTCAAATTCGCCAACATCGTCTCCGCCATATTCGTCAAGCCCGTCGATGAACAGACAGAAACGATAGCCGGGTTGCGGGGATCTTTGTTATCAGATCGGTGAAAGCCTTCTTGATGTCGCTGGAGCTGAAGAAGAGGTTGTCGAACGATTCGTCGGCATTGGTCTTGGAGAAGCTTCTGTAGGCTTTTGGGAAGACATCGGGTATGAGTTCCGGGCACTGGATAAGGGTTTCGAAGAGAATGGAACGGTAAAGCCCTTCCAGAGAGTACTGCAACCGCTCCCCGGACAACCAGAAGAAAAAATGGGCAAAGACGAGCTGTTTTGCACCGGCCCACTTCTCCAGCTCCGTCTCGGTTCTTTCGTCACGTACGAGAAATTTCATCATGGTCGACTTGCCGGAGCCTGCTTTCCCTGAAATGTGGAATACGCCGTTCCCTTCTCTCAGCCAGTGCTGAAAGCCCGCCGCTGCCTCCCTTTTCCGAACCCATTCATCGCTCTTGCCCTTTTCCGAATCCGTGTCTGAACTTCCTTGTAATATCCACCTGAACGTTTTAACCTCGGCAGGGGCCATATCGTTTTCTCTTCGATGAAGCGATCGGAAATACAGCTGCTTGAGGATTCGAATCTCGGGCGACGGTCCAGTCCTGCCCTGCAGCAAGCCGTCAAGACTGTGGCGTATCTCATGTAGAAGTCGCAACTGGTCCTTGATGTCGCTGTCTGGCGGGTCCAGGATCTTAGACTCAGAGGTGCCACCAATGGCGGATTTGGATTTCCTGCCCGTGGTACGCCGGCGGAGGAACTTGACGCAATGTGCTTTCCACAACTTGCAAGACATCGTTTCGGAGTCTTTCTAGCTGTTCCGCCGCCTCCGACGACCGTTTTACAACCTGTGATTGAAAGTCGGATAACTGAACCTGAATCGCTACCTGCCGTTCACTGGAGAAACCGAGGAAGTCGAACCTGTCAGCAAGGCTTACGGATGAGTACTACGGCAAGATAGCTAGCTGGAGCGTACTTGAGGATGCAAATAAGGCGAATCATAATCTCAGAGCGGTATTTGCCCAGCTGCTCTTCGAGATCGAGTATTTCGCCCCTTTTTCGCATAGACCCGAGCGCCAGTTTCGCGCTCTTCCAGGTAGAGCCGTTTGCTTTCATCGCCAGCGACTCGAGCAGGTCGACTAGCTTCCAAGCGACTTTCTCGCACTTGCTGCCGAGTTCCCTTATAGCGGCCTCATGTTCGGATTTCATGTTGCTGGTGGGCCACTGAGCCAGCGGTTCGACGACGGCGCGGAGATCGTAGATGACAATGCCTATGTGAGTGTTCTCTGAGAGATTGCCGGTCTTGAGCACCTCCAAGGTCCCGGTGACAATTTTGTAACCCAGTCGATGAAAGTGAGAATGCTGGTTGCGAATCCTACAGCGCTGATGGGGTCCATTGTGTTTGAATCCGACCCAGCTCAGGCTGGAACCGAAGATTGTCCACTGCTAATGCACAACCGGGGTGAATGCAGACACTGAGAAGAAGAAGTCCCTTCTTTGAATTTGAACGTGCGATGCGGCCCTTTTGTGAGGGGCTTGGATGTCTGCTTACTACGCCTGAAGTCACGGTGCAGGGCGGCACATCTAATGTCGCTATTCGCTGCCTTGGACCAACCGCTTTAAAGTTCACCGAGGTTGGGTCAGCTTGGGTGGTACTGTTCGAAATACGCCCTCTTGGTGTAAGCTAGGGAGTGGCCCACTATAGGGGGAAATTACTGTCCTGCGCTCCCACCTGTATAAAATTGGCTCTAGAGAGCCACTGTAGCCTCTATTCCTCAGAACCTTCAATTGATCAATCAATCTAGAAGACAACCACAAAGAAACCATCACCAGTGGCTATTTTGGCCCGGTAAGTCCACCCTGTGATTTCCAACAGGTACAAACTAGGCCTTCAGCTCTCGGCTGCTCGGCCGTGATTTATGAAGTTCCGGGTAATTACCTAGGCATCCACCGACTTCCAATTCGCTACCTGTTGTGTCACTGACATCCATGATGTTCTGCAGTTGGCTAAGTCTCTTGTACAGCTTGCGTCTCGTACAATACAACCGTACACTGCAACAAGTCACGGCTCCATCAGGACTGGGACTTGCGAAACAATCTCATTCAAACCCGCATCGACCACCAGAAAATGCACCATCGAACATCTGTCCTCCGAGACAGAAATACTGTTCCATGCCCCCGAACTTCCACTCCTCACTCTTCATGTTCATAAACGCAAGTAACGGTTGAGCTGCCAGAAGTACCGCACTCGGTGTACTTGGTGCCTCTCTGTCTGATGTCCAGGATCTGGGCACCAGACACACCGATCGTCCCGCCAGAGGTGGTGCCGACGCTGGCGCCGGTGAAGGTGACGGTGCCAAAGTTGGCCAGGGGCACGAGGGCGCCGTTGGACTCGAAATCCTCGACGATCCACTCGGCGTTGGTTTCGCACAGCTTGGCGTCCTCCTCCTCAAAGGAGTGCTTCACGGTCTTGTTTGTGCTCAGGTTGGTCAGCGTTACCGTTCCCTCCGAGGTGCTAGAGGCGGCGACCGTCATCCTGATCTGGTTGCCCGCCGAGATGTCGAAGCCCGAGAAGTCATAGGCGTAACCCGGATACCACTCGTACCAGGCGTCATAGGAGACCTTGGTGCCCTTGACGTTGAAGTCTAAGGATTGTTTCAGTTAGTGCTTCCATGTCAGTTCCTTGATCGTGGAGAAGGAGACTTACCAACGCCAGTCTGGAGAATGGCGCGGGGACAAGTGTTGCCGTCAATGCCAACCCAGGCGGAAGCAGAGTAGAGCTGGTTGTTTGAGCCACCCGGAGGCGGCTTCGGGGTTGGAACCGTGATGGTACCCGTCACCGAATTGTATCCGGACCCGATCAGAACGGCACCAGCCCAGTTGTTCGAGTACCTCGCATGGGTTTCGTTGTTTGACCTCCTGATGGTGAACCCATCGGGCTTCATTCTCGGGTTGGATTTGCGGGAAGCTCGGTGAGCAGCAATCCGGGGTTCGCGGCGGACAAGTTTGACACCGTCACCGAGATCAATCTCAGGGGCAGGGAGAGCCAATGCAAGACCACCGAGGGCCAAGAGGGCAACTGTGCGCTTCATGTTTACCCCTGGGAGGTTCGATCTGGTCAGACAATTCTGGATCGCTTTTCGGTTTGAGTGGGGATCTGGGGATCGAGGCTCGAGAAGACAAAGCCCAGGACAGGAGAGAAGGTTGGAAAAGCCGGTGTTGTCCTGCCTTTTACACTTGTCCTGTTGTATGCCCAGTTCGGACCTGTTATGGAGCTGTCCAGCCTGGCTAGGTATGTCGAAATTCCAATTGTTCTCAACGGAGAAGAGGTGCAATTGCATTTGAGGTACCGAAGGCTGCATCGGGAGGTCCTGAACTCAGGCAGGTGTTGGCTTGTTGTATACTGCAGTCACATCCTCTTCATTCTCATCTATTCCGCGTCCCACGCTACAGCATTGTCGATACTGGAACGCTAAGTCCGGCCCCTTCAAATAGCCGACGGTGTGCCAGGCGGCGCAATATCTGGGATAGACGGGCATGCTGTCAAGCAGTAAGCGCAAGATGAGTGCTCGGTTAGATCAAGCCGATGATGATACAATGGGTAAGGTAGATGAGCAGGCGCTGATCAGCGCCTGCTCGGCAATGGGCTCGAGTGCCGGATTGCTGTAGATCCTAACTGAGACTCGATGGAACGGCAAACGAATGGATGTGCGGTCCCGCCGGGGTGGCGGTAGTCTGAGGATGAGCACGGCATGTGGGAGCCTACTAGGAGCTAAACTATTCGATTAGAGTGAGAGTCAGGAGGGTGGCCTAAATTGCAATTTCAGTTGTTAGACTAGCACTCTAGCCCAGAGTTGAAGTTCTTAAGATACCTTATTGTCTAATAGGTTGTTGTGCCACATCAACTAGGTACAGGTCTTTTTGAGTTTTGATTTCGATACCTAGGTGAGGTACCTCAGGTTGCATTCCTAGAGATGACATGGACTCAATGAGAGCAGGTCAGGAAGATTGCAGGAACCTGACACATATTGTTGGACTGCGCGGCTTGGTCAAGGCCAGTTTGAGCCCGTTTGGAGCTACGTTAGCAGCGTGCTAGACTCGAGCAAGTTGGCTTGGTATTAGTGTTCAACGGTCCTTGAGGCTTAGGGGCGGAATTGTAGTCCGAGCACAGGACTTTGGAGTGAGTGATGGCACTGTCACACTCTAGCCACTCCATTACCGAACATTAGTTAGGCCTGGCTCTTACATGCGAGTTGTTTGGTTCAGCAACTTGAGGCTGTTGGGATCATAGATTCCCATCAAGGTCGGAGTTAAACTTCCTGCAGGCCAGCAATATCAGATACGCACCAGACATCATGATCATTGCCTGCACCGCCTAGAACATATTATACTGTTGTCTTCTATGGAATCTGTGCAGCAAAATCCGTAAAAGACATCATGAGTCAACGCATTGCTGGCCCTTCGACAGCGTTCAAACTCACAAGATTCAAGTTAGCAACCGCACCACTTTCTGACATCTGGTGGCAACTAGTTGTAAGTACCTAATAAAGATGCTGCTCTACCATGGCTGTAGTGTATAGGATACCTCGGTAGTGCATGTACCGATATGAATTGAGCGCTTCAAATATGAGGATTCGAGATTCAGGGGTTAGGGGTCTCGTGTGCTTCAAGTTGAAGTCAACTCCGTGCATTCAAGTTCTAGAGGTTGGTGAATGAGACCTTGCAGTTGAAAATATCACACGAGTGCATAAATGACCCGGCTAATGAGCAACTGGATCCTCATGTGTCCTCGAATCTCATATGCCTTGCCAGCCTGAGGGATGGCGACTCAGGAGCAGGGACGCAAACATCAGTGACATCATCCATTTACCTATGTAAGTGGGTTCACGCAACACCACGCTCTATATAAAGTAAAGCAACGAAATCATACCGATAAATGGAGACGTTTGTTGTGAGCTCATGGCCCTTATCTTTTCATACTCAGCATCCCGCACCACCCTCTAACAACCAATTCAAAGCTACTCCCACCAACCTGAATTTACACCGGCACCAGACCAGACATCATGCTATCCATCCGGCACACCGTCACAAAGGCTTTTGCCTCCCAGGCCGCTGTCCGTCAAGGCACCTTCCGCAGGCCCATTGCCCTGTTCTCTACCTCCTCGCAAAAATCTGTCGAAGGCTCATCGGGATCGAATTCTCCTTCGCAGTCCCCCCGCATGCAAGACAAAGACCAGGTGCAAGCCGAACAGCAGGCCAAGGACCCTCAGAAGATGGCAAATCTCGGCCAGGAAAGCAACAGGTCCAAGCCCGAGGACGTGACGGGCGGATTGCACACCCAAGGCGTCAAGGGGAAAAGCCGGGACGATGAGAGCTTGGGAAAGGCTGCCAAGAACAAGGCGAGTGGATGAATGGCCTGCAAGGGATTTCGGGTTCAAAATGATGTTGGACAGAAGGTCATGCTATGGTCTTTAGTGATCTAAATATTAATAGGGTACCTTACTTTATCCACGGGCTGTCTAATTTTGGGGACTCCCTGATTCAGATGTTGCCTTGGTCCCTTCTGAGATCCATCCATACTCCACAGCTTCAAACAGAAACTTCAAGTCTACTCTTAAGAACCGTAAGACGGCAGGATTGAAATCATGATACTGTAGGTACCTCTGGGGGTACCTACCTACCTATGCGTTCTATTTGCTTCTCCATGGCCCATGCCAAGTGTTACACCGGAAGAGTTTGGCTTATTAGTCCAATGACTACCTAGTAGTTTGTGTTTCCTAGAAGCTTCCAGGTTGCTGCACCGGCCCTGTGTATGTGACTATGTGGAGCACCTCCGGGGACCGGGGTATCATCCGGGCCCTGGTTTGCATTATCTCCGGACGACCTCACTCCGGCCCCATATGCATCATCATTATCTCCAGTCTATATCTCCGGGCGCTCATATTCTTCGACACCTCAGGGGTCGGGACAATACTGTACGGTACCTAGTCACCCGCAGTTACAGTATTACGCCAAGTTGCCATACTACGTGTAGACTACATCAGGACTGTCCGGTTGGTCACTCGAGCGTCCTCGTGATTCGTATACTGCACGTGCAGTCGAATCACTCACCCTCAAGCCGACCTTCATTGTGGTTCTCGGACCAGGGCGGTTATAAATGGGCAGGATTTAATGTAGTTACCGAGAGGTAGGGTACCTGCAACCGATTGTATCAGCCGCGCTCAGCGGGTCACTTAAACTGCACTTAACCTTACTTGCTGGGTACACGACGGCCTTGTTCGGGGCCACCTACTCCGTAGCTCAGACTACATGTGCACAACGTAGGTACGGCACTCTCCCAACAACACGAGAATGCTCTGTTTCACCAAAGAATGTGCATGCATTACAAATCAGATTTCCAATGTCAACACCTGCTGTCTGGCACAGGGCCCGCCTGCATGTGCCCAGTCTGTCCTTGCACCCTTTATTATTCCCTGCCCCTTACATACGTACAGTAGTTTATGTGGGCAGTGGAGCAGTTCTGGCTACCCCAGTCTGCAGATGTGGCTAGATACCTACCTTGACAAGGTCGATGTGCATCATGGTGTATCCACTCACTCAGGTTCGGACTGAGACAGGAGAGATCGGACTCAGATGCTGCAGGGCAGAGTGAAAGAATCTTGGCTACGGAGATAGGATTTGGCAGGCACCATATCCACGATCAACGGGGTCGGGAAGGACAGAACATACCGACCTCGGAATACAAATATGTAGATCGATGCCCTCTCCCCGAGGTTGTCCGGCATCCTTCATCAGAGACCTTACCTAGTATCCAGCAAGACGAGATCCTACCTTAGCACCCTACAACTCACCACTTTTGAGCCCCTTACCCCTTATAGACACGCATTCAACTCAACAGTCAACCCCTTTACCCGCATCGACCGCCGCCATGTCCAGGGACGAGGTAATGAAGCAAAAGCGCAACCTCCCGCTGCTTGTCTCTCGAGAGGCATGCTCCGGCAAGACGTACATCGTGACAGGGGCCAACGTGGGGCTGGGGCTTGAAGCGGCGCGGCACCTAGCAGCGGTGGGCGCGGGCAAGGTGATCCTGGCCGTGCGCAACGCCGGCGCGGGTGCGGCGGCCAAGGCCGACATTGACGCCACGACTGGCGTGGCACCAAACGTCGTCGAGGTGTGGTCGCTCGACCTGTCGAGCTACACCAGCGTCAAGGCGTTCGCCAAGCGGGCCGAGGCTGAGCTGGAGCGCATCGACGGGCTGATCGAGAACGCGGCCATCGCGCCCTCCAAGCGCGAGCTGGCCGAGGGCCACGTTTTGGCTATGACGGTCAATGTTTTGAGTACCTTTTTGCTGGCTGTTCTGATGATCCCTGTCATGAAGGCGAAGGCGGCCAAGGTCGGAGGGGAAATGCCTACGATCTCCATTGTTGCGAGCAGAGTGAGCTTTGATTACAAGGAGGCGTGGGACAAGATCAAGGATGATCCGATTGTGGGAATGGATGATGAGGGATTCGAGACGCTGATAACGTTCGTTCGGCATTCCAGTTCATTGTCCGCTGCATCAAGCTGACAACAAAACTCTTACCTTAGGTATCCCACCACCAAACTCATGGAGATTTATGCGGTCAAGCACCTCGCCGGTACCCTACTCCCTGTTGAGAAAGCAGGCGTCATTATCAACGTGCTCTGTCCCGGCCTCTGCACCACGGAGCTGGTCAGAAACATGCCCGAGGAACAGTACAACGCTGTTAGGGAACTGCAACGTCTTTGCGGACGCACAGCTGAGGATGGAAGCCGCACCTTGCTTCAGGCAGTCATGGCCGGAAAGGAGAGCCACGGCCGGTTGCAGCATTCGTGCGAAGACGGCGAGTAAGGAGCCCGAACCCATGAGCAGATCCCTTTTATCGAGAAACTTGTTTGCTGACTGCATCCACTCAACAGGAAGGACGTACCGAGCTGGGCTGCAGAGGACAAGGAGGCCCACAAGCGGACATGGGACGTTATTGCTGCAGAGTTGGAGGCTGTCGAGCCGGGATGTGTGGCCAGGATACTGCAGTAGAGACGCTCAGGGGTTCGGCTGCAATGGGCATGTGTGCCATATCAGCCTGAGCGGTTTGCCACGATAGGACCGGCGTCAAATTTTCCATACTGTATCTAGGGCCTCAAGTTTCTCTACTCACCTCGGTTGTTGCTAAGGACGTGAACACCTGATCCCACGGAATCAAGTGCATTTTCGACGAGACCCAAGGGTTAGCATGGCGGTCCGTTTCCACACTCAACTGGACTTCCTCGTATCGCGGCTGCTCATGCACGGCTTCCTCCTTTTGGTAGGTGTCGCCACCACTAGCTTGTCGATGCTACAAAGAACAAGTGAGCAAGTTCTCAGTTTCATAAGGAAATGAACCTCCCAGTTGTACTCTTTCGTTCCCAATTGGGAGGAAGGAAGAGTCAAGGCACCTGCTCCTGGGGTCGTAAAGTGGTGCACTCCCACACTAGTCTTTTAGGAATAACGGAAAGACCCAACCTTGAAGTCACCAGGGCTTCTTCAAGTTGCTGGAACACTCGTGGTTGCAGGGAAACCAAATATACCGTATAAACTCGTCAAATCCGCCCTCTTCTACTGCACGATCTTGAGCCTGGTGACCAATCCCAGCCTTGCGCTATGCAGTGCGCTTCAACTTTGCTGATGCGCTGCGAGGTCGAAGTCAGGGTTTGAAGTGGGTGGAATACAGGGTTATAGACGTCGCTTGGCTTAGACTGTGCAGTAGAAGAGGGCGGATTTGACGACAGTACCGTGACCGATTGCAGTTCATCAGGCTTAGATCCCGTGTCCTGGCTGGGTATACTGTTCCGGTTTCTGGCCTCTGAATGAAGGGAGAGCCCAGCCAACTCGCATCATGCGCCATATGGTCAATCCTTTTGCCTCACCTGGGAGTAGCGTTGAAGCCAGACACGTCTGGCGCGGAATGAGCCCAACATCAGATGAAAGGGGTAAGGTACCGGTCAGCTGGCCCGTTCCTTCCTCCCCCAACAAACGCGCCACTGCTTCATATGGCATAGATTAATGAACCCTACTACTAACCTAGAACAGAGCTTGTTACCTATTGGGATTGACTTCCAGTCACTTACCAGAGGTCGTGGGTTCAACTCCCACACGTTGCGCTACCCAGTTTTCTTATAGTGATTCATGGAGACTGGCCGGGAGAGGCTGTTCATGGTATCTGCCTGGCATTGGCTTGTGGGTACAACGTCTTAGTGGTAGACAGTACTTGCTGAGGATTTGTCGAACTCTGTGAAGCCTCGAGGGTATCGGGGGATAGAGGGTTCTGGGGGATCTAACAGCTCTGTTCACTTTTCTTCTTTCTTCTTTCCACTTCATGAATTAAACCAATCAGTATGAAGCGCAGCTCAGGAGAACACCCTAGGACGATACCATTCCTGGTCGTTTCATGAGCATCAGACCTCATAGCGCCTAGAATCTATCTCTCATTGGAATGTTAATGGTATAAGGATACCGCCCGCGGTACTTCTCCCACCAAGACGGGCGATGGAAGGCCGCGGGTGCCTGCAGCGCCGCTAGGCAGATGCCGCGATTATTCCTCCGCCGCAGATCCGGGCACTGGCAGCGGCATCCAATCGCCCCTGGGCTCTCACTCGACCACTCCCCATTCCCGAGCGCCTTATTCCCCGGAAGCTGCCCGCCAGGGGCGTTGCCGGGGCACTGGAAGAAGGGTTCGTGGTGGTATCCAATGTCGGAAAAGTGGTGCAGCCTGTCCGGCGGGAGCAGCATGTGGACGGCCAGGCTGTGCACGGGCGCGTCCCCCCACCGTTCGTAGTAGAAGCCGCCTAGGCGGTCGAGGTGGCGGAAGAGGCCCTGGTAGGCCTCGCCGCGGAAGAAATCCAGGTCGGCGATCTCAAAGTTGCTCCAGTAGTGGCAGAGGTTCCACCGCTCGCCTTGCCGATTGACGTGGTCTTTGTTGAGCCACGCCTTGAGCTTCCGGATGGGCCACGGCTGCCACGTTTGGTCCATCATGGCGTTCCACGCCGGTGTGCGAGGGAGGTTGATGTGCACCCGAAAATCATCGACGGCTCGGAACAGGCTCGGACAGGTGTTTGGCTCCTCCCAGAGCGCGATCGTGTAGCCGTACGACTTGTTGTGGCATGCCATCTCGACGAAGGGGTCGTAGGTGAGCGCACAGGTGAATCGGACGCCGGGCTCGAGGCGCCAGTACCATTTATACTTCTGCAGGGCCTTGTGGGCGTAGAATGTCCTGGTCGCATGTTAGCGATGCATGCTTGCGGCATGTCGCGGGCGGCTGCAGTACCCGGAGTAGAACCGACACATGTGATGGTATGATTCCTTCCCCCCGTTCCACACGCCATTTTTCTGTTGCTCAGCCATTGACGCCCTCGCCTGCTCCGGGTCAATCCACTCAGGATATGACCAGTCTTCCTTGGGAATTACATCGAATATCGCCCCGCCGCTCACGGACTGATTCATGGCGCGGATGAACGCAGGGTCCCATTCTTCGTTGTTGAGAAACACCACTGGGTAGTGGAACCACTGGTTGAACTGCTTCTCAATGCTTTGAATCGTGTTGCGCGCCTCATTGATCTCCGAATTCCGAGCGAGCATGACAAACGCTGCGTTCTCGCGCGGCTGCGACGCAGCAATCTCGGGGTCCCGGCATTGCGTAGCGAACGGGGCGTCGAGGTCTTGGGGCGGGCGCGGTACGCTGTAGATCTGCGCGTGCAGGAGGGACTCGAGGACGCAGAGACATGCGACGAACGCAGCTACCTTGAACAGTGTATTGAGACGTCGCGGCGGCCGTCGCAGTTGCCGAACGATGGCCACAGCGAACGCGGGCAAAAGCTTCATGTCGGTTGCCCGAGCATTTTGAGTTGCTTTGCGGATTCATCAGAGCTGACGAGGACTCAGGGAGTCCACACACCACAGCAGGCGCCGAGGAGCTGGTTCGCCAAGGTTACATCGAGGGATGATTCTTGGCGAAACAGGGGCCAGGTTGCTTCGTGAACGACTCTCCTGATCTCTTGATCCTAACCGAAACCTCGGCCTTCAATCCATTCAGGGGCAACTATTAAGATATAAACTTTGAATTGAACCCATGAGGAGCTACCTTAGGTAAGTATTTCTTTGGACAGCCAGTTACAAGTACCTGCCCTAAGAAAGATCTTTGGGAGATCACCGATTTACTGTGTACAGTACAACTGTGGAAAATCTCTGGGCAAGCCAAACCTCGCAACCGAATTCCGAAATTTCCGAGCTCCTCGGACCTGGCCCGCTGGGGGTGAAAATGCTGACGAAAACACGAGAATGCGGGCCGACCGCCCACGTCACTCCACCAATTTACCGTTGCAAGGATTATAAAACTGACATACAGCTTAGGTACTTAATCATTCGAGCGATCCGCGACGCTCCCCTCTGCTAGCTTGCCAGTCTCCTTTTCCCTTTCCTCCAACGCCCTTGGCTCAGTGATGTCCACGCCCAGCCTTATCGCCTCGGCCACCTCGGCAGAGGGCCCCGTGAACCATCGACGCGCCCAAACGACCCAGGATCCGACAGCCAGGACGGTAAGCACGCCGACAGCAACGGCCGTGTAGTTGAACGTGTCGCTTGTGACTGGGTTGGCGGTCGGCAGGCAGAACACAACCGTAATGAACCCAATCCATAAGCAGGCGACAGCGGCGATGGGTCTGGAGAGTACGCCGAGGTTGAAGGGCCCCTTCATTGCCGTGAAGGACTCGTGGCATACCAAGCCAATGAGGATGGGCAGCCCGTAGCTCAGGTAGAGGCCAATGGTCGCGATCGAGGTTGCTGCTGCGAACGCGACACTCGACCCGAGAGAGGGCAGTGCGAGGATAAACGAGAGAGTCGCAGACAGCCAGACGGCACGGATCGGGGAGCGGAAGCGATCGTCGACCTTGTGGAAGAATGGATGCTACAGACGAGTCAGCGGACGTTGTCGGTCTTTGGCCCATCAAGCTGAGCTTACAATTCCCCCATCACGGGCAAAGGCAAACATCATCCTGCTATTGCTCGTCATACTAAAGAGCCCACAGTGCCAGACACAAACTGGTGTAGTCATGTCAGCATGCCGTTTCCGTTTCAGGGGTCAGTATTTCGACTAAGCACGTACCCATAACCAGCGTGAACAGGACCAGCGCTCCATCCTCACCGGCGACATCAACAAAGATCTGCAACACAGGTTGCCCATACTCGCTGCTCAGAACTGTCTCAAAGTCCTGGATCGAGAACAATAACGCCATCAAGACGAAGAAGCCAAAGAGGGCGCTGAAGCCGACGCTCGAGACCACCCCAATAGGCGCGCTCCAGCTGGCCCTCTTGGTCTCCTCGCTCAGGTGGGCCGACGCATCGAAGCCGGTGAGGGTGTACTGCGACAGGAGAGCGCCGCACACCGCGACGTAGGCCGGGCTGGCCCGGATGCTCCAGCCTTCGCCCTCGAGGCCGGTCCCGTCGTTGAAGTGGCCAAAGACGAAGGAGGCAGGCTGGTGGGTGGGCGCCTTGGCGAGGACTGCGATGCAAAGCGCCGTGATGCCAGCGCTGTGCAGGACAATGGACGCGTTGTTCAGGTAGCGCAGCGTGCGGACGCCAAACGTGTTGACGATGCCGTGCGAGACCAGGAGAGCGGCGTAGATGCCGATGGTGATGCGAGGCGAGGGCGTGAAGTCCGGGTTCTTGACGACAATGGCCGTGGGAATCAGGTTTGCTAGGCCAAAGGTGATGCCCGTTGTCACGGCGACCTGTTGAGGCTCGTCAGATTCCAGCTCCATGTCAAAAGCATGAATCTACCTAAGTAAGGTACCTACCTGTCCAAGAAGATTGTACCAGCCGGTGAGCCAGGCCGCAAACGGCGACCACCGAGTGGGCGCAAGCATGGCCGACCAGAAATATGGCCCTCCGCTTGTGGGAATAGCGGAGACAATCTCAGCCATAGCAATGGCGACCAGGAGGGTGAAGAAGGAGACGAGAATCCAGCCAATCGACATGACTGAAAGTAGTGGCTGGTAGTTAGTAGGGTAAACCTCATAACCAGCCTGCGCTCGACATCCGATCCCCAGTTGGAATTTTGAATATCATCAAAACTGAATGGGTGTTGGTGACGTACCAGCTGGCCCTCCCGTATTCAGCCCATATGAGAAGAGCGTACTGATGCCTGTGATGACGCTCTGTTGGCGGTCAGAGATGCATGACCCAGTGATAGAATATCCATCACCCTAGAATCAAAAGATATCTGGTGATGAGTGGCATAGGCGGTGAAACGCACAATGATTGAAAAAGAGACTCCAAAGTTGTGTGCCAATCCCCAGTCCCGCTTCAACTCCTGTTTGTATCCAAACTGCGCCAGGCGGTTCTCATCGCGCTCCTCCTCGCTATCGGAGAGCCGCCGCTCAACAACAGGCTCTTCCGTCGCCATCGTCAGCAGTACTGATAATCAATCGGTCAGGATGTGAAGTCTTCAGCTAGGCAGAAAACATAAGCTACTGACCTCTAGGAGAATCGGCTGGTGGTCACGTTCAAATACGCCCCCAGCCCACGGGTACCTACAGAGCTACCTTGCCCTTACAGGGGCGACGAGGTAGGTGTAGAGATAAGGGTCACCTGCGCAGGGCAGTTCAGCGTTACATCGCGCCTATGGTCCAGCTTATCACAACATGCCCGCACTAGTGCAGACCATTGAAGGTACCAATGCGATATGCGCTGCGATAGGTAACAAAGTCCAGGAGAGATATCTTTACAGGCGGGGGTATCACTGTTGACTCGGTTGACGTAATTCTCAAGAACTCGACCTCGAACCATAATAAGAGCCGGGACGAAGATACCAGGAATTGATATGTCAACTGTGTGAAGTAGACAAGATGAGGTTGAGGACTACCTTAACTTTAACGGTTCATCGATATCAATCACATTGTCCTACAAGGCCGGGTTGCCAGGCTGAGCCAGGATTTCAAAGTCGCGGAACTTTGTGTATCCCGACGCCAGCAGCGATGTATGCAACGTGGTTCAAAGGGCTTTGGGATCGGTCTCGTGTCTCTTGAGACCCTGCCCACATTCATACCTCTCCGTCTGCGTTTTCCAGTTTGCCATCCATTGAACTTTTAACTTTCACGGCAGTTAACGGGAACCCACAGCCTTATGGAGTTTAAGGTGGACCTTCCGCCGCCGGAAATTTTCAACCGAGCGTTGAAAACAGCAAACACCCAAGCGCCCTTTCCGTGACACTTTTGACACTTTCAGTTCGCAATTCTATAAGTTTCATCACAATCAATCAATCAGTTGAGAGAAGATTCACCAGGGCACGACTCTTGAAACAATCAAATAATTGAGATCAGATTTACCAGGAGCCGTCTCTTCAGGGCCTATAATATAATCACTACCTTATACGAAGTATACCAAATTACCCCCACCATGACGATCAAAAACTCTGACCCCAAACCTGAACCACCCCTCCATTTCCGCGTCGCCACCCCTGCCGACGCGGGCCTTATCCAGCCGCTCGTGCAATCGGCCTATCGCGGCGATGAGAGCCGCCAAGGCTGGACCACCGAGGCCGACCTGCTGAAGGGCAATCGCATTAACATCGCGGGGATCCTCGCCAAGATCACCAATCCGGACAGCGCCGTCCTGCTGGCTTTCACTGGCTCCTCTCCCGCCGCCACCAAAAACAATTCCGACGCCAACACCAACAATGGCAACGACAACAACAACAACAACAACAATAACAACCCCGACGGCCTTGCACTAGTAGGATGCTGCGAAGTCGCTCGGCTGCCGGGTGAATCATCAGCCTACTTCGGCATGTTCGCCGTGTCTCCGCGGTTGCAGGGGGGCGGGATCGGGCGACGGTTGCTCGCGCACGCCGAGGCCTACTGCCGCGCCGCGTGGGGCCCCGGCACGGTGCACAAGCTCGAGATGACTGTCATCTGGACGCGCGCGGAGCTGATTGCGTGGTACGAGCGGCGGGGCTACCGGCGGACCGGCGAGACGCGGCCTTTTCCACTGGCAGAGGTTGATGGGGCTGCGTTGAGGGATGATTTGTACTTTGTGGTGTTGGAGAAGGATTTGTCGTCAGAGGGGGAGTTGAAGGGGGGGATGCATGCGGTTGACAAGTTGGGTTTGGAAGTGGAAGTGAATGTGAAGGAACTTGAAGTGGGAAGTGTCACGCCAAACTGACGCGTTGATTTCCCAGCTCGGGCACGTAAGAGTTATTACATGCCTGAGATATGGTGTCTACCACCGGAAGGTACGTGTATATTCCTGTACATACATGTAATAGTATATATGGCACTGCACCTATCTAAGACGCTATCTAGTTACCCCTTCCAGCCCCGAAGTTACAGAGGCCCGGAACCGATCCAATTCGGAAGCGAAGTGCAGGTGAATTCATCGCTGTTAAACTCCCGATCGCACGCTGCCTGCATGTAGGCGATGCCAACAACATCAAACGAAGATCTAGTCCCCTCTCAGTCAGACAACTCTTGGATCAAGCAGGATCGTCAGTAACTACTTACGAATCGCACTTCCAATGCTGAGTGATCTCGAGCGTGTTCAATTGGGAGTCGAACTGGAACTCTGCCGTCGTCGTCGTCCCGTTTGCCGACTGGCAGCCACCCACAAACGTGGCGTTCTCTTTGCCCGAAGTTGCGCAGCGAAACACATCACCGCTCGCCATATTCTGCAGCGTAAAGGACGGCCCCGAGTCTGACACCAATTTCGGGTTGATTGGCGACGATCCGGGCTCCATCACGATGCGCCGAAGCCAGTCTCTGAGCTTCCACGACTGGTACCGCTCGGTGTTGTCGGCGCATGGAGATGTTGCGTTCAAGGAAGCCGCCGCCAGCTTGGTGGAAATGTTGAGCGTCGGGCGGGCACCTGTGCTTGTTGACTTCAAGATGCAGTAACTGCTCCCGTCATCGGCCGGCGCCGTGCAGTTGACGTCCAGTTGTATAGACCCCGTCGCCAGCCCCTCGGTCCCCGGTCGGTCGGAGCAGGCAAAGGTGTGCGACAGATACATGGTCTTGTTTTTCCAGTCCACTGCGAAAGTGACGGTATCGTCGGCGCCGATCCCGGCTCCGGTGAAGATGCAATCCCCCCATACCGGCTCGCTGCCGCCCTTGTACCAGCCGGCCCACGACTCGGGCCATTGCGCAACGCACTCGTACAAGGGGGTGCCGGTGCTGCTCTGCAGGCTTGCCGCTATGGTGGCAAGGCCGTTCTTCTTGCTCGGGTCCGGACTGTCGTATCTCAATTCGCCCAGGCGATACTGAAAGCCTGCGCTCGTCCCGCTGCACGCCCGCGCAGCGCTCGCCCCGGACGGTAGAAGGACTAGCGTGGCGGCTGTGGCCAAGGCAAGAGATGCTAGAGCTTCAAGCATTGTGAAAGAGCTTCGCGATTGACTACCAGATGTGACAGCCACACCTCAAAGAATCGATCTACCTAAGGAGCGCTCACTCGGTTTAAAACCAGCAGCCCGTCCTGTCAAAGGACACGATACAGCGGGGCGGCCAATTCTACCAGATTGATTGCCTAGCCGATCACGGCTGGGTTGGAGTCTATGAGTGGCCGAGAGGGGCAGTCTTATTGACCGGATATTATCTTGCAAGCGCCTACCACTATCCGGCCTGGGTTCTAGAAGACGAAATCTGCCGGTGCTAGGCAAAACCAATCTATTCTCGCACGTGTGGATGATAACTTGAGAAGTAGTATGCAACGGCATTAGTGCCTCTTTACCCTGACCGGGATGGAACGCGGGTGTATTTAGGACTTGGAACCTCCTATCTCCCTGTTTCCAGGTTGAGCGAATGAACCCATCCCCGGCCGAGAGTTCTCCATCGTACCCCTTTCAACCTGACCTGTCTGGTCCTCCCTCGGTGGGCACCATATTGTCAGCATTCTCCCCTACTGGTGTCAGACTACTACAGTACCTCTCTACCTTCACAACCAAACTCAAGCAAGACGAGAGACCAAGATGAAGTGTAGGGACATCGCCTTGGCGCTTCTCGCGCAGGGAGCTGCCGCGCAGCAGATGATCCGCTTCGGCTGTTCCCAGCTCGTCATTGCACGGATGGACCCCTTGGTCAACCCGGGCCTGGCCATGTCTCCGCACGTGCACCAGATCGTGGGCGGGAACTCGTTCAACGTCAGCATGGACCCCGCCACGCACGACCCGGTCCGAGACTCGACGTGCACCAGCTGCACTTTCGCCGAGGACTTCTCCAACTACTGGACGGCCATCCTGTACTTCCGCGCCCGTAACGGCACGTATAAGCGGGTGCGCCAGTTTCCCAATGTCGGGCTCCGCACCGACGGCGGCGTCACCGTCTACTACATCCCGCCCTACGACGGCAAGACGACGGTCACGGCCTTCAAGCCGGGCTTCCGCATGCTCGTTGGTGATGCCGGACTCAGACAGCCCGAGGGCATGCAGAAGCAGCTCTGCCACCGCTGCCTGGGCGCTGGCTACGACCGCGGCGGCGCCCCCTGCACCGGGACTGACTCGGTGAAGCTGCCGACTCGTTTCTGTGATGGCGGCATCCGGACCACCGTCACCTTCCCCACGTGCTGGGATGGCAAGAACATCGACAGCCCCGACCACAAGAGCCACGTCGCCTACCCCGAGACTGGAACTTTTGAGTCGACCGGGACCTGCCCCAAGACTCACCCCGTTCGGCTGCCTCAGCTTATGTATGAGGTTATGTGGGATGTGAGTGTTTTACCCCTGGAAATTCAAAACAGCCGCCAACAACTATGAATTGTTAGACCACACCGTTCAATGACAAGGATCTCTGGCCCGAGGACGGCTCGCAGCCCTTCGTATGGAGCACTGGTGACTCGTGAGTCTTTCCCGAGATGCACCTAGTAAAAGCCAATTCCCGAGTAGTAGACAAAACTGACCGACCTGGACTGTCACAGAGTGGGCTACACGCAGCACGGCGACTACATCTTTGGCTGGAAGGGCGATTCGCTCCAGCGTGCGCTCGACGCCCGCTGCGCCAACGCCGTCTGCAAGGAGCTCCGCACGCAGTCGTCCGAGGAAGCTCAGAGGTGCACTCTGCCGCAGAATATTCCCGAGGATGTTGACGGATGTGAGTTTGACCCGACCCCTTTTCGGTTTGTAACATGACAATAGGAATTGATCGAGCTGACAACTGTCGCGCAGGGCTGACCAAGATTCCCGGCGTCGGCGGCGATATGGATATGTCGCCCTAAGTACAAACGGTTGAATGGTTGTTAGAGTTGAGCCGATAACTCCCAGATCCCGTTTGTTGCCCTGCAGGCATTAGTCAATGGCCCCTGCCTTGGTTGGGAGATTGCCTACTAGTAGGGGCACTCTGTGGCAGCAGCGTCCAAGCCCAGTCAGCTACTAGCAGCAGTAGGGAGTACTTGGTACTTAATTTAATGGTGCTACTAGGCGGAGATTCTACGACTTAGATATATATGAAAGGACGGCCATATTCAAATCCTGCTATGACTGCCCAGCTCCTCGCCGCCAGCAAGGTCTAGGTCCAATACCGAGATGTATGTTGTCAGCCCGGCCGGTTCAGCCGGGTTCACTGCCAGGTGCGGAACCGGCAGAGCACCATGTATCCAGGACTGCAGGATATCATGATGGTATATGGTCAATACCATAATCATGCTCGGCCCTTCCGACTGTTCCACCCTCAGATAGGCAAAGGGCCTTCATACCCTTGTTGCTGAACGTGAAATGTCCGATATCGTTGGCCCAATAGCGAACAGTACCTCACGACTCAGGACGCGAGGCTCGGGAAGATGAGGTGGTCAGCTCAAATAGTCATCCTTTGATAAGCTTCCTGGGTGGGTGGGTGATATCCAAACAATTGAGCACATCGTATCAAGCGTGGTTAATTAGGTAGGTACCTAGCTAGATATTCTCTAATGATCGCCCGGGCATCACGCTGCTGTGAGTGGTTGATGGTAGTCATGGTATTGTGTCCATTGCCAAAATGTATACCACAGTACGTAAGAGCGCGGCACAGGGATGCTAAAGTTTCATGCCATAAACCCATGAAATCAATACTGCGTATCATTCACGAATAAGATCCGAAGGCTTGCCGCATCCGCTGTGTTCCACTGGCAAGACGGATGGTCCGTCGTCACGGTAAAGATCAGCAATCCCGCTGCAGTCAAGCGTCGCCTAACGGGGAAACCTGCATGCAGGGACTTTCCCGAGCCTCGTCTGAATGTTTCCCTCCCCAGCCCCCCTTTGTGCTGAAAAGGGAGAGAGATGCTTCAGCTCTGGGATTCCGGGGACCCAATCGGAAATGAGGCGATCCCATGCCACCCAATACTTGGCGACGCCATGGTGTTGTCCCTTTGACACCTCCATAACCACTGTCCGTCGTGGGCTCGATCTATATGCATCTCGCAAAGCATCCAGGTCGCCGAAATCAAGTGGAGTCGGCGATGCTCAGCTGGGCTGCATGAAGGAATGCGAGAGCCTCGACAGGCTCACAGAGTCACCGCAACTCAGCAAGTGACATAGTGTGCAAGTAAATAGGTTATGATGCGGAAGGACGAGGCTTCGGCCCCGGAGCGTGCAAGACGAGAGGCCAGTGAGGGTGGAATGAAGTTATAAGAAGAGGCTTGCAGTCTTGTCCCTCCAGTTAGACTTCCCTGGTGCCGCCTTTCCTCAAGTCTCAAATACATACTAGTGCTTTACCTAGTATTAGGGACAGACAGCATGGCTGACCTGCCCGTGCCTCGCAACCCTTCATGGCCAACCGACCAGGCAGACCCGGCCTCGTGTTCCGCCGCGGGCGAGTTCTTCGCAATGTGGCTGACTACCCCGGAGCAGATCAAGGCCCGGACCTACCGGGGCCCGGGGATCGATGTTACCGCAAGATACCTCCGCGTACTCTTCGGCGCAAGCACAGAGAACTGGTCCGACGGCCAATTGGTTCATTGGTTTCAAGACACCCAAGCCGAGGCGGAAAGAAGATATTCCACCCAGCCGGGGAGCCCGGATCTCGGCATCTTCTTTAACGAATATATCAAGCCAGCCGTCGATGGTTGCAGCGCTTCAGTATGCCGGTCCCTCGGATGGCAGGGCAACACCGATCTTGCCGGCATTGGGGTGAGTGGCTGAGTGCTCCGTACTTGGTCATATGGCGATCATGCTGCAAGATGATATTAGTGCTAACAGAGCCGCCCCCAGGTCTTCTCCTCATATTGCATCGAGGCAGCCCTCGCAACCATCTACCTCGTAGTCCTTCTCGCGAACCGCTTTAAAATCTGGAAAAAGGGCCGCGTGTTGGACTCCTTCCTCGGCACGGTCAGCGACCTGGTGCAGGGCGTCTTCGTCTTTTCAGTCGCCATCATGATTGCATCACTGCACTCCATTGTCAAGGTGCTCGACCAGAGCGACTACTCAGTGACGACGTACGAGATCGTCACGGCTATGCTCGTCACCATCTTTTCCGTATGCCCGGCCACCCTGCTGTATGCCATCGGTGGCAACAGTAAGGGTCCCAAGCCGATCCTCCGCCCCATCCTCCTGGTCATCTGGATCCTCATGCTCGCCGTCGTCAACCTCGGGAGGACGACGGACCCCAGCAGACAGGCCTTGGCGGCGAATACCATCGGGCACCCGTTCGAGGTCTACTGCCAAGTTATTGGCTCCGCCCCGCTCGAGGCAGCGCGCATCTTTGCCGTCGCGGCCGCCGGTCTGGGTGCCCTCTGGGTTCTGTATTTGATCTTTCGCAGGTGTAGGATGGTAGCACAGAAGGCGGAAAGGAGGAAGACGGCAGAGCATGGCGCGTTATTGTCTCTGTTCTTGCCTGTCTCGTCATGTGGTTCTTCCTCGGGCTCTTCGCGGCAATGCGCGCAACCATCATCGATGTTGCCGGCGACTCCGACAAGTCAAACGAGTGGAGCTTCGGCCAGATTGTTGCCCTCGCCAGCTGGGCTCCGGTGGTCCTCAACTTCTTTTATCTCCTTTTCCGTGAGTTTTGGCCCCCAGTCCCAGGTCATCCGATCAAGACAGAACCCACTAATGGATTGAATGTCCAGTTGGCGTCGAAAAGGGTCAAGGCTCTAAGCTGCCACACGGTTATACCATTACATCCTCGGACACCGGCAACGGTGGAGCAGAGGGAGGCGGGGGGCAAGGAGGTGAATGATGATGATGCCCCGGGGCAACCAATATGCCTGTGTTCTGTGATGCAAGGAAGACACGGGCTTTCATGGCTATAGTGTCTTGCTTCCAGTAGCTCAATAATCATCCAGTGTCAAGTGTCAAAGGCAGGCTGGGAGTGCTGGACCGAATGCTCCCCTTGCTCGCCATATTCAAGGCCTGATCGAGGGAAGGGGGTATCTGCGGCTTGCCGTGATCGAGCTTCGGGAAGTATCATGTGAATATATGGCTAGATGGGGTGATTAGCCATTTGTTTGCCTGCAGGCTGTAGGTAGGCGGGTTACCAAGATACCGCAGAGGTAGGTACAGCCTTAGACAACAGTGATTGTATGTAGCCCGTCCTCAAAGCTCTCACACTCAAGTTGATCGCGCCTGATCGAACACCACGCTAGTAGTGCTTCATATTTTGCCTTCCAAACAGATACTGCAGAGAATTGTCTGCACCTCATGAACTGGCCTCTCGCGATTCCGGTGGGTCTCAGGACGATTCCTTTCATGAGACCCGTTTCCTTCAAACAACGCCAATCCGAGTCGGGTGACTCGGATTGCCGTCTTCCATAACCTTCCAGCAAGAGAGGCATGCAATACAGCCTTGTCTCCTGCTCAATCGGCGCATCAAATGACATCAGCGCATTGAATTTGGGTTCTGCGTCGACAAACAACAGAGTTCGATATTGGTTGGTACTAGTACTACAGGTGAATAAGCGGCCACGGAGGCGAATGTAGCCGTGGCTGACCTGACCGAAAGCGTCGCCGATAGGCGTCGTCTCAGCGTCCAGAACTTCGGCTATTACCTCGACGCTAGGCTCACCCGACAGCCCGAATCCATGAAAGGAGGGGCCCACAGCGGCCGCCGATGACCAGGTCGGCGCGATATATGCCTGTGGCCGAGAATTAAGGGGGGCTCTGGCGTCGGTTGGGGAAGTCCAGCAAAGCTGGCGTATCAGGTTCCCGCGGAACAAGCCTGCCAGGTAAGTTCCGTTATCGCCCAGAAAGCTACTAATCAGCCTTGCTAAACCGTAGGTTGCAACCAGTCTGTCGGTTTCAAACGTCAGGTTGCATGGAGAGTAGCCAGTTACAAAGCTGTTCCACGTATCGTATACAAACCGTCTCAGAAGCTCAGGCGAATTATCTTGACACCTTAAACGGTAGAGCGCTGCGAGCTGATGTTGGCTGTAGTGCCCAATCCCAAGTGGATTTGGTTTTGGTAGCGCTTGGGGCAAGGCTTCCCAAGAAACGGACTTCCTGCACTCCCAGTAAACTTGGCTTTTAGCAAAATGCAGTCCCGCGGTGCCAGTGTTCGTTCTTGGAAGACCCAGCCTCGCGAATTCAGACGAGCGTCGTGTACATCGCGCTTCCATGCCACTGGTGATAAGAAGTAGTACTCCCCAGTGTCGAATGCGGTCTCTGTTGCGTTGATTTTGCACGGCGATAGGCTGCCGGGCTCCCGGTTTCGAAACAAGCCGCCAGAGCTGTCCGATGAATCCGTCGCGGCTAAATTGAGGCGCGAGCCAGTATAGATAGCTCCCACATTGGCAGATTCCGTTCGCCAGTCGTCAAGTGAGTCCTGGATGATACAACAGGAATCAATCCAGATGTGATCGATGCCCAAGTGCCTGGTCACCTCGATGGCATGTTGAAAGGTCTTTGGGAATCGCGAGATGTCAACCCCCTCTACGAATGATGTGAACGAATCTGTTGCGAGCTTGATAATAGTAGAGGTTCCCCAGCAGTGACTCAATGTGGCGTAAACGACCCCAGCATGGTCAGCCGTGGAGAGTCGAACGATATCCGGGTGCTGAATGTGGAGCAAGCGAGTTGGAGGGCGTCCAGCTGACCAGACAGGCACGCTACAAAGCGTGTGATACTTTTCGCAGTCACTCAGCCACCTTTTAGCCTGCCTTAGTGTCTCTGAGGAAGATGTGCTTCGAGATGTCGAGAGAAAACTAGCGGTAAGATCCACGTCTCCCTCTCTGTTAGCGTATAGTACATGGCAAAGGGCGGTCGCGAGACCAGAATTCGTACCTGCAGCAGGCACCATCCCAATCTTCGCCTCCCAGAATGTGGCGGATGATATCACGTCTACAAAATCATCCCTTTCGTGCCGATGGAAGTTGAAGCGTAGTATTTATTTCAAAGTTCCAGAAGGACCTTCGATAGGTGGCGGAGGGTCCTCAATCTCGGAAATACTGAAGCTAGTCCAACCGTTTAATGGCTGGCGGTGCATATGCTCGTCGCACCAGTCCTCGGGGAGGCTGTCCCAAAGCATCTGGCATAGCCGGCATCCGGCCTGGCTGGATTGGTGCAGATCTGCGGGGTCAAGATGGGAAAAGCTCGCCCAAGCTGGCCCCAAGTTCTCAACCGGCCCAGCCTCTGGGGACGAGCGTCCTTGGAAGATATTCTGACAAGTTGTGCAGAGCATTATGCCCAACTAAGAGTCTCAAAAGGCTCACTAACGTCAATGTTTTCTCTTCTCAACGTTCTGTAGCAAGTCAGGTTGAGCTAATGAACTCGAGAGAAATCTCAGCAGCGGATTGAGGCATTGGTCGATGCCCGCGATGGGTGTGGAGGTGAGCTTGTGACTTGTCAGCCTTGTCAGCCTAGTTCCTGCCTAGGTACCTTCCCTACCCACTCATCCCTCCAGGCAGCAATTACGACGAGTAGAAGTCGGCACGAAATGAGGTCGCTCCGATGCACAGCTGGATTGGGTATTAAATCGACTCCTGCAGCGGTTTTTTTTTGGTTTTTTTTCCCTTCCCCTCGAGGTGCTAGGTTAGTAGGTAATAGGTAAAGTTATAGCCAAAAACAATTGAGTGAGGGTCACTCACAGGTCACAAGACGCTCATCAGAATTTGATCAGATGGTGCATGTTCATCACCATCATGCAGTGCAAGATTCAATGCTCGCGAGATATGTAGGTAGGCATACCTCACTTTATTCTTTCAAAGACCCAGAAAGAGGAAATGGGTTCGGTCGAGTCCCCGACTTCCGGTGCGGCGTAGCAGTGCGGATATGAACGTCATGTTGCTAAGTTCCTACCCTGCATCCACCAATGTTGTATTCTTCTGGTAAGAAGATGCATTGCAGGATCCCGGATGATGTCCGCCCAACCCCGAGTCTCCGATGCTTCCGATCCTAAATACTAGAGTTTTGAATCTTGCAAATAATCTGTTAGCACATCTACATCCCAATTGTCCCAATTTCTTCCGGTTGGGGCTTCGAGTCGACACACAGCACTGAACCACCCACTCATCAAGTTGTCGATCATGGCACCGGCCTCGTTCGCGGCCCTGCTTCGCACCGCGCATCTTGACCTTGGCATATATGAGGATCTCTACAAGCACCTTCATTCGCACCCAGAGCTTTCTAACCAAGAAAAGGAAACTGCAGAAACTGCAGCGGCCTTCCTTGCGCGACTGGGCGACTATGAAATCGTCCGCGATATCGGTGGGCACGGCTTCGCAGCTGTGCTCAGAAACGGACCGGGCAAGACCGTCCTCCTCCGCTCGGACCTGGATGGTCTCCCGATCAAGGAGGAGACAGGCCTGCCGTATGCCAGTACCGTACGGCAGGTGAATCAGGAGGGAGAGGAGAAGCCCGTCATGCACGCCTGTGGGCATGATATGCACATAACGTGTCTGCTCGGAGCAGCCGAAGTGCTTCTGGCTCTTCGGGCCTCGTGGTCGGGCACTCTGGTGCTCGTCTTTCAACCAGCAGAGGAGCGCGGGACCGGTGCAAAAGCCATGATTGACGATGGGCTGTATGACAGAGTTCCTGTTCCGGATTACGTGCTTGGGCAACATATCATGCCCATGCGCGCCGGCTCTGTTGGCTGTCGTCCCGGGACCATCATGGCAGCGGCCGACAGCTTCAAGGTCACGCTATTCGGACGAGGAGGCCACGGATCGGCACCGCACCGCACTGTCGACCCAGTCGTCATGGCTAGCAACCTGGTCGTTAGACTGCAGAACATTGTCAGCCGCGAGATTGACCCAAACGAAATGGCCGTTGTGACAGTTGGATCACTTCAAGCTGGACACGCTGAGAACGTCATCGTAGACCACGCCGAGCTTGGCCTGGATGTCCGCTCCGTTACGCCCTCGGTCCGGGACCATATTGTGGGTGCTATCAAGCGCATGGTAGAGGCCGAGTCCGTCGCCAGCGGGGCCAAGAAGAAGCCCGTCATTGTTCAGACGAGGCACTTTCCTGTTACAGACAACGACAAAGGCATGACAGAGAGCCTTTCTGCCTCTTTCACTGAATACTTTGGCAACCGCTTCGACCCGAACACGCCACGCGTAAACGTGGCTGAGGACTTCCCCGTCCTCGCGTCATCGCAGGGCAGGCCAAGTGTCTTTTGGTTTTTCGGCGGCGTGGAACCGAGCTTATGGGACGAAAAGGTTGCTGCTGGGAAGGTCTTGGATGAGATCCCATCCAATCACTCGTCTCTCTTCGCACCGGCTTTGCACCCGACGATGCAGACAGGTATTGACGCCCTATGTATCGGAGCCCTGACCTTCTTTGGAAGGTAGAGAAATAGGGAGGATAACGGGGAGAGGCAAGAAAGCCCGGTGGATTTTGACCCACGTAAAAGTGGTGGCCATCCAGAACCCATCTTCACAGTATCATCAGAGCCTAAAGCACAAAGTTAAACTGTAGTATTGTACAGATTTTGAGACACCAAACTCACAAAACGCCGATTAGACCGGGCAACGACCCGCTGGCTATTGAACAAACCCTCAGAAAGGGGCAACCGAACCTGTGCGACCAAGCTTCCAGAATGCAGGCGCGCTCTCGCTATCCACTCAGCGGTTGGTGGACGAGTCGAGATCAATTCCCAACTCTTTGTCTAGGAGTTCATCCAGAGTCGACCCATCCCGCAGGTATACCCAGGCTCCAGTCGCCGTGTCCTGCTTGTCGTTTTGTCCCTCGCCTACAATGACATAGTCGTAGCGCTTCGGACCCGATTTCGGGGACGACAGCCATATTTGCTTGTTGGGCGGCTGTTTGTTGATGACATAAGTACCGACATCTTGTCCGAATGTGACCGTCATAACACCGGACTGCAGACCGTCAGCATAGGTTGAGCGCACGGAAGAAGGCAATTGATAACGAACCGAATACTCGACGTCTACCTCCTCCCGCTCATCCTGGATTTCTTCCAGGCGCGAAAGAAGTCTATCAAGATACTCGTCGGCAATGGTGTGGTATTCGGCATCTGTGATGTTTGCCGGGGTCTTGGGGACCTTGGGGGTCACGACATTCTCGCGGGGTTTGTCATCGGGGGTGATACCCTTCCGGTCAGAGCTGCTGGAAATGTGCCGACGAGCCGCAGCGGGAGCTGGATGTCTGCGCAGAGGAGGCGAGAGCACAGGAGCGACGAAGACTCTGGGCAAGATAATGCTTGGGGCACGAGGTGTTTGCAGCTCACGCCAAGCCACACGGGCAAGCTTGGAAACGCTAGGGCGAGCCATCTTGGTCGAGAGAATGGACGACGGATAGCCTCTTGGCTTACTACGGTCGAAATCTGGCCAATTGTCCGTCAAGTCGGCGCGAACGAAAATGGAATCAATCGCAGATGAGTACTGCCGAGAGATTTCAGATATCGTAAATTTGATTGTACTTGGAGAATGTGAACTTTGAAGGTCGAAGAAGTTCGGTTGGAGCTTTGGAATGACGGAAAGCTGCGGTGCCCCACTGCAACACCAGTACCGGCAGGCAAGAACGACCCCTGGTCTCACCTGGGCGCCAATAAGAAATCCCATCAGACCCCAGCGCACGGACTGCAGGGTCCACAGGTGCCTGTCAGCGATTCACGGCGAGCATTCCGCACGTCATGATCCCTTGCTGGGCAGCTAATAAGGTCCACGCCCCAGGACCGCTCAGTCCTCCCGGCGACACCACGAGCTTGCATTCCCCCGGTTCTGGAGAGCATCATACAAAAGCAATGTCCACCCGGTTATAGCACACCGCCCTTCCGCCATGATAAACGCCTTCCTCGTCTTCAACGGCCAAGGCCAACCCCGCCTCACCAAATTCTACACCCAACTGGTCCGTCTCACCATTCCTCCCTGTGTTGCCCATCCCGTTTGACTCCACTAACCACATCAACCATGAACAGGACACCTCGATCCAACAAAGACTCATATCTGAGATCTTCACCCTAGTATCCAACCGACCCCCAGGCTTCTGCAACTTCCTCCCGTTGCCGCCCCTCCTCGCGCCGCCGCCGTCCTCCAACTCCTCGGTCCAGGAGCAGCAAGACGTCCCCTCGCTCGTCACCTACCGCAACTATGCGACCCTCTACTTCATCGTCATATCCACGGCGACCGAGTCGCCGTTGGCCCTGATCGATCTGATACAGGTCTACGTTGAGGCGCTGGACAGGCTCTTCGAGAACGTGTGCGAGCTGGATCTGATTTTTAACTTTGAGACGCTGCATGCAACGCTGGGCGAGATGGTGGTTGGCGGCGTGGTAATTGAGACGAATACCGAGCGCATTGTGGCGGGCGTCAAGGCCCAAGGGACCGTGGCGAAGAGGCCGGTGAATGAAGGGAGGGGAGCGGCAGGTGGGGGTTTGGGTGCGGGTTTGGGCGCAGGACTGGGCATGGGTGGGAATTTTGTTTGGCATGGGCGGTGATGGATGCTTACTGGTTTGACTGATCTGGCGTTGGGAAAGGAGTTTATGGTCATGGTGACACATGAAAGCATGACAGCAACCGGGGAGGGAATCAGGAATGAACTGGGCAAAGCTGCCGTACCTTGGCAGACCGTCGTGGCCATGCTATTGTTGCCTGGGTATCCTAACGCCAAGAACTCCGTCATGATGGAACACTAGTGTACAACTTGAGGGAGGGAGGTGAGGCAAGCAAGTATGCTTGACAAAGGTAGCACACCAAGGTTACTTGGTGCTTGGTTGGGACGGAATATACCTGTCCCTGCGGTCTAGTTTTCTGGTCTCTTCGGTAAAGACACCGAAGAAGCCATAGAACTTTTCGCGGATCTGAGCCAGGAGTCAGACTGGGTAACACAGAAAACCAGAGGACAAAGGAAGATCCTCACCGGGTCGAAAGGTGTGGGCACGTCTCTCCAATCCATAAACAGTACCATGTATCCCAGGACGACTAGCAAAGATCGGATTCAATATGTGACACCGATGTAAACTGTCCAGTTGAGAGGTTCTTACAGGTGATCGAGAAGAGTTGCCCCAGCCTGACCATCTTATCCCATCGCGGCCGGGCAGTAGCAAGCTTGAGTCTCCGCTTGTACTTCTTCTCAAATCGGAGCTGCTGTTGCATCGACATGGATTTCAAATCCGGTGGCCATACTTTTTTTAGTTTTACGGTGCCTGAAACTGCTGAGTTGGCCTGTGGTTTTGTGGCCTGCGCTAGACGGCGCACAAGTGTGGGAAACATCGCGGGACGTTTTGATGCAGGCGGGTGTCGAGAGTAACTGGGAGTCGAGAGAAAATCAAGCCTCGTCTCACTCAACTTCTCAAGAGTCGTCCGTCATCCCGCGATGCTCGGCAGGGGTTTTGTACTTGGGTGGCTAGTGCAAGGGGCTGCGCCACACCTTACTTGGGGTAGCCCCACTGTGCCTGATGCACCGGCCGGCAAAGACAGCCCCGCGTGCCCCTCCATCCCCGCTACCCGCTGCCCAGTCTTACAGGTCGAGGCACTCAAAATTTCCGAAGATATCTGACTCAAAAGCTTGTGCATCTGCGAGATCGGCCCCTTCCTCAAAATCCCGGTGGTCCAGCAAGGCAAAATTAAGTCGATTCCTACGGTTTACTGCTGAGCGTAACCAAAGTCTCTGTTTCAGCAGCAGACCGCGGATTTCTCGATTTCGACATGGCCGACACCACGGTGCCTAAGGCCATGGAGGCCATGGCAATATCGAAGACGAAGGAGCTAAAGGGCACCGAAAAGCGTGATACCTTGATTGAAATTGAGAAGGTTCGGCATTGCTGCTTACTGGCTGAGAATGAGGAGTGACAATTAGCTGACTGGGTTTGCGCACAGAAATACCAGTCCATGTGGGTAGAGCAAGGCGTCTTCGAGGTAGATGCGCCATCCATCGACGAGTATCCCCTGGGCTCAATCAGCGCCGATGAGCTTCGCGAAAAGTATGTTATATGCAGCGTATCACTGGTTGTACCGGAGCACGAGCCGAGGGCAGCATGGCTCTGCGGCTTAGGCGGCAGTCGCGTGCTCCTAGCAGGGACACATCGCATACTTAACATGAGGCGCGGGTTGCTGATTACTGGCGGATTAGGTTCCCCAAGTTCTTCGGCACCATTGCCTACCGTACGTTCGCGAATCTAAGAACTCCCCTGGGATAACGTATTGATGCGGCTTCCAGCTTACATGAACGGCCGTTTGCACGCCGGTCATGCCTTCAGCTTCAGCAAGAGTATGGTGCTCCGGATATCTGAACATAGCTTAGCCACGGCAGCAGCCCAGTATCCAGGCTGACTCTTAGTTTTATAGTTGAGTTCCACACCGGGTTTGCCAGGATGCAGGGCAAGCGCTGCCTGTTCCCCCTGGGATACCACTGCACAGGTAGGCCGATCATCTTCCCTTTCGAGCTCCAAACAAGATCTGACGCCATTCAGGATTGCCCATTAAGGCATCGGCCGACAAACTGGTCAAGGAGGTTGAGATGTTTGGCCGCGAGTTCGAGCGGTACACAGAGGACGCCGATGAGGAACCTGCGCCAGCTGCCCCTACACAAAAGGGGGCCAAGGAAGACCTAACAAAGTTCAACGCCAAGAAAGGCAAGGCCGCTGCAAAGACAGTTAAGGCCAAGTACCAATGGCAAATCCTAAACTCGGTGGGAATTCCGCTCCAGGAAATTCACCTGTTCTCGGACCCCCAGTATTGGTCAGTTCCGTTGATTCCCCCCACTCTCGAACGTGAGCTCAATGTTCAGCCAGGCTCAAGTATTTCCCTCCCGAATGCAAAAAGGACCTGACCAATTTTGGCTGCCGGATCGATTGGAGGCGGCAATTTGTGACGACCGACGCGAATCCATATTACGATGCTTTTGTCAGGTGGCAGATGATTCGTCTGAAGGAGCTGGAGAAGATCAAGTTTGGCAAGCGGTATGTTGAACCTTTGCCCAGATGTTTCGGTTGATGCCCAAGCCTTGCCCAGCTGATCATCCACAGCTATACCATCTATTCCATTAAGGATGGCCAACCCTGCATGGACCATGACCGGAGCGAAGGTAAGATTTTCTCGTAGCTACCTCATTTGGATTTTGGACTCGAGTCTCATGCCTCTGACTCTCGGTACAGGCGAGGGTGTTCTTCCACAGGAATATACTGCCTTGAAGCTCAAGGTGGTCGAATGGGCGCCCAAGGCTGCCGAGAGCCTTAAGGGCAAGATCCCCGACGGCGTCTCTGTATATCTGTGCCCCGCGACTCTCAGGCCTGAGACCATGTACGGTCAAGTCTGCTGCTTCGTCGGACCGAGCTTGAGCTACGGAGTTTTCATGGCTTCTGAGAAAGAGTATTTCGTCATAACCGAGAGGGCTGCCAGGAATATGGCGTACCAGGGCATTTTCGAAAATGAGGGCGTCCCTGAAAAGGCAGCAGACATCGTGGGCTCTGATCTGATTGGTACCGTGGTACATGCTCCTCTCAGCTTCCATCCCCAGGTCCGTGTCCTTCCTATGGAGTCCGTCCTGGCCACCAAGGGCACCGGTGTTGTGACATCCGTCCCTTCTGATTCCCCAGGTAAGTAACTGGTTTGGCGCCGCTGTGCTGAGTATCCAAGCTGACCGTCAGCCAGACGACTTCGCCATGGTCACTGAGCTCGCCAAAAAGCCCGACTTTTACGGCATCAAGAAAGAGTGGGCAGAGTTGGAGATCATCCCCATCATCCAGACACCGACCTCTGATCTGCTGGCTCCGCACCTCGTCAAGAAGCTCAAGATCGCTTCCCCCAAGGATGCCAAGCAGCTGCAGGAGGCCAAAGAGCTTGCCTACAAAGAGGGTTTCTACCAGGGTATTATGAAAGTGGGCGATTTCAAAGGCGAGAAAGTGGAGGTCGCCAAGCCCAAGGTGAGGGAGCAGCTGATCCAGAACGGAGAGGCCTTTGCCTACTCTGAGCCTGAGAACAAGGTGGTCTCGAGGTCCGGTGACGAGTGGTAAGTTTATAAACAACACAAGGAATAGAACATCGGCATTGCAGTTTGCTGACGCAGTGTCCCCTAGCACCGTTGCCCTTCTCGATCAGTGGTATCTCGACTATGGCGAGGACTCTTGGCGCGATATTGCCTTGGATTATGTCGAGAACAAGGATGGCAAAGGCCTCGAAACCTATTCCTCGGACACACAACACGCTTTCAAGGGCGTCCTCAATTGGCTGAAGCAATGGGCCTGCGCAAGAACATACGGCCTGGGTTCTAAGCTTCCCTGGGATCATAACTTCCTCGTGGAAAGTCTGAGCGACTCGACTATCTACATGGCCTACTACACGCTCGTCCCTTGGCTGCACAAGGACCTCTTTGGAAGGGAAAAAGGCAAGGGCAATATCGCCCCTGAGCAGATGATTGACGAAGTCTGGGACTACGTCTTTTGCAGGACCGAGTTAACAGATGAAATCATTTCCAAATCTGGCATCCCCAGGGCGACTCTTGAGGGGATGAGGAGGGATTTCGAGTACTTCTATCCTCTTGACATCCGAGTCAGCGGCAAAGACCTGATCCCCAACCACCTTACCTTCTGGCTGTATAACCACATCGCTCTCTTCCCACGGGAATACTGGCCTCGCTCAGTGCGTGCGAACGGGCATCTCCAACTGAATGGCGAGAAGATGAGCAAATCGACTGGCAACTTCATGACGCTGGATGATATCGTCAAGAAGTATGGCGCCGACGCTGCTCGTGTAGCCCTCGCTGATGCTGGTGACGGAATCTCGGATTCCAACTTTGTTGAGGATGTGGCTGATAACACGATCCTGAGATTCTACACCAACAAGGAGTGGATCGAGGAGACGGTCAAGGACGGCAAACTGAGAACCGGCCCGCTCAACGACTTCCAGGACGCCCTCTTCGACAATGAGATGAATGCTCTGGTGCACGAAGCGAGAAAGCAATACGAGGAAACTTCATACAAGTTGGCGCTTAAGGCAGCTCATTACGACTTCTTGAACGCCCGTGATACCTACAGGTTCGTAGGGCTTTTGATCGTATAACGATTCAGCACTGACTGTTAGATAGGGAGGCCTGCAATGCGGCCGGCATTCCCCTCCACAAGGACCTGGTCTACAAGTACATCAGACTCCAGGTACGTCTTGATTGGCTATTTCCCTCCGGCACTGCAGCCATTTCTAACGCTTTTCCAGGCTTTGGTCCTCACCCCGATTGCCCCTCACTGGGCAGAATATGTGTGGCTTGAAGTCCTTGGCGAGAAGAAGTCGATCCAGTGGGCCGCCTGGCCCGAGGTGCCTGCCGCTGACCCGAGTCTGAGCGCTGCCCGCGAGTATGTCCGGCAGACGGCGTCGAACATCAACTCTGCCGAGGCGGCGCAGCTCAAGAAGATGGCCAAGGGTCGCCAGAGTGACTTCGACCCCAAGAAGCCCAAGAAGCTCACCATTTTTGTGGCCGAGTCCTTCCCAACCTGGCAGACAAAATACATTGAGTTGCTGAAGGAGGTGTGGGATCCGGCAACAAACTCTCAGAAGATCGACGACAAGGAGCTCAACGGCCGGATCGGCAAGATGGGCGAAATGAAGAAGGCGATGCCGTTTGTGCAGTCGCTCAAGAAGCGCCTTAGGGATGGCGAGCCAGCCGACGCCGTGCTTGGGCGCAAACTCGCCTTTGACGAGAAGAAGATTCTCCTGGTACGTCTGCTCGAACTGTTTCGTCATATATGTGTATAGGCATACTGATCAGCGAACCTGTAGGCCATGGTTCCCGGTCTTAAGCGGACCGCCGGCCTCGAGTCGGTGCAGATCCTGGCTGTCGAGGAGGGCAGCAACAAGGGGAAGGACCTGACGGCCAACGGCGAGGAGGTCGAAATCAAGGCCCCAGCTGCCGAGTCGGCACTGCCCGGGCAGCCTACTTTCTTCTTTGAGAACATCTAAACTAGCATGCTCACCATGGTAGCGTTGCTGCTGGGATTTCTGTTCTGCGAGATATGCGCTAGATAGCGAGCTAAAAGGGGCACAGTGGGTCTGGATGTGTTAAAATAGATTCATCGCGTGGTCATATTTAGCAAATGACTTTGTCATTAAGGCTTGGAGGCGTGACTTGTAGTCCCGTCCCGACCAAGGACTACGAATGTATACGAAGCGTTGAGGGTGAAGACCAAGCTCGGACCTCACCCGTATGCGGTTCAGGGATATCGCTGTCAAAGCCGGAGAGTGCCACCGTCCAACCATACAGCTGAGAACCTGCTTCATCTATTCAACAGATGGACTGACTCAGTCGATTATAGCACGATGATGCCCTTGTGCATTGCTGACGACTCCAACTAAGCCCGTAGCTGCCCTGCTCCGCGAGCGCCATACTTCCAAGATTGCTCCCCAGATACACATCCGGAGTGATTGGCTTATTAACTTGCGAGTGTATGCTCCCCAGCTTTGGACCTCAACCCTCTTCTCTTGAACAGCTCTCACGCAAGGGAGGGCGGCACTCGTTCAACCAACACAACCCCTTTTCTCACCGGTATACCTTTTTCAAAACCTCCCAGTTAAACCACACAGCTTCGTTCAGCGCAGCACCAGACTTGTCCACCCGATACTGCGAGCGTACAAAATGCGTCCATCAACCCTCTTCTTGTTCCCGGCCCTCGCCGCCCTGGCAGCGGCCCAGACCAACACGCAGACGGTCACGGCGACAGCTACCCAGACGGGCAGCGTCATGACAATCCAGTCGACAATTCAGTCCCTGACGACGGTGTACCCGACCACAGCTCAAAGTGAGTTCGAGGGCATTTTTGAGTGTTGCTTTCATGTCCCCACCATTCTCGGCGGGCACGGGCATTGTCGTGCCCGAGGCCAAGCTTGTGTTTTGCGTACCACCAAGCTATTTCCATTCCCATCTCATTTGCCATAACCCATTCCAGTGATATGGTTCATGTCAATCGTATTGTGCATCTGTTGCAGAAGGCTGACAGATGGGGGTTCCCTCAACAAAAAAATAGCTGCCCAGACCACTGTCACCGCCACCGGGCAGACTGCCACCGTGGTCCCGACCGCAGGGGCCAATCTCTTGAGCATCGAAGCCCCCGTCGTGGGAATGATGGTTGGATGTGCATTGGGCATGGCTTTGCTGTGATGCGGGCCCGTTGTTTGGTCCATCTGGAGAGTCCTTGACAATTGAGGGACTGTGGTGTGGCAGGAAGCCGTGTAGTTGCACAGGGTGTGGGTGTGTGTGCTCGCGCGTGTGTGGGTGTAATTGTTCGGTTGATTCGGTGCATGTAGATGCTATCCCATCCTTCTCCGCAGGAGCTGGATTTTGAGAAGAGAATCTACTTTCCTTCGGCTCCATCGTTTCCTCGCCTCTGCCAAATGTTATAGACGTGTTGTGGTCTTGGGGTAATGCTGCTTCCCTTGATCAAAGGGACAGCGAAGTGGTCTCGGGTTCAGATAATGCAATCTAGCCGCTCGAGTATACAATCCAGTCTAGAGCTCTGGACGTATCGTTCAAGCAGCGATAGCCACTTGCGCAGTCTCTTGCTCGGTCTCGGGCGGCTTTGGCAGATCCTCCTGTTTTCACCGCCCGTCAGCGACCAAGATTCACTCACAGTAGGGCATAGTGATGGACGGATGGCTGCGTACCATTTCAAAGATGACCTTGATCATCAAGCTACAGCTTGGGCACACACCTATATCCTGGCCGTCGCGCAAATCGGCCAGCGATATCTCGAATCGGTCGCCGCAAGGGCAGGGGTAGTGGTAGATTTGCAGCGTCTCGTCAAAGGTCATGTCCTCAATCTCGACCTCGTCGTAGATCGAGTATTGTTCGTCGTCAGCCATGCTGATTAACTTCAGCGTCCTTCCCTCCCTCGATCTGGAGAATATCGTGGGATGTGTCAATTAGGAGCCAGAACGAAAAACGTAGTACGCGATGACTCGGCCCTTGATTGGGGTGGGTTATGGAGTGGTAAAAAAGTTGGCGGGGCAAAATCGCTATCTTATCTTTGAACTGGTGTCCGCTGCGCATCTTGGCATGGAGGAGCTCGACTCACAAGGCTGAGTGAGCAGATCCACAATTACCTCCGTACACAGAGAGAGGGTACCAGCTACCTACAGCATACACTACGTGTACAGGCCGAACACCTTTGGTACATAACGTCTTCGTACATTCAGTATGCACAGCCTGCTCGCCCCAAGTAGATAAATACGGTTCCAAGGAAGGCTGAGATAGAGCATTAGGAATTAACGAAAGGCCGAGGGAAAGATGAGTCAAGGAAACGATCAAAGAAACCCCAGTGAACGTCCAGCAAATGCAACATAGGAAAACACCATCACATCGACATGAAACAAATGACAAAAATACTAAACAGAAAATGGAAAGTAATGGATAGTGGAAAAGGAGAAGATAAGCGAAGGGGAATATAGAGTAAAATAAAGTAACGTAACGCTCATCACCATGAAGCTTTCCACTCACACATTCCCCCACCTCAGCCCCGCGACTAGCCTGCCTCGCTTCAAGCTCAAGTCCACCCACTCATCTGCCGTTTGTTATGTCCACCTGCCTTCACCTCATAGAGCCCTCCCCCGTAGCGGTAGTACACAGCCTCACAACCGGCGTCTCGAGCCTCACACATAAGCCCGGCTCAGGACTGACTAGCAAGGTAATTGGCCGCCTGCAGGATGGTAAAGAGAAACCGTCAGCCCCTGATCCAGCAAAACAAAGGGAACAAACCAGGCAATGTTAGGCATTAAACCCTCAGTCCCCTAACCCTCAGCCTCCCAGTCGCCGCCCCACCACCAAAGGGAGAAGCAGAAGCAAAAGCAGAAGCAGCAGGAGGCTTGTCTCGGTTTATGCTTACCCTCTCCAAGTCATAGTCGTACTTCTCCAGCGCGGCTAGCGCCTCTTGTCTGGGGTATCCCATACCCGTCAGGTTCTTCAAGATGGGATCATCGTGCTCCCCTTCCTCGGTGAGCGCCCTGCCCGGCGCAGGGGGTCGAGCGGCGGCATCAGCAGGAGCAGCAGCAGTGGAGCCATTCCTCCCATTCCCGGTTCCGTCACCGTTTCCGTCACTGCTAGCAGCCAGCGTCTGCGACGAAGCAGTAGGCGTGTCATCCAGCCCAGCGAAGATAGCATCCCAATCGTGCGAGTCGGCTGTAGACTGAGGTGCAGGCGGGGCCTTGGCTTGGCTAGCTGCTGGGCCAGCCTGGTTGGTGGTGATGGGTCCGGCAGCGCTTCCCGCGGCAGAGGCATTGGACAGTGACCCAAAGTCGAAGGTGCTTTCAACGCCAAACGCGGCGCTGGTATTGGCAGACTCGCTCTTGGGCTGGCTCGGCGGCGGGCTGCTATCAAAGACCGGGTTGAAATCGTCGAGGCCAGAGCGGGAGATGTTGGCAAAGTCGTCATCTGCAGAACCTTCCTTGGCGTCTTCCAACCCTTCAAAGTCATCGTCGAGATCGTCGAAGACAACCTTGGATGCGGTGGCGCCGGTTGCGGGACGGCTCGCCGTATTGGTGGCAGTAGTAGCGCCGGCTGACCCAAAAATGTCATCTACATTCGAACTGCTGAGGTTGTTGAGGTCGGACGAAATCGTGGCGGCGGCAGGCGTTTCGCTGTAACGCAGTGTCAGCTTAGCAAAAGTAGAGCCGACAAGACAAGCCAGCAAATCAACCTAACGGCTGTTATCGTACCTCGTTGCTGGTTGCTCCGAAGCAGCAGTCGAGGCGGCGGCGGCGGCGGCGTCCGGTGAGGATTTGGAGACGGTCGGGGAGGCCGAGCTCGACTCCGCGGCCTTCTCAGACAACTTCGGGGTAGGAGATGCGGGAGCGAAATCATCGTCGAAGCCGCCCCGCTCACTCTCCGAATCCGATTCATCATCACGTTCAAGCTCCGAGATGGGAGGGAACTCAGCGTCGAATCTTGAAAAAGCGGTTGCCGTGTCGTTGCTTGAAGTAGCTCCGGCCTTCGCTTGCTTGAAGCTAGCAAAGGCAGACTCGAAATCTTCCTTGGCTTTCTTCTGGTCAATAGCAAAGGGGTCCGATTCGTTGCCGGCCAAGGGGCTCTTGTGCGACTCTTCTGCGATCGCACCGAAAGCACTAGAGCCAGGCTTAACCTCCGTCGCCGAAGTCACGGATGCCCTAGTCGGCTCCGACCCAGAGCCAGATGCTGCACTTTGCCCAGTCGGTGCCGGCTCGATAGGGGCAGCGTTGGCATTTGGGTGCAGCTCGTGATTCGTCTCTGTCCGGCTGAGAGGCGGTGAAACTTGCCGGGGAGTGCCCAGCGAGTTGGCGTTCTCAGAGAAAGATGGGAACGCAAGGGCCGACGGCTCAGCGGCCACCGTTGGTTGACGGCTGACATTGGGGCTGGTCGAGGCAGGGGTTGCAAACGAACCTGCGCTGCCAGTCGAGGTGCCCGTGTTATGCTTGAAAACTGCGGCAGCTGCGGTTGGCGGCGTGCCGGACTGGCTGCCTGACCCTACAGGGCCAAACACATCGTCAAACGTCTTATCGGTGAACGACCTAATAGGAGGGGAAAAGGTGTTGCTAACGTCGGTGCTGCCCGTCCGCCTGAAGAAAGGGTTATTACCGCTTGCGGCTGACAGCGCGGGGCTAGCGACCTGTGTAGGAGGGGGTGGGCTGGAGCTGAGCTGGCGAGCCAGTTCCTCGTTGCTCTTGGTGAGATCTTCCACTTCACTCCTTAGCTTGTCCCTTTCACCCTCGTTAGTAGCGAGTTGCTTCTTGTTGATGGCAACAAGACCCCTCTGCTGCCGGGCTTCGGACTTCAGTTTCTCGATTTGAGGCTTCAGCTGGCTAATCTCAGCATTCACCATCCGAATCTTCTCCTTGAGATTCGCATTCTCTTGCTGATCCGCCTGCAGGGAAGTCAGTATCTGGCGATGCTGGTTCATCAGCTCCTGATAGCTGGCATCCACCATGGCGAACTCGGCTTGTAGCTTTTTGGTTTCGTTCTTTGATGTAGCCAGCTGGGTCTCTAGGGAGCGCACATCCTGGGCCTCCTTCTCGTACATTGCGCGAAGTTGGGCAAGGCGCTGCTCAAAGTTCTTCTTCTGGGCGCTGGCTTGGGTCAGCTCGTTCTGTGTAGCGGTGCGCTGGGCCTGCACATCCTGCACTTGTTTGGTAAGCGAGCCGATTTGGTTCGACAAGTTGGCAAGCTCAGTAGTCTCGTTATTGAGAGTCTTGCTAATTTCAGGCTCATTGTCACCCAGAAGGTCGTCCTCCGCTGTAGATGCCAATACAGGCGCTGGCTTGGTCGTGGCTGAGGTGTTAGAGCCCCCGGTAACCTGCGCGGTGAGACCGCGACCAAAGGATGACGAAGGGACGAAAGGCTTGAACGTAGAAGTGGAAGGAGACGGCCTGGCAGGAGACGATGGTGCTGCTGGACTCATACCGGTCGCAAAGGGGTCGCCCCCGGCCGATCCGCCTGTCCCAATGGGGACCTGGGCCGGCGCTGGCGGCTGAGGGTTGTCCAGGCCAAAGAGGTCATCCAGAGCAGAGGGTTTGGGTTGAGGGCGTGGCGCAGGCTCGAAAGCCGGGACAGCAGGCTGCGGCCGGGGTTGGGCGCGCATGCTTGGTGGGACGAGGTTAGGTGGAAGGGTCGCCGGCAGGGCCATTGGCCCATCCCGCTTGCTCCTCAGTTGCCTTATTAGATACATCGCGACAGCGAACTCATCCCTTGACAGGCGGCCTTCCGAATTGATGTCGGCAAGATCCCAAATCTGAGCGAGGATATCCTCAGACAGGTTCGACTGACTGAAGAACCCCACAGCTTCTTCGCCCGTGATGAAACCCTTCTTGGCCTTGTCTAGCTCATCAAAGAGCTGGTCAAACCTTGCTTTATCGGCAGCTGTAACTAGCCAGTCCCCGGTCGACTGTGCTGCCACCGGAGGAGGTGCAAGCGGGCTGCCTGTCCGCATCTGCGGTAGCGCTGTCGGGCCGGTGACCTGTTTCGGGACGGCCGATATGGGCGGTGTAGCCGTCGTCGGAGATTGTTGTCTAGGAGCGCTTGGGCCGATATGAGCACGCCGAGTTGCTGCCTCATAAAGAGCAGCCGGCAGAATATTTGGCAGGCCGCGTAGCGCCCCTGTCTTCATGGACGTGAGCAGATGCATGGCGATGACGAACTCAGTCAATACGAGGGCACCGCGCTGCTCAGTATCCGCAAGCATCCAGATGCGGCCCAGGACTTCGTTCGGAAGACCCGACTTCTCAAAGATCTGCTTGGCTTGCTCGCCAGGAAGCATGTTGCCTTGAAGCGGCTGCCGTTCAAACAGGCTCGCATATTGGGCTACCTTCTCGGGCGTCAAGGGTGGGATTCGGATGGGGGGCGGAGTGCCCGTGCCTTGAGACTGTAGAGCAGGCGGCGGCGGAGGCGGGCCTGGAAGGGTAGGCGTAAAACCATCGAACCTCGGTAAGGGACCCGGTTGTAGCGCCAGATCAGGCGTCGGCTCGCGACCGGCCTGCGCATGCCCAATAAGCCGTAAGACGACGCCAAAGCCGGCTGGTGTGAGGAAGCCCCGGTTCTCCTTATCCGCAATCTGCCATATCTGTGTTGAACCTAATCGTCAGCTCCGGTTTCCCCACCCCAAGCTGTCCTTTCGAAGCGAAGCGAGCTTCGCAAACTGACCTCTCCCAGAATTCTCGAGTCTAATCGGGTCTTCTCAAAGAATTTGACGGCAACCTCTCCTGTGACGACCCCTACGTTATCTGAGTCGGCCTGGCGGAATAGCTGTCCGTACACCTGTTTCTCTTTGGCGCTGAGATTGAGGTTGGGTGCCCCTGAACCATCATCTTCGGTCAGCGGAAAGTCGAAAAGTGTCGCAAAGATGTCATGGAGAAGCAACAGGATGGACAGGAGACTTACCCGCATCAACCGAAGGATCGGAAGCCATTGCGAGAACCAGCTGCACCTATAGACTGTGGAAATGATAAAACAAGCTGTTTGGCGCGACGGCAGATTGGGATATCTGCAACGCTGGTTACTGCCAGTTCACGCCCAGATTTTGTGGATTTAAGCCAGATCGTGGTGAGATTGTACCGAGAGAGAGTGCGCTCAAGAAAACACAGCAGGCATGCAAGTGCTCTGTGATATTGCGCATCGGAGTGGGGGGAGAATCAACGAGGTGCATCCGCCTCGCAACGTTCTGAATGTGAGGCTGGGATTGCGACGCTTTAGCAGTTTAGCTCCCTTGGGCAGCCGAGCAGGGCCAAACAGCTTGCGGGAAAGTCCGCTGCGTGGGTCTCTCAAGTGCGTCCAAGCGGCTTGGCGCGAACCAGCTCGCTGATTGGATGCCAGGAATCCAACCAAGCCAGTCGTACAAGAAGTGCAGAACTGCAGCCAACTGCGACTGCAGCGACGGTCGACAACAGAAGACAAAAGCTTAATAATTGGTGACCACGACGCTTGAGCGAGCCGTCTCGGGTCGAACTCAAACTCGCCACAGGACGGAGTCAAGTAGACTCTACTGTAAGCACAGCGTTGATCGGCTGGCTATACGCCTCCCAGTCTCGCCAGTATTCGCAGTTTGGTCTTGATTAAAAGTAGACTATCAATTTCTGTCTAACAAAGATAACCCACAGATACGCGCTGGCCAAGAGGATACCCATCGTTGTAGAGCTCCTCTGTCAACAGAGTCGCGTTCTTAAGAGGTTAACAGAAGGACTGTGTAATCGGGTGCCCCGAGTAGTTGATCCGGGGTAGTAGCCTCTCCACTTGCTGAATTGGCAAGTAACCACCAATCTAGTACTCGGCCTCAACCTCCTCACCCTCCATTGAGTCCGCAGCAACTTCCTCGTAGTCGCGCTCCAGAGCCGCAAGATCCTCGCGAGCCTCGGAGAACTCACCCTCCTCCATGCCCTCACCGACATACCAGTGCACGAACGCGCGCTTCGAGTACATGAGGTCGAACTTGGACGACAAAGCAGACCAAGCCTCGGCAATGGCAGTGGTGTTGGAGAGCATGCACCTAGCACAGAGTCAGCAACATGGCTGAGTAGGATACAGGGAGAAGCAAACTTACACGGCCCGGTTGGCCTTGGCCAAGTCGCCGTTGGGCACCTGGTGAGGAGGCTGGTAGCAGATACCAAGCTTGAAACCGGTAGGGCACCAGTCGACGAACTGGATGGTGCGCTTGGTCTTGAGCGTAGCGACAGCGGCGTGAGCGTCCTTGGGGACGACATCACCGCGGTACAGAAGGCAGGTAGCCATGTACTTGCCGTGGCGGGGGTCACACTTGACCATCTGGTTGTTGGGCTCGAAGCAAGACATGGTCATCTCCTGAACCGAGTTGGCCTCGTGGGCGGCCTTGGCGGCCGAGATGACGGGCGCATACGCAACCAGGGGGAAGTGGATGCGTGGGTAGGGGACCAGGTTGGTCTGGAACTCGTTCAGATCGACATTAAGGGAGCCATCGAAGCGGAGCGACGCAGTGATTGAAGAAACAACTGCAACATGTCAGTCACGCGTAAAAGGGCAGCACTGCATGGCGGCAGCCGTACCTTGAGCGATCAAGCGGTTGAGGTTCTCGTAGTTGGGGCGTTCAAGACCCAAGCTACGGCGGCAGATGTCGTAGATGGCCTCGTTGTCGACCATGAAAGAGCAGTCAGCGTGCTCAAGGGTGGTGTGGGTTGTCAGGATCGAGTTGTACGGCTCCACGACCGAAGTGGCGGTCTGGGGGGCGGGATAGACGCAGAACTCGAGTTTGCTCTTCTTTCCGTAGTCTACTGAAAGGCGCTCCATGAGCAGAGCACCGAAGCCGGAACCCGTACCACCGCCGAACGAGTGGAAGACAAGGAAACCCTGGAGGCCGCTGCAGTTGTCGGCAACCCGGCGCACCTTGTCAAGGACCTGATCAATTAGCTCCTTGCCGACCGTATAGTGGCCGCGAGCATAGTTGTTGGAGGCATCCTCCTTGCCAGTGATCATGTGCTCGGGGTGGAAAAGACCGCGGTAGGCACCGGTCCGGACCTCGTCGACAACGTTGGGCTCGAGATCGCAGTAAATTGTCCGTGGAACGTATTTGCCGTTGCCTGTATGGAACTCGGTTAGCACTACGTTCATAATCATTCGTCTTGCTTACAGAATGGGACGACCGTACCTGTTTCGGAGAAGAAAGTGCTGAAGCCGTGGTCGGGATCAGCCGCCTTACGCTCCTCAGTGAGGAAGCCATCGGGCTAGTAGTGCAACTATCAGCGATAGGTCCAGGTATATATGCAGAAGACATAACACGTACCTGGATGCCGTGCTCGAGGCAGTAAAGCTGTTGGAGGTCAGTATCGCGAGCATCGGCCAAGAACGGCAGAAGGGACGCAGCCGATCAAATCCAGACGGTTGGGGAATCAAGCATACCTCCCAGCAGGAGTTGGCAATCTGGCAACCAGCCTGGCCGACTACACGCAGACAAAGTCAGTATAATGTCGACTGGAGATGAAGATTGAGGTCCAGGGCCGCAAGTTTGCGTCGAGTCGCCAAACCTGCGGTGAGAGACGGAGCATGCCACTCGAGAAGAAATTTAAGCAGGCGGTCAACGTACCGTTTAGGCTGATAATCTCACGCATCTTGGTGGTATAGTCGAGAATATGTGCAGTGAATAATGGATAAGATGAGCAAGTCGAGAGACAACTGACGACCCAAAAAGACGGCTTGCAGACAGTACTGCAGAGTGGAAGAGTGGAAAATTGGGGTGAAGCTCTGGCTTTGGGTCACTGTGGTGGGGAAATGATTGTTGACAGAGCGTTCCCCAAATTAGGAAAGTCACGCCCGCGTCACACAATGGCTCGTGCGCACGCCAACCAACGGTGTTGTGTCCCGACTCTCGAGTCCTGACTCCTGACAAAGTTGACAACCCTGTCACATCAAAAAACGTAATGGAAGCACCTCAACAGTGACAAGAACTTGGAGAATGGCGCGATATTCACAAATCTAGCGTGAGCTTGTTAACAAAGAATGCCTCAAAATGGCTTGCAAGCAATGAGGTGGAAGGCAAAAAGGGAGCCTGAGGGTTAATTCATCAAAACAAAATTTTTGTAGATGAAGCCGCTGCTGCAAAAAAGCAAGCGAAATGTCGCGTTTAGACTCGGCCAGTCAATAGGGCGACAATCGTAATACCTCTGGTTAGACGGGTCCCCAATTGACAGGGTACGTGTACATACAATACAATACAGAGACATCGGCATGAACTGTTGACCATGTGTCAACGATCGACGCAAAAGGAGACTCTGAAAGAAGGTGCATTCAATCATTCTCAATGTGTTCGCTTATCAACGATATTCAGGTAACGTTATGTATACACAGCCCCCTAGCCCGTCATCAAAATCAAGAGAATCGGCCAAAGTGCACAGTCCACAGGCAGCAGAGCAAGCCTTGCACTTGTATGTACGAAGTAACGTGCCCATGACTATCCGCCCAGAAACGCCTTCTGCGTGTTCCTCGCCTGCTCCGAGCTAAACGCTTCCAGCTTGACAGCCACCAAGCAACACTCCACTGCCGCCTTCCCATTTTTAGCCCCTTGAATCCTCAGCCTCCACTGTCCTGTGCGCACAATCCACTCATCCATCATTCCGCCCTGGGTATCCACCCTCCTCCGCTTCCTCGATAGCGACAGCGACCCAAATTGCGGCACTGCCCCGGCTCCAGGCGACGATGACTCCCAGCCTCCGGCCGTCGGCGGCCCCTCTTCATGCGATGCCACCCCAGGAGGAACCATCCACGGCTTCCCGTCCAAGTTGACGCTCGCCTCCGGATCCAGCACTACCTTGACAAGGTCCTCGCTCAGCGGCGTATTCCCCGGGGTAGCCGGCTGGCTGCTCGCACCACCCTTGGCCATCAACAACCCTAGCGGCTGGGTGGTAGGCGGTAAGTTCAGCTTCGTGGCGAGGACCTCAAACAACTTAGTCATGCGTATCCGCGCCTCGCCGAAGAACTCGGCCCGCACACCGCCGACGCTATCACCAACTTCAGTAACGCCGTTTGAGGCGGAGGCGGAGGCGGAGGAAAACAACAGCCGGGTGCTCTCGTCGCCAATCTCCAGCACCAACTCGTAGGCACGGTCGTCGACATACGGCCGGGCATAGTTGACCCATCCGGCAAGGGGGTCGGCAGGGGTGGGTTCGCGGGCGATGGTGATGCCGCTCTTGAGAATGTCCTTGAGGCGGATTACGACCTCGTCGCGGCGCCTCGCGAGGTTGAAGGAGATGCTGTGTGGGATTAGCCGCTGCTCAAGGCCCTTGAAATTGAAGTAGCGGCAGTCGCGAAGCAGCTCGGCTCGGTGGGCCTCGCTGCGGATGGCGACGGGGTAGCCGCGCAAGAGGTGCAGCAGCTCGGCGAAGATGTCGGCGCTGCGGCCAGGCACGGACGGCGGGACGATGGATGGCGGCCGCAGCAGGTTTTCCCGGTCGAGACCCGGGAAAAGGTCCTCGGGCCGGGCGAAGAACGCGGCGAAACCGAGGGAGAAGAAGTTGGGCGAGTTACCCGGGTCCTGGAAAAGCTCTCGCGGGATCTGGAATTGGCGGTTCCCGATGGTGGTGTAGAAGGACTCCTCGTATAGCTGGGACATTAGCTTGGGCACTGGTGACAAAAGTCAGTGCCGCGCTTTCAGGCGAAAAGCATTCGTAGCACGAGGCGGGCGTCTCACGGCTGTAGAACTGGGCATCGGCAAAGAGGCGCACAAAGTGCGTCGAATCCCGCGGTTGCACATGGTACCCCTGGAGATGCAGCGAGATGTCTTTGAAGGTGCCCGGATCTCGGTCAATGTAGAGGGTCTGGATGGCCGAACAAGGGTCTTCGCCCCTTTCCTCTGCCTGCTTTATTTGGCACTTGAAGTACTGAGAAAAGTATGACGGGGCTGTGAAAGCCGGTCAATGGCGCCGTCAGAATGGGTCGAATGGATGGCATCAAAGAATCACGCACCGTCTGATGAAATCGATGCGCCAGAGAGCTTGAACAGCTCACAGCCAATCTGTATGGGAAAGACTCGCTCATGCGGCAGGATGTGGGGGATATGGTTAGGGTCCTCGGTTGTGCTAGAGTCGAGCATCTCAACTTGGTGCATCGGGTGACGAGAAGACTACCGCTGTTCGACTCAGTGAGCTTCACTTCATGAGAGCCGTGGTATGCGACCAAGATACAGGTACCTTAAACCCAAGGTAGTTGCTCGTTCGCGAGAATGCTCACAGTGTCATCTCACCTTTCAGGTCAAAACGCAGTTACAAAGATAAGGTCTGTACGTTAAGATGCTGTATGGTTACATTGAGTGAAGTAAGATCTCCAGTGTCAGCAACGGGCAGCCGTGGTACCTTCGTACTGTACATACTGTGCGTATGTGCACTGTGCCGCACTTGCATGCCGCTCGGGCCACATCTAAAATTCAATGAAGGAGGTTTCCTTGGGAGTGAAGTTGTCCATCCCATCCCAGGACAAAAAAGTGATGTTTCGTTCAGCTGCGCGATCCGAGATTCGAACTCGGGTCCCTCGCTATTCCAAGATGTGATGGGAAGCGAATATACTAACCACTGTACTAACCGCGCGTACTTGGAGCATAACTATCAAAATTGTCCTCCATGGTCCCTCTCCACCAGGTTCTGTGGTCGTCAGACCGTCCGTGGGGCTTTTAGGGGTTGAAAACCCTTCACCGTTTAACATCATGATGCAGACATTCGATGCACCACCCTGCTTCGCATTCCAGTGCCAGACTCGAGCCAGACTGCCGGCAAGGCATCCAGGCGAAATCTCGCATGTATTTGCTTCGTGTAGCACAAAGCAACATCTAACCACCCAGATAAATTAGTTGACAAGGCGCAGATGGGAGGCTGCAGAAGGTTGCACCTCGAAATCCGTTGTTTGTCCCAGCCGGGCGGAACGAGCTACCTGCCCGGAGACGTTGCAGTAGTTGATTGGCAGACGGATGCGGGTTGCAACGGGGCTTGCATTCATCATGGAGTATGCCTCTTGCACCCTACTGGCCTAACACATTGGAAGGTCGCCTGCGGGTTACAAGATCGTATCTACCATGCCTTAAATGGCATGCTCGACTGCGCTTCTGCCGTTGCTTCGCTGGCCAATTGCTGCACTGAGGCCGAGCGTGGCCGATATCACCGGCCATTGTCACTGGACAATGCCGTCGCCCGCCGGTCTTCTGCCTGGACTTGGGAAGCACAAGGCCATTGTAGGAAGCCAGAATAATGATGTCCCGAGATATTACCAACTTGGCTGCATTATGGAGGAGGGGAGGTAGTGATCGTCGTGCCGTTGAAAAGCTCCTCGGCTCCCTCCTCTCCGTCTCTAGCGATCTCGTTCTCATCCTCATTCTCTTCTCCGAGTCAGAAGCAGAAGTTTAACCTGAGCACTCAAAGATAGTTTATACCATTCCTTCCATGATGGCGTCCCAAGATCAGGCAACGTTGTCAAATGTTGCAACTTTTCTTGACGCTGGCCGCGAACTTTTCGCGAGTCCCAAGAACCAGGATGTTGTGGCCTTCGTCCATGACATTATCCAGAAGAATCAAGTGCTCGAGACGAGCCTTATGACACTATCCCTCAAACTCGCCGAAGAAACGTCCAAGTTCAGTCATGAACGGGGTGAACTGGACATGAAGCTACAAGGAGCACAGGAAGACCTAAAAAAGACCAAGGAGAAGATGAATAACCAAGTCAGCAAGCTTTTTCAAGAATTGAATACAACTCGGGACAAGCTCCAGAGGCTACAAGCGTATTCAGTAGAGCTGACTTCGGTGTCCAAGGTTACCGGAGATATGTATGTTCATCTTTGTCCTCTCAAACTGCTCCTTTTCCTCACACCCTCTCCTATTTCTCTCTGTAGCCTGATTTGTTCCTTACTGTTCTCATTCGATGCCATTTTCTTCAGGAACGAAGCTGACAACGCGGGCATGTAGAAAGTCGCGTCTCAAGAACATGTACTCTTTGGCCCGCTCCATAGCTGAGGAGTACTTCAATGTTGAGCTCCCCAAGCACCTCGCAGATGATGGCTTAGTACAGGGCAAGCTTGCGGACCTCAAAGCCGTAACACAGATCCCGCTGCCCTTGTCAAACAGTGGCGAAGCAAAGCAGATGCGGCAGGCCGCATTTCTTGCGGTCTTAGCCCGCGAGATGGGCCAGAACATCTTTCAACCGACTTATCTCTTCAGCGACAACAAGGAGCTCATCGAAATCTTGGAAGACCTTGCCGAAGATCCCTCACGGCCGGAACGGGAGGCTCACTTACGATCCGTTCTTTTAGCTGCGACTGAATGGGTTCCACACACAAGTGCGATCGAAGCACGCCACATGCAAGCAGTTGTGCAGACCGTGTTGAACTATGTTTTAGGTTTGGTCCCAAAGGAGAAGCAAAGCACCTTTAAATCCAAGCTGGAGAACCTCTGCAAAAAAGCGTGCGAGGACTGGAAGGTGTTTCAGAGGCTTGAGGGGAGAGTCGAGTTGGACTTCAAGCCAGATGAGGACGAGGAAGACTGCTGGCTTCCCCTCTTCGACCCGTCATCACCGCTTGAGAAGGAACCGCGCCAAAAGCGACGGCAGAACGGCGTTGCCTCGGGTTCAGGGTCCGAAACGAAACCCACAGTCCTTGACAAAGAAACCGAGATTGCCGCAGCGAGCCGCGCCCGCGACCTTGTGGATGCGGTCGCGGTATGGCCGGCTTTCTACACTTACAAGGGCAACGATCGTACCCCCCTGGTTTTAGCGCAGGGCTACCTGCTCACGCCCAGCCAGATCGCAAAAGCGAAGATGGAATCGAAAGCGCAGTCGATCTCTGGACACCACCGGAGCCAAAGGACGAGGCAAAGGGCGATGTCAATGTCAACAAGTCCGTCGGCGGGCACTACGCACGAAGGCACCCACGAAGGCGAGAGACAACAGAATGGTTCTTTTTAGCCACCGGCTCTGGGAATGGGCAAAGAGGCTCCTGGGGGTGAAACACTGAAAACCGACCGCGGCGACCGGGATCACCATAGGAGGACAAATATTGGCTTTCAAGTTGTGTGACAATATGTTGAGAGAAGCAGCGAGGGCAGTGTGCGCTACGTCTAGGAAAGGAAATCAATCGATAGTGGAATTATGCAAGCCAGACTCCTTGAGCCAAGTTCACGGTTACTGTTCACCTACTGCCAGTGTACTGTATGTACCCATGTATGCCTCTAACCCTGACGTCGGCGGGACCCCTTGGAATCCAAAATCAGAACGCTGAGATCACTACAACGTGCCAATCCCTAGATTGAATGGCTGTTTAGTAACACCTCCATGACTGAACGTTGATTGAGATGCTAGCAAAACCAGGCTTGTTTAGTGCATGTAGAATATGCCGACTTTCCAGAATTATATAGGGTTAGGGTTGACGTAATATATCTGCGCACATTCTCTCTCCCCTACGGCGTATCCATCACTCTTGCTGAGTCTTGCCTTCATCTCCTCATGATATAATTCGCACTTTCCGCCCTCAGCACCACATTCCTTCCGACTAAGGGTACCATTGAACTGGCTGCATCTCTTCAGGGAGATGAGTGAAGGCAAAAAGCGAATCCAACTTCAAACCCTCCTCCAATTTGCTCAGATTCGCAGAGTCCACCTCTTTAGGAATCTTGCCCTTCGCCTTTGCCGAAACATTGTACGTTTTTGACCGCTGCTCTTCGCCCACGAACTGGAACTTCCTAGCCACGTCGTACCACCAGTCGACTTTCGCCTTCAGATCGAACGAAACCTTGAAGTTGGCTCTGTCCGGCCTCCTGACGATGATGGCCAGGCCATACGAGTCGGGAATATCCTTTTCCTTTGGGTTTTCCTGAATAGACCATTCCACGCGGTCATCCCCCTTTCGACTCATTCCCCCGTCGCGGAGCGTCTTCAACGCCCTTTCCGTGATCTTCACCCTGGCATGCCTTTCATACTCGGACCCCTTTTTACTTTCTAACCCCACCACGAACTTGGCCGGCACCATTTGCCCGTCCATTTCCACCGACCCGTTGATTGCTTGCTCACGTGTCTCGCGCACGGTGGTGGGGAGGAAAGTGATGGACGTCCCCTGCGCAGGCGCGTAGGCGCCTACGAACGGATCCTCGGCCGCGGTTGCCTTGGGATCCCTCTCGAAGCGGAACTTGAGACTGAGTTGCTTGAACCGTCGGCTCTTGTCGCCGCTCAGGCTGCCGTTCCCAAGCTCGACGCGGTAGACCAGGAGCGTGGCGGAACCCTCGCCGGGCGCCCACTCGCCGTGAAGGACGAGCTTCTCGCGAAGGACGATACTGAAGCCGGACGCTTCGACCTGGCTGATGTTATCGGCGAGACGCGGCCGCCCGGTCGTGGTAAGGTCCTCGAGAAGATTGAAGGACAGTACAGAGTCGACGTCCGATTCGCTCATATTTGGGGGTCTTGATGGTGACAACTTTAAGTCCCTTATGTGTAGCTGGGACCTCGGTGATGCTCCACGATCTTATTGCTAGCTGCTGTCTCTGGAACTCACGCTGAAGTACGGCGTAGAGAGCAAAGCACATTGAGCCGCAGGATGGGCTGGGGCGGCTATGCAGCCGGGTTTCGGTCCAATCAGCGGAGATGGATGCCGCGTGCTATGAAGGGCGGGGGTGGCCGGGCGGGACTTGGGAGTTGGGAGACACATCGTAAGCATTTGAAGTGCTGCGGAATTAACTTCGCTCGCCATAAATGAAACTCCCAGTCGGCTTTTTATCAGAGATTCATCACCTCAATCTGACGGAATAGGGAGCAAGTCCCTGCGATCGCGTACGGGTTGTTGCCTCCTCGAGTTCATTGATACTTAGCCAGCATGTCAGGATTCTACCCTCTGGGAGATATCGTAACCTCCCTGGAAGAGAATCCCGAAGTCTTGGACTTGTCAACTACGAAACACGCCAAGCGGTTGCGCAAGTTCAAGATGTGGTCTACAAGATGGTACTTTGCTTAGAAAATCTCGGGGGAGGCCGGCCCATGCTACGCTCCTGCCCGACACCCTCCACGTCCTGAGAGACCCACTCACCAGCTCGGTCAGGGATATCAAGAGATGCCTCGAGGCCTTTCAAGAGACGTTCCAAGATCTCGGCTTCGACCCTTTCAACTGCGGCTGGGAAACTGTCTCGCGCCAAGCGACCGAAACCTACGAGAAAATCTGCAGGGACCAAGAGAGCATGGTCAAACTCAAGGCCTCCTTAGGCAAGGCGAGCAAAGCGCACGAGAAGAACCTTCCAGTCAAAGTTGTCCGACCAAGCATCAGCTTGAGCGCAATCGATGGAGGTGATAGCTACCACGATGTAAATTCGATACGAACGGAACCAAGGGGTGATCCAGGGAGCAAGGCTTCTAAGTTGATCGAGTCGAAGCGGGATATCCCGGAAAGCCTTAACCCTCCGTGGGCACCAAGCGTTTCTCGACGGTTCGACCATTCCGCTTCTTGAGGTACACGCTAACCCTGAGCGCAAGCAGCTTGTCCGTGGTGCCTTTGCCGCTGTTTTCAAGGTAGGGTGAAGTTCCAACGCGGCACTGGCGGAAAGATCAAATTACCACAATGGAGGAAACCTTCAAGAAAGGCACCGCTGACAGGACATGACTCCGAACTCTAGGTCTTATCCCATACACCACAGCCGGATCGAAACGGTTTTTATTGCCTTGTGGACGCATTATCTATCCCGGTAGACCAGTCACGCGAGGGTCGGTTGCTGGACGAAATCATCTTTCAGCAGCAGGTTGATCAAGCCTTTGAATGGTGGCTGGACCCTGCCCTGTTCGCTATCCTCATATCTGTGTTGGTTCGACAAAGTAGGATTTCCCCGCCTTACCTATGTTCTACTAGGTAGTACTACAAGCTACCACCTCGATCAAAACCGGCACGGCTTCACTAGTTGCTGATCTATCCATGATAGCCGATGTCTTCAGCATGAACCAAGAGCCTCGCAAGGGCCTGCCCGAGAATTCCGTGGGTAACGTCCGAGGAGAATTGGTACTGGAGCGGGTCTTACGCTTTTTCGGAAAGTCAATTCACAATTTCTACGCGGACTTTAAGGAGGTCAAAAGCAGGAAGTCCGGTCTTCAGGATGAATTCAACGGGTTGAAGGTACGGTAATGCGGTATTACGTTCCCACCTTGTTGGATGCCATATCTTCGACATCAGTGATACATCTAGGGTACGTGCCCTGGTGGTTGAAACGAATCACTGACCGGTAATGCCGAAGATGGAGATCGAGAGACCTGAAAGCGACTCGCAAATTGACAACGTGATAGCAAGCAAACTGCTTGACATCATGGGAGCAAAACCGCAGGATCTCCTGTGGAATATGCTCCTCGATCATCTGTTGGCCAGACTAGCGTTCAGGTCAGAAGACAAACGAGATGCCGAAGACAAAGCCAGAGACGTATATTATGATAGGATGCGAGTGACGGACAGTGTCAAGAAGACGGTTCAAATTTCCTTCTCGGCCGCCCTAGCAAATTGCAAGACCGCAAGGCAGGGGAACGACACGACCTGGCTAATTGTGGCGACTAAGATGCTGGATGTCTTGTGGGCCTCGCTCATTCCGAACTTGCGCGACCAAGCCGGAGCAAATCCTAGTTACTGGAACGGGAATAACGCTTTACACCTGGCCGCCGCAAGCTATTGTCCGCAGGTGGTCGACAAAATCATCCGCCTACTTCGAGATCACAACCCGGACTGCGACGATTCCCAGGTGCGGCATGGCCTGTTGTGGGTGCCAACCATGGACGACCAGTTCGTTCTGATGCTGGCGATCAAGAACCTCGACGTCGAGACCGTCAGGATTCTAGTCAGAGAAGAGCCCCTACTCCTGAAACAATGCTGGCGGAAAGCCAATGTCTATCCCCTCCACGACCTCGTCTTGGCCTTGCAGGACCTGTCCAAGGCCGCGCCCCAGCTTGAAACAGACGCGGTCGAAGTGATGAAAACGATTGCCAACGCGGATCCAAGCTCACTCTTGCAGAAGTGTAACCCCATCACCGCTCATGGCTACACATTCAACGGCGGCACACCCTATATGCTCTGTGAGGGATTCATCAGGCACTCCGCCTCCAGGGAACCTGGGCCGGGGGTTCTTGCGATCGGCTCGGAGCTCCTCAAGGAGATGAAACATCTCATATTTCGCCGGCTAACGTCGAGTGATATTCCGAAGGCTTTACACGAGGATAGAGGTGAGAGAAGCACTGAAGCAACATGAAGCTATAACGTACGCATTTGAAGTCAGCTGACATTGTAGCAACCTGAATCAAGGCGCATGTGAGTACGAGTCTGGATACATTATTAGTCTTGAACCGCCAATATCAATAATCCTGCCGTGGCCTGCTTATTCACAATACCAAAGACAAAGTTGTAGATCTCAACCTAGCCGACTTTGGCGGAAAGCATCCCGGAACCAACGTCAACCAATTTTCGACCTTTGTTGAGAATTTTCGAAGAGGTACCGGGGCGCCTTTTCTACTCTTTGAAGACACGCTACAATGCGTTCGGCTCCCCGACCTGTCTGGCTCAGAGGACGGCGCCCCGTCAGAAACGGCTCCTTATTCGACCAGCTCTTCGCCGGCCTCAAAGCATACGGAGTCAAAAAGATCATGAAGCTAGTTGCTATTGACAGCTTATTGCGCGGGGTGGACGACCATAGGGTTGCCCAATGGGCTAGCGACTTTGAGGTGGAACAGCTGGACTGGCGCAAGCTGGATCTTGATCTCGATCGCTTCTCGTCCTCCCTTTCCCTTCGGACGATTTGCCTCTACTCAAGGAGGAACTGGGGTGCGCTGTACTACTGGACGAGCGACGAGGGGGTCTTGAAATTCAACAAGGTTTGTCTGATTCACACTTACCCAACTGAAGCAACCTCGAGCATAAGACTTCGGCATCTGACAAGCAGCAAGCTGGAGATGGTCAGATTTACAATCTACGCTGAATCCGGTAAGCCTGAGTTCGAATAAGCCTCATGTGGAGGGTCAAGTCTTATTGAACGACCCAAACTAATCAGCGTCGAAGACTCGAAGGGGCAGCCCATAGTGAAGAATCCAATATTGCACGATCGCATCAAGGGTCGCCTCAAGAGCACTGAAAGAGGCAAGAATCTCGAAGCCAGCATTGATTTCAAACATGAGACTCAAACCATGCTCGAAGTAAAGTCATGGTACAGTTCTGTCAGAGAGGTAGCTCTCGGTAGGCTCGCACCATTCATTCTGGCCAGGCGCACCGCATCCCAAGCTTCCATGCGTACCGCCAATAAGTACTGATTCCCTGGCAGTTTCTTCGAGCCATTCACGGAGATGCTGGACTTGTATCAGGACCATGCCAGTCTACCCCATATCAAGGTCGCCATCATCGACACAGGCGTCGACTCTATGCACCAAGCACTCTCTGGGAACATCATCCGCGGCGCTTCGTTTGTGCCCTCCGGTGAAGGTCGGTCGTATCCCTGGTTCACCGCGTCTGATCCTCATGGGACATACATGGCGGCTCTGATACTGCAGGTCAACCCGTTGTGCGATCTCTATGTATATCGCATATCTGCTGGGTCTGTTAAAACATCCCTCATAACTCACGAATCCGTTGTTGAGGTAGGTTGGTCTCTTTCTCACCTAACTATTCAGGCGCGCTCTCCGGCCGAGCTAACGAGCACAACCCTCGGGCCTGGGGGCTCAGGCAATTGAAGCCGCTATCGCCGACGGTGTCGACATCATCAATGCCAGCTGGTCTTTTGACAAGGACCACCAAGAGCTCAGAACGGCTGTTCGGAATGCAACCACGGAAGCCTTCTTCTCCACAACCACCACCAACCAAAGGGCCCCCGTTCTTGTCTTCGCAGCGAAGTCGGACGAGATGTTCGCGGGTGCCGTCTACCCGGCCGACTACGACAACACGATCAGCGTCGGGGCCGCGACGAGCAGGGGCCGCGTGGGCAGCGAGTCCAACAAGAACGCGGACCTTATCGTTCTCGGCGAGGACATGCCGGCCTTTGGGCCCGCGTACTACGCAGCGTCCGACTCGGAAGGCCAGTACTCGGAGCGGAAGAAGCAGCGCGTGACGGGTTCGTCTGTGGCGACGGCACTGGCTACGAGGATCGCGTCGCTGTTGCTCATGGTGGCAAAAAATAGAGACGAGCGCACATGGGAGAGATTCAAGTCAAGAGCGCGCATGCTGGATCTGTTCATGAAGATGCGCCCGGCGGTGGACAGTTCGCTGCGGTTTGTGGATCCGCAGCAGCTCTTCATGGCCATCAAGACCATTGCGGATGGGGAGGGAGAGAGGGAGAAGCTGTCTGACTACTTGGTCAAACGGTCTGAGGGTGAAGAGTCTCCGTTCTTCTGAGATAGCAACAGACCAAACTTTCATACTAGTATCTATGGTTCATGTTTCCACCTTCAAGCGACCCCTGAACGGACATAGGAATTGTGGGATGCTTTATATGTGTTTCAAGCAACCCTCCTAGTTATGATACTAGTACAATAACAGCTGAGATTACCTTAGGTAGCGAGAAACACGACAAGTCCGCCCTGGCAGGGTAGGATTATACGATGTCGGTATGACCCTACTAGTAGGTAGGTAATAAGGTAATCAGGGGAACTGGCACTCTACTATACTGTAGTCTTCAACAACTCCCAGAGAACCGTTTTGCACAATATGATGTGCCCTTGAACTCTGAGCATTATTTCAAATGCCAGACAGGGTGTCATCAGCAGCTGGACGCTACGGGAAGTAGAAGCTCCCGGACGCAGGACGATTTGCTCGAGGCATTAGTGGGTACCGACCCTATAGAGCCAAACAAATGCCTGAATCTAGTTAAGAGAAGGGCATTGTAAGGTAGTAGTGATACTGTAGCATAGTATTCTCCGGTCATGGTACTGTGTCTCTGATCGTGGATGGAGCCTACCTCATAGAAAAAGGAGTGCGTTCCCATGCCGACAACATGTATTATCTCTACCCTCAGTTGGGTGCCTGCCCAAAGGCAGCAACAGTCAATATCATCGCTTAGAGCCTTGCGGGATGCCGCAGTCTGAAATCACTTCCCTAAAACAAACTGAAATTACACAACCGGACAACGACAGAGGCTAGCCAGTCCCAATGCATGGAATCCAGGATGAAAACCCACACCCCTAGACTCCTTGAAGAAACAGAAAGCCACCACCAGTGTTAATGCCCGCCTGCGCTGCCCGAGAAGCACAATAGGAAGCATTAGCATGTATGTACAGTACAACGCAGTACCCGGCAACCAAACAGTCCCAAGACTGACCTGCCTCTCGCCCTGGGGGAATAGAAGCCAACAACGGCTTTGTACTCAAACAAAAGGAAAACAAACACACCAACCCTATCAACGCCGCGCCAAATCAACCAACCAACCAAACCTCAAGACCTCACCCGCCGCGCACTCACTCCTCTCACAACCGCCGCGCCCCTAGCCGCACCGGTACTAGGGGCACTAACATCCCTGCGATCCCGCTCCCTGCCCCTGGCCCTGTCCTTATCAGCGCCCGTAGTACCGTGGCCCGGCATCGCAGTCGTCTTTTTCAAGTTGTTATTATCCGCCCCGTCACCACCAGCTCCTCCTCCTCCTCCAGCCGCCCGCCTCACAGTTCCATTCCCATTCCCACTTCCACTTCCATTTCGGCTCACACTAACCCCTCTTGCAGTTCCCGCTCCGTTACCTGGCACACCACCACCTGCCGCCGCCTGGGTATTCGGTCCACGACCCGCGCTCCTCGCCCGTCCCCTACGCTCTCTGATCTGCGCCAGGGCCTCCTCCCGTGTCATGGTGGGCGTCAGGGCCGGGTTAGTCACGTCGAAGCTGGGGCCTGTACCTCCTAGTACATCGGCGTCTTCCTCTCCCCTGTTCGCGGGGGTGGTCGGAAGGGTGTTGTTGTTGTTGTGGGGGCGGGCTAGCGGGGTCGCGATCGCTGCCCGTTGCATCTTCATTAGCCGCTGGGCGAGGTTCGGGTCCTTTGTTTCCTCGCGGAGGGGGACTTTGGTTGTTGTCGTGACTGTTGTCGTGACAGGGTGGTGGTAATGTGATGTTGAGGTGTGCGGGCGGTGGTAGGCGGCCGGGTCTGGGCGCGCGTTTTCATCTTGGGTGAAGGTTGTGGTAATCCGGGATGGAAGCGGGTCGGTTAGAGGCGCTGAGACGAGGTCTGGTGGAGGGATGATGGTTGTTTGCGTGATTGTTGGAGGAGGTCTGGTGGATGTTGCGGGCTGTTCCTCCAAAGGTTCTGGTTCGGATACGGGCTCTGAGTGTGGTTGGTTTTGAGCCTCTACCGGGTCGGGGCCGGGTGTGGTGGGGATGTTGAAGATTGGCGACGGGCCGGATTGCCGGTGTGGTGCTTCGAGCAGGGAAAGGAGGGAGGTCCGCTCCCCTGTCAGCATGGCAAAATCTGGAGGGTCCACAGACGGGGTGCGGCGATAATGTGGGTCGCTGTCTGTCGGAGTGTGCAGCAGGCTGCCGGTAGCTTCCGTAGGAGACACCCCTGACGAGGCGGACTTCATCACCGCGGCGTCAGCTTCGGCCTGCGACACGGTCCGGAAGATGCCTTCCTCAGGTACGAAGATGGTGCTCCGCCTTGGCTCCTTGTCCTCCCTGAGCATGTCGGTTTTGGATCGCTTGAGCGACGATTTGGTTGACTCCGAAGTGGTCAGCGGATTCTCCCCAAGGATCATCGCGTCCCCCGCATCTGCGACTCGTAAGAGGCTGCTGCGTTTGCCGCGCGGGCTAGACGTCCCCCGCGCGCTACGCCGCCGTAGCGACTTGCCGGTAGGGCAGATCTTCAACTGGCACTCCACTTCGAGGAATTGGACCTGTTCCAATGCCCGGTCGGCCCGCTGCTTCTCCCACTGCCACATCAACCTGAGGGCCTCAACATCGGCGTCGTCGGCCGACATGCGCTGGCGTTTTCTCGGCGTCTCTTCGTCCGTTTCATCTTCCTCCATGCCCGCCTCCGAGAGCGCCAAGGGATGCTTGCTCTCCGAGGAGATGCGCCTCACCTCTTGCTGGTTCTCAACCAATGTTTTGAGGGCGTCACGCTCCTGCTCCAGCATCTTGACTCGTTCCAGCGCCTGATCCAGCTGTTCTTGCAGACCGACGAGCTTGTACTGCGCAGAGAATGCCTCTTGTTCCCGCGCCTTGCCGCGCTCCCGCTCGCTCTGGAGCTCCTCTTCGGCAGCTTTTTGGGCTGTTCGACAGGACTTGAGCTCTTCTTGCATCTTGACAAGGGCACTCTGTGCCTTGAACGCCTCTTTTCGGGTGCGTCGAATCTCCTTCTCCCATAACTGCTGGGTGTGCGCGTGTGTTTCTTTGGCGCGCCCATAGTTCTCCTATTTCCCGTCAATCAGTATCTAAGCCCCACGAGTGTTAGATGATACGGACGCACCATGACCGCCTCCAATCTTTCCCCAACCCTGCGCTCCCTATCCTTACCCTCCTCAATCAGCTTCCTGAGCTTCATAACTTCGTCGCGATACCGGCGCATCTCTGCTTCGGCCTCTTCACGACCCAAAATAGCGCGTTTGAGGGCAGCATCGGCTGTCTTGCGTTCGAGCTGTTTGGACTGCATAGCCAGCGAGTTGAACTGGTTGATTTTCTCATGCACCGAGCTGTCGCGTGGAGCAGCGGAACCGGCGGCGGCAACTCCGCGTTGTTGTTGAAGCGTTGAAAACATCGAGGATTCGCGCTGTGCGTTATGCGATAATGGTTGAAGCGGCGTGCCGGGCCCGCCGCCGGCAGGACTCGACGGCGCTGACATCGTCGAGCTGGCTGTATGATTGATATAGTGGTCTCATGCAATTCAATGCGCTCTATATTTTGGCGACGAAGAATCCTTGTCTTTGCGCGTGTTGATCGAGTTGGATCAAAGAAACAAATGCAGGCTTGCGGGTCGACAACGCAGAAGTCAGTGCGGCGCGATGGTAAAATGCTGTACGTGGAATTTGTATTCGCAACCAGACTTTGATGCCGCAGTCGAAAAAACACGTTTCTTGTCGTGTGAACCAGAGGTGTCCTGCTGCGCGATGGATTTGATGCGGCAATGTCAATGATTTAATTTGCGAATTTGGTTATTTACCCACTCTTCCCTTTTTGCTTGCCAGTGGCCAATCAGCGGTTGGTGCCATTGCTGGTGGAGGTGGGGAGTTGCTAGGGGCGACGCAGGGTGAGGTCAAGGTGTCTTGTGGAACTCACTGAACAGTGGGGCTCTCAGCCTCGCATCTTCAACGCAAGGCGCGAAGACAACGTTATCCAATCGGTGGCTGCCCGGAGTGGCTTACACTGCAGCACTGTCTCGGGTGCACCATCCCACTTCAGCCTCGCATGGCATGACCGGGTAAACGGGTCAAACCTTAACAAAGCCATCTGGCAACATCAATTAGAGTCTTAGACTGTCTTATTATTTCCCGTACTTTTTTCTGGTCCATCCTTGCGACACCTTTTTCATACCAACGCTTACAGTCTGAATCGGCCATTGCCTTCTCAAATCCGACGATGGCCAGTTCGGAGCCGTCAGTCCGGCGCCGCAAGCCAGAGCCAAAGGCGCCGAGGGCGGGCTCAGCAGAAGAAGCCGAGCAAGTCGAATCGGAAGAAGAGAAGCAGCGAGTTGAGCCAAAGAAGGCTGTCGAGAGGGTGACCGCGAAAGACCGGCTCGCCGACGATGATAGCTACACGCGCGGCACCCTCCTGCTCGACATCGTCCGCGTGCTCACTTTCCTCTTCGTCGCCTCGTGCGGGCTGAGCTACCTAATCTCTGGCGGCGAGACGTTTTTCTGGGGCATGTCCAACCCGCCCAAATACATGAAGCTGGACTGGTGGAAGAAGCAATTCGTATGCCCCCCATATCCTTTGGTCCAACCCAACCGTCTCCCCAACTACGGCACAACTGACAAATTCCTCCAGCGACCCCCCCTCTACCTCACCCCGGAAGAACTGGCAGCCTACGACGGCACCGACCCTTCCAAACCAATCTACCTCGCCATCAACTGGACCATTTACGACGTGTCATCCAACCCACGAACCTACGGTCCCGGGGGGTCGTACCATTATTTCGCGGGGTGCGACGCGGCGCGGGCGTACGTGACGGGGTGTTTTGCCGAGGACCGGACGCCGGACATGCGCGGGGTGGAGGAGATGTTTTTGCCGCTCGACGACCCGGCCGTGGACCGGCACTGGAGCAAGGAGGAGCTGGCCGAGATGCGGGCGCGGGAGCGGGCCGAGGCTGAGAAGAAGGTGCACGAAGGCCTGCAGCACTGGGTCAATTTCTTTAAGAACAATCCCAAATACGACAAGGTGGGCTACGTCAAACGGCCCGAAGGATGGCCCGGCACGGAGCCCAGGAGGAAATTATGCGAGGCCGCGGCGAAGGGGAGGAAGCCGAGGACCATCCCCGGCAAAGAAGGAGGTACTTGAGGAGTTCCCTTTTGGTTTGCTTCTTCCCTTCTTGGACTCGCGGCTTTGGTTTCTGCCACCGAATTTGGATAGACAATGAACAGCAGGCTTCGCCAAGAAACACATGTGCTTTATATTTTGAATGCAGTCCTATGCAACACACGCCGCCCACGCATTACATCTACAATGCCGTGGTAGAAGAGAAAAACGCCCCCTGCAAAAAGGTATCTTTGAGCCCACCGCCATCCAGAGGCGAATCGCCCGTCTTCAACATTAAAATCCCAGAATGTACAAATGAACCAAAACCAACCACCGGTCCACCTAGAGCAGCATGGCAAAACCAGCGGCAGCCAGAACCACGAGCGTGGCGGGAGCAGTAAGCATACCAGCTGCGGCCGTCTGGGAAGGGGTTGCGGCATCGCCACTCTGGGTCGGGGAGTTGGTGGTGCCAGTGGTGCCACCGGAGCCGGGGGTGCCGCCGGGAAGGACAGTTTGGGCCTGGGCAGCCAGGGACCTGTAATTCTCGAGGGTGCGGTTGGGGTTGTTGGCCCTGCAGCAGATAGTTACGTTAGCGACTTGTTCGGTTTATGGCCCTGGCCAGAAAATACTCCGGGGTGGCTTACGGCTCGTTGATAACCATCACCATGCCCTGCTCGCAGTGACGGCCCTGGGCGCAGTACAGCCACAGAGGGTTGGTGTTGTTGATCTGGATTGTGTAGGTCGGGACCATGCCCATGGCAGCGCTCGCGGCGACGGGCAGGAAGCCCGAGTGGAAGCCCGTCACATTGCTGTTCATGGCAATGGGCTGGCAAGGCTTGTCAAATGTCGACTGGGTGACTGTGTGGTTGCCTGCGAGAAACTGGAACTGCACCATCTCGCCTGGTTGCACAGTGAGCCGGTCAGGAGAGAACGTCAGGCTGGCGTTCTGTGCCACCGAGACGACCCATGTCCTTTGTGCTGGCCGACTGTTAGCCCCTTATTTGCGCTTCATGCTATCACGTGTATGCTAACCAGAGGCCAAGCTCGACAGAGCAGCAAGAACGAGTGTTGAGAGCTGCATCTTGGCGAGTGATGTGATTTAGAGGCGAAAAAAGGAGTGTCCGGCACGTCGAAAGGAGCGACTGAAGATGCGTAGAGCGACTGGCGCTGTGCAATAAGACAGGACTAGCCTGGGTTGAAGATTAAGAACAGACGGCGGCACCGAAGAGAAGGAGAGAAGAGAACTCGGAAAGGCAGACACCCCAACTGATGATGACTATGGACTGAAGAAGAGAGAAGAGACGGCCGGGCCAGGAGACCTGGGACACGGCATGAATTATACAAGTTTCTGAGAGCGATCCGGAAAATGCAGGATCGCCCCATTGTGCATGGCGCCCATGTCGAGACGTGTGGAGGAGGAGGATGGGGGGTGAATGCAGGGACAAGGGTCATGAGAAGGCTTCTTGAAACGTCACAAAATTCCGACGAGCGCTAGTGGACAGATGGTTTGCCTTGAGCTGTTCTCTGGCGAATCAGAAGAGCCTAAGAAGAAGAGGAAACAAGCAAAAAAAAGTCTTCCACAGCGTTGCTGCCACAGGGTCTGTGGATCTCTGACTCGGACACGATGGACTGTGGAGCTGAGGCGACCGTGAACTCACGATGTCCCATGATGCCCAAAGCCGCTCCAAGCAGCCTTGCCCTACCTAGCCGCTTGAACGACACTGCTGTGTCCCTTGGTGCAAGTATTCACTCGAATGACTTGATGGAAATTCCATCCTTCTAGACATTCCGGGTTAATGGGTGGAAGCGCCTCGAAAGGAAGCAGAGAAGCTATCATCATCCCATGTGCGATGGCGCCCCCGGACGGCGGAAGCTCGCATTGCCGATGGCCTGGGCGCCTCCCTGGCCACTGTCATCAAAGGACAGGTAGAAAGCCACGGGCGGTTGTAACCGTAGTAGGGATGCTAATTAGAAAGGCGGTCGTGGTCAGGGCGGGAGATGTCCAAGATTGCCAGGCTGCCCTCCGAACAGACCAAAGGTAGCGCAAAGTGGCGAGACGCGATGGATGGATCTGGGCAATGGTGTATGCATGTACCACTGCCTCAAGCTGTTAAGAGCGGTAGTCGAGTGGCCGATTTTTGGGTGCAAAATTTTGCTTGCACTAACAGCCACATTGGGTGGGAACGTGGAAGCCACCCGACCGGACCTGGCTCAAGCCGAGAATTAAGGTTTGTTGCGGGAGGAGACGACAGGGGCTGTCAGGCCTAGCCCGCCAAGCTTACAGGGGCTTGGCTGCTGCCCTGGGTGCTGGCTGGCTCTGACGCATGTCAAACGCCCCCAGGTTTCAGAGCCACCACCGAGCGCTTCGGCTGCTGGGCAGTCGTCTAACCGCGCAGAGCCTCTCCCATCTTTCATCGTTCGCCCGACCTAGGGGGTCTGTAATATTATATCCAGCGGCGCTTCCAATACCGAAAGCACGCGCTGACACATGGGTGACGTTCTTCTCCCTGTGTGTGCAGATGTTGCGACATTCAGAAGGGCTACGTCGAAGTACTCCTCTGCAGTTTCTCCCCCGAACAATCTCAAGTGTAGCACTTCTCAAACAGGGCAAAGGACCCTGACTCTTCTCACTTCGAAGATGGTTCTTGATTGGCGCTGACCCCAAACATTACACTATAGGGACCATCTGATGTAAGCATGTCAGTGGTAAAAGAATCCCAACTCGTTTCCAAACACGTTTGCTGCATGCTTCCTTGCAGTCATGTTTCTCAGAGTTGTTGCATGCATCACGATTCAGTGCTCAGCTCATGGATGCTGGAACCATAAACTGGAAGCTTGTAGAGCAACTGTAACGAACGAGCCCGTAAACTATGGGCCCGCAGACACCGGAGCCCTGACCAAGAACCACTTCGTATGATTCTGTTCGGTGGTGAGAGGCTTGACCTTCAAGAGCCCGAGCTGGCGTAGATGTAACCCATCCCAAGGATAAGACGTGCACGTAGACCTACCCGCATCTCTCTGGCCGATTCCAGAACCATTTCTGGTCTGCAAGGCCGGACAAGTAGCCAGGAGATCGAAGAAAAGAGGCCTGATGCGGATCTCCTGGCCTGATCATCCGGCCAAGCTGGAAGATCTCTGCAGTAGAAAAACGAGGGACAAGCATACAGTCCCGGCCGGCCCTTCAACTTGACTCTCGATCCGCTACCGAGGGAAGGGATCAACCGGTGTCTCGGTATTGTACCAGGTTGGCGTCCTGTAGTGTCATGACAGTGAAATAGCCGCCATACTGGCTGCCCAACCATGCAAATCTTCCTCCCGTTAAAGCGTCTTGAGTTGGAGGGCCAGATTACCAGGCACCAACCCATGGGTCTCGGGCTGGTGGTTGGTAATAAAGCAGAGACAGATGAGCCCACCGTTATTTTGAACGCCTTCGTTCCCGGGTATCTTCGAAATGCCGTCATCTGCCGTTTGCGACCTCCCAAGCCCTCACCTCTCACAGATCCATCAACAACTGCGGCGCGATCTTTTCCAGTTCCTCGACCTGCCCACAAGATCAGCAGGCCATCCCAACCCTGTCTTCGACAGACTCGAGCATATGAACTCAAAACAAAGCAGGAAAGAACTCACCTCCAGGAAGCTTCCATCCCGTCCCCTCTCCGCCGCGGCCCTCGCGATCGCTTCTCTCACAAAGACATCGACATACTTCGCGACGGCAGCATTCGCGTCCTTCGTGATTCTGGTATCCTCCCGCTCAAAGAATTCGTACAAAATCCTCGTCAACAAGTCCGGGGGGATAGTCTCCCTCTCCAGGTCCTCATTGTCCTCATCGTCCTCCTCGGCCTCCTCTTCGTCCTCGCTGTTATCGCCACCATCAACTTCCATATTTTCTTCGTCTTCATCTTCATCCAGATCCACCACCTCCACGTCCGAGACAGCATAGTCAACATCCTCTCTCTGCTTTCGCGCCTGTGTCCGTTTGACCGCCTGATTCTTCCTCCCCGTTGCAGCAGTAGCAGGGCCCGAGGAGGAAGCAGTGCGTTTACGGCCAGCAGAAACTTTCTCTCGAGAGGAGGTGGTTGTGCCGGCGGCAGCCTGTTGGCCGCGACCACGAGCTCCGGATTGCTTTGGTGGCATGTTGGCGCGAGACAGAATCCAATTCGTAACAATTAACCTGCAGCAGCGAAAATAAGGGATCGCTTCAAGCTTATAGCGCAGAGTCTAATCCGAGTTGGCGCAAGTGCGTTAACTGTCAAGTCATCTGAGATGGAAACGCGACGCGACTAAATTGAATGGCACGTGGTGGGTAGTAGTCGCGTTACGTAAAGCCGAGCGAACTTTTTCGGAACTTCAAAGTTCAAACCCTCTCTGGCATCTCGACAAACCATTCACGCAGGGTTAGGTTACTAAAGGAAATCACTCCCGTTGAATTGACCAGAACTATTGGCAAATGGATCTATCAGTCGCATGCAACAAAAGGAAACAGACCACGAGAAGCAAGAGCGACCAAAAGGAGATCCCGGGAATGGCTTGTATAAATTACAGCGGGTTTTCCGGCTCATCCGCGTCCCAGTAACGCCGACATGCCCGTCTTTATGCCCGCATACCCAGCAGATGGGTGCACCTTCTCTCCACGCTCAACGCCACCAACCCCTCGTCTCCGCTCAATTGCCAGCCGCTTAGCCGTCATCAAGCCCCCGCCCATCCATCATTGTCGATTTTGTACACTGTTGGCTGAGGGCATTTAGCCAGAGCCGCCCTTGAAGGCCTTGCCGAAGAGCAGGATCTGGAGCTGGTCATAGATAGACAGCACACCAGCGCCAGCAACACCACGGAGAATGTTGGCACCGGCACCCTTGAAGAGAGACTTGACACCCTCCTTGGCAACGATCTGCGAAAAGGCGTCGAACGAGCTCTTGTACTTGACGGCCTCACCCGAGGTCATCATCATGCGACGACGGACGGTATCAAGAGGGTAAGAAGCGATACCAGCACCAGTGGTGACGCACCAGCCGAGAAGGAACGAGGCAAGGAAGTTGTTGGCGAGAGGACCGACGAGGACGACAGGCTTGATCGAGTCGTACATGCCGAAGTAGAGACCACGGTAGACGATGATACCGGCGACGGAAGGACCGAAACCACGGTACAGACCAGCGATACCATCAGAAGCCAGAGTCTTGCGGTAGACATCGATGAGGCCGTTGAACTGACGCTCGCCACCCTTCTTGGCGGACTTGGCATCGTTGGCGAGACGGGTACGGGCGTAGTCAAGGGAGTAGACGAAGAGAAGCGAGGTGGCACCAGCAGCCTGCGCCGTCAGGTTAGAGAGGAACAGCTTAAAGGAGATCGCGGTGATCTACTTACACCACCGGAGGCCAAGTTACCAGCCATCCACTTCCAGTAGCCATCCCTGTCCTTCTTGTAGCCGAACATGGCCTTGAACTTGTCACGGAAAGCGAAGTTCAGGGCCTGGGTAGGGAAGTAACGGATGACGTTGGCGGTGTTGCCACGCCACAGGGCCATGATGCCCTCGTCGGCGGTGGTGCGGCGGAAGCAGTCCATGATGCCGGCGTAGCGGCGATCCAGGCGGCCAGCCTTGATCATCTCATCCTATAGGCTGTCAGCCAACTACTCATGCTTGATGATGGCGGTCCGGTGCTAGCACAAAGCTGCACGTGACACGGACCAATGGGCTGGAACCTCATCACGTATGCGACTCAATGTCAAAGAGCGCGCAAGGTGTTTGAGGACACGCTCCATCGCTGGGATGGCTGCAACGTACCTGGTTCTGGACGAGGAGCTTGACACGCTCAATGGGAGCAGCGGCAGTCTTCGAGACGGCGGCAGAGACACCACCCACTGTGATCGGAAATGTCAGCAAATGCGCCCCCGATAAACCAACTGCGGCACAGGAGCTGCCAGGAGCCCGAGGTATATATGCAGAGCCGGCAGCGAGGCCGACGCCGAAAATATTTTGGGATATTCACGTACTCAAGAAGTCTGCCAGGAAGGGCTGCGGTAAACAATGTTAGCTAGGTGTCCCAAACTGTGATCGCAAAAAGTCGTTTGCCGTGAAAAGAGCTCAATGTCCTCCGCCGGCGCTGCCGACACCTTCCAACCATTGCAAAATCGATTGGACCGATGCCGCATCGCCAATTGGACCCTGCGATCGCTTTGGGGATGCCAATGAAGGTAGAGCTACCGGCGGCTTTCGATGGACGAAGGAGCGAGCGAATTACGACGGGATCGCGACAAACGTTGACTTACCGGCATGCCCAGAACGGTGGGCTTCTGATCTTTAGACATTTTGACGGAAAGAATGCGGCTCTGCTGGGGTCGCTGCCACGGGACTCTGCTGAACTCAACTCTAAAGGATGAGAGGAGATGGTATGGGAAGAGAAGTTTGAGGAAGTCGCGAAACGGGGGGAGCGGGAAAAAAAATTCGAGTTTTGAGTGCCTCTTCGCACGGGCCACAAGCTCACCTGCCAGCCACGGCAACCATTGGATTGATTGGATCCAGTCAGCCAGCTACGTTAACTTTACCCACCGTGGGGTGGCGCGTAGCATTTTGCGTTGCCGGAAATACCCGAATGCAAGTTTGCATTCACGTTCCGACTTTGCAATCCTGTTCGGCTAAAAGGTAGTAGCTCCATCGATAACGGTCTTGAGGATCATGATGCCTCAACAAACCCATCTAGTGAAGTCCGAGGTTCCACGGACCTCTAAGTGGCAAACAGGGCTGATCTTGATGCTTCATCTTTCACCCTGAACAGAATGCGCCTTTTCACTATGTACAAGTACGATGATGGTTGCTAATTCCGACCCTCTACACAAGGTTCCCGACCGGTTGGGACGAATCCTCCAGTCTCCGATAACCACCAAAGCCGAACAGTCAAGGCCGAGGGCGTTTTGATCATGAGTTCATAGCCAATAGCAAATCCAAATCAGGTGGAGTATCAGTTCAGAAAAATCTTCGGAAGCCTTGGATACTTCGATACGAGGAGGCTTCTCTACCCGGAGGTTCTTTGTCTGCAAGCGGCAGTTTCAAGAAACCATCTTTGCGTTTGTTTGCCATGCGTTGAAGAGTTGAGCATCTTCGGTATCAGGGGCCGGTGGAAGTTACAGTGAAGGACATGCCTCGAGACTTTGGAGAACGCAATATCTCCAGGACTATCAACATTGAACACGGTGCATTGCGGCTACACCAAGCTCGAGGCAACGCTATGCAGCTGCCTGTCCTGGTCTTGATTCTTGAAGCACATATAATGCAATGTCTCTTGAAAGTTGAGCCTCTGAGAAGCATTTAGGCTTTTGATGGGTATCCGTTCTGTTAGCAAGTCAAGGCGCCTGTCTCTCTACCCTTTCAGGGGAACTGCCCGCCTCCATCAAAGACTCTCACGGCATCGGATAGGCATGGTCGACTGTTGATCATCCTCCGGCCCTGGCGGGGCGGCACCGCGTTGTTCGTATCTTGATGCATTTCCAGTCTAAGGATCTGGAGCACTTCCGATCCCTATGCTACACCGAGCCGCACAATGATTCCCATTTTCCCAGAGACGTAGCCATGCCCGAAAAACCGTAACCCCAAGGAACCGTCGTCAACAAAGTCGCAATCCACCCTGCCAGGTCCGTCGAATGATTTGTGAGGGTCGTTTACTCGGCAGCGCCAACGGCACGAGCTGTGTCCTGTCAACATCTCATACTTCCCGTAGCCGAGGCATGGACATACTGTAGATCTTCATCTTGCTGTGTCCCACCACCTGCTTGATCTGTCCCTTCTCCTCCAAGTCCTTCAGGCACTTCCGGGCGAGGGAGCCGTTGATCTTGAGTCTGTCGACGAGGGTGGCAACCGTCACGAGGCGGTAGGACTGGACATCCTTATAGAGCTTGTCGGAAGTGGTCTTGTCAAGGATGACGGCGTGTTGGGCCTTGTCCTTGACTGATTGAAGAAGCACGAGTTAGCCGTTGTTGAATCGAAAATATGTCGCCCGCAGTTGGAATGCGTCAAGAATCCATTGGCGCAGGACACCGCTTACCCTTTCCCTTGGACCACTTCTTCTTCTGCTTCTTAGCACCAGACGCTGCGGGAGCCATTTTGATGTCTGTTCTGGTGGGTTGATAGAGGTTGAGTCGACGGTCGAGCTGAACAAGGCGGGGAGATTTTTCTGGCACAGGCGCCAGGCTACCCGTAGCTTAGGTCAACCGAGCCCTAACAAAATGCGGCGCTGTGAGTGGCTGATTTTCTGCCCAGACCACCTCCCTGCGGGGCCACCAAAAAATTCACGACCGCAAACATCAACGCCTTCTTGTACCCGCGCCAAATCCTAATTCCACCACCACCTCGAAGTTTCGCACGTCAGTCGCCCAACGCTCACAATGTCTGAAGGCGAAGTCGAAGTGTCCTCCGGCAGCTACGAGGTCCTCCCTAAGGAGGTCCTTGCCGAGGTTGGAAGCGTCAAGCTCTTCAGTACGTCAGACCCGCACACTCTGCAGTTCGAACCGAAATCGATGCATCGCAGCGCCATGGTAATAGCGGTCTTGGGGATACGGTGCTGATTCAGTCAATTGCAGACCGCTGGAGCTACGAGGATGTTGAGATCCGGGATATCTCGTTGACGTAAGACAACACTCACCTCTTCGCGACCACTCGGTCGACATTGCTGGCAATATTCGGTTGGGCAAGATGGTTCAGAGGGAATTGGGGGAGGCTAACGGGCTTCACTGCACAGAGACTACATTCAAATCCGGTCTCCCGTCTACATCCCTCACTCCGCTGGTCGCTATGCCGTCAAGCGGTTCCGCAAGGCCAACTGCCCGATTATCGAGCGTCTGACCAACTCTCTGATGATGCACGGCCGCAACAACGGCAAGAAGTTGATGGCCGTTCGCATTGTTGCGCATGCCTTCGAAATTGTGAGGGGGTTTCGATTTCAATGTCTAGGTTCGTTGGGCTGACATGTGCCAGATCCACCTCATGACCGACCAGAACCCCATCCAGATTGCCGTTGATGCCATTGTCAACTGCGGTCCCCGCGAAGACAGCACCCGTATCGGCTCTGCCGGCACTGTCCGGAGACAGGCCGTCGATGTGTCCCCCCTCCGCCGCGTTAACCAGGCTATTGCCCTTCTCACAACGGGTGCGCGCGAGGCGTCGTTCCGCAACGTCAAGTCGATCGCCGAGTGCCTTGCCGAGGAGCTGATCAACGCTGCCAAGGGCAGCAGCAACTCGTATGCTATCAAGAAGAAGGACGAGTTGGAGCGTGTGGCCAAGAGCAACCGGTAAAGGGGAACTTGGACGGAAGGCATTTGGGCTGGGGCGGAACGGATTTTACGGCTTGTTTTTGCAGGGCTGCTTTTGCGCGTTACGGTCTGGGGGATGCATGGCATTCTTGTCAAACAGGCACAAATAGGGCTCTCGCCAAACAGGGAGCAAATCGTGAATTTCTGACAAGCAACGACTCTTTGGGCCGGCAATGTGTGTGCATCACGACGTGTGGTTTGCTTTCATATTCCCTTGGGAATAGGGAATGGGTAATGCAACCGAATTATGGTTGAGACGGATGGTATCACATCATACATATTGTCCCTATACCTCCACTGTATTCTATACCGTTTGAACCTCTCCATCAGTTTCACTACCAGCATCACCTCATCGCCCCATCCCCGTCCGATCCCAACGTTACCCTCAAGAACATACCCACATGCGGAATCCCCTCCTCGGTCCAGCGGCCCATGCCCTCGTCCACCTTGAAACCGCACCTCTCCCACACCTTGACGGCCTCCTCCTGTGCGTGCACGCAAATCAGCCCCGCCCATTTGGGCACCGTCCCGCCCTGTTCCATGCCCAGCTGCTCAAACCCCTGCTCCGCCGGGCTTGGGTCAAAGTAGCTCGGGTTTTGCCGCATCCACGCGATGGCGCTCCTCACCAGCTGCCGGGCGATGCCCCGCCCCCGGAACTCGGGCCGCACGGCCAGCCGGCCCAGCTTGACGTAGGGCTCGGTGCCGTCGTGGTAGGTTGTGGACCGGTCCGGGGTGAAGGAGGGCTTTCGTTGGTGTTCCTGCTTCTGCTGCTGTTGCTGCTTCTCCTTCTCATCATCTGGATCCGGTTTGGGGTTGACGAGTTGGTTGTCGACGTAGTCGCCCCCGACGACCGGGTGGGGCGGGTGCGGGAAGGGGACCAGCCGGAGGGTGCCGATCGGCAGGGATGTGGTGGAGCTCCGCCGCGGCTGCAGGACGGCGCCCGTGGAAGGGTCGGTCACCGCCGCGGCCAGCGTCTCGTTGACCGAGGCGTAGATGACCCAGTGGCAGGAGCGCAGGTCGTCCGAGTCGAATTCGTTTTCCTGCGGGATCTGCTGCTCCTGGACAAAAACGCGCTGGCGAACGGACATGGCGTCGAGGAAGGTGCGCGGAATGGCGGACGGGTTGGGTTGGGCCTCTGCTGGGAGCGTGCGGTCCCATGGGAAGGGGGTCGGCTCGAGGAGGGAAATGAAAGGTGTGCCCATTTTCGTGTTCCTATCTGGCCAAAATTTGGCCTTATACTGTTCTGCTGGTGGCCGGTTTGATAAGGTACGGTCTTTTTTGAGTGATAGGTGAGATGTGACTCAAACCAGTATTCGGTGAGTTCTGGCCGGTTTGTTGATGATGGTATCAAAATCCGGAGCTATGCCGGACTCTTAACATCGAGCCTGAAGGAAGCGAGCAGGCAGCAGGCGTGAAAACTCTTGATTATATGAATGTCCGTAATGTTGAGAAAGGCGCCGACTTTGAAGATGCAAAGCAGCAAATTAGTCATTGGTGGGGGGTGTAATGGGATGGAATACCTACTACTCGCCACAGGGCCTCACATTCACAAGTCACGGCTTAGAAACATATCGGAACGGCTCCGTTGTCTCGGCCGGTCAGGCATTGTCAGGGGTACCGGCGGGATTGTAGATGGACACGGCGTGGCCAAAGAGAAAACAATAGCGGGGTTGCAGAATAATTTAGTACGCGAGCATAGGCGGGGTCTTGTACCCGGCATGTTATTCAACATCATACCCGACCTTACGGTAGATGATTGAAGCGAGAGGGTTCTCGGGCGTCTCCAGTGTTCGTCTCATTTATATCGGACAGCAGTCACGATCAGCCGATAGGTTGTTAAGAATTCATCCTGTGTCTTATCCGTACAACCTTCCACACTTCATACCAGGACAACAGAATGCCCGCTGCCGATAACTCCATCCAAGGCAAACTTGCTCTGATTACCGGCGCTTCAGGAGGGTAACTGCTTATCAGTGAAGCCTGCACTTTTGACAACCCAAGTATTACAACAGTACTGACACGCCGTCTCGAGTTGATGCAGCATCGGCGCGGCTTGTGCGAGAGCACTATGGCTGCAGAACGTGAACCTCGCCCTGACCTACTCCAGCAGCGAAGACAAGATCCTGGCTCTGGAGGAAGAGTTGTGGGCGCTCCGCAACAACCATCATCCAGAGGCTTCCAACCCGGTCATCTCAACCCACAAGGTCGATGTCGCATCCGCTGATGACATACAGCGACTGTTCGCCAGCATCAAGGAGCTGCATGGAAAAGACGGCCCAGACATCCTCGTCTCCAACGCTGGCTATGGCAAGCGCATCCCAGACATTGCTGACATTTCCATCGACGAGTTCGACTACACCCTCAAGGTCAATCTGCGCCCTGCTTTCATCCTGTCCAAACTGAGCATCCCGTACATGGCCTCTCAGGGGTGGGGTCGCATCATATTCGTGTCGTCGATCGCCGCTCACGGCGGTGGCATAAACGGATGCCACTATGCCGCTAGTAAAGCTGGCTTGCACGGTCTGATGAAGAATCTGGCATTCAAGCACGCCAAAGACGGTATAACGGTAAACGATGTCGCCCCGGCCATGATTGGGGAGACCGGCATGATTCCCGATGAAAAGATTGTCGAGGACACGCCGGGCGATGTGCGGAGAATTCCCGTCGGGAGACTGGGCACGCCGCGCGAGGTGGCCAATGTGGTGTTAATGTTTTGCCAGACCGGTTATCTAACAGGACAGAGTGTGCTGTTGAGTGGCGGACTGAAATGAGCAGATCTTAGTGGGATATGTTGTGGAGGAGTATCTATGCGACTTCGAGTGAGGTTTCATGGTGATGGATGGTTGGTTGCCGAAGTGAGATAGGTGTGGTTTAAGGGGTTTGTTTACTTGGCAGTGTTCCGGGTTGGGCGAAGTGAGTGTGGTGGTGGAATAGCTGTTATCCCCTAGGAAGACGACGGACGGCCAATACCCCCCTCATCGTCTAGAATGCTCATACATGATATGACAACTAGGTATGAAACTCGTTATGCCCTTCTGCAGTCGCAGGATCGTTTGCATACCATGGCGACTCCTGGCCGGCGCCTTCTCCAACATGGAGAATTCCAAGGAGAGTTCTGGGTATGATGTCCGAAAATCGTTTAGTAGCACATCTATAACCATAGCCTCCTGGGTATCTAGCTTATTCGCAGGCCAATGGTGCCTGACTCTGTTCACACGCGGCTAGCGCCAGCGCATCTCTGTTCCAACAACCAAACGCCTCACCGCACATCTTTCCTGCTTTCCTTGGACTCGGCGGGCTTTTTACGCGGCCACTCCGGACAGATATCGATTTTATCCCTCGGGAACAGTAGCTCGAGAAGCAAAAAAAGAAGGTAGTCGACAATCACGCACAAACAGAACAGCTTGCCAGCCCAGATGCCACAACCGTAGTAACGCTTAAGCCGATCGATAAGTGCGAAGCTTTGCACTCCGGACCGTCCCCTCGTCGCGCTCCAGCTGCTCGCCCCATTGGCAGCGTCATATCCATAAAATTCGGCCTCGCTGATAGCCCCGGAGATGCCATTGTAGACTCTCTCAGTGCGCATAGCCACGTTTGTCCACGAGTACATGCTCTTGACCTGCTCATGAAAGAGCTCTGTGCGGACCTTGTTGGCGCGCAGTGCGGCAATGGCCTTGCCGGTTGCCGCGACCAGGTCGTCCTCCTCGGGCTTGGCAAACACGGTCATGTGCGACGGCAGCACCTCGGGGATGCCGCCCACCTGCGTGCACACAACGTACAGGCCGCAGCTGGCGGCCTCGACGATCACGGTGCCAAAGGCCTCCGTCAGGCTCGGGTGCAGGTAGATGTGCCCGCGTACCATGACATCGCGCACCTCCTCATGGCGGATCGGCCCCAGCATCTCGACGCGGTCCTGCAGCACGTTCTGCTCGATCATCTGTTCGAGATCGATGGCCTTGGGCCCGGAGCCGGCGATGATGAAGCGCGTGTTTGGGTGATTCTCCAGGATGCGCGGGATGGCGGCTGTCAGGAGGTCTGTGCCTTTGTTGTAAAAGAGCCGGGAGATGACGACAATGGTGATCACATCATGGGGCCCCAATGGCCGGGCTGGCGGGGACGCTTGGCCAAAGGAGCTCCCCCCTCCGGGTGGTGTCGGGTGAGACAGGGGCTTGAAATTCTCTGCAACCACGGCATTGGGGATTACCGAGACCATGAGTGGGTCAAGGGATGCCCTTAGAACCGTGTTTTCTTTGCTAAAACCACCGTTAGGCCAAGGTTCATCTCAACTAGCAGGACGAGCTTTGAACACTTACCATGTGTGGCTTACGCAAATGACATGGTCCACATCGCTGAGGCTGAACTTGAGGAGCTTGTTGGCAAAGATGCTGGCGGCGTCGGCGAATCCAAATAGTGAATGGTCTGTGTAGACGGTCCGCAATCCCATGGTCCGGGCATGAAGGATTGCCTCGTGGCACAAGCTGCTCAAGCTGGCGTGGCCATGTACAATGTCGATGCGCTCGCGCAAGACAATATTTCGAAATATTGGGAAGAATGAGAAGACCGTCGGAAAGCTGGCGGACCGGTAAATGACTAGGAAGGGAACATGGTAGACTTTCAGTCCGTTGGTGAGATAGCGCACGCCGGTGCGGCCCTCGTAGGCATGGGTTATAATGATGACCTTGTGGCCCCTGTCTCTGAGCTTGGTCGACAACTGGTAGATGTGGCTCTCAACTCCTCCTGGCTGCGGGAAGAAAAAGTCGCTAACCATAGCGATGTTGTACGTCGGCGGCGCCATTTCCGTCGCGTTCATCCAAGGGACGCATTTTCCCTTTGTGGATGGCCGGATCAAGGATGCGTGGGTGTTGTGTCCAACTCCATGGTTGAATCGGATGGAGGAGATTTATGAAAGGTGTTGGATCCGGAATCTTGGATCTGCATTCTGCAGCGGGGAACTACAGGGGGTCAGGGGCCCGTAGCCCGTTGAAGGATGGCTCCCGAGAGTGCCCCACCTTAGCAGCAAACCCCTGTCATGCAAGAAGCTTCTGCCGTCCTACTCCGCCAATTTTTCCCATTCTTGTTCCTTCGCTCTGAAATGTTCGACGGCCGCGCAAAGATACCAACAAGAGGCAGTGAAGGAATTTTGCAGGCCAGAGTCTCGATAATGTACAATCGGTACATACCTCCTCTCAACAAGCCGGCAGCCACGGCTTCATCCTCCGCGCCATATGCCCGCTATGTTCCGGGCCAAGCACAAGACCACAGCTTGGCGAAACCTTCGCAACCGCAACGAATCGTCTTTGACGATACCGACTTCCCTCCAACCGACAACAGCAATAGCAAAAACAAAACATCACAAGATGATGAGTCGACAGAAACACTAGAAACAAAACAGGCCCTGAGATCAAAGTCTAAAAAGAGCAAGAACCAGGAGCCAAAGTCAAAGAAGCGAAAAAGAGACGAGACAGAACAAATTGCTTCACCTCAGCGGGACTCTACGCAAAAGGCAGATGTAGGGGAAAGCAATCCACGGCCGAGTGCAGAACAATCTGCGCCGGCTAGCGTCGCTGTGCCCGCTGCAGCGAACTCGTCGGATGCTGTTGAGGATAGACCGAAACCGAAGCGGGAGAAAAAGAAAAAGAAATTAAAAGGTGCAAATTCAGAGACCAACCCCGAACAGGATGAGGTGGACAGTATTCGGAAGAAGCACAAGTCAGTTTTCGAAAAGGTTGAGAGAGCGCTGCAGGCAAAAGCTCCCAATGGTGTCAACGGGGAAGACAAGACGGACGAGGTCGAGGAGGCGGCTGAACCTCAGGTGGAACACGGACTCGAGCCACTTCCTCAACCAGAGCCGATTGTCGTTGATGAGTCCAAGTTGACCTACGAGACATTGCCTCCCTGGCTGGCATCACCGATACGTGTCACCTCCGGCATACGAAAGGCATTCACCGAGTTAGGGATCGCTCCGGAATCAGCCAAGATCCTGGAGTCCAGAGGGTTCCAGGATGCGTTTGCTGTGCAAACCGCTGTACTTCCCCTTTTGTTACCCTCTCCGGACAGGCAAGGCGATGTAGTTGTCGCCGCTCCCACAGGGTCCGGAAAGACGCTGTCATATGTACTCCCGATGGTGCATGACATCAGCAAGGGGCGCATCACCAGGCTAAGAGCTCTAATCGTTTTGCCAACAAGAGATCTCGTCCAGCAGGTGCAGCTCGCATGTGAGGCATGCGCCGCGGCCTTTGCAGTCAATAGGGGTAAGAAGGTCAAAATTGGTACGGCCATGGGCAACAGGGTGTTCAAGGAAGAGCAATCTGCCATTCTGAGCGAGGAACAGCGTTACGACCCCGACGGCTACAGTAGTTTTCTGCGAAAACAGAACAGGATTGTGAGCCTTGACGATTCGGAGGACGATGAGGATGACTTGCAATCTGGCGGCTCCCAACCTCTTCCGTATCATATCATTACCTACACCTCCAAGATTGATATCCTGATCTGCACTCCCGGCCGGCTTGTAGAGCACATCAGCAAGACTCCCGGATTTACACTTGACTATGTGCGCTGGCTCGTCGTTGACGAGGCTGACAAGCTGCTGGCCCAAGACTTCCAACAATGGCTAGACACGGTGATGAACAAGCTGAGCGTTGCGAAGCCCGGCGCCCGCGATTTCCCGGGGTCAAACAAATCTGGAGTCCGTAAGGTCATTCTCAGTGCGACTATGACCCGGGACCTGAGCCTGTTGAACGGCCTTAGGTTATCCAGACCGAAACTGGTTGTCCTCGAGGGGACAAAGGCCGGTGAGCAGAGCCTACCAGGACTTCTCAAGGAGTATGCCATCAAAGTCAGAGAGCCTAGTCTCAAGCCGCTGTACCTGGTTGATCTGCTCAACAGCAAGTACCTTCGTGCTATCAACCAGGATGAAACTGGAATAGAGGACTCCTCTCCGGAATCCGAAGCCAGTGAATCAGAGTCTTCTTCATCAGAGTCGGAGTCGGAGTCGGAATCGGACTCTGGTTCTTCATCCTCATCCTCATCCTCATCCTCATCCTCATCGCCTTCAGTCTCAGACTCGAACGAGATGCGGACAACACCGCCAGCCCCGACACAATCGCGACTCTCAACAACAGTCCTGATCTTCACCAAATCCAACGAAGCCGCCCTCCGCCTCTCCCGCCTGCTCGCCCTCCTCGCGCCAGAGCTCGCTCCGCTGATCGGCACCCTGACATCCTCGACCAAGACGTCGCGCCGCACGCGCACCCTGCGCGCCTTTGCGCAGGGCAAGCTGCGCATCCTCGTCGCGTCAGACCTGGTCTCGCGCGGCATCGACCTTGTCAACCTGGAGCACGTCATCAACTATGACCTGCCCATCAGCGAGACGTCGTACGTGCATCGTGTCGGGCGGACGGCCCGCGCCGGGCGGCGGGGCTGCGCCTGGACGCTGCTCGAGCATGCCGAGGCGCGGAGGTTCTGGCGGGACTTTGCCGGCGAGGGGAAGGGCGCTGTGACGAGTATCATTAGGGAGGGGAAGGTGGAGAGGATCGCTTTGTGTGCGGCGGAGTTTGATGAGGAAAGGGTGAAGGCGTATGAGGAGGCGCTGGCTAGGCTGCAGAGGGAGGCTGCGGGTGAGGGGAGGAGGTAGGGAAGGTTTGCTTGGTGCAGGGGCAATGTCAACAGCGTCAATCAGGGGCAGTGGTCTAGTTCAAAAAAATGGCAATGTCATCCTGAGATTTGACAGAGTTTGTTCCCACTTCTGTCCGATCGCACGTATCTATTCTTTAGTGTAACCTTTGGGCACCCTGGATCTCACCTGCCCTACCACTCCTATTTCGCTGTCATGTTCGAGCTGGATCGGAGCAGGCAAAAAGAACGGCTTCGAAACTGTGGAGCAACGCTTGCTCTAGTCGTTGCTCAACCCATGATGCAAGATTATGATTGGTTGGCCTGCCCATGCTTGGCACTTACATCAATTGACAGGGGTATGTCAAGCGCCATTCGTTCGCACCAAGCTGTCCTCTTTGCAGTGAACAGCTTGCCATAAAAAGAGGCCCGTTTCAAAAAGGTGCACCCGCCGCACAACGGCAAGACTAACAGCCAAATCTGGAAGCAGTTGAGGCCAGATTTTGTTCTGCACTTCTGTGGATGGCTGGCGATTGTTCTGAACAGACTTTGTCCTTTCCATCTCTTCACCTCCTGGGATAGGTGTTTCTTTCTTGTGGCCGGTCCTACTACTCGCGGGGTGACTTGGTACAACTGTACGCTCTTGTCCCCTCTGTAAACACTTCCACCACCTACCGACTACGCACCGCACACAACATCCCTCTCGCCCACCATGGCCACCATGGGCCGACCAAGATTACCGCCGTTGCTACTACTACTTGGTGCGATATTCTTCTTGTCGACCCATGTCTCCGCTGTAGCAGCTGTGCTAGGCATCGACTTGGGAACAGAATACATCAAGGCGGCACTGGTGAAGCCAGGTATCCCTCTCGAGATCGTTCCGACAAAAGACTCCAGGAGGAAAGAGATCTCGGCCGTCACCTTCAAGCCGCCACCCAATGGTCCCAAGAAAGGCTCCTATCCCGAGCGGGCGTACGGTTCCGACGCCGTGGCCCTCGCCCCGCGCTTCCCCGGCGACGTCTACCCGAACCTCAAAGCCCTCCTGGGCCTGCCCGTTGACAACGCCGAGGTTAAGGAATATGCGAACCGTCACCCTGCTCTGCAGTTGGTGGCTCACAAGCTGCGGAATACTGCCGCGTTCAAGAGCGCTGGCGCCTTCACTCCAGAGGAGGAAGCTTGGATGGTGGAGGAACTGTTGGCCATGCAACTCCAGAGCATCCGGAGCAATGCTGAGGCACTTGCCGGTCCAGGAAGCCCCGTCCGTTCCGCCGTCATCACCGTCCCGCCGTTCTACACTATTGAGGAGAAGCGCGCGACGGAATTGGCGGCTGAGCTTGCCGGATTCAAAGTCCTTGGCTTGATGAGCGACGGCCTTGCGGTGGGGCTGCACTATGCGACCAGCAGGCAGTTCCCAAACGTCAACGAGGGAGGAAAGCCGGAACATCACATGATTTTCGATATGGGCGCTGGCTCGACCAAGGCCACGGTGCTCAAGTTCCAGAGCCGGACTGTCAAAGACGTGGGCAAATTCAACAAGACCGTCCAGGAGGTCCAGGTTCTTGGCAGCGGCTGGGACCGCACCCTTGGTGGCGACGCGCTCAACTACCTCATTGTGGACGACATGGTTGCCAAATTCGTGGACTCGCCAAAGGCCCAGAAGGCTTCAGTGGCGGCTGAGAAGGTCAAGGCCCACGGGCGCGCCATCACGAAGCTGACAAAGGAAGCGGAGCGGGTGAGGCATGTTCTTAGCGCCAACCAGAACACCCAGGCCAGCTTTGAGGAGCTTTACGACGATGTGGATTTCAGGTACAAGATCACACGCGCCGAATTCGAGGAGATGGCTGCGGGTCACGCCAAGAGGGTCGGCGACACCATTCAGAGCGCTCTCTCCTCCGCTGGCCTTGATATCAAGGAGCTCGATTCGGTGATCCTCCATGGTGGTGCCTCGCGCACTCCCTTCGTCCAGAAGGAGCTTGAGAAGATCCTCGGCAACCCCGATAAGATCCGAACCAACGTCAATTCAGACGAGGCCGCCGTCTTTGGTGCAGGCTTCCGGGCAGCCGAACTCAGCCCCAGTTTCCGTGTCAAGGAGATCCGGGTGTCCGAAGCTGCTGCGTACCCGGCCGGCATGAAATGGAAGACTGACGACGGCAAGCCCAAGCAGCAGCGCCTCTGGACCGCGACATCGCATCTCGGCGCCCCGGCTAAAGAGGTTACGTTCTCGAACCGTGAGGACTTTTCGGTCAATTTCTTCCAGCTTATTCCCGCGTCCGCTTCCGACTCTGGGTCGGTCGAGGTCGAGACTAAGGTTTTCTCAACCAAGAATCTGACCGCCTCTGTAACACAGCTTGTTGAGAAGCACAAGTGTGACAAGGCAGATATCCGCCTCAAGGTTGGCGTCCGCCTTGCAACTGAGAATGGTGAGGTGGATGTGACCAAGGTCACTGTTGAGTGCGAAGCCGAGGCGCCAGAAAAGGAGGGTTTTGTCGACGGAGTCAAGAATTTCCTTGGGTTCGGAAAGAAGGAACAACAGCCTCTCACTGGGGAGTCAGAAAAATCCGAGGAGGCAGAATCGTCATCTTCCACAACGACAGTTGAGAGCTCGACTACTACCTCTTCGGACTCGTCCTCCAGCTCTACATCCTCCACGGCCTCCGCATCCGAATCCGGTCAGGCCAAGTCTGACGGCAAAAAAAAGGAACTTGTTGTCATTCCAATCAAATTCACCTTGGAGAAGTCCGGCATTCCTCAGCTTCCCAAAGCAGATATTACCTTTGTTAAGGACCGTCTCAAAGCATTTGAGATATCCGACCGTTTGCGGAGACAGCGGGAAGAGGCACTGAACCAGCTTGAGGGCTTCACGTACAAGGTCCGCGACCTCATTGAGAACGAGAGTTTCATCGGTGCCTCCACCGCGGAGGAACGGGCAAAATTGGAGAAGAAGAACAGCGAAACGAGCGACTGGTTGTATGGAGAAGGTGCGGATGCAACCAAGGATGAGCTCAAGAACCGGCTCAAGGAGCTGCAAAATATCGTCGATCCCGTTCAGAAGAGAATTGACGAAGCATCCAAGCGGCCCGAGCTCCTCAAAAATCTGCAGGAGGCACTCAACAGCACCAAGACGTTCATCGCCGACGTCAAGAAACAGATTGCCGAGTACGAGGCATATCAATCCTCTCAGACTGCCCCACCCTCCTCGTCCACCTCCACTACTACAGCCGCCCCGTCATCCTCCTCAGGAGACTTTGAGGGCCTCGAGGACGAGGACACCGCCGCCTCAACCATGACTGCCTCCGACGTGATGGAAGAGCTTGAAAAGAGGAGCGGTCCCGTCCCGCCGCTTTATACCGTTGACGACCTCAAAGAAAGCGAGTCCCTCTACGAGTCCATCTCGACCTGGCTCGAGGAGAAGAACGCGGCACAAGAGAAGCTGTCGGCTACGGACGACCCTGTGCTGCTCGTCAAAGACCTCACTGAGAAGCGCGACCAGCTGGACAAGGCGGGCATGGAACTCGCTATGAAGGGGGTGCGCAACTTTGAAAAGAGGAAGGCTGGGTCGGGCAAGGACAAGGCTAAAGAAAAGGCCAAGGCCAAGGGCGGGAAGTCGTCGACGTCTACCAAGCCCGCCAAGCCGGCGCAGACGATCAAGTTGCAGCCCGGCGAGGACGGGAAGATGCCAAGCCAGGAGGAGATTGATGCCATGTTGAAGGAGTTTATAAAGGAGGCTGAGGAGGCCAAGAAGGCTGATGAAGGGCAGAAGCAGCAACAGGAGGAGAGTAAGGGGGAGGAGAAGCAGCAGGGGCAGGGCGAGGAGCATAAGCATGACGAGCTATAGAGGGGCGTATGCATTTTGGGTTTGTTTCCCCCTCGTTGCTGGGCCTGGAGTAAAGCACCGGTTGGAGTTCTCGGGTGGAACGGTCTGGTTGTAGATGGTTTGCCTTTTCCAGAAAATAAAAGATACATGCTATCAAGAAAAGGGTTTACCTTTTTCTTCGCTTTACTCCTCATTGCTTTCCCGGTGTCGAGAATGCCTTGGTTGTAGCCGTATCCACGCTACGACGGGTTTGAGCAACAGTAACCAGTAACTAGAACACAAGCCTGCCTGTCATTTCTACTATCTGAGAATTGGTGCTATGGTAACCTGGGCTGAGTGGAATCTCTGAGCATGTGTAATGCAAGGTGGCATAAGAACAGCCCAGTGCTTTGCAGCAGTGAAGTATCCACATGATCAATTAACGCACCGGGAAAGCTTGATATGTCGGTACATTTGGTACCGCTATGACAGGAGCTGAGGAGCCCGAGCCAGTGGGAAGGAAACCGGGTAACGGCGCAGGCTAAATTGGGCAGATATAGATGTACATACGGAGGATGGGGCCAAAAGGATTTGGCAGATTCCTCTTGCCAAGACTGCCAAGCTCTTAACACAGTGGGGTTCGCACAGTTTCGCCAAGCCACCCCGGCCACCTACATTGACCACTGTAATCTATTGTCAAGCCCACTAACAGGTCGAATTACCGGGCCACATCAGTGCCCACTTCAACACCCACTTAAGTGGGATCTTCGAGGGAACGCTATCCCCATGGAAAATACAGTGCGTCTCTCTTCCTCTGGCTTCTCACACGTTGGCAGGCTTGGCACCACTGCAGCAGGAAGCTGCCAAATACCTTTGGCCCCATCCTCCGTACATATGTACATACTGTCCGACATGTGTATGTGCACCGTGTTCGAAACGATAACACAGCAACACGGCTTTGCGTATAGGCATGGATCGGAGGCATTTCGCACATGACTTTCCATGACTTTGGTTGCGGCAACGAACAGTACCTTATTTGTTTTAAGGGGACACTTAGGGGGATAAGGAGGGCAGGGAATAAGAATAGGGGCACAATGAGTCTAGACGCCCTTTAGTTGTTTGATGCTCCGTCCACTCGCAGGTTGCAGGGTTTTAAGGGGTCGCCATCTCACCTAGACGGCATAATAGCGTTGAGCATCTGGGATTCAAATTGCAGCGTTGAACTTATGTGTAGTATATCCAACACGGATTGGCAATTTCCAGGCACCTCAAGCCGCACTGGCATGGTGTGCGTCTATGTACATGTAGATACAGGTCATTATCCCTTCTTCCCTTTGAAGATGACAGTTGACAGGCCTGACTCCCGTCATCCATCCGCATGCGGCCACCCCTTCCTCCGAACATCATAATCCCCCTCATCAGAGAGAAACGGGTTAAACGCCATGCAATTAGATTCCCACCCGAAATGAAAACAATGGCTGGAGAGATCGATAAAAATGTGAAATCAAAGAATGAGCGCGCCGGGTAGGATGGGTTGTGCCGTGAGCGAAAGATGACGATGACTGCTGCAGGGCATGACCGATGGGCTCCGCTGATTGGCTACGACGGGGTAGCATCGAGCCGGGAAAAGTCCACCGCCTCCTGCATTGGCTTCACCCCGGATGGTCGATCCGTGCAGAGAGTCGGCGCGTATGAGGTAGGGGCACATCGTGAGAACGGATGGCAGCTGCGATGCAAGTAATTAAAAAAAGTCTAAAGTGTGTGGGTATAGAAAAGTTCGTGTCGTAGTCATTTCCGCCGTAAAATTGGCCAGTGTCTTTGCTCTCCACTTCTGAGCAAGCCGGGGTTTTCTGAGCAGAATTGGAGGCGGCCAGGGGGATTGGGAGGGGGCGGGCCGGGACGCCTAGCCTACCCCCCTCTCACGGTAAGGTCCGGCGGTTGGCAAGATCAGGGACCTAGGCATCAATGCTCGCCGTCGCCGTCTGGCGTGCGGACAATGACATAGTCAGCAATCGTTGAACTCTCGGACATTGATGTGACAGAGTCCGAATCGCCTGCCCGTGCAGACGCGCTCTTCACCCGCAGAGCGGACGTGCTGCAGGAGGGGGAGGGGGAAGAAACGCTGCTGGTGTTTCCAGATGCACGCGGGTATGCTTGCGCTTGCCGACGCGAAGCAGGCGGCCGGGAGACGATCCGGGGGGAACGGTCAACTGGGAGCTCATATTCACCTTCGCTTCCCACGGGCGTGGGCGGGAGTGCTCCTGGGACTGCCTGTTGGCTCTGCCTGGCTGTGCCTGGCCGGCTACCGCCGTACTTGTGCTGCTGCTGTGCCGGGTGGTCCTTTTCGGGCGGCGGGGGCGGGGCCGCGTTGCTGTTGTTCGGCTGGACGGCCGCTGCCTGCTTCTTCAGCCGTTCTTCCATCTCGCGGATGCGCGCCTCGAGAGCCTCGAGCTCGGACGTCTGGGAATTAATCTGCTGTTTCCTGCAGGGGCGACGGGCCGCATCAGCAAACTTGTACTAGGCTGGTTGGATTCACAATTCGCGATCAAAGTGTAGGGAATCGTCGTCGACAACGTGTCTCCTCTGGGCTGTGCGTTTCGTACGTGTGCATATTGAGGCTTTGTAGAGGGCGAAGACTGACCGCTTATCCACCTGCTCGTCCAGGTCGGCGACGCTGTTATCGATGCGGAAAATGTCCATCAGTTCCTGTGAAAACATTTGCGCGATCGTACTAGAATTGTCGCGGAGCATGTCAGTGGCTATGTCTTATGCCTCCTTATACAACATGTGCACGAGTAAGCTTGAAAAGGGGGTGGGTTCCCACGATTGCGGGCGGCGGCCATTCGGCTTCCAATCTTGATCAATCTCCTGGTCCGACATTTTGAATTGGCCCTTTTGACGAAACGCTCAAATGCTCGGGAATATGTTCGAGAACGGCGCGTTGCAAGACGGACGAGGCTGGACGACGGAGTGAGGGTTGAGGGGGAGATGTCACAAAACTAAAGGTGGGAGTGGGAGTGGGCTAGGAGGGCTAGGATGGGATGGATAACTTTAAACTATCCCGAATCAACTTGGACGAAATAACGTTATTATGCTGGCTAATTAAAAGGGTCCCAGCTAGCCGGCAAGCGGCAGCCTGTTAGCGTCACTGTGCTACACGCACCGGGCGCCTCCTGACAAGCAGTGACAGCTTCGATGTTTCTGCAGCCTATTCGGGATGGTGTCCTCGAGGGTCAGGGGTTGTTAGGTCGTGGCCACAGCATCTCTCGGTCTGATCCGGACATCAACCAAAGACGGCACAAGTCGAAGCAATGTGACCATATCTACGGAGTAGAGTTAATAAGAGAACTTCAGCAAAGGACGATACTCGTAGGCTGTCAACGGAGTACTCCGTAATCTTTTTACTGTTCACATGTGGAATTCAAGATTGCATCCACGGGACCATTCTGGGGAATGCGTCTTTGTCGGTCCTGCTGATTTTGTCCCACCGACTCTAAGTCTGCACTTGGGAATCACCGGTACCGTACAGTGAGATCGAAGTGTTTTACATTCCATTTGATGCTTGTGGTGGGATCCCTGAGCTGATCCAAATCTCCAGATTCGGCGTGCTCCCAAAATTGCCCAAATTGGCCTAGTTGACGGCATTCTTAGGCAAAGTGTTTATTCAAAGTTCTCCTCGCTAGCAAATGTCACCGCAACAAAACCTCAAAAACAGCACTACCTAAGCAGGCTCCTCCATGAATGGTGCATGAGATACAAAGCAGCTTTCAATGGCTTAATAGACGCAGGATCTGACCTCCCACAGGCATGACCCAACTCTTGAGCCCTACCTAGGTAATTTTCGAGATCGGCGAGAATATGCCATAACCACCAGGTACTTGTATTGTACTGTACATGCAATACAATTTTATTACATAGCTCAATACGAAATGTTCGTGTGCTTGTACTGAATTTTCCTCTAAAGTTACACCTAAATTCATGCAGCCCAAAATCATCGCTTGCCAAGACAACATTGCAACTTTCTTGACCGACCAGTCTTCATCCAAAAGGCACACGAGAATTCACCAGCATCTCCAAAAAGACCATCGAGGACGAGAGTTGACGTTATCAACCTGCCAACTTGTGTGACTGGCACAGGGAAATAAACGGTAATCCTCGACACTGCGAAGCAAGCGATCGAGATAACGTTGGCACCTCCATCACCACTCCATCCCACCCGTACGGGCGATAATACTGCGATAATACTCCATCTCGAATTGGCAGGAGCATCGGGCTCAGGCTGCCTGTACGTGTTCATCGCGTTTTCTGGCGCGCGTGGTGCGGTGTCGCTCAGACCTGGCGAGGCGCTGACGGAACGTTCAGATCGTGGCTCCGCTTCATCTTCTTCAAAGGCGCGACGGTCCCCTCGGCCTCCCGCGGGGTGGAGCCTGGGGCATGAATACTACGCCGACGCCATACACACCGCTCGAGACTCTGTTGTTGTTCCGTGGCATTGCCCAGTACGGCCTCGAGACCGCCGCTTTTGCGAGCATTTCGGAAGCGCTTCAGAACAATAAGCTCGTCAGGCATGATTCGAGATACGATGCCCGAAGACTGAGTGCCGAGGCCCTGCAGGAGCTCTTCCTGCAACTTTTGTGGGAGGAGCTCAAGACCGAGACCGAAAGTTGCCCGCTGCCTGATGGCGCGCTGTCTCCGGCCTCGAAAAAGCGCAAGTTACAGCACTCCCCACCGCCGACCCTAAGGGACGCGCGCCAGCACGTCGAGAAAATCGAGTCAGCGCATCGCAAGTCGCACGATGCCTACGTGCGCCACGCCTTCGACGAGATCCAGCAGTATGAGCGGCAATTGGACCGGCTGTTCGCCGAGATACACGAGTTGGAGAGTGCGGGTGGACGAGAAGCGATCGATGGCGAATTGAGACCGGGAAGCCCGAACGGTCCCCAAGATGTGGGGCCCAAGCACGATCTAGGCTTGGTCAATGGTGTTGGCTCCTCTCCAAAGGCCTCTCCCAAGCCGCTGACGCAGTTACCGGTGCCGCAATCGACACCACAATCGCTGCGACAGTTACAGCCGTTGCTGCCGCACCCGCCATCACGGCAGGATGCCAGGAACGGGCCTCCCCCCGCACAGCAGGGCCCCTCAGAGAAGGCATCGCCGGTTCCCCGAGTCTCTGCCTTGACCTATCCACAAGTCGCACGCTCTCCGCAGCTCGGTCAGCAGGATGTGTCCAGGGCCCCAGTCGCGAAGCCCTCGGAATCACCAATACCGGCGAATGGTGCACCGCAAGTTCTCAAAGCGCCGCAGGGGGCACCTTCTTTTCAGCCTCAGGCTTCCGCGTTGTCTGCAACTGCTGAAGGTCTCCAGCGGCCGGAGAGCATTGCGACTAGACTATCCCCTGTGCTGCCTCCCGCTAGCCCTCAACCCGCCGCTCAGGGACAACTAAAGTGGGAGCCACCGTACCAGCCCAACGTGCCTACTCCACGACCGACGTCCAATATCAACGTACAGCACCAATCTTCTAATATTCTCCCGCCCTTTCCCCATATTATGCCGTCGCAACGGCCCTCCCAACAGCAACCACCACCTCATCCTAGCCCACTTCCGTTGCAGGCACAGCCCAACAGAGCGTTGCCTCAGCAAGCGGCTCCTCAGTTTGCCCCTGCCCTCAGGTCTCCATCTGTCCGGCCCTCGTCAGAATCGGGCAGCGCGTCGGTACCAGCCAGGCAGCATCCATTGCTTCCGAACCAAGTACCAAGCGGTGCGGCTCAAACGCAGCCTCCCTATCACCCACCTCCATACCCAGGATATCCTGTTTCTACCCTGGCGCAAACTTCTCAGACTCACGCCGCCCAGTCGACTCCGGCATACCCTACCCCAGGGCGGAGTCCAGTTGTGCCTCCCGCCCCTTCAGGTGCCGTTGCGGTCGGGCTCAGTCAGAACCTTGCGCCCCCCTCCCATCACCGCCCACAGCCAGCAGATTTGCAAGCACCACCAACCTACAGCCAGCAGACTGTGCCGAATGCCGCACACCCATCCGTCCCGGCTCCCCCGGATGCGACTCGGGTCTACAATTCTCCCTATCAACCGCCCCGGGTTGTTGCCGTGGAGCGCATCCATCCCAGACTACCCATGGCCGCAACACCTACCATGCCAGCACGATTCAGCCCTGTTCCGTCAGCTCCTCAAACGCCTGCCATGGGTCTTCCCCTGAAGTTGGCAAAGGGAAGTGGTACAACGTGGAAATCAAGTTCTACACCATCTACTCCCAAGCACGCATTCGAGCTGCGGCTCGGTTACGACGATTTTCCAAGTCCCGCCTTCGAACCCACCAGCCCAGTTTTGGCCCCGCGAACAAGCCAAGGGGCAAAGGAATTGGTGCAGGTTCCGGAGCAGCCAACCGAAATGCCCAGCCCGAAGCATAAATCTGACCGAGCACCTAACGTGAAGGCAACCCAAGATGCTAATGTTGGGATGTCTCCGGCTCGAGCACCAAGCGCGCGGCCGAACGAGGTATCCCAAGCAGCAGTTGGACTAGAGCCGCCAAGAGTCAAGGACGAAGTGACCACACCGCGGCCGTCGACCGAAACCGGCGAGACTACTGCCGATGAGAGCGTTGCAGAGCGACTCCCGCTCCCACGGCCGACGAAGCGGAAGCGACATGACCTGACGCCTACACCCTCGCACACCCCGCGAGCCAGCCAGACGCGGGAGGCGCTCTCTGAAGTGCCGGTGTCAGCTGAGGCGCCCAAAGTCGTTCTCTGGACCCGCTCCTTCAACAAGGTTAGCGGCTCCGCAATGGAGCAGATCATCCATCACCGATCGGGGAGCATGTTTGCCGCGCCCATCCGCGAGAAGGATGCGCCGGGGTACCATAAGGTGGTCAAACAGCCGCAAGATCTCAAGACGATCCGCGCCGCAATCAACCACGGGAACAGGGCTGCTGCTCAGGCTGCCGTCGCCCTGCCCGAGGGTGACCCCGGCACCAGCGGCGTCTGGCTGCCCCGCACCGAGGACCTCGTCCCGCCAAAGAGCATCATCAACAGCAGCCAGCTCGACCGCGAACTAGCCCACATGTTTGCCAACGCCATTATGTACAACCCGGACCCGCACCACGGCCCAGGCCCCGCATTTTTGCGCGACGTCAACAGCGACCCGGACGGCCCCGACGGCGCCGCCCACCAGGACAATGCGCTGGGATACAAGGTAGACGAGTTTGGAGTCGTCAAGGACGCCCGCGCCATGTTTGTCGAGGTCGAGAAGCTGCTTAGCGAGCTGCGCTCGGCCGAGATTCAGCGCGGCGCACCGCCCGGTGGTGGAGCGTCAGCAGGAGGCCTTCCCATGGGCACGAGCACCCGCCAGGCGAGCGTCGTCCAGGGCGGCCGCGGGACCGAGAGTGTTAAGGACGAGGGCGAGGATGGCGAGGAACAGACGGGCACGGGGACGGAAACCGAGACGGCCGCCCCCAAGAGGCGCCGGGTTGCTAGGGGTTGAGCATCGTCATGAGTTAATAGTGACGGGTTGTTTGGCTAGTGTTTGGCACAGGGTAAACGGGTGCTGATTTTGGTGTTGGGTTTGGCAGTGGTGTACTCCGTATGTGTGAGGGAGTCGAGTCCTGTCTTGAAGCGTTGCATGTCATAGTATGACAAAGATGTCTTGGGATGATTGGGTATTACCAGAGGCCGGGTGTATAAGTCCCAATAGTAGAGGTAACGCCGCGCTCAAAGATGCTCAAAAGGACAGAAAGTGAAACGCGGTTGCTCGGTAGGGGGTACACGCGATGGCCTTAGGATCAACATGCTCCTCTCTTCCAGCTGCTTAGCAGAGATCTTCTCACCGATTTTGCATGGTAGCATGCAATGTGTAGAGTACATGGAAGCCTGCGGTTGCTGTTATATGTTCTGTTTACAGTGACCAAAACCTGCAACGTGCCTTCGGCGGTTAGGTGAGTGAGTTAAGGCATGGCTTATGTGGTAGGGACCTCAAGTCATGCAACGATTACATGTTTTTGTTGTGTATATCTTGCCGAAAAGAAACACTCAATAGTGCCATGCTGCCCTGAGCAGCATGCAATCAACCCGGGCGCGATAAATCACCGCCCAGAAGCATGCTGTAATGGCCAACCCCTCCTCGCCCAAACACTGTAACACCCCAGCAAAAGCAAGGCTCAAATTCGAGCATTTATGTTCTTCCCTTCGATACCCAACAAGTCAGACATACTCGGCAGTGACCGAGTTGTATCGCTGGCCATTGTACAGCAACGTGTACTGCGTTGATGCAGACAGATCTGAAACACAGCTGTCAGCTTGATGACCAAGAGTTCGGG